ACGGCCCGATCTGCCAACATCGACGACATTCCACTCTCGCAACAGATCGATGCAGTTCCAGAATCGTTCGACTACGACAAGCTTCCAACACAAGTCACCGTCATCGAAACTGAGAAGGTCGAACCGAAGGACGAGCCAAGTCTCAAATCCAAGATCACTGGATTGTTCAAGAAGTCGCCATCTCATTTGGATTATCCAATCTCCGAGGAGTACACTGGACGAACGCGGAAATGAATACTTGAGGTTTGCTTGGAATTCCTCATGACTCGTTTTATTTGAAATGTTTCCTTCAGATACACCCGTGATGCTCCAGATGACCTTCCAATGATTGAAGAAGGGGCAATTCAATGTCGTAGAGCAACAGTTCGCGCCCATTTAAGGTATTCCAATATTCATTGAAACTTTACTTTTTTCTATAAACTCGATTTTTTTCAGAGAAATGGATGAGGTGAGACTTATCGAGGAACGCGACGAGCTTCAACGCCAAAGAAGGCCTCTGCGAAGAGCCAGGCAACGAGTACGAAACATTTGCACAATGCTTTAATTCTTTCGATACGAAACACTTCTTGCCTTTCACTTGAATTTTTACATTTTATTTTTAGTTAATAAATAGTTGAATTTAATTGAAAAATGCTGAAAGTCGTATCAAAACTTTAATTATTTTAAGATGCTTATTAACGACGGGCGGATTTCGGAAAACCGACTATCTTATTCGATTCCTTATAGGCTTATTTAATTGGGGCCACGTTTCTAGTCTATTTATTAGTAGTTCGATAATTTCAGACGATCATAAACTTCAATATGATTCGAAATTTTCGTTTATTTTCAATTTTTGCAGAAACTTTAGTAGAGTCTCTTATTATTTTCGCAATAATTATTTTAAATTTTTTTATTAAAATCAAAGAAAAATCTCCTTCAAAATACCGGAAATGTAATCAAATATTCAGAAGATCAATTGCATTTCAATGACTAAAAAATTAATATTGAAATTTTTCAAATACAAGATGTGTGTCGATTCTTTTCCCCAATTTCGCTCTTTGATTTAACCCAACTTTTTTTTCGTGATCCAACGTTATGGTTTTCATAAGGTAAAGTGGCCGCTTTTCCCCGACTCATGTGAAAAAATTAAAAATGAAACGAAAAATTGGCCATCAGCGAATTTTTTCAAATTTTTTTTGTTAACCATCGAAGCGGAAGCAGCGGGCGGTCGAATTTCGGCCCGCATGGAAAAAAAACCCAATTTAACGTAATCGTTCTTGTCAATTGTTTGTCAGCAATGGTCGACAAGTAGCATGGATTGCTCGAGGGAAAAGGCGAACTCGATGGAAGCAACTCGTGTCATTGCAAAAACTTGTAATTAATGACGAGTGTCTCAGAGCGTATCTCTCTCGTCGACAAAATATGCGCATGTCCAGCGGCCGGTCGCGGGAACGCGATAGCAGCCAGCGCACCGAATGAGATGCAAAAAAATAGTAGGACGAAGGTTCGAGGATGACAAGAGGTGCAGAGAGAACGAGACCTGCCGCGGGAGCAAACGACCGACGACGACGTTTATTACACTGCGGGCAGCAGTGCCGTGCTTTAGCCCCCCCCCCAGCTGTACTCTCCCGAGCCGGCTCTCTATTCCCAGCCGCTCATTCGTTTTTTGTCAATTCCATTCAAAGAATTCTCAAATGGATGTGCTCAACGCCGCCAACGACCTTCTTCCACTTCTTCCAGGTCAGCTTTTCTTTTATTCCATTTCACTTATCTTGTTTCCAGTCTTCAAAAAAAAAAATATTCGAATATCTTAAATTGGGCGATTTTACCAAATCATTATAAATTTGATTCATTTTTTTTTCCGATGACACTCATTGCCCAGTAGGTCAACCAAATTGAGGTGCTCTCTTAGGAGCTGCCGGAAAACAATGAAATCATTGAGTGGGTGACTTGTTTTGATTCATCTTCGATGCTTTTACACAGCCCGCGATTTTTGTTTGAAGGCGAAATTGCGGCACAAAACATATGAAAAATATAATATTAGAAAATTTGGAACCACAAATAACTAGAATGTTCACCAATTTTTTCTTTATTGATCAGTATAAAACTCATAGAACATCAAAATTTCAAGAAGCGTGCACACAGAGAGTTGGCAAGAACTATTGGACATAATACTTGAGGTTCATTCAAGATGTAGCTGATGAATTGATAGATTCGGTAAAACCGGATCATCTGAAATATAAAAATTGAAAATTTGTGTGTTTTAGTCGTCTGGTTATGTTGACATCAATCAATCAATAATATATTTTTCAACAAAATCCGCGTTTTTCAAAACAAAAGAACTTCGTTCAAAAATTTGTTTTATGAAAATACAAAACCTTAAATCATAATTAGTGTTTGATGCGTGCGATTAGCTTCGTTTGAGCGGCTCGCCCAATTTCGACGGTATGATGCAATCCGATTGGTTTTACAGAGATTCAAGATGCTCTGAGCGAAGAATTCGATGGCGTCGAGTGCAGTATGGGCCCGGGTGTCGTCCTTTCGAATTCGCCATTCAGCATGCCATTCAATCATCTCGGACGACAGGTAGTCGCATTCACATTCCGGAGTCGAATTTCGCCAAAGTTCAGGTCACTTTTGTTCCAGACACCTCTTGTCTCGATGACTACGATTCCGCGCAAATGCATCGCATTCATCTCGGCCCAGTTAGTTGCTTCTTCTTTTTCGTCATTCACCCTGATTTTGTTTCTCATTCGCATCTTTTCAATCTTCAACATTTATCATGAAGATATTTTGTGTGTACCTTACACTTATGCCCGTTCGAGCTTTTGCCTGCGTTTCTTACTGAGCGTTCCTCCAACCAATCGATCGCAAATGGCCGCATCGCGTGCAAACATCGGCTCGCGGTTTTGCGACAAGGATACATGCATACATATCGAATATTGCGATTGAAAATGAGACCAAGTAGAAATAGCCCAAGTATTATTTGAAACATCTCACAAAGCAAATCAAGCGAACAGCGTTTTAATAGTGAAAATATATTTCAGCCTCTCACAATCAACCAATTCCGTTTTGGAAAAAGAAGAATAACATCGACCGTAGAATTTTCCGTTTTGATTCCCACAGTATATAGTATTTTTTGCAATTTTTTCTACAGACCTAAGGAAAAATGCAAATTAAAGGAAAAATGCAAATTAAAGGAAAAATGCAAATTAAATTAATTTTTTAACAATTTTGTATTTTAAAGAATAAGTAGTTTCATAAAAATATTTTAAATTTTTTTTTTCAAAATTATTTTATATTTCCAAAATTTGTTTGACGGGTCTTAGCGCGAATCGTAGCAAAAAGGTTGTTGGATTGATCTGTTTCATTTCATTTCAATAAAATAAATTACCTTCGAATCAATAATTATTTTTTAACATCCATTGAATTTATATAATAACATGGTTTCAGAAGAGTTCGGTGTTCACCGACGGCGAGGCAGGATGCTGTTTGGAATTGATATTGGGCGCTGGAAAAGACTGGAAAACGCCGCTCACCAAGTTGTTCGCCAGAATCTACCCTGGCAAGTGGGCGTTTTTCATTGTCGAACTCGAGCAGGTGAGCATCGTTCGTTCCGTTTCTGTTCTTCTCACTTCCAATTCACAGGGTCAACCGACATATCACGTCATCTCGTCAGCCCATGGCACAGTTAGCTCGATTAAACGCGAAGACACGCCCGATTCGACCGAGCAGTCGTCGATGATAAGCTCGCCGACGGCTTCCGTGGTGTGTTCGTTCAATGAATTGCCAATAGACTCGTTGATGTTCAGGTATCGGACGCGCTCAATTTCTCGTTGTGGATTGTGCCAGTCACTAAAATTTTCGCGATTCCCGCGCCGAAAAAAGTGAAAATTGTGAGAAAAGTTGTGAAGAAGCGCACGCCGACCGGTGAGACAACGACGACGACAACTGAAGTTGACGGCGAGAATAAGGTTATCGAATACGATATTGCTCAATGATCTGAATGAGCTCCTCAATTGTTTTAGGTAAAAGTTCTGAAGAAGAAGCCTGTTGAGCCAAAAGAAAAGGAAATTTCTCCAATAAACGATCTTCCTAAACCTGAGTTTGTCACTGTGTAAGAAATGAGTCGCTCGAAATCGGAATTATTCGAAGATTTCAGATCATCCAGCGAATCAATGAAAACTGTTGTGAACGGTGGACGCGAAGGAACATCTAATGACGTGAGGAAACAATTTCACCATAAAAATATGACCTTTTTAAATTGCAGACTGCTGCTGATAGTAGTGATGGTAGCGCTTCTGAGCTTCGCAAAAAGTTGTCGGAAAAAATTATTGATCAAAAATTCACGGTTAACGGCGAGGTTCGCGAATTTGAGGCGGCGATTTTACGACGTAAAACACATGTTTCAGCCTCGCGCACTTAATGGTGTCTCGTCGAGACTTGGACGATCGATTAGTCGAAGCAGTATGACGCCGGATCGTCGACTTGATCCGATTCTCGAAGATAAAACAATTGCGCCGGTGATCAAGGTCACTCGTAACTCAGCATCGCCACCGGCGAAGGTTCGTATCGTTTCGATTCGATTCGATTTATTACGAAACTCATCATTCGCAGGGAATTCCCGCGGCACGTCTCGAGCCAAAGTGTCGAGTTTCACATCCAGCTCCACCGAGTATTCCGGTCGTTGCTCTCCAATTGGTGCTCTCGTGCCACTCATATGAAGAGCTCGGCAGATTGCGTGCCGTCCATCCGCATTGGGATGAAATTGCTGGCCAACTTCTCAACAGCGGCTATTACAAATTACTTGAAAGGTTTCACCTAAATCAGTAGAAATTTATCATATAAGCTATCGATTGAAGGTCCGACAAGCTTCTGATGGCACTCCAAAGAAAAGTGATTGTGGAGCCGGCTCTTCATTATGCAACGAGTGTGCTCACTTCAATTCAAGTTCATATTCTGAATCCCGTTGATGTTATGAGAGCTGTCATTGATGAAGGCGTTTGCTGCTTCCCGTATGGCGTGATTCTCGACAAAACCTTTTTGCTGTTGGATCGAGTTGAAGCAATGCTCAATGGAAATTACGATGTTCGTGCATTCTATTTTTCCTTTTTTTTTTTCTTTGCCAAGGTTGATTCAAACTCTTTCAGGATACTGTCAATTGGGAACCTGTTGCGAAACTCGCGAAACGAGCCGCCGTTCATTATCGGACCAGTCTTGAGCATATAATGGAAGAACGGTGAGTGTCCCTTGATGAAAAAAAAAGATGGAAGAAAAAACAAAGACGAATCGAGAAGCCGACGATCCGTCGCCTCATTTACATAAGCTCTCCATTATTTTTCCGTTGACATAAAGATGTCTTATCGGATAAAAGGAGCGGCAGAAAAAAAGAAAGGAAAGAAAAATAAAAGCGAATGGAAATTTCAGAATGGGCGAGAATTTGCGACTAAAAGCTGCTCAGAAGATCATTCGCCTCGAATCGTTCGTTGTTGATTCGCAAGTGGCCAAATTGGAGAAAGAATCTTCGAAGGTTCGCATTTTTATACACGTCATCTGAAAATGAGATGAAATGCCGAAATAACAACTCGAATGTTGTTTCAATTGCTCGAGTTCAATTCAATGGCATTTTATGCACTAATCGAAATGAGTCAGCGAAATCAACTTTATCAATAAATGTTGATTTAGGCTCGCGAGGATATCCGTTGGGAAATGGATCAACTACACCAAAAGAACACTCAGCTGAAGCGTGAAAATCGCGAATTGAAAGCCGCTCAAATGCGCCTTGAATCTCGTGTCGAGATCCTTGAGAACAAGTTCAAGACTCTCGCTAGATTGCTCAGCTAAATTTTGCTTTCTTCTCTTCTTCTTCTTCTCCAATTTTTCAATCAAGTCCCACGGGTCAATTCTTTCATAAGTTATTGATAGAACAGATAATTAGAAAATTGTTTTATACAAAATTTTAAATGATAATAAGTGTAATAATAATATTAATTAAAATAATAATAATAATAATGCGTTGAGTATGATCGGATAATAAAAATGTCAAATAAATGAATATCACAATTGTTCGTCGTCTCTGAAAAACGAGTGAAAACACAAACAAGCAATACTGATTTTTTCGTTGTATGGTAGATTTGGAATGAAGGAGATTCGATGGGATATAAGTGATTTGGAACACATTTCGACTAATTTTCGACTACCGAGAGGGGCAAAAACGGGGGGGGTCGGCAATTGTGGAGAAGCGAACGAATGACGAATTACCAAGCACACGGCGCCGATTTGTTGAGGTCGTTCGAGTAGATGCACGCGAAATTCGTTGACATGTCATTCTCGAATTCTGGTGACGTCACCGCACGATCCGGAAATGATTCTGAAGCTATTCCTAACTTTTATTTTCATTAAAAATTTAATTGGAAATCGTGGAACAGCGGAAATCATTTCATTTTCAAACAGTTCCATACGACGGACCAATCAAACTCACCGATGTTTTTGGTTTTCATTTTCAATTATTTAAATTATTGGATTTTCGAAAATTACTAATATCGTGATGCACCAGGTTAATTAAAATTTGAATACGAAATAAATAAAATTCTATTCGAGTCTATTAGTGCTGAAAATCAGCTGGGTCTCGTGGCCTGATTCCAATCTCCTCTCGAAAATAGAAAAAATAACCAATTAAAAAATTATTGTTAATTAATTATTTATCTCAATTGTTTAGTTTTTTTGGCTGCTATATGCGGGTAGATTTACGGAGACGCGCCCTTCGAAATAATCTCGCCACAATTAATTTTCATGTGAATTTATTGTTTCCTATGATGTTCATTACTTCATCGAATTTCTTCATTTTGCAATTAGCGTACATATTTTAATTAAGCTGTTAAATCTCGCTGGCTTTGAAATATTGGTAGGCATTTTCAAAAATCAAAATGTTTGATATTTGGTGTCTGAAATCAGACTTAGTTCAGGAACATCGGCAATACAAACATGTTAAAAAATAGTCATTGGCAAAAAAGGAAAAATTGGACAAATTTGCAATCACATTCATCAATTGCGTCGAAAACGCACTCAACTGTACAATTAATGGCCGTGGACGATGCTAATTTTTCGCCACAATTTTCTAGGCCACAACAGCGATACGGAAAGTCGAAAAACGTTCACGAGACAATTTCTAAAATCGAACCGCACACATGCATCGAGAATCCGGCGTCTATAGGTTTTATCAAAATTTCAAAATTGGTTTTCGAATCATTTTTAAAATTTCGAATTCCACCAACCAATTGCTATCTGTTCTCCGGGCTGCACTCCAAATCCTGGCAGCGGCATGTGCTCGCCGCTGTTTGTCGGACTCGCATACGGATCGATGAAGAATGGAACCGACGACGAAGGTGGCGGGAAGTAGTTGGAGGCATCTGCAATATGGATCACTTTTTTAATTGTCGACCGCTTAACGCCAGCTTGACCCCGACACGGTAATCGCCGGGGACAGCTGACCGATAATCCGCCGTAAATATTGTGACTTTTCATTTAAAATCCATGAGGCAACCCGCAAACACCTGGGAGTTAATGAGCGCGTTGCGCAATAATCGTCACGATTTGGGTGACGATACGAAAATCAATTTACCATTCGGGAACATGTCGACGATGTCGTCGCGTCGTTGTCGTCGCGATTGACGATAGCCGCCAAATCGCAACTGCTTCATACGGCGTTCTTTGCTCCGACGATTTTGAAACCACACCTATAAAATTGGAAACACTTTAAATTAAGCAAAAAGAGCTAGCAGCGAGTGGTTTCCACCGACCTCTGGGTTATGGGCCCAGCACGCTTCCACTGCGCCACGCTGCTTCGGCAAGCGCCGCCGCGAATCTCGGTATAAAACATGATGGAAGCAGTGGGCGAATAACAAAATTATAGTTTCGCAAGAAATGTCAGCAATTGAAGCATTTTCGCTTTTTCAAGTATTATGATTTCTAGTGCATTTGTTTAAGGCATCCATAGGGCGTCCGACCCGCTCCGAGCCGCCCTTCGCCCAGGAAGAGAAGAACTGTAGTCCGCACGGACAATGTGGTGAAAAATAATTTAGGTCAAATACAGTTTTGTTTCTTTTGTATGCGCCATTGATGTGTAGCTTTGCATATGTTTGATACGCAGCCAAAACCAAAAATAATTGCGATATTACATTTTGCAAAAAAACGAGCATTTACGGTAAGTTAGCTTCGCAGGTTATCCAGCGAATGGTATCTCAATTCCCACAGTTAAAATTCAAATTTGAATTACCGCCTTCAATAAGTGCGATGGTCCACAATTATGCAAAACGCTCGAAAAAAAAATGCGCTTCGGTGTCATCTGTTTTAAACAATTTAAGATTCCTAATTTTTTAAGTTTTTTTTCAGAATAATGCTATATTAAAATTACATAATTAGGAATAACTCGAGAAAATCGTTCAGACAAACTCTACACGACTTTCCCGAGAATATCATGGTAATTTTAATTAATCAGTTTGCAAACTTTGATTAATAACTCAAAAATGATATTATTTCATTTTATGTGAATTGAAAAATCTTCAGGCAAAATTTGATGAAGAAAAAAAATGAGATATATGATGAAATGCGCTAATTTTCCCTGCGATGAAAAGGGTCCCTGGGCATATGATATACGCGTTTGTCTACACCCAATTTCCCCCGGCCGCGTTTTTCGATTTCCGCCGCTTCTCATCATTCGCCGTCTCGCTTCTTCCGTCCCTCGTCCCACTCACACACGCACACACCTACCGTAGTCGCTTCAGCCGCGCAATGGATTACGGTAATTGAATTGAAAAACGACGGCCGATGCCCATGAGGGACGCACACACACACACACACCCTCACATAGCGAAGTCGCAGGTGAATTAAAGCGGGAAATGAGAAAAGACGAGAGAGCGCATGAGTTTGAGAGAGACGATACACTTGAGGGGGACGAGTGGCTTCAGACTCGCCAACAAAAGGTGAACGAATTTTCCGAAAATAAAAGAAGAGGTGGAACAGTTCCGAATGAAGACAAACCTGTATAACTCGCATGTTGAGGCCGGTCTCCTGGGCGAGTTGCTCTCTGATGTGACGGGTCGGCTTCGGAGTCGCAGCAAACGCATTCTTGAGAGTTTCAAGCTGTAATCCGACCATATTCCAATTTCCTTTCGATTATTTCCCGTTTTAGTAATCCCGTGCACGTGAATTTTGGGCTAATAATTGTTTCAACTATCAAATCCTAATAACTATTACTCAACTAGGCGATTTATTTCGCATTATGCGAAATAATCTGGAGATTTGTTGAAAGGTGCGAATAATTATTTCGTCTACGCGGGTATATTTACGGGTGTGCGTGGTCTCACGCCGACTAATTGGTTATTTCGCATTTTAGGGGGTCCGTTCGATAATTGCTAATTGGAATGACGTTAGAAATTCAACAAATTACCAAACTCATCATGAAAAATTAGACAATTCACGTGAAAACAACGAAATAAGCATTCACACGTGGCGAGACCATTTCGAAAGGCGCACTCGTAAATCTACCCGTCGCCGAACACTAACTATATCATATAAATAATCTCTGAGCTCAATTTAATAGGAAAATGGAAGAAATTACCAAAAAATGAGATGCAAAAATGTTTTAAATTGTTATTAGCTTGAACTTTTCCTAATTTAAAAAAAGGGCATTTATTTAGAAGGATTTATTTCGGAATTTGTTTATCGGACTTGATATCGATTTTCTATTCGTCCAAAAAATAAACTTATTAGATCTCATCTTTAATCAGTTAAGTCAACTCAATGAGAAATTGATGTGTCGGCAGGTGTTTTAAACAAAATCAAAAATTGCCTGTTTCGCCTTGATCGTGGTTCTCGGTCCGCGACGCTTCGCCGAGTTCGAATCGTCCGAGTTGTCCTTTCCCATTTCATCATCCAATCCGCACACCTTCAAATGAACAATTTGAATGGTCCCTTTCTCTCTCAAAACGAAAGGCTCTGTCTTTTTGCTCGTACCTCGTCGCATCCGTCGACATTCTCCTCCTCACAATCCGAATTGCACTCGGAGCCATTGGATACTGTAAATGGAGAGGAAATAAAACGAATTAGACATATGTATACGATGCGAGAGCCACAACGACGACGGCGGGAAGGGGGGGGGGATTATCGACAACCGGGGGTTTTTGGTCTCGCGAACGCGCGCGCTGTAATTTCGCGCAAACAAAAGAAGGAAATTGCGCATCTGTCGATATCATCATAAAACTATTCATGTCTTCCGAACACCATGTGCTCATCCTAAATATGTTCGACCAACAGATTAAGCCTCCCCCCATTATTCGACCATCCAACGACAACCTGGGACCCGTACGACTTATTGGTTCGCTGTCTTACCCGGTCGGTGCGACGACGTCGGTGTTGATGTTTTGGTGGCGTTTTGGAAGTCGGCCTGGCACACGAATCGATTGCCTTCGAGAATGTACAGCTGCAATAATAATAATAATAATAATGCTACTTGCGATAATAAACATGGCGAGAAAAAAAAACAATGGTGTGCGAAAATCACATGATTATTTTTAGGCTCTTTTTTTCTTGAGAAAGGAAGTGATTACTGTAACGGAAAGGCGCATCGTCAAATTTGAGATTGCGTCTCGACAATAACAAACAATTATTATGGCCCAAATATATCGATTTAGTTTCATGAATAAACGTTTCAAATAAATTTTCAATTTTTCATTGTCATTTCTTGAAGACAATAATTTCATTGCTTTTAATTTCCGAAGCTACTGTGTTAATCGCCGATCAAATTTTCATATTTTTTCAACAAAAAAAATCCGAAAAGTAAAACAGCTGAAAAATTCAAGATTCTCCTTGCTTGTAATCATGAATCCATCTAGCCCATCCAAATAAGGTTACCGCGCGCGCGGGGGGTATAATGAATTAAATCATGATGACGATAATGATGATGATGGTCCGTTTCAGATTACTCGGAACCCGTTACTCCCATGGGGTCACCGCATAGTTGTCGCTCGTCGAGCCACCCTCCTTCTATTATAATTTATAATTGAGTTACGAGTCTCGTCGGAACCCAAAAATGTTTACGTTGTTGGCGAAACGCAAAAACTCAAGGTGGAAAAAAAGCTGGGAAAGAATTGTGAGGATATTCCCGAGAAATTGATCATACGAACAATTTCATTTCATTCAAAATTCAAATTTCAGCTATAAAACGAAATCCAGCTCTATGTGGATTTCCAAAGCAGCTTATTCAATTTGATTATGCCAATTTTTTTCCCGAAATCCCATGTAAAATCCCAAATGTATTTTATGAAATGAATCGAATAAATTAAAATGGCTTCAAAAGAAATATTCTAAACGGCATTTAAATTTGAACATTTTTCAAAAAGAAACTACAACTTGACGATTTTGCTATTCTTGGTATTCGAGCAGATTCACGGTCTGCGGCAAAATGGGTCGCATGTGAAAATTTTATGACAATTTTGACCATTTTGCATAAAACTTAATAGTTTCATAAAATGCTGCTTAAAACAATTTCTGAAATTTTGTTTCCCGACATTTTTTTGTTTCCCTTTTTTGGACCTCAACATTTGCATCCGCATTTCTTTCAATTTCTTGAGAAATCGACTAATAATCATATACATACAAAAACACCATACGACCCATATTTAGGTGTGGACAGCCGGGTGTGAGTGAGTGTCGGCTGAAACGTTTGAATGACAAGTGGATGCGACACGATGGGTCCCGTGGCGAAGGGAGAGGGGGGGGTGCAGGTGCAAATGACATTTCGAGTCGAGAATGCTAAGCAGAAGCTACTTAATCCCCAAGTGGATAACGCCCGGACCCAATTGGGCGTAAACACCAAAACAATTATGTACCTGATCTCCGGTATCGAGCATTTTCTGGCAAACCGAGCACTGGAAGCAGCGGACGTGAAAGACCTTGTCGCGCGCGCGACGCACGAGATCTTCCTTCTCCAAGTTTCCGTCGCATCCGGCACACCGCTGGCCGTATCGCCTGCAAATTTTCCAAATCCGCCGGTTCCGTTTCATCGCATCGGTACCTCGTGAAGTCATTTTTGCACAGAATGAGCCCATCTCGGCTGAAGCAAGTCATCGACATTGGTGCCATGCAATCGCAACATCGAAGGCACGTCTGGTGCCAACATTTGCCCAGTACAGTGAACACATACCTAAAAAAAATAATTGCACATAAGTTTTGTGTGTGAGGTTGGGGAGGCTCGTTGTAACGTTATATCAACACCCTGCAAACCGATGATTCATCGCGTTGTAATCAAAAATTGCGCGCGGATTCTAATCGTCAAAAAAAACTGTTATTTTTGATTTCGATGTATGCGAGAGCGATGCTTTTTTTGTTGAAGCATCAACGAAACAGATAAGATTATGAAATATTGGTTGCAATTTTGATACCATTAATCAGACATGTAACAAATAAAAATATGTTCAAATCGAGGATATTTTGTAAAATTGAGTTTATGGAAAATGTGTAATGATTCTTGAAATTGCATTTAAGATAAATTTGGAAATGGAGACGATCTACAAATTTGCATGTGGAAATATTACACATCAAACGAAGTCTAATCGAAAATTCTGGATGAAATGCCGTCGTCTTGCGCAATTATAACCAGAAATGAGAGAAGTCGTTTACAGATCCGCCGGGAGGGAAAAATAAAATGGTTAATTTGGATTTGGTAGGCGGTCTTGGAGCGCAAAATAATTAAAAAGCGCCGGCTCTCGGAGGCAGGCGCGAAAACGCTCTGCCCGCGGCGTGTATGTTCCTTCATCAACTTTTTTTTTCCAATTAAACATTTTTCGTACAAATCCAAGTTTCGCATAATTTTTTGGCCAATTTTTGGTTTTCTCACCTGCGTCAAATTGGATTATCACGGACTCTGATGCATTCACTCGCTCGCCACCCGCACCTCGCATATTAATTCTCAAATTGCTCTATCGAATAATAGGGAGGCGGCTCGAAGGTAAACGAGAAAGTCAAAAAGAAAAGATTGGTTACCTGTCAAGAATCGGCTGAGCACACGCCGCGCATTCACTCATTTCTGAAAATGGGGCGTGGTTTGGAAGCGAGCGCGCGACAGGGGGGCCCTGACGAACGCGTTGGATACGGTAGAGTCCCAACTAGTCGGAGACGAAGAATGGGCGGAGCGCTTCGGGTGGAGAAAGGCTGGCTGAGGGGGCTGGCGTGTTGGTTGAGAAGCGGAGTGTCCGGCTAGAGTGAGGCGAAGAGGGAGAGGGTCCGCAGAATTATCTCGCAACAAAAAAAACACGGCGACACACAATGAATTGCGCGCACTGCGATTATCATTTATTTCAAAAAAATCACGATGATGATGAGAGTTTTGTTCTGAAAAATTCGGGCGATTTTAACTGGAGGTACGATTTGCAGGTGATTTTCAAACATCAACATTTTTTTAATTGGTAATGGAACACACTAAACGTTTTATTCGGAAAAAAATATTAAAATTAAAATTGAAACAATATGATTGTTTAGTATATTTTCAATTTTCATTTTTTATTTGAAAAAATTGAAAGTATTACACATAAAAAAATTTTTGAGAATCTGGCTAAAATTCGACTCTACGAAGAGGCATGTTGCAAAAAAAAATCGAAACCTCGTTTCTCGCCTCTCTTTTTTATTCCTTCAATAGAAATGTGTTGTATAAGGTCATATATTCACCATGAAATTACGTTTTAAACGGCCTTATCAAAAATTTTGCTCCTCACTAGGGCTGAATATTGCATGGAATATTTGGATATCAGTCGTTTTTTTTTTTCAAGCCACAATCGGTATTCGAAAATTGACATTTAAAAGAATCTACAGAATAATTGGAACTCACAATCAGTTCACACAATTAACTGATTGCTCTCAAAATCCCAGAGATCGCAATGTGAAATGCGCTACCGTATATCGGTTCACCGTCAGTAACTGATCGACACATTCTCCTTTTTACAGGAATCTTCTTTGCTGATGCAATTTCTGCGAACAACTCAATTCCGTCGGCTACCGTAACCATTCCATTTCAAAAAAAAAAGTTGGGCCGCGAAACACTGTCGTCGTTCGCCATTTCTTCCATCTCCAAAATGACATTGTTTCAGGGAAATTGAGAAGCAACGGGCGTCAAGGACGACGCATGTTCGCTTCGAGACCTCGCCTCAATTTTTTTCTTCGATGACGAAACGAATTAGTAGTAGGTCGTACCACCATAATGGCAACTTGATGCCACAACTTGACAGACGAAATTGGCAAATGTCGACGGAACCTCGAGGCGAATGAGGTAAAACGTGTCATTGGGACCTTGCATACATATTAGGAATTTGATCCGCTGGGAATCCGGTTGCATTAAAACTGACTAGATGAATTGAAATTAGTCACCTAATTTTTTGACAGCTCACCAGTATTACTCATACAACCAAATAGGGCATTGGCAATTTCAACAAGTCGAAATGTTTTTGCATCTGTCGTATCCACATAATCCCGGATTCCTACTGTTGCGCATCATCCCCGTTGAGATCCCATAAAGAAAACATAATTACCAACGCATGTGGATTAGCTTGGAAGCCGGAGAAAACCCCCCGATAATTTCGACGATTTTTTGAAAATATTGAAATGAAAAAAAAAAAGAGGAAAGGGTATGAAATGGTTTATTTGAAAGAAAAAATGTTGACCTCTTCCAATTGGCATAGCTGTTTTTGGTGAAGGGTGGATGGCGCAAATTTGAAAAATGAATGCTTGAGATTTGACGAAACGCCAGAAAAGCTTGATGACATATGAAAATTCAATTCTCTTTTTAAATTATTAAAGAAACACTAGTATATTTATTTTGTTTCTCACTATAGATGTTCTACTGTCAACATGCCATAAGTTCTCGATTATGTCGAAGAATGTCGCCTCTACCATAGCCGATTCGTTTATTAGAGATCGCCTTGAAAAACTGCGGACCGATGAATTGTTCATTCAATTGAGAGGTACGCTCTTCTCAAGAAATAATCACTATCACATACAGAGTTATGTCATCGATGTGTATGGGAACGAAGCGGCGAATCCCGATGGAAAACGACGGTGCCTCGCCAATAGAAAATGGCACTGAATGAATGAAGCGCGGCGGACATGAAAAAGGACGAGCGTGGGGCCCGAACGGCGCGGTGTGGGAACCGCGAAAAAAACATACACACATACAATGTCAACACGACGGAGATGGATTGGCGGCGGGTGAACACGCCAAAACCAAAACCTCTCACACCAATTCGCCCCGTTACATGGTTAGGCGTTTTTCGCCATTCATCTTCCTTTTCGCGGCGTGTTCGTGGTTTAACAAATCGACAAGCGGCGTCAGAAGAGGCACAAAAAAACGCAAATGTACAAATAGCCAGTGATCTATGGCTGGATTTCGGATCTGACAAACGAAGGACGGACGACAACACAACGACGGAAATGGCATTCTTTGATGATTCGGAGGGAAAATATGGGTCGGCCAACATTTTGTGAGCTTCATATATTTATATCAAGCTTTTTTTTTTTGAAAATGCAAAAAAAATTGAATCAAGAAAAATTCTAATTAACATATTTAATCGAATTAAAACTTGCTATTTTTGTTTTATTATTTCTTATTTCTTTTCTATTCAAACTCTGGTAACTCAAAACCAATCGGATCCGAAAATATCCAAAAAAACTCAATCGGATCCGACAATTTTATGGACCTATTCATGCAATGAAAAAAATTTTTAAAAATCAATTTTTTTCATTTGAATTCCCTATGCACGCACGTCGAAAATCACAAAAAACTGACGCTATATATCGTAATTCTCCGCTATTTATTTTTGAAGGCGCACGCGAAAAGTTGCGCGGGTCACGTCGCGAAGTCAGTACCGTATTTTTTAATGGGTGTTTTTTTCGGATTTTTTTTTATTTTTCGAGCGTTTAAAACGTTTTCTTTTGGAAATCTGTAAAAGATTACTGTTTAACCAGCGTTAAAGGTTCATCAGAAGCGTCATCGAGCGAAGTCTGCTTCAAATCAACACAAAAATCACAATTTTTCATGATAATTAGCATCTAAATGACGAAACATAGACTTATATTGTCAAATTAGATGTAATTATACCAATAATAATTGTTTTTACTCGTTCTTAGATCTGTTTCTCATTTTCTCTACAAAGTTTTCGAAAAATACGGAAAAATAGCACACAGAATGAAAAATAAAAAATTACAGTACCGACTTCGCGACGTGACCTGCGCAACTTTTCGCGTGCGCCTTTAAAAATAAATAGCGGAGAATTACGATATATCGCGTCAATTTTTTGTAATTTTCGACGTGCGTGAATAGGGAATTCAAATGAAAAAAATTGATTTTTTAAATATTTTTAATTGCATGAATAGGTCCATTAAAATCTTATCCGTAGAATTACCAATCGGGTGATCGGTTTGATTCTGGAGCCAAAATTTATCGGAACTTACCAGAGAAGGTGAGCAGCCTAACGAAATAAAAAAAACGTTGAAACTAGAAAAGTAATCGAACAAATATATTGTTTCCCAAAAAATAGCGGATACCAGAATTATTCGCTTCAAGACCCATATACGGTAAAATTTAGCGGGACCCGCGCGGGTAAAGCCGCATTTGGTGGGGGCCACGCGGGTGAAGTTGGCAGCACCTTCGCTGGTAGCTCTCGGGACCCGACAGTGACCGTCCAGAAGGGGCCGCGCGGGTCTCGCCATAGACAGAATGACTAGCTTTATAAAAATAGGTATTTATTGTAAAAAAAAAATAAACAGAACACATACTTAACATTATGAAATAATCAATTTTCTGAAAACGAAATATTGAGTGAAAAGCAAAGGAAAGTGAAACTTACTGTATGGAGTCGACCTCCTCTTGGTTCTTCTCCATCATGACCTTCTTCCATTTACTCCAACGTATATGGCCATCTTTGTGGTCGCCGTTCTATAAAATTATTTCGGTCGGTTAAAGCGTAAACAAAATGTATAAAATTTCATACCTTGCAACTGATTAACCTTTTGTTGCCGACATCGTAACTATATTCACGTATATACGTCCTAAAAAAATATGGAATGCAACTAATGAAAATGAACATACAATGTATTGGTAATCATTTCGTTAAAACGGCGCTTCAGCTTCATTCGATGTACCATCCGATTTTCGAGTTCGTTTCGTCTTTCTTCATTATTATCTCCGAAAATGAGGAAAAATGGCGCGCTTGTATCGCAATTATTGTTTGACAAAAAATCCGGCGGCACATGTAGATCGACGATGTCTTACAAGAATTCTGCGTTTTTATAATAAATGTTCTATACATTATAAGTGACTAGAAATACCGATTATAGAAGAAGTAATTTAATAGGGAAACCGCTCCAACGAAAATGCACGAGCCGATTTTGTATTTGATTTTTGATTGGGTGTATATGAGTATAACCAAATCAGTGGAGCTGGCATCGTTGCCTAGAATAATTCGAAGTAGATGAAAGAACTGTTTAAATACTCACTTTTATAATTTCGAGTAAACGTCGCGCCCAGTTGGCTGGAACGTTTCATATAAGTCGTTCAAATGTTGTTGCTGAAATAAATCGTCAATATTGCATCGAAAAGTTTAAAATTTTAAATTGTTGCGCTTCTTTCGTCTATTAGGTGGTCAGATGGTAGTTCACGAATATAACTATACTCGTGGTTAGGCCTGTCAATTTGCTCGGTCTTTTAGGCGATTTTTAGCAGAATGGCCATGAACAACATAAAACTAGGCCGATTTATCGGTACTTGTTGGATATGCGAAAAAACTAGCACCCTGTGCCGATTTTTAAAAAATCTCAAATTTGAATTACCGGCCCGTAAAAAACGATGGTCCACGATTAATCAGGGTGCTTGTTATTTTTGCAATGGTAATACAGTACTCCACATAACTATATATATATATATATATATATAACTCGAAGCGTTTTTTTTTCGATTTTTTCTATTCTGCGATGTCTGACACATCGGTTGAGACGATAGAAAACATATAATGAAAGTACAATAGCATACCTCGAACGGATCATCGGAATTTATAAAATTTTGAGTTTTCAAATAACTCTGACTCAAGTCCAGCTCGGAAGTCGAGTGGTCGCATACGCTCACTTTCTGCTCGTTGTTATCGCCGGCATTAATCGTTTGCGCTAAAACGTTGAATTCAAAATGAGACATATTCCTATTGATCCCAATTGTGTCCTGGCCGTCTTTTCGGCCTCGTTTGACATTATATAACTCGGCAAATGTCAAGTGACTCATGCTGTTTGATTTGACTTCTTTTTTAATCTTTGCAAAATTGTTGACTCTTGTTGATTTTGTCTCATTAGCTACCGGCGCATTCTGTTAAATTGCTCACCAAATTCCAGTTCGCCTGCTTCTTCTAATCCAGATCGAAGCATATCGCCTTCGCCTTCTTCATGGCGATCTTCGTTCTTCTTTTCTCGTATTTTGTTAGCTATAACAATTAGAAAGTCTTAACGTTCAACATTTCATAACAAAAATACCTTTTTTTCGCGTAGTCTTCCTTGACGTCCTCTTGCTAACCGACAGATCTTGTCTGAAACCATCAGCGGTTTCCTACTTTATATCAAACGTACTTATATCTTCTCTATTGCTATCGCTTCATTTTCTTCCTTGAAAATCTACTGAAATAAACATTTTTTAACGGGAATCACGTGAGAAGTCCTCTAAATATAATAATAAATTACAACTTTTTTCCTGAGAACAACACAATAAAACCGAAAAAACCAACAACAAAAACGATAAAGAAAAAAATCGTTTTCCAATAATGTGAAAACGCGCCATGCAGGGGAAACGCGTCAACAATCTTAACGTTGGCGCGTTTTCTAACATCCGTTTTCTTACCAAAACTCATCCACTAATCAGTTCCGCAGAAGCGGTCACCCGCGAGGCCCCCGCCGCCCTTGAACAAATTTTTCCATGGAAAGTCCCCCACGCGGGTGCCGCGAGTCAGCGGGCCACGCGCGAGGGTGACTTTTTGCTTGCGGCCCCCACGCGGGTCCCGCACAGCCCATTTTAAAGGCGCTGTTCCCGCGAAATTTTACCGAGTAGATCAGACGAGTTGCGATGAGAAGCGCACGCGAACCGCAACGCGTTTGGCGACGTAGAATAACTACACATAGCCGCTTTTTTGCGATAAATATATACGTATAAAAATGAAAGAAACGACAATTATATGTTATTTCGTTGAAGCTGAGAAAAACTATCGCGATGTCAACAGTATGAATATTGTCGTCAAATAAAATGCATAAGTCCGCAATACCATTTTTAGCTTTATTTCACATTTTAACATTCCTGTTCTTTACAGCAGGTCTGAATACGTGTTTGAATTGAAAAACCGGAAATTGAAGCACGTATTTCCATAAATGAACATGTCACGTGTTTACACCTAATGCATTTTATTCGACGATTTGGCAACGTGGATATTCCACGTGTTCGAGCATTTTGCCAAAAAAAACAATAGACAAAGGTCTGGCCAATGTTCATTGACTCATACTTTTTGACTTGGCTCATGATTTTTGACTCATAAAAATTGTATCATGATTTTTTATTCTTTTACTCATGATTTTTGACTAGTGATTTTTGACTAATTTTTTTGACTAACAATTTTTGACTAATGATTTTCTGAATTTTTTTAGTTGAGATTCCTGCAGTTTTTCCAGTATTCAATTCTGTTTTTTTTGGCCAATATTGATGGGTAAGAAGCTGAAGGGTGGGAGGAATTGGGAGAAATGTTATTACTGAATGGGGGAAAGATTATTACTGAAAGGGGAGCCTGTTTTAAAACGGCATAATTTTCGATTTCTCATCAAAATTCAGGAAAAACGGTATATTCAAAAAATAAGACATTGTTATACTGTGAGAAGTTTTTTGAAGGCTGTTTTGTTAGAAGTACCATTTTGATAAAGGTTTAGGTTTTTTTTATAATGATCTATCGAAAATTTCAATGATTGATTAATTTTAAAAGTTTTTAATAATTTTTTTGAATATACCGTTTTTCCTGAATTTTGATGAGAAATCGAAAATTATGCCGTTTTAAAAAAAGCCTGACCGAATAAGCTAAAATAATTTGCAAAATAAATCAATAAAAAATCACTTATCGCGTTATTCCATCCATTTCCCTCCTTTATTCACGCTCAATAATAAATGTTATCGAATAAAAACTGTGTTTAGTTGTTTTCATTAAACTAACGAAGACTACTAAAAATATCAAATCATACATACCATTTGGCCCACTACGGATATTCGTTTAATTTTACAGTCGATTCCTTCGGTGGACCCGCTTAGCTGGGATTAAGCTTCTCATTGAAATCGATAAGCGATGAAATGCCAAAAAAAACAATTTTTTATGCTTACAGAAGTTAAAAGAACTTTTTTCCTTTCACTAATAATCTTTCCCCCATTCAGTAATAACATTTCTCCCAATTCCTCTCACCCTTCAGCTTCTTACCCATCAATATTGGCCAAAAAAACAGAATTGAATACTGAAAAAACTGCAGGAATCTCAACTAAAAAAATTCAGAAAATCATTAGTCAAAAATTGTTAGTCAAAAAAATTAGTCAAAAATCACTAGTCAAAAATCATGAGTAAAAGAATAAAAAATCATGATACAATTTTTATGAGTCAAAAATCATGAGCCAAGTCAAAAAGTATGAGTCAATGAACATTGGCCCAAAGGTCTTGGCGCAAAATTCGAAGTGTTGATTTACGGGCTGTGCATAATAGTAGCTTAAAGGCGCAAACCGCGCACTACGACCTTATCTAATTTATTTTTGGCATTTCGTCAATTTTCCTCATTCGTCTACAATATTTTCTACTTTTCTTTTTCTCGCTTTGAATGTTCTATTTGTCATGTTCGCTCGTTCAAGCCTTTCGAAAAATTGTATATTTTATTATAAATTTCATTACAAAAATTCATACTTGAATGCATTTTCAGAATTGATAATTTCCCGCATGAATTATTCTAAAAACGTCTATCATTAAAAATATTGAGACATATTTCGTAGCAATTTATTCAAAATAAGTTTAAAAAAATAAATGGGGAATGTTAGAACAAGTATATAGATGTTAATTTTCAGATTTCTGCTCTTCGGCTCCCTTTTTCCGAAATGCAAATACGAGATACATTGAGACAGCTTCCCATTCAGATTTTGATAATGTTCCCTTAATATGAAAATGAGATATTCGCAATTTAAACCAAATAATACCACATATTTTTGTTCGGCTTCTTGAAGAGATTCGAGTTTTTCTTTTGCAGCATTATAATCTTCAGGTTTTCCGGATAATTTCTTATGTTCTGGAGCTGGGTAGGTTTCCAATCCCTATATTTGGTAAATGTTCGTTAAATGTGTGGAGATTTATGAAAATTACCTGCATATTTTCGATAAGAGAACGGCCTTTCTCCATATATTGTTCAACAGCCTCATCAAAATTTTTCACGTACAGCAATTCCATATCCATTTCTTCAAGAAGTCTACAACAAAATTGTCAGTGATTCTCTAGTGTGAAAAATGTTACTTTTTAACAAGTGGGAAATAGGCGAGAAACTCTGGACAATTGACTTGCGAATCCAAAGTAAAATGAAATTTCGCGCCGAATAATGGGGTTTTTCCTTCATCGAGCTCATCGAGATTTTCATATTTAACTTTTACGACATCATTTTCGAATGTTCCATTCTCTCCACTTCGAACTGCCCACCTGTAAATAAAAACTCAATTGAATTCAAAATAAATTTCTTACATTATACGATCAGCGTCCGGAAGAGTTCCTATAAAAATTCCACCTGGTTTCAGCATTTCCACAGCATTTTTGAGGAAGGTTCGGGCAGATTGCTCATCAACAAATGAATAGTGCATTGCAAACTGGCAACTTGTCAAATCGAATTGTTCTTGGGATGTTATTAATGATTTTATCTCAGTCTAAAAATTATATAGATTACTTTTATACGTGTATTCAGTCATTTATATTGCTCATACAAACGACAAAAAATGTTACCTTTGTACAATCAGCTACATGAAATTCAGCTCGAAACAAGTGTTGCTTGTAACCTTGCATTTGGCCATATCTTTCTTTAGCCTGTTCGATTGAAACATCCGCAATATCTAAATAACAATTCTTCAAACTCCTCACACTTGCTAATACATACCAACCATAACAACTTCCTTGGCCTTCGCGATATCCCATTTTCTAAGATCGCCTCCTTTTCCGCACGCAATGTCGAGTATTCTAGGATGATGTATACCAATTTCTTTTAGTCTGTTTGTCGCATCATCTGAGTAAACTGTTTAATGAAAAAAGCACACAACAATTACTTACTAATTAATTGACTTTTTATCCAGTTATTGAAATTTCTGAGATAGAAAATTCGGCTTTTCGTTCTCAGTTGTATTCCTGTTTGTTTTACATTATTATAATGTTCAGCAACCACTGACGAACTCATCTTTTCTGAAAATACGCGTTCTTTTTTTTATTCGAAAATTCAGCCTCTTTCGATGATGCATTGGCGCGCTATTGACATGACCGTGAAATTTTCTAGGCCGCCAGCCAGCTACAATATTTATAAAATATTTTAATCAGTTTATAAAAAACAAAAACTGCACTTTCCAGTAATAATGTCGAGCGGATTCGTTTCATCCAAAGAAATTGAAGAAGAACGAAAAATTCGACAAGATGAATGGGAAAAAGTTAGAAAACCCGATGATTCATTAGGTAATTATAAAAGATTTTGATTAAAAATTAGTTAATTATGTTTAGTTGCTCCTGAACCGGAAATCTGCAATCAAACACTTTTTGAGCAACTGCGGAACAACAGAGAAGCAAAGCAAGCGGAACTTGAAGAAGCAAAAAAATTCAGTTGGTCTTTAAGGTAATGTGAAACATACCTTTTGTTATTTAGAAAACATGATCCGTGGAATTGACGAAGATGAAAGCGAATTTCTTGCACAAATTGATAATCAAAAGTCAGAAGCCGATAAGCTGAAAAAATTGGTTATTGTAAAAGGTTGGCAACTACTAATTTTAATTTTTTTAGGAAGAACAAGAAATGCTCAAGGAAATGGCGAAAACAAGAAGTGCAGCGAATGCTGTCGCTGCGAAAATCTCTTTGAAACCCTCCACCTCTGGCACCTCGGGAACAGTTCAAAAGTCCAAACAGGCATCAATTTTAACTTCCGCCATCAAAAGAAAATCGACGTCATTTATTTTTTTTTAAATTAGGTATTGATTAGCATGATTTCAGTAGCACAGAAGAGCGAAATGACACAAAATCATTGAAAGTTGATGAGCCTGCAATGAAATTGGCTGGAACAATTCAAGGAATTATCGATTATGAACCGTCCAGGTGTGTCATATTGCAGTTTTTCTCAATTTAAAATGTATCTCTTTCTATTTGATCAACTCATTTGTTTTCATATTCTAAAACAATTGGAGAAAAACTCCCACAATAAGCTCAAAATTCCTTTAAAAAAATATCATAGAAACTAAATAAGAAATAAAAAAGAACGAAAATTCTAGGCATAATCCTATTCTAATCATCTAGTTAATTCTTGGCATAACCAAATTCTTTTTGGCAACAAATTTTCCAAAACGAATAATGAAGTGACTTTAATTTAATTATTACTCTAACCACTTAAATAAAATTTCCAGCGATAGCGAATCTTCCGACTCATCCGATGATGACACATCGCTCCCAGTTCTGCGCACAACACAAAAAGTAAAGAAACAAGACGATTGTAGCGAGTAATGATCTCTAATTGCATAAACCAACAGTATTTATTGAAATATTTGTAACAATTTAATTTACAGTGATTTTTACCCGAATTTCTCCAAAAATTAAAGCTAATTGGTGAAGTATTATGAATGTCCTAGAATTGCCTCAATCGTAAATGATTTGATTCCCTGCGATGGGACAGGTGGCGGTTGAAGCACGCTGGGTAGAAATGTGGCGAACAACGGAGCCTCCTCGTGTGGTAGCTCATCTTCGGATGAATCGTCCTCGTCTACACTGAGCCCCATATGTCGTCGAACTTTACGTTGAGCACGACGACGTCGGAAGTCACCTCGCTCGAAATCGCGCACACATGCTGGGTGCACGGCCCAATAATGACCCTAAATATTCAAATTTGATTCGACGAACACTCATTTGATTAGGAACCTTTCCGTTCGCGGCTCTTCCGGCTTTCACAAAACAATCATTAAGCGAAAGATTGTGACGAATCGAGTTGCGCCATCCGGCTCCGCGTGTTCGAAAATATGGATATTCATTCATTATCCATTCATAGACCTTGAAAAATCTTGATTCTTCAACACTAAAAAATAATACATTTTTCCTAGCACAAGATTTTACCAGTAACGACCAACATTTCGAGATACATTCTTAGGCATTCTTTAGTACTATGCCGAATTTAATAATTAGAAAAAAAAGAATGAAAGCTAATTCCGGCCTTGAAATTGAATGTCAGTGTTCAAAAAATCATAAAATTCTGTCTATGAGATTGGAAAATTTGCGATAATATCGATAACGGTACAGAGATATAACGAAATCATGGAAATCTTGAAGCGAATTGAATTTCCGCATCTTAGAATACATACATATACAATTTACCCTAGCAAATCATATTGAACTAGCAGCACTTTTGACGAAATGTACAAACCTCGGAAAGGACCATTTTTCTTTGTGGAGACGATAGTATCGCCATCGCGATCAATCCAATGTAAGAATGTTGCGGTTTCGGTTGTTGCGTTTGCTGCGAATCGCCATTCGAGTCACTTATAGACAATATAGGATACGTTTTAAACGGGGGTGATTCACCTAATAACTGTCTCATTAGTTCCTCCATTCCACCTAAAATCGTACTTTATAAAATGTATAAGTATAGTTGTCATGGAATAGTTTTTTTTTTCTGCCGGCTCAATACGTAAATCTATCATTTGAATAGGAAACAATTTGAGACAACCTGCCGAGAAAGACAAAACGCTTGATAAACAGGAAAAATAAGAGTTTTCCGGTTCGGGCGGAGTTATTATACGATTGTTTGCCAATGGATGTTAGAAGGAAATCGGACCAAAGAGCTCAAAAAAGTATAAAACTTTTTTTATTCCTTCAAAGAGTTTAAATATTTTATATATTTGAGTTGTGGTTTATATGGTCTCATTGGCGGCGGACATCATAATCAAACCTATTGCACCATTTATGGTGCGACAAACAATTTTATGTGGGCTAATGAGTATCAAAGAGACACAGCTGTGTGTGAACATGTAAATCAAAAATTTTTGAATCGTCTTCACTAAAAGTAATGAGCAAAATAAATTGTTTAATAAAAATAATATGAAAAATTATGAGGATAATTACGATAAAATTAAAATGAGAAATTCATTTTTAAATCCACAGGGAGTTTTTCGATTTTATTACAATGTCCCTAAACTCTAGCCATATATGGTCAATGTTCATTATTCGTCTATGACTTGACTCAGACTTTTTGACTAAGAATTGTTTCACTCGTGGGTTTGTATAATCTTCTTTCAAATTGGATTGGGTTTAAAAATTTTAACAGAAATTAATATAGTCTTACATTCTATGTATACCCATTTTTCAGACTGTCAAATGGGTCCTGCCTTTTTGTTTTCATTCTGAAAGAATAGAATGTTTGTTTAAATTAAGAGTAAGCCTAGTTAAGTTAAATCGGGATCTTAAATTGATTTTTCTTGAATATTTCGTTTTTTTTTTGATATTCGTAAAGCTCTTGTTAAAAATTAATTTGGTCCTAATTGATTACTGCGTTCCAAACTTAGATCCCATTTGAAATTGACCGAAAAATGTTGATAGAATGTACGTATCTTTCTGTTTAAATTCTCAAAACACAAATCGAATTGTAGGACGATGATTTTGATTGTTTATGATTCGACGTCTTTCAACGACTATAATTAGAAGGAATATTAAACAAAAACCATGAGTCAAGCAATTTTGAATCAAAACCCCTGGGTTAAATGAGTCTTATGAACTAAAACCGCTAAGCCACTTTTTGAGTTAAGTAAGTGGCTCATTCCGTGATTTTTTGAATGTAGAAAATAAGTGACAAAATTGGATATTAATATAAAAATGGGAAAACATTGAAATAAACCGCAGTCAATGATCACAAGCTCTCAATCTCTCATATTCAGTTGAAGATTCATGTGTTCGTTTTAATTAATGAGAGATTATATCCTTTTATTTCTATTCATATTATTCCCACGAGTTCGTCCTCAATGAACCTAAATTATTTATTCAATATTAACTAATTAAACAATGCATTTTCAGGAAGGTTGGTTTTGAATAAACGACACAATTAAAAAAAAATCCCGAAATGAGTGGGTGTGAATCGAATATGAATGATTTGTGCATAATTTTAACAAATCGCTTAATTGATCGGCAATTAATGCTAAATTGATCAACTGTATCGCAATTTCGCTGAATAGTTAATAAATTTTGCAAGTGTCGCCAAGTTTTGACTACGGTAGGTGCGATGAGCAAAGTTGGAAAACACGACAAACGTTTTGAGCTTCAACTCGGCTCGCGACACAATGGGACGTCGTCGTTGTTCAGAAACGCAATTAACTAGCAATGGAATACGGTAAGTGTGGTGAATTGTGTGCGCAAATCAGATTGCGTGGCTCTCCGCTGCTCGTCGTTGTCGCCGCCGTAGCACCTCGTTTTATGAACATGTGTGTCTTTCTGCGATTGTTTGATGCGCCAAATTGTCCACTTATCGTGTGAATAGCAACTCAAATTTTGTGCCATTCGCGTGATTCTCCGAATTTGAGTTTCTTTGTCAAACTCGAGTTTTTTTCAACAATAACAACTCACATTTGCTTCGAAAAGAACGTTTTTAATATAAATTAAGCAACAACAGAATTGATTATTCAGATAAAGAAGAAAACGAGATTTTCGAAAACATGAGATAGTAATTTGATGTTCCCTTGGTAAAACATTAAATGATTAAATATTAAACATATTCGACATTGATAACTCTTCCTTCAACTGTTGTTCCAAACAAAGCAGTACGAGCGCGCTCGGCATCCTGAAATCAATATTTCCAGAAAAAAAAAACTTTTTAAGCTTAGTAATAAAATTGAGCAAGTTTAGTATTTTTAACTGACCGGAATATTACTGAAACGAACGCGAGCAGCTCCTGGACTAACGATATCAACAGCTTCAACATCTCCAAATTGGCGAACTCTGTCACGAACGATTTGCCAAGTATAATCATTAGGAAGCTTTAAATTTAAGATTTTTTTAAATACTTTTAAATATAAAACTCTACTTACATTTCGAATTACTATCATTCTCGATGGATGTCCTCCAAATCCAGATGTGTCCGCAGGGAAGGCAGGGCCACCGTATGATTGGTTTCCAAGAACAGATTGGGTGAACGAGTTGGCACTCATTCCGTTACCACCACTGCCGAATCCGCCGCTCATGAAGGGAGCTGATGTGGGCGCCGAGAACTGAAAAAAAAAATTGAAGAAATGTTGCGCATGTCATAAATCTTACCGGTTGCAAGGGTTCTGCAACAGATCCACCTCCGCTACCAAAAACGGCACTAACATTCGCCAAAGGAGCTCCGTCGGCTCCCAATCCCATTCCAATAGAATCTAATCCACGTGGCAAACCACCTTCTTTCTTATCAGTTTCAATCTAAAAAAAAACACTGTGGATTTTTGAAAAATAGATTATCTAACTTTTTCAAACTGATCCATCTTCACAATGAGGCTTCTATCATACAAACGCTGTCCATGAAACATGGAAACGGCTTGGACAGCTTCAATTGGATGCGAGTACTGAATCACGCATGCTCCCTGGAAAATTTCGTTTGATTTAAATTTTCATGAACACGCAATTACCTTAGTTTTTCCTTCCTTGTCTATACGGAAATCAAGCCAAGTAATTTTTCCCGCCATTCCAAAAACTTCATAAATTTTATCGGTTCCAACATTGAAAGCGAGCTAAAATTCAAATTTCTGAATTTATTTTCACTACTTCATGAAGCCACTTATCCGATCTCAAAATTAACTGTTCTTCAGAAATTAAAAAAATATGTGGATACTGTTTCCATTGTCAATAAATTATTATTTTGCAGTAAAAAAGGTCGGTGTCGCGCGACTGCGGAAAGTTGACCAAAAAAAAAGAAACGAAATTTTTTTTACTTTAAATCGCCTTATCTAGTTTTTTGTTATTTTTATACTTTTAAATGTTAGGACTCCATTAATCGATCTTTATACTTAGACTACTAAATACAAATAAGCTTTGCGCCAAGATCACTGTCATCGTTTTTTGGCATTTAGCCAACTTTGCAAAGTTGCGCGACACCAACAATGCACGTTCATTAATTTTAAATCAAAGAACAAACGTCATACTTATCAAGTTTGGTTTTTATATTGAAAAACGATTATTGAAGTCTAAGTGACCCGAGAAGAGAAAATCCCCATAGGATACTATTGATGACGTCAAAGAACCAAATTTTAAAAATTATGGTCTATTTGCCAGGAGTCTCGAGGCAAAGGGACATGCGCGTGTCTGCGTACTCCTTAGCATTAGAGAGTACGCACAGTTCATACCCGCGCGTTTCCTACTTCGTAGATCTACACTGATTTTGTGAATTTTCCTCCACCGATAGGTCGTTTGACGCCGACAATAATTTATACGGAATAAATTTCTTCTCTTATCCTAGAATGTAGGCAGTACTCTAGTTTAAACCCTCTAACCAGAATCGCAAAATGAGCTATTCGAAAAGGCTGAAAACAGCAACATGATGAACTGATTCGAAGAGATTTCACAAATTAAGCACCGTGGGAAAACATTCTTCAAAAAACCTACGTTTGCGACAAATATTCTCTCACAGAGGGGAGGTTCGATGTTGAGCTGACGCAAGAAATCCATGTTGAGACCGAACAATTCATAAGTTCCACTTCTGCCGCAATAAGAGAAGATATTTTTTAAAAGAGCAACAAAAAGGAGAAGAGCAACAGTTGACACATCTAAAAAATTTTCTCACCTCGCCGCACGTTCAATAGGCTCTTTTCCGGATCGCGGCGCACCACCGCCTCCGGTTCGAGCCAAATAATCGATTCCAGTCTCATTTTTGATTCCGCGGAAGAAAGCAACAGGGTCCTGCGAAAAAACAAATTCCAATAAAAACTACACAGGAAAATAGCGCGAACGGCTCAAACGACGGACCCTGATTTCTTTCACGATAAGACTGCGTCCTTTGAACTCAAATTTCGACAAATTCGTAACACAATTCTCGGCAGAAGCTCTCGTTTCAAACTCAACAACGGCGTTTCCTTTTGGTTTTCCGTTGCGATCTTCAAGCAACTCGACGAACACCACCTGAAGGACAAGAAACCAAATAAGGAAGCAGCCCGATTGAATGAACCTCTCCTCCCTTCTCTCTGACAAGATTTTTCAGTTCAACCCAGCGCACTTCATACGGAATATTCGTAATAAACACCATTCTATCGTTTCCCGACGCACCGCCGACTGGTCGATCTTAAATACGAACGTCAGCTCCAGGAATGAGAAGAAATGATTGTCAATAATCATTTGGAAAGAAAACTAATTACTTCTGCGGGGACTTCTCGATCGGCTCCTCTTTTCCCGCTTAACGTCACGACGACCTCCTCTATTCATTTCCTGGAAAGTAAATTCAAAATATACGAACAAAATTGAAACCAAAACAAGAGCGGAAATCCAGCCGTTGCTAAGCAACCACTATTTCGTTTAAACCAATAACTAATGAGTACATCGCTTAATTCAGAAAAAAAACAATAAATTATACACTTAAAAAGAAAGAAACAAAGCTAAAAGATAACAAAACATTAAGACCTAAAACTCGCAGAAGTTTAAATTATTTTGAAATATTGGCAATATCTTGAGAACTTACAAATCAACTATTAACAACAAAACATTATTTTCATACTGATAACTTACACGCTTTTCGCGATATTAAACTAAATTCGAAATTTTGACGCAAGATAGACATAAAAATTCGAAAAACGCGTCTTTTGAAAATGGGTCCTCTGTGCGTCTCGTGTTTGCGTACGGAACATCACATCTCACGACAGTGCGTAAATGAAAACGCCAAATTATTGTCGCGCAGGAACTCGTTTTTCAGGAAATTCTGCGCATTTGCTCAATTCTTATCCAATTTGTTCACTATTTTGCAAAATTAGTGTCGGTTTGTGTGTGATTCGTACTAATTCGTTTGGCTGATCTTTGTTTTAAACTACTCCAAAATTCTTTGAATTTTAGGATCAACTTTGAAATTTTTTATTTCTTTCTCTATTGATGTCTTATAATTTGAAAATTGACTAACACACTTGACATCATTATTGTTGTGTGGCAACACGTCGTTTTATCGCAACAATATAAAAGTTAATAATGTCAATCAGGCGCTTATCGTCCTCTTCTTCCATAGAATTTTGCGATATGCTATTTTATTATAACTATTATTTCACGTTTTTTTGCAAAAACGCTGCAGACCGATATGAGCCTCATGTTTTATCGTTGGAAATCCCTAAAAAATCGATTGCATATATTCCCGTGGCAACCAAATATCGGGTGGCTACGCGCATTTTTCGAAATTGCGTGCGCCTGCAGATGAAAACATTCCTCTCCCATTGTTTGCCTTCCATGTCTATGCTCGCCTTTTCCACGATACTTTTTCGACTTTGGAAGTGCATGCACTTTTCGTTCGCTTTTCCTGACCCCTCCAGCAGCCATTCTTTGTGCGTATAAACTTTAAAGAACAGAACCACATTGTTGTCCGAATACTTGTAGTTTGTGGCAAGTTTTTCTAGTTTTTGCGAATCAAAATGTTTGAAAACAGCGCCGTGAAAGCTCGAGAAAACGAGAATTCTATTCACTAATCGTCCTTTATTGTTAATATATTCATGTTTATCGAAAACACGTTCCCATAGATACGATTAATGTGTTATTCTCCAACCGATTGTTTCTAAATTTCGATGTGTTTTGAATAACTATTGTCAAATTAACTTTTTTTTAAAATTTTTTATCCGCGAGTATTTTCTCGAAATTCTCAATATTTGACGTTGATCCAGGAATTCAAAACCCTTCACTACGCTCTTAAGTGTTTATTTGACTTGTCACATTTTCAAAAAATCTTTTTGCTCAGTAATTTCGAACTTTTGGTTTTTATATGTGTTTTTTTCAGATGGGTGTAGGAACTGAAGAGAAGAAACCTCTTCTCGTCCATCTTAATGGGGAGTTGTATGATATCGCAAATTTTGCGAACAAGCATCCTGGAGGTGCGAAGGTAGAAAAAGCAGACAGATTGAATTCGAATGCTATTCAAAATGTTCTAGGTTCTCAATCGACTTGCAGGAGAAGAAATCGGCGAATATATTCGAGGAGAAAAGCGAATAATGGGAGTTAGGCATGAACATTCCGAAGCGGCATATAATATGCTTGAACGATATAATGTGCGAAAAATTCAAAAAGTATTATTTTTTTATTTATCTTACGACGAATAACTTGAATTTAAAGGGAGACCCTTTAATAGACACAAAACAAGGAATTTTGTTTAAAATTTCTACTTTAAAAGGAGATTATTGGAATTGGATTCACCAGCCATATGACGGATCTTTGAGGTAAATTAATAATATTTTAAATTGAACGTTTCATAAATAGTTTAGACTATTTGATTCACAATTTCTTGAAAGTTTGACAAGAACGAGCTGGTGGGTTGTCCCTGCTGTCTGGGTTCCAGCTGTTGCTCTTTTCTCTATTTTATCTGTAATTTCGTTTGCCAATACCATGGGTAAAGATCGTTCCCGTTTGTTTCATTTTCTTACGTCTTAGTTCATAGATCTTTACCATGCTGTGATATTGTGGTCGTTTTGGTTCGTTGTCGGAATTTTGACATGGACTCTCACTGAATATTCATTACATCGATGGGTTTTTCACTGGGTGCCCGACGCAGAATCGCCAAATCAAATTTTACTACATTTTCTCTTACATGGTAATCTTTTAATTCTATAACTTCAATAATACTTTGTCTTCTAATTTTGGAAATTTCATGTTACCTGTGTTTTCTAGTAATTATTGTGTGTAGCATTTATGTAATAATGGAATCTCTAGAGTATTTGCAGTGACATTTTCCGAATGCCATCTTTTATATGTATATTGCCGAAGTCGCGCGACTGCGGAAAATTGGCTAATTGCTAAAGAAAAATTGCAGTCTTGCGCAAAGTAAAAATGTAGATTTAACGTCACAAGTAAAAGAGTAAACAAAAAGATTAAAAAAATAGTACTTCTTGATACCTGAAAGATCAACACGAGGCAGTCAAAAATATTTCAGGCCTGCATCATAAAACTCCAATGGACGGAGATCGTCTAGTCTTTCCTCCGGTCCCTGCAGCCATCATTGTGTCATTCTTTTATCTGATTTACAGTAACATATTCCAATGGTAAAAAATTTTTGAATGCCAACAATTTCGAGTTTTTTCAGGCCCGTTTTCTGCGCGTTCGGAAGCGGAAAACTTTTTGGATACGTCTTGTACGATGTTATTCACTACTACTTGCACCATGGAAACCCACGACCCTTAACAAATTTGCATTATCGTAAGGTCTATCATCATAATCACCATTTCAAGAACTTCGACGTTGGTATGTTATCGATGGGGAAAACAATTTTTCTAAAATTACGAATTTCACAGGTTTCGGAATCTCCACAAATTTATGGGACTACGTCTTTCACACACTTGGAATGGGACCACTTTGAAGTACATTATAAAGGAATTTTTATACTTATCGAATCTCCCTTACTAATATTGACAAATATTGTGTATAGTTTTTGACTTTGTAGAAATTGTGATCGTTTAGAGATTCATTATTCTATTAGTACCTCTATTATAATCGTCTTCTTACTGGTTTTGACTGCAATCTGCTGTTGTGATACACAACATTCTACCCAAAGTACCGATCTTCGCTTTCAATAAATAATTTATTTTTTGCTTCATATTTCTTTCACGATTTACGTATTTTGTTTAATCAATGTTATACCAGTTTATAGTTTCAATCATTTCTTGTTTTATAGTTTGCAATTTCAGAACTTCTTGCTATATCATGTTCCTTAGATATTACTTGAACGAGAAAAGCCAGCGCGTTTACACTCTCAAGGTGAGTATAAATTAAAACGAGTTGGTACGAGAAATGGAATGAAAAGCTCATGTGAATAATTATCACATCACCTTTTCCTCAATTTGATTATGGATCTATCATGAAATGAAAAACACGTTTTAAAAATTACTTTATTTTGCATTTCTTTACATTCGTCCATTGGAAAAATTAGAATTTTTTAAAGCATTTATTTATTGCATGATTAGATCTATCAAAAATTGAAATTGTATTAAAATCCTGGGTTGAAATTGAGTTCACAATAGTTATTTTTGTAAGTAAATAAAATGGCCGAAGAATTTGTCGGCCATGCAATAATTTTCGGTCGGCGCAAAATTTTTCAAAAAAAACAAATGTTTTGTTTGTCCGTTTCAGAGAACTTCTCCAACTGGTGAGCAGACTTTGACCGCTCACCCAGCCCGTTTCTCGCCGGAAGACAAGAACAGCAAATACCGTGTGATCATCAAGAAACGTTTCGGATTGTTGCCGACTCAGCAGGCAAAAGCCGTGTGCTAAAACAATGTTGTTTTGGGAGTGGCGGCGAATATTTCGCCAAAAACTCCGTTCTTTTACTCCAAACAAGCCTCTCAATTATCAACAGGTTAGGTTTTCATGAATAAATAAGAAACAAATATGAACCCTTCAATTTGAAGAATTAAATTTTAGACGGTCATTAAGATTATTAATTATAAATATTTGAGTGGTCTCGGCGTCGTCTTATTGTTTCATTTGTTCTTTTCTTTGTTGGTTGGAAAGCATTTGGTTATACACTCAATGATATGCTCCTTTGGACTGTCGATGAGTCAACTCTTCAAGGTCGCTTTTTAACACCAAAAGAGGGCAAAGAACGAAGGTATGCTTCGACTGTTCGAATTGGGAAATAAAAATTAACTCCAGAGAAATAATGGAACGACAAAGAGATCCTCGTTTCAAACCGCTCTCTCCACCTTCTGCTAAATTTGATCTTGATGATGACTAGCTTTGTTCTGTTTTTGTTTTTATTTTTCCTTTATTTTGTTGTTTTGTGTCCATTTGATTGTTGTTGAATGAATATTTTGCGTTGAATTTTTGCCTATTTGCCACTGAAACTCATTTGCTTTTCTTTAAGCACCTTAGTATTGATTAGAATAGTAAGAAAAAAAAACGTATTTTTGAGAGACTTTTAGATTGAATGAGTTTGCCTTTCTCTGATCATTCTTTTGAGTTTCAAGGACGTCAGATTCATTTTTCCATTACAAATCACGCTGATCAGGATTTTGTGGTAAAAATTGGTTGATTCAGAATATTACTGAAAAATAGATGAAAAAATGTATTAAATGGAAAGCAAATTGTAACCACGTGAATGTAAGAAGATGATTTGATTTCTGCAATAAAATTTCAAAACGATAACGAATGTTGATATGTGCGCACTGGAAAAATTGTGGTCCGATATAAAAATTGCCATGGACGGACGAATTTGAGAAATTTGAATTTTAATTTGTCCCGCACAACAAAATCGTCTCATACTTCGCCATTCGGCACTTATGATAATAACCAAAGTACTTAAAAAAAACATTAAAGTTATGCTCTTTCATATTATGATAGTTAGAAAACATAAAAATCGCTACTAAAAGTTTTCCATACGAGACTCAAGGCGGCAATTCAAACAATAAAGCAAAAGCACCCCAAATTCGTCCGTCGTTATATTAAATACGAGCACATAATAAAAACAAGATAGCAATAATTTCAAAATGTGCATGCTTTTGAAATATTTGGAGGGAAAAACTTAAAGATTTTGAACAATTTTAAGTTTTATGATTTTTTAAGGCATTCAATAGTACTGGTCGAATCGGTCTTGTGGTCGAGGTTATCCAGCCTCCGGAAATTCTGAGTCAAGCCTTAGCGTCTCAGGAAAGAGTCGAATACGAGCTTAAATATCTTCTTGGAAGCACTGATATTGTAAGAATTGAATCAATTTATACAAATATTGTCGGCGTCACACGACTGCGGAAAATTGGCTAAATGCCAAAAAATAAAAAAGAGGTGACGGTGCGCAGTGTGCACCTTTAATGCATAGTCACGTAAATCTACAATTTAAATTTTGCGCCAAGACCATTAACATTATCTTTCTGGCATTTTGCCATTTTTCCGGAGACGCGCGACACCGACAATAATGGAATATTAAGCCTGGAATCGAGTTATTCATTCGCCGACTCGTGATTCATTTCGCAAAACACAACAGTCGCAGAAAGCTTTTGATTGCGTTCGGTGTCGAACTCGATGGCATACCAAACGAATGCATTGCGGAGGCTATATCGAAACTCGAATTATCAAAAAATGTATGATTTTCTTCATTATATCAGACGTCACTTTACGTTTTCAGTAGATATTATTCAAACGATCAAAAAAAGAAGAAATCAGTGTTCCTTCCGAAATCCGACTTTGTGAATCATATCAAATCCACCGAACGCGCTCTCTCTGATCAGACAGCGGCCATTAATGGCGGACTCGACAATCTATATTCATGGCAGATATCCCAAACCTCTCGACCCGATTTCGAGATTCTCGATGGTCCTCCGTATGCAAATGGAGAAGCTCACACCGGTCATGCAATCAATAAAATTCTCAAAGACTTTGTCGTGAAAAGTCGAGTTGGACTCGGTTTTCGTGTCAAATTCCGACCGGGTTGGGATTGTCATGGTTTGCCGATTGAGCTGAAAATCAATAAAAATGTCAAGGTATCCGTATTATTATATCGGGCAAAGTTGTTTGAATGATCGTAGAATGCAAAAACACCGATTGAGATTCGAACAGCAGCAAGGGAGGTGGCAGCCGATGCAATAGGAAAGCAAATGAACGCATTTAGGTTTGAGGAAATAGGAAAACATTGACAAAGGGAAAACTTCAGACGATGGGGAGTCTCTGCAGATTGGTCGAACCCATATTTAACGAAAAGTCGTGGATATGTCGCTGCACAATTGCGCGTTTTCGGAAGACTTGTTCAAAATCGACTAGTTTATCGAGCATTCAAACCCGTTTATTGGTATGGCCCTTCAAATATTTTGAAGTTCATAGTTTTCAGGTCCCCGAGTTCTGCGACAGCCCTTGCCGAGTCCGAATTGGAGTACAATGAGAAGCATCAAAGCACGAGCGCCTATTTTCGATTCAAATTGGACAAAATTGATTTGACTTGCATTGAATGGTTGGAAATACCGCAGGATTCCTTCGAAATATTCGCCTTAGCGTGGACAACAACTCCGTGGACTCTTCCTTTGAATAATGCGATATGTGTGTCGAAAAATATCAAATATTCCATTGTTCAGTTTGTTGGAGAATCAAAGTAATTCTATTAATAATTTCAACTTCATTTTTTTCCACAGAAATTCATACTACATTATTTCTGAAAAATTGCTATCGGAATTCGAAAAAACCACCGAAAGATGTTGTCGAATTGTAGGAGAAATCTCGGGAAATGAATTGATTGGTAAACGATACCATAGTTGCTGGTATATTTATAGATTAGTGAACTATTTGCTATGCTGAAAAATCTTTCAGGGATTCGGAAGAACTTCTTCCGATTCTTGAAGGTGAACATGTGACAGATGCAATTGGAACTGGCTTGGTGCATACCTCTTTTGCTCACGGATTTCAAGATTATGATGTGAGGGCTTTAAATCGCATAATTATTCTTAGAAAAAAATTCATAATTTAGGTAGCTTTGGCTCGCGGTGTTAATGTTGAAAGCTTTGTAAATTCATCTGGCTGCTATTCAAATCAAATGGGTCCATTGAGTGGAAAATTTGTGCTCGGCGAAGGTCAAAAAGAGGCGTTGAAGTAATAATATTGAGTGGAAGAATTCGAACGCCCAAATATTATTCAGAGTTCTTGAGAAAGATGTGATTCATACTTCAAAATTCGTGCATTCGTATCCATACGATTGGAGAACAAAAAAGGTGTGAAATTTATGAGTCTCTGTTTAAATCCGAAATATATTCAGCCAGTGATTATTCGGAGTAGTGAACAGTGGTTCATTAATATCGGCGATGTCGGACATACTGCTTCGGAGATGATTGATCAGATCAATGTTTCTGCGGGAGACACTGATCTTCGCGGTTCACTAAAGAATTTGGTATCGACGAGAAAAGCATGGTGTATTTCACGCCAACGAGTTTGGGGCACACCGATTCCGGCTCTTATTGACTCGGAAGGTATTTGTTCGAAATAAATATTTTGTGTTTAAAACAATGAATGAAGGAAACTCATACACGTCGAGGGAATTCATTGAACACGTTGCTGATTTGATTGAAAACAATGGTCCAGATATTTGGTGGAATGCGACTGTTGATGAGCTACTTACTCCGAACATAACATCGACCCTGAATATTCCAAGACATACCAAACTATCGAAAAACACGGATATTATGGATGTTTGGTTGGATAGTGGACTAGCTTGGGCAGCTGCAAGGAATCCAGAAGACGTGGGAAGACCGGCAGATGTGGTATTGGAAGGCGTCGATCAGTTCAGGGGATGGTTTCAATCGCTTCTTCTTACTTCTGTTGCCGTACAGGTTGCTCCGATAAAGGATAAATAGAATAAGCGAACGGAATTTAGAATAAATTGCCATACAAACGAATAATTGTTCATGGATTCTGTGTGGACGAGAATAACAACAAAATGTCAAAATCGATCGGGAATGTTGTTGATCCTATTATGGTTTGGATTTACTGATTAGAATCGATTTTTTTTTAATATTTTTCAATTTCAGCTTACGGATGGATCATTGAAGCAAAAAGCAATCGGAGCCGATGGTCTTCGATTCTGGGTTGCTCTTTCGGGATCGGAAAATGTGGGAGAATCGAAAATCGGGAAGACAACAATTGAAAACATTGACAAGAAAATCGTGGCGATTCGGAATGGATTTCGATTTATGATTGGTGGAAGCAGCGGTTTCCAATCCGCGCGAATTCCGACTAATCTAAGAATATTGGATCAGGTAAATGATATAATACAGAAATGTTTAAAACAATTGGCAAGTTTTCAAGGAAATGCTAAGAAGTTGCGATGAGTTTGTGAATCGATCAGTTCAAAACTACGAAGAATTCAAATTCCGCACAGTTGCAAATGATTTGGTTCAATTCGTTCAAAGAAACTTCAGCGCCAATTATGTGGTATTTTCAATATAATGAGCCTATTCACATAATTTTCAACAAATTAAAAAAAATTACACAAATTTCAATTCAAGGTTGTAAAAAAATGAACATTGAATGCAATTTTTTAATTTCTTATAAAAATCATTTCGTGAATAGGCCCATAAATATGTAAAAATATAAAATAAGTTTGTGCTTTTTTTCAGAAATATGTCCGTGATCGATTGTATTGCGACAAAATTGGAAGTGAATCTCATTTATCTGCCCAATACACCTTAAACACACTCGCACACAATCTAGCACATGTTATATCTCCAATTCTACCTCATCTCTCCGCAGAAGTTCTGCATTATTTGCCAGGAGAACACGAAAAGAAGGTAGGATGATTTTCGAAAAAACCAATTACAAATGAGAGATTAGAAAAAATAATAATTTTGAATAGTTAAGTGGTCAAATGTGCCTCTTGAAAATAGATTATTGATCTAATTTTCAGATTCTACGATTAAAATTCTCTGAATTAAAATCAGGCATCAATTTTGATCCATTCCTCAGCGAATATATTTCCACAGTCTCGGATGTAAGGAAATTGATTGATATCAAAGCTGGACCATCTGTTGATACGTCTAAAAAGGTATCTTCTAAAAATCTTTCAATCTATCTTAACTTTAATTTCTGAAGGCAGCTCTAATAAGCTTACCCACGCCTTCGTATGACTTACTCAATGATCTGCACGCGAACAATGAGCTTCTTGAACTTCTCAATGTTTCTCAAGTTGATCTTAGCTCCGGCTCTTCTGAAGTTCAAGTAGAAATTGCCGAAAGTGAATTGAAATACTGCGAAAGATGTCGGAAGCATACAAGAAAGGAAAATGAAACGCATTGCGATCGATGTGCATTTGCTTTAAGTTAGTTGTTAGACATTTATTTTCTTTGAATAAATTTTATATACGATATTTATGCACCATATTAAGAGTTGAGTTTGGCTAGATAGTCTACAGCTAAATTTCTAACTGATAAGTCAGGAGATGCTACAATTACAGAGCTAACTGCAGGTATGACATGTTGGGCGATAGATTTGTCAAACTGATCACATACGGATCTCAAAGGAATTGTACAGATATCACGGTAAGCGGCTAATCGAATCTCATCAAAATCTTCCTCTTTATCGCATTGGATTCCGTTTTTGCTGTCAATGTCTTCGAAATTGTGCTGAAACGGATTGCGCCGATCAACAGGTTTGAGACGTTCGCGATGTTTCTCATATTCCGACATGGTCTGATCGACGTATTCTTGCGAAACAAGCTTATACGCATTCTCTTCGTCTTCGACAGGGATCAAATGGAACGACTGAACAATATATTTGATTGAAACTTAAAATCCGAAATACCGAAATTGCATGCTCCCGATATGGCAACGCAGCTCTCCTCGTGCACACTTCAAATTCAATGTCTTTCAAAAATGTGCTGTTTTTCTGAATGTCCTTGATCATTTCATCGAGAAATTCCGATTTGCGATTCTCTCGGTATCTCCGCAATAAACTTTGCGATTTGATCAAATTCGACGAAACGATAATTTTGAGCAAATTCGCATTATCAATTCCAACCATTTTCGAAAGAAGACTTCCCGCTGCTGGTCTTAAATCGAAGTCAATAGCCGTTTCAGAAGAATTCTCAAGAATCGAATAAAGCGCCGAGTAAATCGAATCATCGAATGAAGCGGAGATCGACGTTGAAGATCCAATCAATGAAGAACGGAGTTTTGGCGAAATCATTTCGTCATCACTAATCAAAAGAGAAGCAATGAGTTGGAGAAGAAAACAATGAGTCAGAAGACAGCCAATTACAGAAGGCATTTCTATTCTGAAATAATAATAACTAAATCGTTATAATATGAAGCGGTTTTGAACCTATGGGTTTCTTGGCCATGCGATAACATGAGCAAAGCGGTTCCCGAGTCATATTCAGATTCTTCGACAGCCCGACCGCGTTTTGATGAAAATACCTTTAAATATAATTTTAAAAAATTTCATTCGATTTATTAATGTATACCTGAACTGCTGCAACGAACTGCTGAAATTGAAGTTTAGTCGGATGATACGCGGTTACACTTCCAATATCTCCGTTTTCATCGGTCGATCCTCTTACATAGAATGAATTGATCAGTTTGACATGTCGAAGTGATAATTCTCTGGAAACAAATCGGATTCTATCCAGTTTCGATATATTCGAAACTTACGAGGCTGCCGAAAGAAATGACACAAATATCGACCATTGCTGATTGGTGAGATTATGCGAATTCGAAGCGATCAATGAGAAATATGCCGGTGCGACGGCACACGTTTTATCGAAAAGAATGCATTCGACAATGAGCGCACAAATATCTCGCAATAATCGATCACGCCACGATTCCACTAAAATTTTAGAAAATTTTAAAATCGGCGACAGAGAATAAATCAAAATTCACTTTGTTCAAGATTAATCATATCAATAACTGTTTGAGTGCAGGCGCCAATCACTTGCTTCAAAATCTTTGTCTCTTGTACATCGATTCTTCGAATCCATTTATGGACATATGGTAAAATTACAATCGACATACAAGCTCCCCCACTTTCTGGGCCTAATAAAATAAATATAAATCTCAGAAATTCCAATTTTCAACGCACCAAGACATGTATTTGATATATCGATGAGCAATCTTCCAATCATATCTAATAAATTCTTCTGGGTGATGCTGTTCGATGTGAGCAAGCTTCCGCAAATTTGTTCCACTGAATATTTAATAAAATTGAAATTTTCATCAAACTTATACGAAACTCACTAAATGAGAGGAAAAGTTCAACTGATGCAATCTCATGAGTCTGCTTGTTTATCCATGGAAGAGGTCCGTGAGAAACTGAAAATTATTTGCTTTTAGAGTATTATTTTACAGCATACTTGAAACAGTCGCGGGAACTTTTTCATCAAGTTCAACACAATCGAGACATTTTGATCTTAAGTCGCTTCGATGAAGAATGTGATAGCTGGGACTGTGCGGAGTTTTGTACAGATACAGGATCAGCGAATAGATGGATGGAAGTAGTCGGATTGAAGCAGAAGAAACCTCGTCTCCGGAATATTGAAGCAGATTTACAACACATGGAACACATTCGAGGATGCTCGATGATAATACAGTTCTGAAACATATTCATTTTTCATATGAACCCAACAATGATCAATTACGGAGTATCAATTCTCAAATACGAAGAGATCACGTCGATGGCGCACCAATGAACTTTCTCGACATTACATGCACTAACAGCTTTCAATGAACCGAACAATGGTTTCCATCCTGATCCAATTTTGTCCGCTTGTGATAATACAAGCGAACTGAGAGCGCATAAGAGCTGTTCTTTCGTTTCATCCGAACATGCATCACTACATGAAGCAGTTTGGAATGGAACAATTAGCGTTTGATTGAAGCACAATCCGGCCGATTCATTGACAAGCAGGCGAACAGCGACTTCGGACAGCGCTGATGCGGCAATTCGAGACTCTTGTTCGCATTGACAAACCTAAAATTACAAAAAATGAATATGAGCAATTAAGTGAATTAACAATGGAATTACTTTAACAAAGTGAGATGAAACCAGCGGCCAAATGAACATTTGATGAATGAGTGGTCGATGCGACAAAGTGGAAATGATATCAGAAATCTGGAAATGAAAAAATTCATTCGCAAATTTGTGCCTATTTCTGACCCTGGTTAAGAGAAGAACAGGTGCTGTTAATTGTGTACTCTTTTGAGACGAATAGAAAATTCTGTTTTCACTGGAAGAAATAATTGCGACACACAGATCGAATAGAGCTGGAAGACAAAGTTCGCGGCATACATGCGAGTAGAATCTGAATAGAGACCTTTTCAAAAATATATCAAGTATGGGAACGCACCTGTCAACTTTCGCAATGAGCACACAAATTGCTCGGTTTAGAGAATGAATTGATAATGTTGGCTCATCTCCAAGAGCATTTTCAATCGAACTATCAGCCGCGTTTGTTTTTTCGTGGTCCTTCTCATCTTCTTTCTCTTCGGTTTTTCGCCTCAAAAATTTTAGCCTCGAAGGCTTCTCATAGCACAGTGCACCATAGACATATTTCTCGAGTTCCCATACATATTCGGTACATCTGAATGAGTTCTCGATGGCGATTATGATCGATATGATCGTCATTACCTGATGACATGTTTCCAACACGCGGGAGAGTGAATAGCCATTCTAGCTTCATCGAGGACTAGCTGCATCGCTAGTAGATGTTCACTCGAAGTGCACGTCGATTTTTGCTCATTATCCGGCGCAGTCGCATCGTTTCGAAGGTCTTCCAAACAGCAAGAGGTCTCGACGAGTTGCTCGAATATCCAGCCACATCTTTCTTCGAGACCCAATAATTGCGCAACTGATGCCAAATTTCGCATTCCGCAGATAGTCAAAGATATGGCTTCTCGAATTTTCTCGCGAACTTTTCCCTTTCCTATTATTATCAGAAATTAATAAATAGAGGATCGTGAGGAACCTTTGCACGGTAGGAAAGTGGAAAGAACGTCGATGATAAGTTGCCAAGCAGAACTGGTCATCCATCTTGCCACATTTTTCTCTATAATAAATCGTTTAGTGGAAAAGAATTACTATCATATCTGACTGAATTACCTTCAATTACTTCAAAAATGTCTTGACTTCGATTCTGAATTCGTTTCAGCTTCTCGACATCAGAAAGCAATCGTTTTTCGAACCCATCAAAATCGTTTATGACATCGCGAACAACTGGTGTCAAATATTGCTTGAAATCTGTGGTTTGAAGGCTCTCAAACACCTTTTCCAGCCATCCATGGGATACGTGAATAACACAATTTGCGGTTAGAACAATTCGCTTCATTTCGTTCTAAATATTTGTTTTTACAAAAATGTGCAATACAATTGCATTTACCAAAGTAAATGTATCCCTATGGGCAGAAAAACACAAAGTGGCATAGGTCGTCAAATAGATTGCGTCGGTATTCAAGAATTCCTGTTGAATCTTTGATCGGCTTTTGTAAGCATCTGCATGAACGGAACAGAATTCTGAAGAGGGTTTCGATTAAAGGAGTTGTTTTTGAATTAATCACTTGTATAAAAATCAGACGAAAATTGCAAAATAGCTTCATCAATAGCTAAGGTGCTTTTAAGATTAGAAATATTTTCAATGTTTTCCGCAAAGCTTTGCACAAAACGTTTCGCAGTCGATTTTTCGCTCTAAAAGTTCACTTTTTTAGTTTTTCGCTAGTGAAATAACATACGCTTTCATCGTATTCACTCGATCTCCTATTCGATGCAGAACCAACAGAGGCACTTCCGAATTTCTGTTCAAGACGTCTTAGTTTCTCACTAATTTCCTAAAAACAATATATCAATATGACAAAAGAACTAACAGTAAATCTTACGTCGTTTTCTTCAAAAACGTCTTCAGTAGTATCTACGGACTCAGAATTTCGCTCAGTCTTCCCTTGATTAATGGTAAAACCTTAAAATGGACTTATAATTAAAATATCATAAAATAATCAGACTTACTATTCACAATAGTAGACTCTACTGTGGGTAAAACTTCATTGATCAACTCTCTTTCCTCTTTTGTAAAGAACTTGTGCGAACATAGCTGCTTCATTCCGTCAAGCTGAAACATGATAATCATAAGAGGAAGAAGATAATTCAATCGATCATACCATACTAACGACAGTTCGAATTGAGTCAATACTTAACTCTAATTGAGGATTTGCACATTCGGCAATGCACGTGATCAACATTCGCCACAACGATAGCGATTTGTTGGCAATGCAGCTTCGAGCGATTTTGCTCAGTTTCGAACCATCACCAACAATCTTTTTTATCAATTTAAGCGCTTCGGAACGTTGATCTAATCGTGGAAATAAAAATGCCTTATGAAATAAGGCTTCGAGAGATGAGTTGAGTGATGGTTCATTAATCATAAGACGGATTAGCTGATCGACAATTCTAGAATTGATCATTTCCGATTGAAGTAAAAATTGAAAAAAAAAACAAACTGATAGAGAGCTCTCCAAGTATGCGGATTCGTCAGAATTGCTGGAGCTAATGCAAAATCAATTTGACCTTCTCCGACAGGTTCTTCAGTGGATTCCACCTTTGCGGCTACTCCTGGGCCACCTTTTTCAGGGATACCGAGAAGAAGAATAATGAGTGGGCATATCTTCTCCCTATAATTATTAACCATTATTATTCTATGATATTATCGTTTGAAATAATACCATAAAAGATTAACAAATGGTTGATGAGAAAGAATTTTGAGGTTAGATGTGGTCAGCAAAGCACAAATACAATCGAGAGCAATGAGGCATTGCTCATGCGAGCTGCTCATTTGCTCGACTTCTGCGCAAAGTTCTTCGAGCAGTTTGCACACATCCAAATATACAGCGATCGAGTCTTGATTCCCTTCACATAGAGAATACCGATTTGAGAAATACGCGGTCAAAGATTGGGTGGTGGCGGCACGACAGGCTACGCGAACTCGCTCTTCTTCACTTTTTCCATACAAGCGTTTATAAATCTGAAAACAAACGTTTTTTATGCGCAAAAATTCGGAAAATACCTGAACACATTCTTCGACATCGCTCAATGCTATCTTCAGCTCATTACTACAAATCATCTCAACCAGAAGCTGAAAAAATGTGAGTGAATTGGCAGGATCTTATGACAAAATCTACCGTAACACATTTGCATTGTAACTGTCCTTTCCATTCATCAATTCCTGTCATTGCGTGCAAAACTTGAACGGGAAGATTATTTTTGGGATCCTCAATATTTTGATCATGATAGGTTTGATCGCGAAGAAGGACCTTCAAATTGTTTAATACCATTTAAGCAATGATTCTTGAATTCACCTGAACTCCATCGATCGCATAGTGATAATGTTTTTCGCTACCGTTATCAAAAGCTAACTCGAAAGCAGCTAGGCATTTTTCTCGAAGATGAACTAGTGGAACATCATTTTTCTCCTTGAAGCGTTTATGCACTTCTAAAATTGTTTTTATTTGGCATTAAATTACGAAAAATAAAATTTCAATTCTTTAAAATAATTTTCATACACTTAACAAAAACTTCAGAATGAGTTATTAACTACCTTTCGCTTGTGCAATCGCTTCCTTGGTCGCATTGTGTTTGACAGTGCTCCACAACCCATTTAAAGAAGCTTCCATCAGCAAGAAAAATATAGCAGAAAAGCTGGAGCCGTTGCGCAGCCGCTTTGTGCTCTCTACGTCTTCATTCTCACGTGTCTCTCAATGGGGGTGCTATGCGTATTTGGCATGCTTTTAATGAAAAGAGGAAAACCGCAATTCGCAAAGAATTTTAAACAGCTGAAAGATGAGACTTCGATAATTTATACGGTTATCAACTTTAAAGTTTCGAAAGGAAAACCCCAATCAGTCTGAGATTAAGTGGTAACAAAATGAATTTAATAGTTATAATATTTACCTTTACAAAATATTTGCAAAAAGAAAAAAAAGGGTTGAAAGACGTAAAAACTTAATTTTTGCGTATTTTTATAATTCATATTATTTCCCTTCGGATTTCTCTTTATTTTTAATAGTATATTTGTCATTGTTTCTTACAAGTAAAGTTTTATTTTCAATTTATGCAGAATATGTTTTATATTGTCAAGAAACTAGTTATCGCCAGAAAAATCCACCTAGCAAAAATTCGACAATTTTTCACATCATTTGTCCAGACGGCTAAAGGCGCACGCATTTATTTCATTGGGTCTCGCAGCGAGTGCGCACACAGAACATGGTCGCCACCGTATGCCATTTTCTCTGTTGACTGGCCGGCCTATGTGAATATTTGCCTTTTTTTCATGAAAAAATCGCGATTTGTTGCTTATTTTTAATTGTTTAAGTATTTTTTCGATAAGTAAACGTATAGGTAAATGTAAATATTCCTTCAAGAAATTTTGTTTGTTAATAACACTGTTTTTGACAAGGTTATCCGCGAATGTTCATTTTTCTTTCCTTTATTATTTTGATTTGACATTTTTAGTGGGTTAACAATGCCCGAGATTATCGGCAAGCTCTTGAAATCCGACGGAAAGCCAGTTTCCGAGATTGAGAAGCAAGTATCGCAGGCTCTCATCGATTTGGAAACCAATGAGGAGATCCGGGAGCAATTGAAGGAACTCTACATCGTTGGAGTAAAGGTACGTTTTGATTAAGAGGAGATAAATGGTAATTGTCTTACGTCTTAGGAAATCGAGGTCGGAAACAAGACCGCAATCATCGTCTACGTTCCAGTCCCACAGCTTAAGGCTTTCCACAAGGTCCAGACCCGATTGGTTCGTGAGTTGGAGAAGAAAATCGGAGGAAAGGATATCCTTATCCTTGCCAAGGTAATTTTTCCAATGAGATTTTTATTTTTTTGTTTTAATTTGTAGAGACGTATTCTTCCAAAACCACAACGTGGAAACAAGGCCAAGCCACAGAAGCAGAAGAGACCGCGTTCCCGTACCCTCACCGCTGTTCATGATGCTTGGCTCGATGAGCTCGTCTACCCAGCTGAGGTTGTAGGAAAGAGAATCCGCGTGAAGTTGGACGGAAAGAAAGTTTACAAGGTAATATTTCGAGAAATTTTATAAAAATAAAATGATTGCGCACTAAATTGGCTTAATGCCGAAAAAGTTAAAGAGAGCTAGTCTTCTGCCATGTGTGCATTTATTCTTTCTTATACTTGTTGGAATAAAAAAAAACTAGACGAATTAAAAAAAATGATTGGCAATATGCCAATGTGTCTCGAGCCAGCGAGCAGTATGGAAGACTGCGTTCATTTCATTTTAACGTACGCGCATCTAATATTTAGTCAACGATACATTTAAATCTACATTGATTTCGTGAATTTGAATTCCCCGCTTCCCATCACTCGTGTACCGCCGAGATTACTTAGCCTGTAAATCTATTGTAATCGCAATAATACGACTGCATCGGTTTTCGACAAGGTTAATAGTATGATACTATAATTTCCATTGAATCGAAACTTGAGCCATCATTGACTGCAGAAAATTGATGAATGACAAAAAATTAAAGTAAAGGTCGTTTGCTCCTTTAATCTATTTTTGTAATTATTTTTATAACTAGGGCCACAAATCTACGCTTTTAGTTCTTGTTTTTCACTGTCATTTTTGGAATTCAGCATAATTTAGATTTTTGCGAGGATAATAGTTTGTGCCATCATCTTTACTTTAATAATTTTGACAGTAAGTTGAGCGACGTTGAGCAAATATTTTCGAATAATTTTATTTCTAAATATAAATATCTAAGATGGTTAACTCTATGTAAAAATATAGATTAGAATAGTGTAATATCTGAATAGCATGCATTGTCGGCGCAAACGAGTAAAAATTGAGAAGTCGACTACACATTAAGTTTAAGTTTACGGATTAAGCATGAAGAGGTTTAGACGGAATTCTCCCTGAAATTTTGGCGTTCAGTCAATTCACTAACGTCGATAATTTCTGGAAAAGCAGTTCTTTAATTTTGCAACTTCAATTATTAACAAGTTGAAACTGGGATGATAATTCATTGAGTTTACAGGTTCACCTCGACAAAACCCAACAAACCAACGTTGGGCACAAAACCCAAATCTTTGCCGCTGTGTACCGTAAGCTTACGGGCAAGGATGTTACATTCGAATTCCCAGAGCCAATCTTCTAATTTTTGTTCCTGTTACCTTACATAAATTGTTGATTTATTCATATCAAAACAAAACGTAAAAATTATGCACCAAATATCAAAGCTCATCGTGGAGATTTCGATTTTGGAACTTGTTGTGGTAGTCTTTTTTATCCTTATAGACTTTTGTTTGGCGAATGTTCAAAAATTGGTCGGCTTGCTCTGGGCGATCTGGAATCTGGCTGCAAAACCATCTCGTCTGTGGTGTATCTTTGAAATCTGAAATCGTATTGATTTTGAGTCAACGAACTCGCACTAACATTCGAAACACATTTCACGAAGGCAGTGAATTATATTTGGCTGCTCATTGAGTTCGCACCATTGAAGTTCCTGCATAAAATAAATAATTAATATTCAAAGGCAATAAGCCAACCAGACTACAAAGACGTTCAGGTCTCAAAATAACAGTGGCGACTTTGATAATTTGTCGGAATTTCTTTTCCATGACATTTAAACACTAAATTAGGAAAAATGACCAATAAGAGGTTGAGTATTGATACCCCCTCATAACTGAATCCGTTTGGGAAAAGATCAACGGTTTGATTTTGATTTTGGAATGTGATGCAAAGTTCCGCACATAAGTTGTGGAACAAATTTCCGCGCAGGAAAGTGACAGCCGATTCGATGACTTTCGGTTGAAGAAGGAACTTGTGCTGGATGACATTGGTTATTGACATACAGGCTGTGCATTCAAGGCACACCACTGATTCGGTTAGATTCGCAACTGAAATTCAAGATCAAATTTCAGAAAACGAGAACGATACCTTTTGAAATGTAATCTTCATGACATCCAGGAGCGATTGCGGAGCAAATGTCTCTTGCAGCTGGAACATGAGAAAATAGGAGATCGTTGAAATGGAATTCGTCATCCTTCAAATTCTCATGAATTCACTTTTTTCTAACTTGAAATTGTTTCTGACCGTGGTTAAAAGCTGCACCGGTTTGAATAAACGAAATTGAATTTCTTCAGTAAACCGGTGACAAAGAGAGCAGAATGGGCCGGGATGGGCGGCGGCCAAAGTCGAGAAAAATCCGTAGAGTTGATCCTCGGTTATCGAATTGATATCCTTCAGCTCATTGTTGCAAACCTCGTCTTCGCGGCTCATATAATGCTGAATTCAATATTTTCGTCAAACGAGTCATTCGTCGTTTCTATACGTGCAAATTGGCCATGTGCTGGGCGAACGGGTCCTCCTCATGCGTTGCAGCATACACTGTTGGAGGCCGAAAACCCGACGTCGAAGCTCCATCAGTTGTCTGAGCTTGTGTTGGTTTTGGAGTTGTGATATGTTTCGTAGTCGGCTGCGGAACAGTTGAATCAGTGAACATTGTGGCGTTTGGCTGAGGACACGGTTGCTGGCCATCGCGAACTCGAATCAAATCTTGGAACGTTGAAGAATGACTGATACTTTCGTGCTAAAATGGCCTTTTATGGACTTATTCATGCAATGAAAAAAATTAAAAAATCAATTTTTTCATTTGAATTTCCTATGCACGGACGTCGAAAATTACAAAAAAAAAGAATTGACGCGATATATCGTAATTCATATTTTCAAAGGTGCACGCGAAAAGTTGCGCAGGTCACGTCGCGATGTCGGTACTGTATTTTTTATTTTTCATTCTGTGTGCTATTTTTCCGTATTTTTCTAAAACTTTGAAGAGAAAATGAGTAACAGATTTAAGAACGAGTAAAAACAATTAGTATTGGTATAATTACTCCTAATTCGACAATATATGTCAATTTTTCGTCATTTAGATTCCAATTATTATGAGAAATTGTGATTTTTGTGTTGATTTGAAGCAGACTTCGCTCGATGATGCTTCTGATGAATTTTTAACGTTGATTAAACAATAAACTTATTCTAAACGTTTTAAACGCTCAAAAAATAAAAAAATCCGAAAAAAACACCCATTAAAAAATACAGTACTGACTTCTCGACGTGACCTGCGCAACTTTTCGCGTGCGCCTTTGAAAATAATTAGCGGAGAATTACGATATATAGCGTCAGTTTTTTGTGATTTTCGACGTGCGTGCATAGGGAATTCAAATGAAAAAAAATTGATTTTTTAAATTTTTTTCATTGCATTAATAGGTCCATTATTCGCTGGGTAAAAAATTCCAATTAATATTATTGTTTTTGCTTAAACATAGTAAAGTGCAATCACACATAATTGATCATTTTTGTCTATTCAAATTGTCGTTTGTATTCTAAAAACATTGTTTTCCTCACACTGAATTCTCTCATAATAAGCTTCGATTTGGCGAGAACCGCTGCGATTCTTTCGAATTCCTTCGCCGCCAAATGTTCAGCAACCGTTTCAACATTTTCTCGTCCTTTATTCAAAGTTTCTCGACAATGTTGCTTCTACAAATTGACATAATAAATTTAGTTGAAACCATATATAAGAAACATACAAATCCGTAAGCCGGAACGGCGATGAAAAGAAGGAGACCGATTGTTAGCATCGAGCACATTCAACACAAACGTCGATGATAATAATATATGAATTATAAATCGACGGGCTGTTGTTATCAGTCGATGGGCAATTTTAATGTTTCATTCGATGCACATTTTTTTCGAAGAAACTCAATTATCATTCAGTGAGTTGGCATATTAATTTTTGATAATTTTCAATGTTTTATATAACATTGAATCTTTGACCGAATTCAAACCATTTTTTTCAGTTAAAAGAAATTATTCTTTTTGCATAAATTGTCGAAGTCAAACGACTGGACAAAATTTAAAAAATTATTGGCTATGTGCCAATGCGTCTCGACGCAGCGAGAAGTACGCGATATTGCGTACATTGCATTATAGTGTACGCGCATGTAATATTCGTTCAATGATAAATTTAAATCTACGCTAATTTCGGAAATTTGAACCTCCCTTCAGTCGTTTGACGCCGACAGTAATAGAATAAAGCTAATTATATGATGATCCCCCATTTCACAGAAATCAATAAAATCATAACCGTTTATATGACAAAGATCACAAAATAATACAAGTTGAGCTAGTTGGCCTATCCGGAAATAATCGATTATACGAGACGCTTGGCCGCTCATATTCTGGCGGCGGCTCGGATTTTCTGAGAAATGCTTGTCGCGATTGAAGCTCCTGAAGTTTGAGCTGAAGATCGCTCATCTGCATCCGATGCCCCTCGAATGTCGTGTCTTGCTCTTTGATTTTCTTCTTCAGCTCTTCGATTTCCCGCAACAATGAGCTGTCACTTCTGAAATGCATCGTCTTCTGAATTTTCGAATTTTAAATTCAGACCTTGTGGTACTTTCGATATCAAAACGAACTTTTCTCTGAAAAATTAGTATTTTCAATACGGAAAATATTGGGAAATTCACCTTGGACTGTTCCATCGGTATCACCTCCGCCTGCTCGAGCTCTTCTCGCAACCACGTTCTCATCGAGTCGGCTTCAATCGGATCAGAAGCTCTTCGCGAGCATTCAGACAGCGCTGACGGCAGTTTTTTGCCTTCTAAACTGTCGACAGCAACTAGTACTCGTTTACCGGCTAGGGCAATCCTTGAAAGACAAATTCCTTTGTCCCTTCGCTGATCTTGAAGTCGAAGAATCAACGAAGGAATCATGATGACATTTGAATCTAAGTATTCTCCAGTGGCGCGTCGCAATAAAGGTTTTCTGAATTCCCAACTTCAATACATCATATTTTCTGTTTTTGGAGCAACTTTTCAGTGACGGTCTGTTCCAAATCCTCGATAAATATCCCGACGTCATCCTTCCGACGGCTCGATTCTTTTCGTCCCCAAAAATAGAGCTCTTGCTCTGTGGTAGCTACCAATGTGAAGCCGTCGCCACACAACACTTGCTGTATATTAAAAAAAATTCAAATCCCCTAGTTAATATATTTGTATCAATATACCGTGCAGGCATGATGAAGAAGGGATTTGACAGGTCGAAGACATCGCACAGCCATTTTCTGACAATGCCCTTGCCCGAGCTCACCATTATCATTTCTACCAAACAGCATAACCTGTCCAGATTCGAGAATAACTGCACTCAAAATATTTCATTGGGCTAGAAATAAAACGAACCGCCAGTATGATAAGATCCAACAGAAAAATCGACGACGCGCTCCGGAAATCCCTGAAGAATTGTTGGTTTCGAAACGTATTCGCTATTGTCCTGAAAATCGTCTCATTTTTTTTGATGATGGATTATCTCATACGATCACACCTTTTTCTCCTTTGCGAAGAATCCCATCCTCTGCGTCAAATTCAATTTATTGTGTTTATTACTGCCCATCGCAATCAAGCATCCGTCGTCTGTGAGAAGCATCGTCGCATCTCGGCCAGCTTTTCCATTCACCGCTTTTTTATTCGACGGCAGTGTGATCTTCGTTGGAACATAGACGTGATCGACTTTTGGCAAACCTAATTGGCCGCATTCGTTACTGCCTGAATCAAATAGAATTAATTGAAGCTCAATTAATGGCTCGAATAGACCCCATGCATAAACCTCGCCGCTTTCCAGAATTGCGATTGTGTGCTCGAATCCACAAATCACATCTTTCACGTTTTCCCTAAATTTCTCAATTTTATTTTTTATCGCCAAAAATCGAACCTCAATAATTGCTCGATGAGAACTGGCTTCCTGGCATCCGATGCATCGGGTCCCAACCCAATGTATTTCGATGATCCCATTGTTAAAATGGTCCCTCTATCACAGCAGATCACACTAAAAATGTCTAGAATTTCTCCGAATTTTGAATGATTCACAAATATACCTGAAACTAATACCCGTCGCAATTGTGTGAATATCTCGTCCTTTGAGATTTTCGACTAATTTCGGATTCTCGCTGAAAAGAAACGCTCTGTTGTCTGATTTCAGTTCCAACATCAATTCTACATTTTCGAGATTCCCTCGATTCCCAATTGTCCGCTCGTATTATTACCCCATGCATATATATCATTGTCGGTTGTTAATATAAGCGCATGCGATTCGCTCAAACAAATCTAAATCAATTTCCCATTTTTGTTATTTTCTCATTCGATTTTATTGTTACTTGTTTTATTGTAATTCGTGACGGAAGTCTTGATATTGATGAAAGTGAAATGCTAGAAGTGTGAAGCTCATACAATGTTGAAAATGTCGCTGAAGCTCTCATTGAACTTGACGCTGTTCTCTGGCGAACATGCTCGGATGGGCGCAGCATCTGAATATTGAATCACTGACGCGTTCAACTACATGTATCTTGAGATACCTTGAGCGCTATCGATGCCGACGGTCTCTTCTGAGGTTCAAGTTGTAGCAGTTCCCTGATGACCATTTTGATCTCAGCGCTGTATGGAGCTTTCACTGGGGCGTAAGTGCACTAAACATATTCATTTTAATATTGTCGAAGGAAGACAGATGCCTTCCGGAGGGGGCGGTGCTTTAAAAAAAAAGATTTGGTCTCAAAACGATTTCGCTGCGTATCAAACATTCGCAAAACTGGAGAATTGAGCAAATGTAATAAAAATTATTAATTTCGTGACAAGAGACAAAACTGCATATGGCCTAAATTCTTTGGAATTCCGACAGTTACGGTGCTCCTCCACATAACTATATACCCACCCCAATTTTGTCGAATAACTCGAAAACGCGAATACCTCCGGAAATGGTTTCAATTAGAAAAATATGAGCATTTATTATGATTTTCATGAAAATTTCGTCATTTTCACGAAAAAGTGGGAAAAAAATTTTCCACCAAAACTATATACCCACTCCATTTTTTTTGGCGCTTTTTTTCGATTTTTCGCGAATTTTTACTGTTTTTTTTTTACTGTTTTTTTTTTTCGTGGAAAGCCGCTCTTTTAAAGCAAAACTGGCTCAAGGTCTCTATTATCGACAATTTGGGAATGATCTGGGAAGCACTCATAATGTTACTAGCTGATATGCTAAGAATCCAGCTGCTTATGGTTTAAAAGAAATGTCGAAATGTCGTCCCCCCCCCGTATATCAAATAGGAAAAATGTAAATTGGAAGCTGCTCTCTTTACCGTCATGATATTGTTGACCAATGCCGGTAGATTGTCGCCTTCAAACGCCTTCTTCAAACAGCACATTTCATAAAGAATACACCCCAATGCCCACATGTCGCTCTTCTCATTATAAGCAACCCCGGAACACTGAAAACACCAACAATCAATTAATTGCCCTGTGTTCGTTGTGTGTTCACCATCTCCGGACTAATATAATATGGTGTGCCGACAACCGTTTTGGCCCCTTGGGCCAGTGTCTCAGTGCCCATTATCTTCGAGATACCGAAGTCGCCAATTTTCACGAATGCGTCTTTCGTGAGAAAAATGTTGGCGGTTTTGAGGTCGCGATGGAGCACACTGTTCTCATGAAGATATGACACTGCCGACAGCATCTGGATCATCATATCAGTGATTGTCGTTTCTTCAATGAATGTCTGAGTACGAGAGAGCATTTGGGCGAGGGTGCCTCCATCGGCATATTCCATTTCGATCATGAGCAGGCCATCCTCTTCGAATGAATCGTAATAGGCAATGATGTTGGGATGCTCGATTCGTGATAGAAGAGACACTTCATTGAGTGCCAATCGTCTTTGAGAACTGTCGAGATCATACATGTTGATTTCTTTGATGATCACGAGAGAGCTATCATCTCTTCTTCGATACAACACTGCCGATCCAAAAGCCCCTGAAATGCCATTATGGTCGAAAAAGGCGAAATGAGAAACTGAGACCTTTTCCAACCGTCCGAATGCGTTCGTATCGCGTGTGAGCCGAATTCGCGCGAGAATTAATACTCGCCTTCATTCTATCATTGTTCAAATAGATATCGACGATGCGTCTGAATACATTTATCAGCAATGAAAGGGCGAATTGACGAGGTTCAGTGGGCGTAATTAACCAAATCTTCAAGTGCATTTTTCGTCGCCATGGTGCTCAAATGCACAATGATCATTGATCGTCGAATCAAATTATCTGTTGCGTGACAATTTTTTGATGTTTTCTCTTTCTTATTTATTCGTCAAAACCGCTGACTAATAATTATAGATTTGAGGTTCTGTCAGGTTTTTTTTAGAATTTACTTTTTCAGAATTCAGCAATGAGAAATAAAGACGATTGGTCTTTCCCAGGACGTGAGTCAACGGAAAATTGTGAGATTGAAATAATTGAATAAGGAACGAGAATGAATTATCAAATTATACGTATAAAAATCAAAAACCTTTTGATTCTTCGAGAACCCCACCAATTTAAATGGTACATATAATATAGAAATATTGAGTGTGGGGAGACTCATGGTTTGTGGAGCTGACGGTTGTCAACTGTCGAATGAACTCGCTGGACTATCAGCCAGTATTAAAGGACTATTTATTACCATTTAGATAACGATTTCGGCGCAGAAAGTTCGAATTCCAACAGGCAATGCCTCAATTCATGTGAGGCGATCGACTTTGGATTGGCTCAGCAAAGAAATTATCGATGTTTTGGGGTGGCGAGCCTACTCACCAGACTTAAATTCAATGAAGAATGCTTGGGGAGAGCTGGTTAGCAGCTTCTATGCAATATTCATTGATTAAAGCTGCGATCACCGACGAATGGGATCTATTGGAGCAGGAATTCAACACCAAGACCACCGAAAATTGGAAAACCTGGTCCAATCGATGCCAAATCGTATTTACGACCTTTTTTCTTTGAAAGAAACCGCAACTAATATTTATCTGGTTTTTACTGCGTTCGCGGGGGTGGCTTTATAAATGTGAAACGGTTGCAAGAGACCAATTTTCAGTATTTCCAATGCCACTCGGTCAATTTTTCAGATATCATTATGAGTTGGTAAACAAGTTGGTAAACATATGCATTTTTTAACCCTGAATTCAAATTTGAAAACAGAATTGAAAAATTTTCACTATTAACAAAGTTACGCCCAAAAACAGAGGTGGCTTTATAAATGTGAAACGCACTGTATGTATAAAAATCAAAAACCTTTTGGTTCTTCGAGAACCCCACCAATTTAAATGGTATAATATAGAAATATTGAGAAAAACTGTAAAAAATGTTGCCAAATACGGATTTTCTAAGCTTTTTGGCTACTTTGACCTGCATTAAACAGAAATTTAAAAAAATACACGAACAGGTGAACAATTTCGCAAAATTATTCGTTTTTAAATTAATAAATAATTTAGAAAAAATGGAATTTGATGGCAAAATGCCAATCTGCCAAAAAATTCTAATAATTTTTTAAGGGAACTTTCTGCTGAATTTTCGACCAAAGATGGGAATGGAATTTTTTTGAGGAATATTAATGGGCACTGCGAAAATGTTTTCGCACAAATCAAAAGGGGTTTTAATGTTTTTTTTTTTCGAATTTCAAGAGCAAAATTTGAGTTTTATAAAATCATTATTTAAAAAAAAATTTTTTTTTCTTCAATGTGTTTTGAAAAATTCGATCAATCCAATTTGAAGTAAGTTCGTTGATTTACGAGGTTTAGTCACGAGACATTCGAAAATTGAACTTCCCAGTTTATTTTTTTAAAGACTTTTAACATTAATTATTTATATGTGTGGAAAATTCCGTTCAAACAGTAATTTTAAATTGAACTGAAGACTTTTAGAAGAAATAGTTGGTTTTTTTTGGAACACAGGTGGAATATGCGAATAACTACTAGGCGAATATGTAATTTATTCGCAATCAAAAGAGAAATGAATGCTGGCCGACGAAAACAAATTTGGGCGACACCTCGAGAAGCACAAACACACACAAAAAATGATAATTGTGGAAACGGTTGCTACGAGGATGCTCAAATTATGATGAAAAAAAAAATGAAGCGAAAAAAAACGAAAGCGAAGAAACCTGTGGTGCGGAGCCAGATCGGCGGCAAGGAAACGGCTGACGAGTCGTACGGAAACCTTAAAAGAGCGCATTCGCATCGATTTTCTTACTTTTCGATTTTTTTTTTCGTTTTGTTTGAGTAATTATACGCTTCATTTCGTATTTTTTGCTCCAATTCATATTTTAAAATTCTCTGCAATTTTTCAAAAAAAAAATTCATAAAGCAACATTCCCTTATGGACGACAATTTTAGAATAAAAAATTAGAAAAATCGAATGTAAATGAAGTTTTAAATATTGATATAGTCGGCGACAAATCTATGTTGGGTAGATTTACGGGCGCGTTTTTCATGGACAAACGCGAATTTCTGTGAAACGGCGGTCAATGTCTCCGTCTCTCAAAATCGCACACTCTCTCAAATGTTCATCGCCGTTTCTACAGAGCGATTTGCTGAGTGGGCAAATTGTAGACTGATTGTTATAAAAATTAAAAATCGTCGAAATCTACCTCCATACATCTGACGGCAAACTCCGACCATATTAAATTTCGAATTATCCTATAAATTTGAATTGGGTTAATTCCAAATCGTGCGCAATATTTCGAAATCACATGTTCGCATTGAATCACATATTTAATCGAACAAATGTATAGTCGGCGTTCGGCGACTGCTGTAGATTTACGGGAATGCGTCTTTCGAAATGGTCTCGAAAGGACTCACAGGTTATTTCAAATTTTATGGACCTGTTCTTTAATTTTTTTTTTAATTTTTTAATCGAATGACGTTAGAAATTCAAGAAAATGCGAAACTCATCAAGAAAAATGAAGCAGTTCGCGAGAAAACACCAAAATAAGCATTCACGCGTGGCGAGACCTTTTCAAGGCGCATGCGCGTAAATCTACCCGCGTACAGCAGTCGCCGGACGCCGACTATATAATGTACTGAACAAAATCGACAAACCTGCTTTTTGCTTATCGATTGAATTGCCATCCCCAGTTGGGATGAATCTTGAATGGGCGTGGTCAACAGAAAATCAATAAATGCCCCTTCAATCAATTTCTCGGTGATGAGCCAACGGAAAAACTCATAAACCGAAGACGATTTGTTGGTGAGAGTTGATTTTGTGAGCTCCTGTCGAATTTGGAACAATTGCACAACGAAAACAGTTGCATACTTGATCTGTTAGAAGAATTAGACGATGATCTTTTTGTTGAACATGAAGGCCGAAATTTCGGATTGACGAATATTGCGATATGTGATCTACAATTGCCGGAGATTTTATGGTCGTAGTTTTTTGCGTTTTAAGAGATTCATCATTATTATTATTATTAATTATTTAATCAAAAATACTTTAGTGTGATGATTCACAAGTTGATTCACATTTCTTGCACAAAATTTAGTTTTTTTTTATTTACGCAATTTTAATAATGAGAAGCATACCTTTAAGGTTTTCCACAGAAATCTCAGTGTCATACCGAACGATGAATGTTGATGAGTTGAGGATTCCCTCAAGATTCGTGCACTCGGATGATTGCACAATTAGAGTGGCCATAATTTGCCAATAATTGTTATTAAAATTGGTATGATTGGAGTTTGGAATGATCGAGAGAATATGAGAAAATGAGGGGTGCCAAACAATGTGATATATGAAATTGGTAGCCGTGGCGACGGGGCTCCGTCGGTGTGTGTATGTGTGTGTGCGTGCGGGATAATTAGCACGCGCGGTTTGATAAAACCAGGAAACAATTATTGCAATGAATTATGAGAGAAATCGGCGTGGTTTCTGATTCCGATATTCAATCCTAAACCAAAATGCCCAGATTATACGCGTTACAACAATGCATACGAGTTTACTATTCAATGTTTCAACTCGAATTGAACAATGTTGGCGACGTGTATCATTCCGGAGACTCTTAACATACTAAAAATGTTACTATTGCAGGAATTCAGAAAAAAATGTTAACATATAAAAGTTTTCGGTTTAAGGACCATTATATTCGCATCATATTCAAAATGGAGATAGAATTTTCCAAATTTCAAAACCACGCCCTTTTCGGCATTTCAATGGTAATTCAAAACAAATGCAAACTTTATTAACAAATCAAAAAGAAGAGGAGTTTATGAGTGATTGAAGCACGCTTTCAAATTGATAACCGGAGAAAAACAAAATAAACAAAAAGAATGATTGAAAATAAAAAATGGCTAGGCCTCGACTTTGAAAGAACTTCAGTTATGGGCAAGAATGGATGCATTAAAACGGAATGATAACAAGAATATGATTATAAGAGAGCAAATATGATTAACTCAAATTATGATTGTATAATATTCATGTTTGATAGGAAATGTATGACAAAAATAATTTATATTGTCGCGATTAAAAAATATATATCTTTATATATTCTTTGTTTTGAATTATGTATTTCTAATCATATTTTTATATTTTTTTGCCTACCAGAAAACAATTTAAAACTCCAAGTTTTCATTGTAGGATGTGAGAGAATTGTTCGAACCCAGCGGAGAGAAAAAAGCAATTGGAAATGACTACTTGTTACAGTTTCGAGAAATGACAAGGATGGATGGCGTCTGACGAAATATTATCAACTTTATTCGAATGATCACTTATCAATTGAATACACTGGATTAGATCCGTTATGCAAACTGAAGCTCTGTTGGATAATAAGAGAATAAAACTTTAGAGAGCAATATGAATCAATTATTTTTGTCTGTGAGAGAGGGAGAGAGAAATGAGATAAAAAAAAAGAAAGAATCAAAATTGACAAGAGAGAATGAGAGATAGAAAGAAATAACGATTTTAAGGCACATTTTGAGAAACTGAATTTTCTTTTCTTTTTCTTTCAAAACGAATATATTTGAATATTCAATGATTTGGATAACGCTTATTATAACCACCACGTCTTCGGTGAGAGCCGCCATTCGATGTCGACGGCTGATTGAAAAACGACACATTCCCCGAATACGGACGATGTGGTGGCGGGGGAAGATGGCGACGAACAGGCGTCGCATGATGTCGGGAATCTGAGAACGTTGGCGGTTTCTCAATTGGCGGCGGCGCCTTCGAATTTCCGCCAGGTGTGCCGATTCCCAGCGCCGAAAACAGCGTATTCTGCACATTTTTGTTCACATCAGTTGACGATGGTTGCGACGGCGGCGGCGGCGGTGGCGGAGGAGCCGCTTGTGACGGCCCATTTCGCCATTGTTGACGTTGCTTCGACTTTTGCTGCATTGCTGGAGGCGCGCCTTTAAAGGCAAAAAATTAGAAAATGTTCTCGAGTGAAATAAGGAAAATGTTTCGACAAATTATGAACCTTTTGGTGTTTTAATATCCACTATAGATTTCAAAGCGACTGCTGGCCGTTTCGTCGGTGGTCCTCCATCGATGTGTGTGGGCGGGGCTACTCTGGGGGCCAACAATGGCGGCGGGGGTAAGCTCATCAAAGGAACCGGCGCCATTTTTGGAGGCGGCGGTGGCGGAACCGGCATCGAATAGGCCGTCTGCGATGTGGGCGGCGGCGGCGGCAACGGCTGACTAGGTGGCTGAGTTTGCAGATACTGAGGTGGCGGTGCTGTGAATTGCTGAACACAACATGTACGTTTACAGATGATTTCAGTTGAAGCAATACCATATTATTGATTTGTGGTGGAGGCGGCAACATCGGCGGCGGAACACTCATCGACGGTAAGCTCATCGCTGGCGGCGGTGGCAGCGGATTCATCAAAAGTGTCGGAAGTGGAGGCGGTGGCGGAAGACACGGCGGAGGTGGAGGAGCACTCAGAATCTCACTATCATAATGCCGCTCTTCCGAGCAGTTTGAGACAATTTCCATATGATCCGACAAATAATTGTCCCTGTTGAAATATTACGCAATCAATCCGTCAATAATTTCACTTACAATCTCCGCGACCTCGCTGTTTTATTCGGCGAAACATTCTTCTCCGCTTCTCTTTTGTTCACCATTGTTTGAAGAGCCGATTTCAGCGTCTCCAATATGTCGACCTGAGCGAAAATCTCATTCAAAACATGGTTTCAAAAAAATCCAATCAATGCGAATCAATCAATTATTACTAGAAATCAAAATGCTCACGTTGCTGCTGCTCGCGTTCGAGATCACATTATTGATCTCATTTCCCATATAAGTCTCGACTTGTCCAATATCAGTATTTGCCATCATCGCCAACTGATAAACAAGATTTCGTCGATTCAGCTCAGTTCGATTCGACGAAGATGGTCGATGCGTTGGTCCCGGCTGTTGTGGTGGCGGTGGTGGTGGTGGTGTCGATGGCCCCGGTGATCCAGGAGGGGTTTTCGGACCCTTCTTAGGAACCGGGTACAGGTCGTCTTCCTCATGAATACTCGTATGCGGATAAGTGGGATACGGTGGATCCATGCGCTCAAATCCCAACGTCGTATAGCTTTCCATTTTTCCAAAAAGCATTTTGTAGCCGAGCAACTGATCGACCATTGCTTCGCGTTGAATGAACTGAAACATTTCAATAAAAATGAAAAAAAAAATAGATTAACGGCACAAATTTTAATGGTCTTGTGTGTCGTGGTGGCGATATAAAAATAAAATAGAAGCGCGGCGGGAATGAAAAAGGAAAAAGAACGCCATAATACGTCAGTACCATATTTAAGAAAAAGTTTTCGGACTAAAATAGGATCAATATTATTTCGCAAAAGTAGGATTCATTTTTTGAGGGGTTGAAACACATTTGGAAAATGAATTTGCTTATATTTTCTCAAGCCGAGCGTAAAATTTTGAAAATAAATGAAACTGAGCGCCGTCCATATTATTCATGGAAAAATGACAACAATACATTCCGATTGTGTAAAACAAATGTGTCGGTGAATATTATGGTGCTGCGAAAAAAGAAGAAATTTAAAAAAAAAACGTTTTCTTGAAGGAAACATAATAACAGTGGTTAATTATAAGGAAATAACACAACAAAAAATCATGATATATTTTCTTGCCAAAAGGGGAAGAGAACATATTAATGCAATTTCAATTTTTTTTTCTGATTTGAAATTTTCCCCAATTTTTCTTTTCCTCGTTTTTGTATTTTCTCTGCACTGCCCCAAGAATCAATTAAGCTAAAATACACAATTTGACCAATAGATGCAACCAAGAAAACAACGACTGCAAGACTTTCCCGTTCGCAACACGAACACCGGAATTGGTGTATGCATACACAATGATATGGAAATGAATATGCACAAGACGGCAATTGCCGAAGATGGCGGCTATTAAAAATCAAACAAATTAAAATGAGCGACGAGAAAAGCGCGGACAAGATGAGCGCGCGAAATGATGATAACGGCGGCGGTGCGGTTGTTCCCGCAAAAATTTTTGGCGTATGACGACATACACACACATATATATATATGAAATATGGTTTTTTTTCCAATTTCATTGGGGCCTACCTGCTTCGCGATCGAATCGTCCTGTTGTTGCGCTTTGAGATTGGCGGCGGTCAGGTCGAAACACACCGGCGACGTTCGTTCCCGACCTTTCATCGCCTCTTCAGCAGCCTTTCGTTTCGCCTTTTTTTCTCGATCTTCTCGCTGTAACAGTGAATGTTGAAAAAAAATGATGAAGATGTGTCGATGAAAAAAAAACGAAGAAAAAAAAGCGGCGATCGAAAATAGTCAACCGTCTCATCGCGATAAAAGAAGAAAAAGAGATTTGCGACGGTTCTCTCGAATCTCCAATGAATTGAAACTATGTAAAAACGACGACGTAACAAACTCCGTCAACTGGAGATTTCATCTCATTCGGCGAACAAAAAAAAATGCGAGATTCTTACCGCTTGGTTGTCGATTTCCATCCATATTCGATCTACAAGATCCTGACCATGCGGCATTTCTTTCTTCTTGTTTTGCGGTTTCTCGCTAGATCGCCAATCCGATTCCTGCCTAAATCAGTTCAATTCGTAAACTTCCCATCTCATCCACTTACTCTTTATTGTGCTTATGGTTATTACGCCGATTTCGCGATTCTCTTACTTCTGCAGACGAGCTGAAAAAATAAAATAAAAGAAAGTTTGGCGAATTCGCGTCTCGTCTAGGCAAATAAAGGGCAGACACGCTTCAATTTAATCAATTTAAAAGGAAAACATATTCAATCCGAGGCTTACTCAGAGATTATCAAACACAATCTTCTCGAAATTTTCTCGATTTTTTTATTCACGAACAGAATAAAATGAAGCATTTCTTAATTTTCGAACAGAATCTCATAAAACCCACGTTGTAACCTGATCGACTACCGAATTCGGCGTATTCGCCACTCCGGCAATCCCGTCATTCCGTGGACGCCGCTGTCTCACCACCAGCTTCTCATCCATCCTAAAATCGCAATTAGGAAATAAAATCATACAAGCACACAAAATAAGTAGAAATGGTAACAAGACCATTAGAAAAAAAACTCAAAGCACCTAATAAAAAAGAGGCAATTATTTATTTTCAATTAATATTTACAATTGTGAAAAATATAGTATAGAAAAAGAAAGAAAAATTCCTTGAATTCCTAAATAAATTCCGAGATCGGAGGTGAATAGTACAGTCGAACCAGCGGATAATAGTAACAGTTAAATTCCTAATATATGAAATAAAAATGTTTGTTGATTATTATTGAATAATACATTAAATTTGATTTCAGTGTAATTGCAAGAGAGAAAAAAGGCACAAGTAATTTAGGGAAGGAGAGGTCCGGAACGAATAAGGCTCGCATCTGGAGGTAGAGGTGCTGCAACAGATTGTGGAGGTTGGCTAGAGGCGGACGGGGGAGGTGGATTGTTCGACAATTTGCGAGACGTCGACTTTTCGGACGAGCCTCCGCCGCTTCCACGGGCTCGTCGCTCTTTCTCTTTGACCGCATTATCAACTTTGAGCGCTTGCTGCACAAATTGTTGAATTTCGCGCTCAACATCTTCACTCGGCTCGTCGTTTTTTCCAGCGCCTGAGCCGGCTCGTTTCGAGTTTCCGCTTGTCCGTTGGCGCGGACGAGTTCGACGCGATCCGCCCGTGTTGCTATTGATTCCAGTAACCGGAGAGATCACATTTTGATCATTCAGTTCATCGTAACTCCTAAAAATTGTTCGTTTAGTTCGTGATTTCATTAATTCAAATATATTTACAAATTCATGTTGGCGCGAATATTCGATTCTGTACACTTTTGGAGATCAATGTCACCAATAGCAGTTGCTGCAATTTGCATTATTAAAACCAATTAGCAAAACTATGATAATTACCATTAAGAAAATCGATAATCTTGTCACCGCCTTTGAGCTCTCGCAGCTTCTGCTCTTCAAAACAGCAAGCCGCTTCAGCTACAGCTACTTTATGCGTCAATTCCTTATGCCGCGCGACAATGCTTTTCGATCTAGACATTCGATCATAACCATTTTTTACTAGCACAATCAAATCATACCCGTTTAAAAGCTCAGCAACTTCGTGACAATCTCCCATTTCGAGCTCATTGAGCCGTTCTTTGAGAAACTGAACCCCTTTGCCGAGCTCACGTTCCACTTCAACTGATAGTAATGCAGTTGCTTCTTGAAGTTCACGTTGTTTGATCTACAGGCATGATTAGATTGTAAGTTCAAATCCATTCGAAACTTACCTTTGCAATTTCAATTTCTTGACAAAGCGAAAGGCAATAGTCTTTGTCAGCAATCTGTGCTTTATTTATTTCGGCTTTTAATCCAAGATAGAATCCAACTAGAAAATGATCGTAATTTTTTGAGAAACAAAATTATTAGTAGTGCTTACCGACAAGTTGATATAGAGGATCCGTTGGCGGAATCATGAAAGTATGGCGCTGATCAGCAGCCAATTCCATCGGTGTGTTGATAGCCGGAATAACTTGCGGAATGGGTGGTGGCTGTGGTACAACGAGCGGCTGATGGACGGGCATTGGCTGAGGATGAACTGGAAGCGGAACCTCGGCTTCGATATGCATCGGCTCGTATTTAGGCTCTTGTTTCGGCTCGACAATTGGCGTATTCGAAAATCGCGTGGCTTGGTTAACCGGAATACGAACCTAAAAAAATTCAAATGTTTCAAGCAAGGCGCGATATGAAATTTTAAATCAAATTTTCTATTTCATTTCAATAGAAATTCTTTAACTAAACTGTTTTCTTCTGAATTTCTACACTTCTAACAAAATCAATGCGGCCAAATTTAATAATTTAGATGAGAAGTTGCACGAAAATCAAGCATCGAAGCGTTTAAATTTGTGGGAAACATGAACATAAATAAACCAAAAAACGGTATAAATTGAGTGATTTAAGCACAAGTGAAATAAAATGTGAATTACCAAAAAAGGGAAGAAGTTGAAAATTTGAAAACTATGCATTTGGAAGAATAAAGTTATCTAAAATGCTAAATAAAAAGAAACGAAACGGCAAGAGATTAGAGGAAACGATACGCGACAAAAGAAACATCATGTGCTCTCGCTATGTATAATGAATAATGGTGAATAATTTGTTTTTCGTTTCCAAATTCCATATGCGCAATTATCTAATTGTTTTGCTCCCCCCGAATGCACGCACACCATTATTTCATATAATTTTTAATTGAATTTCTTACCACTTCACCTCTCGCAACTTCATCATTCGATGAATGAATTTTTTGCGATTCCGATATAGTTTCTTCGTGCATCTGATTGATTACCGCAATAATTTCGCCTAAATTTTGAAATGTCACCGCTCAGTTCAACCCCTATCATTAATTTCCTACTGTTTAGTTTTTGCTCGCCTTTAGCGGATTTCGATGACGATTTCGGAGGCACATGAGCAATCGGAATACGTGCAGAATTTGACTGTTGGGCATTCGATGAATCCGTCGGCGAACTCATTTCCGAATAATTCGAAGCTGTCGCACTTGATGAATTCTAAAACCATCAACGACTACAAATGAGGACCGAATGGAAGCTATTTTTCGGGAAAAAAAAAACCATAGTTTTTTGAATTCTTTAAAAACATTAATAATATTTGTTTCAAGTGAGAAAAAAAAGTGAAAACCGAAAGTAAACATTACTCATCACGCCGATCGACATTCGAAACATCGCCCAAATATGCTCATGGTTACGAATTGAAAAAAAAAAGACAAACACTCAGCGTTAGAAAACCAAAATCTCTTAGTAGACGGTTAAATGTTTCATATTGTCATAGAATTTTTGGCGAAAAAAATTCGAACAAAAAAAAACAACAACTCAACTCTCCGATTTGCATAATTATATGTTTAGGAGAGAAAAAGGAATCAAAAAACGGGAAATTGCCAACGAAAAACCTCGGTCAATATGATCGAAACGGCGAAAAAAGGAAGACGTACATAAAGTGTGCACGAACAATCGATAGGAAGCGGTGCATTGCATGCCGGCCTGACAACAATATAATCAATCGGAGAACAACAAAAAAAAAACACAAACATTTCGAACAATTTTGTCGCATTTTTAGTGGCTATTGAATGTTTTCGTGTGTTTATGTGCGTGTGCGTGCATCGGTCACCATTGTTTCAAATTTTGAGTTAGCCAATCAAAATCAATCATTAAAAGCGCGGTTAACAAAACGCGTTCTATTTTTATTATTACGGATGAATAAAAAAGAAGCGAAGAATAAAAGACAGTGTGGGATGGATATTTGGTAATTCATGCCGAGGCTCAAGACAAATAAACATAAAAATCAATGCACATGCATATTTCGATGATATTATGTAACACCTTTTCCCCATGATTTTCAAATGTGTTGATTTTCTGACCTTCGAGATTCGTGGATTTTTTGCAAATATGAAAAAAAATGTGTTTTTTATCGTCCTTTTTCTCATAACGGCAAAAATGATTGCGCAACCTAGTAATTTTAATTGGATAGCCGTGGACGAATATAGTCTCAAAAAATTTGTACATTGTCGACATTGCGCGACTACTGAAAAATGGCAAATTGTCAAAAAAGTGGTTTTGGCGCGAAACTAAAAGTGCAGATTTACGGACCTAAGTATAAGACTAGGTTGAAGGCGCAAGCCTGTCACCAAAATCCCTCTTTAACTTTTTTGGCATTTATCCAATTTTCCGCAGTCGAGAGATTTCGACAATATCACACTTGTTAAATTTGAGATTTGTTGGTTCTGCCTGGTTTGACATATCACAAAAAAATTCAAAAAAGAAAACTAGTATTTTCAGGAAAATTTTGGACATATTATTCAAAAAAATTCAAAATATGAATGGCTTGAAATATTGAGAGGATCGAATGAGCAGGGTGTGGCCAATCCAAAATCCCTAATCGATTGGGTCCATGACAATTACAACTATTATTTTTTTTTTTGATATTCTTAATTTTTAAAAAACTCGACGATTTAAGAAAGCAAAAATGAAATATGTAGAATAATGTTAGAACACATTTCGTCGTTTCTATAACGGCCCTATAAATTCGCCATCAACTCTGCATAATTATGTTTCCATAAACCCTCCAATCTTTCCATGCTTTGAGAAAGAAAAAAACAAAAACACGAACGCACCTTTGGATGTTTCGGTGTCTTCTTTGGTTTTTTCTCCGCCGTCGTCTTTTTCGCCTTTTTTGGTGCCACACTTGTCTCATCATCGGCGTGTCTCTTCGGCGAAGCAGGCGCCTTTTTGGCGGCTTGTTGCTGTTGCTGCTGTTGTTGAGACTTAAATGAAAATTTTTTTAAAAAATATTATAACCGAATTCGCTGTTTCTCTCGATTACCATTCGCGACTTTTCCGTTTGCGCTTTCCACATCAAACGAGTAGTTCTTCCAGTGAAACTGAACTCGTCCTCATCGTCAAACTTGTTGTAATCCTGGACAAAAATTGTCATATTTCGAAAGCTCGATCAAAAATATTTTGTTGATTAAATGTCGTGTTATTACAACCAAACAAAAATCGCAAAAACCATTATTCGAGCTGAGAATTCATAGTAAAAATATTAACACAAAAACAACAGAAATACAACAGAAAAAAAGCATACAGATGGGTAAAACGGCGATGATTGCTGGCGTATGGCATAGACAGGAACAACCATTCGATTAATGACTGTTATGGTGTTAAGCTCATTGTGTTACACCAAACGAAAGAATTTGCAAGTGAAATGCTCATGGATGGAAAACATGGCAGTGATGGGTTGTTATAGCGGGTGGATAACGATATACAGCTGGTCGATATACAGTACCGTGCAGTAAGATATACAATTTCACATTTTTAATCATAACTTTCTGAAAAGTTGACCAATCGATCTGAAATTTTTGGACAAAACAGATAGTGTGTTCCCAAACATAATTTATTCATTTTGGGATACTATAGACGCAATTTTTGTGTTTTGGACTTTTTTTTGCGTATTTTCAAAAATGCGATTTTTTTTAATTTTTAAGTTTTTTCGATTTTTTTTTAGATTTTCAATGTTAACATCAGTTTTTTTTTATTTGTTTTAGCAGGAGACGATCAAAATGATCAAAAAACATTCTATCAGACGTTTTAAAGCAATCAAGAATGACCGAGCACTAGGTCTTTTCATCCAATGTCTATCACACCAGTTGAACTCATCAACTTGGACCATTTGTGGATGTTTGAAATCTCGATCGGATTCCAAACCACTTGGAAATCCTTCCAAAACATCCCCGGCAATCAATCGCACCATTGTAGGAATCAGCAAGAGCAACCCGCGTCTATCCGCTTCCGAGATTAATCGGCTACTGAGTCAGTTCTATGATGTCAACGTAGATTTTTCCGAAAAACCATGACTTTTTTTCACCGAAAGTCACATACATATCAGCGTTGATACTGTCAAGCGTCGTCTACGTGGTTCTGGATTATTTGGACGTCGGTCTGTCAAAAAATCTCTCCTTTCGGAGAAGAAACGCCGCGCCTGTTTGAAGTGGGATAAGGAGCTTTTGAATTGGACTGTTCAACAATGGTCAAAGGTTGTATGAAGTGATGAATCGAAGTATATCTTGCTCGGAACTGATGGTATTACATTTGTGAGGCGTTAGGACGGCAAAAGATTCGATCCAAAGCATCAATTACCAACAGTGAAACATGGAAGAGGAAGCGTGATAGTTTGGGGATGTTTTACTGCTTCTGGAGCTGGCCCACTTCGTCGAATCGAAGGAAATATGGATTGATTTGCGTATAAAGACATTCTCGAGAACCATATGCTTCCGTTTACAAAGTTTTTGCTCGGTGTGGATACTTATTTCAGCAGAATAATGATCCTAAACATTTCTCTCGCTACATCAAAGAGTGGTTCTAGCAGCGTCGGGTGGCAGTCATGGTCTGACCAAGCCACTCACCTGTCTTGAACCCCATTGAACATTTGCAGGATGATCTTAGTAGACGTCTTGGTGGTCAAACTGTACAAAATGTGTCGAAATGATCGAGCAGCTGAGGAGATCATGGATGGATATTCCAATTTCAACCCTCCCGAAGTTGACGAGGCCATGGGTCTCCGATATCAAACTGTGATCGATGCAAATGACATGTCAACAAGATATTGAGTTGTTTTAAGCATCCTGACAGATAATTGTGGTTTTCCATTTCATTTCAAGTCGTACCGGTATCAAAATTATTTAAGTCGGTTTTTCGCTATTATGGATTTTCTGACTTTTTGCCAATAAAATTTTTCCTAATGTGTTTTACACCTTCTAATTTTGTTACATAATCACTCTGTCGATGCTTAAAGTTGTCCAAAAATTTCAGATCGATTGGTCAACTTATCAGAAAGTTATGATAAAAAAAGTGAAATTGTATATCTTACTGCACGGTACTGTACATATTTGGGTGTAGTGGATGATAATGGCGGTGATAAGAGGAAAATTCACAAGAACAACATCTAACTAAGAAACTAGCTAGTGAGCACATGCTAGGCACGCACAATTTTGCGCAGTCTCTTTGCGATCGGCTCCTCGTCCTGATAGTTGACGTTCCTCAGGATTTTGGGGTGTTCCAATACCTTCGACTTCTATGATTAAAACAACCAATTTCGAACATGCGGTGAGGTTAGACACGTTAGTTTCATGAGAATACCTTTACGAAAAATTCTTACCTTGGTCGGAGGTGTTGAAGTTGTGCTTCGCTCTTTGCTGCGCTCTTTAACACGTTTCGTTTTTGCACATTCGCGAGGTTCCTGAAAAACAAAAAAGACAACAATTTCAAAAAGTATTTGTTTCAAATTGATCTTCGATAAATAAAGATAATTGAGTATTAAAAAAAAAACCTTCGACATTGATCCTTCGCGACTCGAAGACGACGACGATTTCTTTCCATTGCGCTTCTGATCGTAGAAAAGCGCTATCTAAAACCGGCCATCTCAAACCTCCAACTTCTTTTTTTTGCGTCGTCATACCTTGCAAGTATCAACGGTCTGCTTATAGAATGGCACCGCATTCGACGTCCATGAGCAAGGCTGATCTATCGTTTTGAGAAGCTCTATGTCGAGGATCGCAGAAACATCTGAAAATGACACCAATTGGTTTCCGAAGCGACGTGGTGAAACACAGAAAAATTGGGTGAAGGAGGCGGAAAAGAAACAAGAAGAGACGAGTAAAAACCGAAAAAAAGACACACAGATGTCGATATATATCATAGTTGTCGTGAAAGGACAATAATTAGCATTGCAAGCAATTTTCTATTCTACTAAGCGCTAAAACTAATTCGGTGAAAAATTTGGGAAAACGTGTTCACATTATTTCCCCAAATTCTTCGCCCCCTTCCGGTTAGATTGTCTAATTTTCATTCGTTTCTTTTTTTTTTGTTTTCGCTCATTTTTCAATCTAATCTCGGAGCAACCGGAAAAGAGCAGTCGAACGTGCCTGTGACATTCGTCGTCTTCGACATGCTGTCGGCGGCTCCAGCTACAATGAACCGAGATTAATTTCAATGTTCAAATCACTCTGTCAACGGAATTTCATTTCAATTTCGCTATTCATTTTCGGGGTTAGCTAGTCATAAAAGCGCAAAAAATAATAAGAACGAAGAAAAGAACAAACTACGAACTCATTGAGAAAAACACATTTTTGCCAGTTCGAAGAAAAAAAAAACGCCTGGAAACGGAAAAACAAACTACGATCTCGCGGCAATGGGCCAACAAATTTCATAAAGATTTTTCATTTATCTATTCATGAAACGCATTTATTTTCACAAGAAAGATAAAAAATTAAATAAGGTGTGTTTTTTTTTTTGGAAAATTGCGTAATTTTTTATTGCATGAATATCTCCATTAGCTTTTTAAAGGAAATTTTCAAGTAAATATCACATTTAAAAATTTCATAAACTAACGAACTTACGGAATCGTTGATTTGATATGATCTCGACTTGGGTTGAATTTTTTGAAAGACCATATTTTTATTAGCGAAGTTTTTGGTAATTTAAAAAAGTTTCACGAATTCGAAGATAAATTTCCGAAAATTTCGATTAAAAAAAATTTAATTATATATTTAAACAGTATTTTATACAAAAAATATAATTTTTTTCCTGTTGATTAGCCCATCTCAATTAATTTTACCGTTTTCGTAGTTGCGTTTTTCATCAGAAGCATTCACAACACCCATGTTTTCTCAATGAGAGGGAAAATTTCAATGTTTTTATGGCAATCAATGACAAATGCAAAAAAAAAGAGCTCACCATTGAGGCATCTTTCGTTTATTTGATTCTTCATCGCGGCAAATCTAAAAGGAGGAAAACAAATGAAAAACGTATTTAGAAATGCAGGTAACATACGCTTTTGTCGATACAATTCGAACGCCATGTCCCAATTCAGCAATAATCTTCGTTTTGATTTCTATATCAAGTTCTGGTCCAAACGCGACATTATTTATGAATAGAACAGTGGCTTCCTGAAGGGAATATTCGATTTGAATCGAGTTCCTCAAAATAAGGTACCTTTGTAATTAAATCGCGGAATTTCTCATCCAAAAAATTGCCATGATGAATTTCAAACGGCGCGTAGCTTTTCCCAAAATGATGCATAAGGCTGAAAATGAGCCAATAAAACGCCGATTTCGACCTTCAACCAACCTTTTGTAAGATTCTTGAAGTTTCGCCGCACATTTATAAGGCAAATCAGCTATTTCTATACCGACAACCTTCTTTATCTGAAAATATTCATGTTTGTGGTCATCATTTATTTTTAAACGACGAAACCTTAGTAAAAGCAGAAGTGAAAACAACAAGTTGTCCAACACCACATCCCAAATCGACAAACACATCATTTGGTCCCAATTCCAATTGGGAAATTATTAAAGCCATTTGCTCGAGATTGGTTTCACCATAAGTCTCTGGGCTAAATGACTTGTAATGGCTATTAAGTCGTTTTGGGTCCGGAATAGCACATTCGATGGCAAGATTACAAATGTGACTAGCGACTGTTTCTGTACAGTATGGTTTCGACCAGTCCTCAAGGTTGCTGTTCACAGTTCCGTCCCACTGAATATTTTTGGATTATGGTAATGTGGAATGATACGATTCATCTTACCAATTTGAAGTGTTTTTTTGCTGCCGGGTTATACGCGGCAATCAGTTTTTTCGCCTGTTCCGGATTCGAATCGTCATAGGTTCTGTAATCATCCGGCAGACAACATTTGATCGATTCCAAATGGTTCGCATAAATGCTGAAAATATTATTTCAGAATTTCGAACAAATTTGATAGGTCGGTTAAAGTGATATTTGGCTGGGAATATAAGACAATTTTTTAAATAGATGAGACTACGAGAATGTCAGAAAAGAAAAGAAATTCCTAATTTGAATTAAAGGCAAGCAACAAAACATTCGTCCAGAATAATGATCCCACATAATCGATTTCTACAAATTCGTTTGAAATGTGTTTTTTTTAGCGCAAAAGGGCCGTTTGTGTACTGTTTCGATGATAATTCCGGGAAATCAAAAAACAAGTTTTTTTCTCTCACCAAATTGCAATTAACATTTTTATATACATAGTAATCAGAAAATATGGATTTCAAGTGCTATATTTGACATTTAAATCAAGCAGTGAGAAAATGTGTTTACGTTTTATTTTCGGCGACGCGGAACTCCGGAAAATTGGCTCAATGCCAAATAATTTACAAAGAGGTATCGGTGCGCGTTGTGCGCCTTTAATCTATCCTTATAGATAGGCCTGTAAATCTACACTTTCAATTTCGCTCCAAAACCACTGCCATTGTTTTTTTTTTTGGCATTTTGCCATTATTCCGTAGTCGCGGGAAGCCGACAATACAAAAATTACTTTTTTTTTGAAAATACAAGAAAGTGACAAATTCGACGAGAAACCATTTCATCCGGCTACTGCTGTACGCGGGTCGAATTACGGGCATGCGCTTTTCTCTATAATCTCGCGCGGACGAACGTGTTATCAAGAAATTCAAGGAAATAACAAACTTTTCAAGAAAAATGAAACAGTTCACGAGAAAATAGAAAAAATAAGTTTTTACGAGACCATTTCGGCACTCGTAAATCTACCCATGTACAGCAGTCGACGGACTATGCATATTCACATGTGACGAGACCATCGAGAAAATCTCCGTAAATCTACTCAAAGAAAATGTGCGAAAACAACACGTTTTATATACAACAAAGAAATGATTAAAAATAGTTATTGATTGGCGATGTATGTTTAAATTAAAATGTGAAAATTGTCCTAGATGACTCATTAGGAAAGACAAGAAATTTTGTACATGAAATAAAATGGTCTATTTGGAAAATAAAATATCGAGTTTTCCTAAATAAAAACAAAAATTGAAAAATTGGTTCCGTTGTGTCGGAATGACTGGTCGCCCGCCAATTTTTTAACATTGGGAATCAGTTGAGGGTTTTAAAAAAAACTTTACAACGCTCGGTTCGGAATGAGTCGCGAATCCCACGCACTGCTCTAATTCCCCTTCGTACGAAAGGCGTGTTTCAATATAAATTTGGAGCACAAAAACGGCGCGAAAAACCGTAGTTATTCCCAAATATTTTCGATTGTTAAAATTTCAACGATATTTTGAAACGTTATATATCGTATCTATTTGTTTCAAAATCAATCAAACAAAAGTTTCTTTTTTAATGTATCCGAGTTTCGAGCTCTTTTTTAGGAGACAAAATAATTTGTAGGCCGCGCAATATAAATTTCTCAAATTCATTACTCCATGACAATATAAAGTCAACGAAATTAAATGAATAATTATAAAATTATTTTCAAATCGAATATTTCTTGAGGAAATCAGTTGTTGGTTGCATTTTCGTGAAAAATGAAAAGACAATGATTTTTAAAGAGAAGGAGGAAAACATTTTTTAGAGGATCATTATGTTCTTCTCAACATTTTCAAATTAATAATATTTTAAAATAAATGAGCATATGAGAATGTGAGAACAGATTTTCGAGGTTTTATGTGATTTCAAATAATGGACTTATTCATGCAATAACGCAGGTTTGTGAAAAAAAATCAAATTAAATGAAATTTGTTCTTTTCTGCAAAAAAAATGATATATTTTATTTGAATAAGTCCACGCGATTTTAATTTTCAGAAAGGAAAACAAGCACGGCTCGTAATTCACACGAAAACCATAATAAGTAAAGTAATCGTAAAGAGAAATGCGAAAAAGGAAAACTGACAGGTTTTTCGAATAAGATATTTTGATAGAACATTCGAGGACATCAATATGAAAAAAAAAAACACATATAAGCTAACGCAAATTTTATCCTCTGAATCTTATTTAAATTAAAATTTTGGCAAAATTTTATCAAAAACCTTATTTTGTGTTATTCGTTTAAAAATAATTGTTGTACCGCAAGAATTTTTTTCAGTCAAAAATATATAAGTATTGAAAGAAAATATACAATTAATTTTCTCGATTTAAATCGAAAATGACCATGAAAATAAGAAAAAATGTAAACATCGGTCAAATTGAGAAATTCTCTATATCTAATAATTTCGGAAGCAAAATACACTGCTAATATGCTAAAAATGACGCAATAAATCGAGAATGATGCAATGTAAAGAATCAAAACGGATCATTTGGCTTGAGCAGAATGTTAAAAAGGCGTAATGAACAAAATATTCAACAACAATGAAAACGGCGCAGAAAGATAAATTTAGAAGCAAATTGAAATTTTGAAAATATAAAAAGACTCACTGTTTGATAATTTTACAAGCAACACTGTAGTTGTGGGTGTCATTCGGTTGAATCGGCAACTTCAGAACAGTTCCGTTACAAATTACAGGATGGATTTTAATAATTGTTTCATCGTTTTCCTCAGAAACATTGCGGTCGATCGCCGATGGTTTTTGACCACTTTCTTTTTCATTTTCCTGTTTTTCCGGCTCAGGCGCAGATGATTCCGACACCTCTGTGGCGACGCCATCTTCGGGAACACTCCCCATCTATAAAACAATGGGTTAGCTTGAAATGTATATAAGCACAATATTTAATTGGGTATAATGCACGCGTGAGCGCATTATAATGTAAAAAATTGGGCAATTATGAGATTAGAAAAACGAAAAGAGGTGCAACATGGTGGAATGGCGTGCAACTCCAATCGATGGCGACAACCAACAGAGCGGGCTAGCGAGTCTCTCGTCGTCTGCGCCCTCTAGCGTGTCACTGTCTCACGGTTGAGTCGACGCGATGGATCGCCGAGAGAAGAAACAACTATTATTTGATACAATGTATTTAGTTCGTAGAATTTCGAGTGTAATAACCAGAATAGGGAAATTTTTATAATATTTTAAAGTGTGATTTTGTTAAAAAAAATTGAAAGCTTCTTAAATAAAATAAAAAATTAATTTTAGTTTAAAGGTACAGCAGGCTGCAAATAACGGGTTTAACCACGGAAGCACTACTGTAATATTCTAAAGTTTTTACTTTTTGGGTTTTTCCTTTCAAAATCGGGGGAAGTCTTTCTTTATACAATTTATGTTTAAAATCGAAAAAAATGTGTATTTGTTGAATATGTCATTTCTAGGTTGTCACTCTATTCGTTATCAATAATGTCAATAAAATAACCAAGCCCAAAGAAGAAATTTGGTTAATATAAATATGAAATTTATAAAAAAGTATATTTATATAAATTTACGAAAGAATGCTATGAACTGTCTAATTATCATATTTGGCCAAATATTCCATCGCCTCTTCAACATCTTCCTTCGAACCCAAAATGATTGGAGCCCTCTCATGAATGCTAGTTGGTTGAAGATCGAGAATTCTTTCTTTTCCAGTTGTCGCTAATCCACCAGCTTGTTCCATAATGAACGCCATTGGATTACATTCGTAAAGGAGACGAAGCTAAAGAAGGACATCAATATGGAATATAAAATTCCATGTTTATATTTTACCTTTCCTTTTGGCGCGGATGCAGTTGGTGGGTACAAGAAAATACCACCATTGAGCAACGTACGGTGCACATCAGCCACCATTGATCCGACATATCTTTGTCCCATCGCCTTCTTTCCTGGCTCCGGCTCCTTGCGGGTCCTGATATATTCTCTGAGGCCCTTACTCCATGTCTTAGCGTATCCTTCGTTCAACGAATAGATGCTACCCTTCGGTTTGCATCTCATGTTTGGATGTGTCAAAATGAACTCTCCAATCGACTAAAACCGCAATTAAAACTTGAGATTGTCACTAAAGCACCCACTGGATCCAATGTGAATCCATTCACTCCACTTCCTGTCGAAAGAACAACCATGGTTGCCGATCCGTAAAGTGCGTATCCAGCTGCGACCATTTCCTTACCCGGACGGAGAACATCCTTCTCAGTTGGTGGTCCCGAACTTTTCTACAATTGTTTACCTTACAACAAAACCCGTTAAAACGAAGCACCTTTTTATAGATTCCGAAAATGGTTCCAATCGAGACCAAGCAATCAATGTTTGAAGATCCATCGAGCGGATCAAACGTGACAATGTAGCTTCCTTGTCTTTTTTCGTCAACCTGTAAGTGTTTGTTGTCCAATTCGTTCTCAAAACTCGTCATACCACAATCAGCTCATCGTTCTCTTCTGAAACCAAAAGTGAAGTTGTGTAGCTGCTCTTCAACATGTTGATCATAAGCTCATTGCTCAACACATCAAGCTTCTTCACTTCCTCTCCTTGCACATTGGTGGATCCAGCGATTCCGTACCTAATCAAAATCAATTCCTCCAAAAAAAAAACATTTCAAGGTTCACAAACAATTTGGCAAGTCCAGCTTTCTGCGTAGCGGACGCAATCGCCTTGATGGCCACTAGCATAGAAGTGAGAAGGTTCGTCAGTTCTCCACTGGCACCCTCGTGCTTCTTCTGCTCAGCGAGCACAAAGCGTTGAAGAGTCATTGAATCGGTCTCGATTCCATATTGGCTGTTCGACTCATTTGACGCCATTTCACCTTCAAACGACGAACTGTTTCAAATAGAAAATGATGTCTCATATGCAGCAAACAATTACAAAATTTGAGAACACACAATCATTTAATGCCATAAAAGGAGTTTGATATTCGAGTGTTTGACGAATTTGAACAAAGTTGTTCATTGATTTGAATGTCGAATACTATTTAAAAGCCCAAACGGTCATCGATCAGAGTCGACCGACGACCTACGAATGGCACGTAAAAGGGGCAAAATGGTCAATAACATTCGACAATCGCTTTCGATACACAAGAGAGCGCAGACAAAAGATGCGACGATACCACAAAATAACAAACAAAATGGCGAGATGACCCTATCGGGTGAACATTGAAGTTTATGCTTTGTAGGTCAAAACATCTTCTCTCTGTTTATTCGGAAATCAATATTTCAGGCATTCACAAATAAATATACATATTTGTTTCGTCAATTTTCACACAACCGTTCGTTTTTTCTTCAATTTCTCATTTCTCAAAAGTCGCCGCACCTTTAAATGTGTGTTGACTTTCAAAATCAAACAATTCGAAATCAATTGGAACAAGAAAAATGCGTGATTGTGTTTCGTGAAAACCATATCACCCCACGTTGTTGAGTGTTCTGTGATGATAAATAAGACGATCAAATTTTTGTTGTTTATTGCTGAAATCGAAAATGCTAGAATTTCGAAACCGAATTGTATGCAAATTGATTTTTTTTTCACTTGAAACAAAAATCTAACCAAAGGGAACATTTCCAAATGAATTTGCTTTTGTTTCCCCCATTTCTTTTCAAGGTTGTCTTGAAATTTAGAAATTTCTTTTATAAAATATTTCCAAATTTCTCTTGAATTATTTTTTCAAATCAAAATTGCCGAATAGGGAATAAATTATGCGTCTATAATTTATAACCATAAGAAATTGAATTATTTGCGGAATATTGTTGATATCCGATTCCAGATTCCGCTCGGCAAATAAGTGGGCGCTTGTGGAGTCGTTGGAGCTGTCGAATGTGCACACGAAGCGCAGCAATAGGAGGACATCACCTGGCAATTCAGAATTTTCTTTTTACTGAGCAGCTGACAGATTGGCAATTGATCGAGGCACTCTGAAAATTGTTCTTTCTTTCGAATCATCATCAAGTAGAGAAGTTCGGCTTACGATTGGCAATCATGATTGGAGGAAGCATTGGGCTATCGACCTTTATGTCAATTCCATTTTTGGCAATTAATTCCGAGAATTCCTGATTCATACATTTCGGACATTGATAAATCGAGCACACTTTCATGTAATCGCTAGCCGATGCATCTTTCGGGTGTCCGATTATTTTCTAAAATAAATCAAATGAAAGTGTGTGATCTGAAACGAAATCATGTTCACCTGAAATTTGTTATCTTTCGTCAGCATGCTGATTTTTCCCGGCTTCGCAAATGCCGATTCCTCGTAATGCATAACCGATAGATAGTCATACGGTATATTATATGTTGTGGCGTCTCGCTGAGAAAGTTTGTCAAATTGTGCATATTGACCTGAAAATGTGGGGAAAATCAAAAACTCGATGCCCAATATTCGATACTTGGATCAATATTCTGATAAAGCACTTGAATGTACTGATCTCGATCCGCTCGCATGTGCTCGTGCCAAAGTCCAATCGCGTGAAATAGCTCGTGGATTACAGTATCCTCGTGAATGCATCTGACAGAGAAAAATCTTCTCAATGAGACACGAAAGCTATTGATATCAATTCAGGAGTGGAGTTTACATATTTTTTTTCGTGTTTGAAGCTATTAAAATCGCAATGAGTAATTGTGGTATTTTTGGAATTAAAATTGAATTTTAAAAATTGGGAATTCGGGTACAGTAATACTGACAACCTGCGAATCAAACCCACCGTAAATCTACTAATCATTTGTTTCCTATTGTAAATATTCGACCTCATATTAAAAAAAAACGGAACTCACGATGAGTCGTCGTTGCTCTCAAGCATGATTATATTTCTTCCCGGGAATCTTCCGATGCTCGTATAACAACCCTCGCCCTTCTGATTTTGAATTTCGGCGTAGTCCCTTTGATTCGTTCGAGGAATGAAGCGAATACAAGAATTGTTCGCAATTTTGTCCATTGCGTTTTTGATTGTTTTCAACTCGAGCGCATCTACAAATCTCGCGATGCTCATTTTTTTTTGTGTGTGCTCACTATGATTACCGTAATCTCCTTTTATGGCATACGGTATGAGGAAATTCCCTTGTGCATCTTGCATTTTACTCCATTTCAATGGTGAATTCGGAAGAATCGCATTGCGCATCACCGATTTTCTAAAATTGTGAGATTTCGCGAATATTCGCGAAAATTTGATGAACCTCATTGGACTATTCTTGGCGATTTTTTTCGGCCGCAATTGCACAATATCTGAATATCCGTTTTCAGCACCATATATGTTGATTTTTCTTCCCTGAATTCTTTTTTTTTTAATATTATTATAATTGTAGGAAATAACTATTACGGGGTTTTAATGAAAATCATCAAAGAATAATAATGGTTGCTTACCCTGGCGTCGACGAATTGAGAAAATGCAAAAACGAGTAGAAAACAGAGGAGTTTAGCACTCATTTTCGATCCGTGGAAACCGCAAAAAAGGTGAAAAACTTGAATGAATATTTTCCCAGGTTTCGCTATGCTTTTCAAATGGCAAAAAAATATATATAAAAAAATGGGAACCTCTGACTGTTAAATTCGATTCATTGGAAAAGTTTGTGTTTGCACAGTTGGAGCGGCATCCATGTTTGACTGAAACATCTGTAAACGAAGATATTTGTGGAACTGCAAAAATTATTTGAAAGCAAATCGAAGGACGCCGCCGTGAAAACAATGATGGCAGAGAAAAAAAAACATCAGCTGTTAACAGCCGAGCGTTCGGTGATCCGCAGTTTTCATTTTATTGAGTTGAGTCGGCAAAAGATAGGCTTCCCATGCCGGGAATCGAACCCGGGCCGCGTGGGTGAAAACCACGAATCCTAACCACTAGACCACATGGGACACGCTTTCCCTGACTCAACCTGCCGTATAAATGTATAGCCTTGGTCGATCTCTGCAGTGCACTTGATTAGAGGGCGCTGTACTTCTCATTTTACTCCGCTTCAACAATTTTGTTGGCGTATTTATCAACTATTTTGGGTTTGTGAGACGGCGTAACAAAATCGTCACGCCTTTAGATTGACATTGTCTGAGTGTAATCGATAATAATAATCAAGAAATATTCTCTTATCAATCGCTCCCTTGAATGTGTCTCTCCGTTCCCGCCAAATTTTATCGATTGATTCTTCATTATCACTTGTATTTTTTGTCTTTTTTTTTTTAATTGTCGATTGCCATTAATTTTGCTATTTCTATTTTTCTCGTCATTCGAAATGATCAATATCGTTATACCATTGTTATCGGAAGCATTCACTAGAGAAAACTCGCAGAAGTGATTAACTGAGATCAGGTCAGAGTATAAAAAGTTCGTTGACTGAAATTTTTATTATTGGATGTCTTTTAGAGTGTAGTTTAAAATATAAGGAGCATTTAATTATGAAGAGAACTTTAAAATTGGTAACTTTGAAATTTAATTTTTTTAAACAAAAAATCTGATAAAATACATTAAATGTGTGTGTTTTTTTAAAATTATTTTTATATTTTTATTATTTTTATCGAATGAATAGGCCTATACGAATTTGATGACGTTCCATTATGTTTATTTTTTGAAATTTCAAGAATAAACCACCGCAAATTATAAAATCATCAATTCAATTAAGCATTCAAATATCTTCAATATTATAATTTTAAATTTGCGACACAGACTGCCACATAAAAATATTATCTCGTTTTGAGCCACAATTCCACGAGGAATTACAGACACTTTTTCCTGTTTGTCTCACCAAGAATTTATATTTCGTTATCAGTTTTGTCGTTGATTTTATATAGTTTCGAGCGATCTTCGTTTGAATCACCGAAATTTCGTCGGGCTCAATTCAATTCGCTTCCGGATGGTTTCACATGCGAATCGCGTGTCGCGAGATGAATCAAAACAAACTCTCTTATCTTCGTCAATCTTCACAATTCCATTCCGTCGACATTTTCAACCGTTTCTTTTCAATTCGCTTCGATTTTCAGAATGGGCGAGGAGCTGTGCAATATCTGTAACGACAAGTCGACCGGCAAACACTACGGAGCAGTGAGCTGCGATGGGTGCAAAGGGTTTTTTCGACGGAGTATTCGCAAACGATATCACTACGTGTGTCGGTTTGAGAAGATGTGCGACGTAACAAGAAGTATGAGAGTTTATGTGGTGTCTATGAATTCAACAATTCGACAATTTTAGATAAAAGGAATGCGTGTAGATCGTGTCGACTTCAGAAGTGTATAAAAGCAGGAATGAAATCTAATGGTAGATTTTTCAAATAATTATTCAATGACCAGTTTTAAATAGATTATAAAAAATTAATAATTGATCTTAATATGAAAAACTTTAAATTTTCCAAAAGGATTGCTCAATTTTTGAATTTTTTTTAACGCGTAGTTGGATTTTTTTAATCACGAGACAACGTCGATTTTAACGTGGAATAATGGACCTATTCATGCAATGAAAAAAATTAAAAAAATCGATTTTTTTCATTTGAATTCCCTATGCACACACGTTAAAAATTACAAAAAATTGACGCGATATATCGTAATTCTCCGCTATTTATTTTTAAAGGCGCATGCGAAAAGTTGCGCGGGTCACGTCGCGAAGTCGGTACTGTAATTTTTTAATGGCTGTTTTTTTTCGATTTTTTTATTTTTTGAGCGTTTAAAACGTTTTTTTTGGAAATCTGTAAAAGTATATTGTTTAATCAACACTAAAGGTTCATCAAAAGCGGCATAAAGCGAAATCTGCATCAAATTAACACAAATATCACAATTTTTCATAATAATTGGCATCTAAATGACGAAAAATAGACTTATATTGTTGAATTAGGAGTAATTATACCAATAATAATAATTGGTTCTACTCGTTCTTAAATCTGTTAGTCATTTCCTCTTCAAAGTTTTCGAAAAATACGGAAAAATAGCACATAGAATGAAAAATAAAAATTACAGTACCGACTTCGCGACGTGACCCGCGCAACTTTTCGCATGCGCCTTTAAAAATAAATAGCGGAGAATTACGATATATCGCGTCAATTTTTTGTAATTTTTGACGTGTGTGCATAGGGAATTCAAATGAAAAAAATTGATTTTTTATATTTTTTTCATTGCATGAATAGGTCCATAAAAAATGATAAAAATATTGAAAAATAAAAAAAGTGGACATCTTCGACAAAATAATTATTTTTCAAAGACACCATCACAAAAAATGAGCACATTGATAAATTGTGGACTATCGCATTTTTTCGAGGCGGTAATTCAAATTCGAATTTAAACCGTGGGAATTCGGATACCGTACTCTGGAAAACCTGCGAAGCTAATTCATCGTAAAAAAATGATATAATAAATACAGAATTTTATTTTTATTTTTAAAAACGTCTTAAAAATATGAAACAAATACAATGGTTCAGCGATTCAAAATGAGCGAGATGCGATTGGAAAACGGAAAAAGCCGGCACCCGAGAAGGAAGATCTGATTGATCAGCTCGTCGCCGCCGAAACCCTGTGCCAGCAGCTCCGATCCAGTGTGATAAAGAGAACACAACAAGTATCATATGATTGCGGCAAAGTCAAATGGACATCGGAAGACGATCGCAGAGCGACACTTGACGACATTGGAAAAAGCATTCACCAGCAGTTGGTGTTGCTTGTAGAATGGGCGAAATCTCTCCCGCAATTTGCATTTTTAACAATTTCAGATCAAGTTTGTTTTTTTTTGCTGCAATCACTGAAACACCTTATTTCAGGCTGCCCTTCTTAAAGGCACAGCAGCTTCGATCATTGTCTTGGGAGTCGCATATCGATCAATATGTCTTACGGTAGGAGACTCGATATGTCTCGCAAACGACACACTTCTTCCCAAGGACCATGCGACGCAAGTCGGTGATATAAAGTTCGTCATGTTCATGTGGCTTCATCTGAAAAATTGATATTGCATATATACGATATCTATAGTTTCAGTTGCGTGGTTAGTCGAATAATCGACGAAATCGTCAAACCGATGAGACGATTGAACATGGATTTATTGGAATATGTTGCTATCAAAGCAATACTTTTCTTCAATCCAGTTGTTCGAGAAATCAGTAATCCGGGGCCAATTGAGACAGCGAGATTTGCATGTCTGAAAGCGCTGGAAAAAAGATGCGCACAGATGGCAATGGCGCAAGAAGTTGAGAGTGAGGAAATGGAATGTCGAAGTGGAAAACTGCTCCTTCTGTTGCCCTCACTTCAAGCAGTGGCACAGCAACTCGTATTTAAACATTTCGTTTTTGTCAACTCATGATTCATGATTTAAGGTGGAAGATGTTCAACTTGCGCGCCTTTTTGGTTTGGTCAATGTCGATTCGCTGATGTCGGAGCTGATTCTCAATGATCAACGCGCTGCCGACCCGCTCGTCCTTCAATCGAGTCTCGCTTCTCCTGTGGAGTCAATCAAGACCGAATTGGAAGAATAAATCGCCAAGCCAAATCACGTTGCTGTCTCAAATGCTTACCGGTTAAAGGCAATTCAAGCCCGTCAGACTTAATATTTTTTTTTCTTCAATTTGCTTCATTTTATTATTCATAACATAACACCCGTAATACGTTCCATTGAATACTAATATTATTATTATTGTTATTATTATTGATCGATATCCTATTGAACCGAGTTCATTCGACTGCTCGGAGGTCGTAGAAATTGATTACTCGGCAATTCGACGGTCAAATCCTCACGACTAACCAATGGAGCAAATACGGATGTTTTCCTACGACCTGTAAATTTGTAAATTGATAAATATCAAGAGCAGAATTTTATAATTGAACCTTGTTCTATTGAATATCCACTAGCTGATGGAGCTCGCTCTTCATCATCAAGTGTGTCTTTCTTCTCTAACAAATTCACTATCACATCATGACCTATAAAGAAATTACGATTCTAATCGCTGATCGGCAGGATCACCTTGTTCGTTGAGGAATTGATCCCACATGGTGTCAACGACTTCTGTGCAAATCAACACACCAGAATGAATAGTTATCATTTTCAGCACAAATATTCCATCCATTTTGATATAATCGCGAACAAACTGAAACCGTCTGATATAGGTAAATTTTTCTTTAAAATCGGGCTCTAATTCATACCTCGTCTAGCTCATTTCGATAGTTTTGCTTGTCAAAATTCACGTCAGCCAATTCGAGTCGTCTAGCAATAAATTTTCGACGTTGCTCAAAAGGCAGCGTTGTGAAAATCCATGTTAAAATTGAACCGAATGAGAAAAATGCCAAGATTGTGTACCAAAGCCAAAGAATGAAAAATATCTGAAAATTGGAATGGTTATTTGAATTTCACAAATTTAGAACCTTCTCAGTGAATATATTGATTACAAGAACACATTGCACTGTATGTCTCTGAACATGCCCTAGTATTCTGATTTGCATATCGCAGTATGTGACAACTGGAAAGTTTTTCGACTCTTTCCATCCGCCACCGGTCACGAGGTCGTAGAATATACCATATCCATAGTATCGACGCTGCTCCAACTCCAAAAATCGACTCATGAGGTACATCTGAAACATGAACAATTATATGTGGAAGGCGGTTTAATCTACCTGGAATAAAACATTAAAAAGGAATAAAAATTTGATGACCAAATAGAGATAAGAAAGATATGACTCGTAATAGCGCAAATTGAGAAATTTGAATATTCTGCAATAATATAACAATTCTCAACTATTCTTTTTCCAAAAATAGATATGATTTAGTACTTATGATGATACGGATGAGAAGCGCCGAAGCGGAATCGATGGCGGAATATTGAAGAGAGATGAACCGAAAGACCATTGATATTTGCTCGACGCTGTGCTAAAAATGGCCTAGATTTATTTAGAAACATCAAATTCTGCTTAATGTGTTTTTTTAAAAGGGGCTATGGTGTGAACTTGTATTATTATCAAGAGCTGTGCGACTATAAATATCACCACGTTTTACCCTTTAAGTTGGGTATTTAAAAAATTAGGTTGTTCTGAAGCCAACTCTGTAAAAATGAGTGGGATCCACGCGGGTAAAATGCACTCGGCGGGATGGAACAAATTTGTCTAGCGGCGCTGACCGTGAGCTACCCACGCGGGTCCCACATACACCGCTATATGTAAGGATTGCGTTGTTCAAGAACAATTCAGAGTTCATCTTGATTATTCTCGTATAAGCCACATTAACAGTCTACCATCGTCAACCACACCGCCAGCCACGGCGAGCTCCTGATCAGCAAATCTTACCAGACAACCACCAAAGCCAAGATCCAGGGTTAATGTTAAGCACGAATTTCGATAGTTTTCCGAATTCGCGTGACAACACAATGAGATTTACCTGGCTGCACATTAGCTTTGTCATTGGCGAATGCCATAATATCTTTTAGACGAATTCCAGATTTGTCATATAAAAGACGCCAAATTAAACATGGCGCATAAAACATAAAAGCAACAACAACTAGGAAAAACGGGACCCATTGGTAATAAGAGACCTGCAAATTAATAAAAATAACAAAAAGTGACGTGATTGATTCGAAACCATCGTATAATCACGATCAACAACTTCTGGAAGATTTTCTTCATCGAATGGTGTGAAATAGGTGTTCCTTGCCCAACAATACATTTCTGAATAATCACATTCATATTTATTATTTTGATTTATTGAATTATACCAGTGTAATCCTCCCAACTGCTCTTGTATTCAGCAGGTAACCAACATTCGATCGGCCGTCCTCCAAACATTTTTAGCGATATTAAAACCTAACATTGAAAAAATTAAACATTTGAGTTCCCCCAATTTTTTTCGAAATTATGTGTTTTCTTTTTTCTAATTTATACGTACAGCTGTAAGTAGCAAAAATGTGGTTGTATAATAATAGTGAAGACGATCCGAAATGTCATCATCCGCCTGTGGTTGTAGAAATGACAATGTGCCAACAATCTCGGCAAACACCATCCTTGAAATTCGACGTTTATTTAAATAACAAAAATCGAAGAAGACGACATCAGAGGAGAATCGTGATGCAAAAAAATCAGTTTGAGCAAAACAAATAAAAATAATAACATAAAACTATGAAAAAAAAGGTGTATCGATAGATGAGGCGAAATCGATAAAAGCTGTTCAAACAGTACCTGGGAACCCTTGAAGTTTGGGCAATTCGTGATGCGCCGCCGGCACTTTTCACCTGTTGCGGAATATGTTGTTGCGCATCCATCAACAGTGGAGAAGCATTCTATACGTTTCCGTCGACAATAATGGTGTCGAGTTGCACCGTTGTTTCAATCAAACAATATTGAATCGGCAAAAGTAGGTGGATTTGCACGGCATTTCCCACGATATCAAGTCAGGATGAGGCGATTCGAGACGAGAAGAAACGACTGTTTGATTTGAGATGAAATGATTGAGAGTTGATTCGAGCCGCATATCGATTTGTCGCATAGATCTCCGATAGTTTGCCATTGACAATGTTTAATTCGGTTAACATTTTTAAAGAAGATTCTTTCAGACAATTTTTTCTAACCCAGTTTACCGGCTATAAAGGTAATTATCCACTGACTTTTGAGAACTTTTAATAGGTCTAATTTAAATGAAGAATGTACTTTGTGTTTCCATTATTAGTTCTCATCGTGCAGTTTAAAATCACATTTAATATACTTATATAATCATTTCAAATATAATAAGAGTAATCTTAATAAAGGCGGTTAAAACAAGAACAAGCAAAGTTGAGCCGAAAAGGTGAGCCAATAAAAGAAGGGGGTGATGTGCGGAGCAAATTCACATGCAATGACTCAAGGGGCTGGGGAACCTGGGCCGATGTGTCACGAACGGATTATCGCGCCTTAACAGTTTTTGGCTAGACAAACACTCGAGTATAATATTGCAATGATCTGAAAACGACCCCCCTCCCTCTTGGACGGTCTTCTCTAAACAAACGAGCCATTAAAGACTGTCTAAACACATGAATATAAGCTATTATACATTTTATTGACTTTACGATTCGAATTTCAAGGTTTCTTTAGATGACAGTACCATTCGTCATTGTATTCAAAACGGAATGTCGAAAGTTTTATTGAACAAATGCATATCACAAAATGAACATCCTTGGTTGATGCAAATCTAATATCCTGATATGATTCCACGGCTATACGGTGTTGATTATGTACAGTTCTCTACAGGACTATCATGGCAAATTTTGGGCGACAGAGGGGAAAATGAATAATAAATATTAGCATCGAAAATCCACATATTTTATTCTTGTTTGTCAATGGGATTTCCAAGAATTACGGAAGCATTCGGAATCTGAGTTGGTGTAGACACCATTCCAATAACAGAGCTCGTCGTGCTTCCAACACTCGATAAGTTTCCAGATGTAAGAGGTGACACCTTCAAAGTCTAACGTCTCTAGTAGAAACTTTTATTTGAATGTTTACCCCATTGGTTGGAAGAGTCGTAGGAGATTGTAAATGCTGCTGCAGAGATACCGGGGCAGAAGAATGATCGTTTATATCATCAAGAATGAATTCTGATAGGAGGGAATCAACCTAAATTTTACTTATTTAGGTATTGATAGTAAACCAAAAAATAATACCTCTGCCAATCCGAAGAACTTGGTAAGAGTCATGTTCTCAATCAATAATTGCGTAAGTGCTTTAAGCGCCGGCGCCAAAAGCAAAATATTACCATATCGCGTCGGGGCCTCATCTGGCATTTGATCAAGGATAAATGCATATAGTGCTTTCAGTACCCTATTTCTCGCCTAAAACAATACGAAAATACAACTGGTTTTTTGAATAGATTTCACCTCGCGAATCAAAGTTTGTGATTGATTAGTTAATCCTTTAGCTTCAGGATGAAGGAACGCAAGAGCCTTGAGACAAACGAATTCCTGCTCGCGCATTTGCAGTTGCCTCATTGGCCACACAATTTCGTCAAGTACTCTAAACTTTGCACATAGCAGTTTTTCGAAACGGAAACTAAAACAAACCTTGGTGTTATGTTGCTTGTCTTAAACGCCGCGAAGCCGTTCAAATCGGTATTTGCATCTCGACTCATATAAGTGTTGTTGAATAGACACACGCGAGTAGTGTCTGGACTCCGGAACGCTGGCATCAGAATTAGATGTTGCGGCGCGTAATTCTTCAGCAATATAATTTTGTCATCCATTGTAAGATCTGGAAATGGTGAAATGGTCTTCGCCCATTCCACCATAAGCAGTAAAGTAGTACGTGATATCTCGTTTAGGTCCTTAAACGAAATGTATAAATAAAAAAAAATAACCAGAGAATTCAGCTTCTTACTTCTGCTGTACATGGCCTATTCGGCTGAGTAAAGGCTGAACCCCCATTAGCCTCTTCTTCAGGCATCGGTTGGGTTCCGCCTTGTTGGGGATTTATAACCGACGAACGGTTACGGTATCGATTGCACATTTCCTGAGAGTACTGAACGCTAAGTAAGGATTTTCTGACAATTCTCGAATTCTTACCTCGTTAACGCGCGCTTCCATTTCCATGAGAGCATCAATGACTGTACTCGATGCGGCTCGAAGATTCTCTTGCTGCATTGCTGAATCGTTACCATTGGCTCCGAAGCTGTTTTGCGACATTGGACTCCCGCGGTCTTTCTTGAATTGACCATTTCCCGCTGACGATGGCGATCCAGTGGGATCACGCTCGAATTGAATGGCTGAAAATTGTTTTGTTTCAAACTTGAATAATAATCACCATGAGTATCCCAAACGTGAAATTTTTTTTCAAAATCACCTTCTCTCTTCATTCCGACTTGTACGCATTTTTGAAATCGGCAGTACCGGCATGCACAACGGAAGTTTTTATCGATTGTGCATCGTTTATTGAAGCGACACGTGAACTTTTGATCACGAAGGACCGTTCGTCGAAAGAATCCCTTGAATAAAACCGGATTATAAAAAAAAAAAGATTAATAGACAAAACCTTGCAACCGTTACAAGAAATAACACCATAATGAGTTCCTGTGGATTTATCTCCGCAAACTGCACAAGGTTCCGCAAGCGGATCCACTGAAAAAAAAAAACGGAAATTAAATCCAGAAAATTATTTTTTCATTTTCAAAATTTTTCGTTTTCGGCATTTTCATCTAAGAAGCCAATATTTTTTTAATTTCACTGATCCGAAAAAATGAGCCGCGCTTGGTTTTGGTTCAAACATTGAGGTTCCAGGCGAGTTTCCAAAAACTTTCGTAATTTGTCATAAAACTTAATTATCCTACCAGTGAGACACTCCAATTATCCATTTTTGTACACGAATAGCTTTATTTTTGCATCTAATGTTTCTAAAGCAAAGAACACGTTTTGGGATTACCGGGGAAACACTTTGGTACAAACAGGGGGCGGTGAAGTTTGCGGTAGAACAAATGTGTCAGTCTCTCAAAATCACCCACAATCTGAAAGGCCATTTCATCGGTTATTCACTTGCGTTTCACCGAAATCCCAATTCAAACACGATTTTGCAGAGCATTGTTTAACAGTTTTGGGACGAGCATCGAAAGTTGTTGGAAACTCTCGTGGAGTAATAATGTTTATACCGAAACCAACGGCGGTTTGTTCTTTTACGACTTATTGAGTATGTTAAAATTTAACGGTCTGAGCTTTTCGATCAACAAACAAGACGCTTATTTTAACGTGTCAGACTGGGCGATATTTGTTTCGACTCGTTCAATTTGTCTTCTATTTACCCCAAAATGTTCCGCGGGTTATCCCAAACCGAAAAGTGCTCAACTGTGTATGCAGAACTTTCAAAATTTCGGAAAGCTCATTGGGGAAATAAGACTATTTTCACATGCGTGTTACGCCAAAACCGAGAAAAACCCTTGTTTCGCCCGATGAAAAAAAAAAGAGCACGCAGCCGATTTACTGTGATTTACTTAGCTTCGCAGTTTATCCAGAGTACGGTATCCGAATTCCCTGTTGTAATCCGAATTTGAATTACATTTGAATGCCAAAAAGACAATATTAATGGTCTTGGCGCAGAACTTAAAATGAAGATTTTTTCGAGCCTATGCATAATGATAGATCAAAAGCGCGCACCAAGACCTTTTATTTTTTTTATTTTTGGCATTTAGCCAGTTTTCTGCACACGCGCGACGTTGACAACATGTATGCTTTCCGAAAATTTAAAATTGTGCATACACTGTCACGCACAAATGCACCACTCACAATACTGCGGTGTAGATTTCATTTTAAGTACTACTTGGCACATAGCCACTTTGTTTCAATTTCGATCAGTACCACTATAAATAAAAGTTTTTCAAATAAAGTGCAAATTTTTATTCGTTATGCATCCGTTTTCATTTTAAACTATTTTTTAAAAATAACGTTTTAACACATTTCAATTATTTTTTTAACCAACCTAAATCCATTTCGTTCAATTTTGTTTGATTGAAACCTCGTAATCCTGTAACAAAAAAATGTACTGCAAATATTGGGCGTATTCAAAACATGAATATAATAACATTCGCCACAAGAAAAATTATGTGTGTATGCTCAATTTGTATGATACATAATTGATGTCAAGGAGACGAAAACAGGCATAGTGCAATAGTGCGAACTGGTGGTGGCCGCTGTGCGGAAAAGAATAAGAGAAAGGGGGGGGAGCAAGAGTTATCGATAATTCATTGAATGTGCCCAAACAACGGGTCACACGACACGAGTTTGAATACATATGAAAATAATCGGCATCTAAAGAAACCAGCAGAAAAATTCAAAAAAAAAAATATTATGCAGACTTTTGAAAGGGAAACTCGATAAATTCCATTTCTCCGACGAACTTTTTGCACTATTAAAAAAATTATGTTTTAATGGAACGAATATGTATTTTTGGCAGATAATAATGAACCAACAAAAAAGTGTTCCTTGAATTAATCCGGCTTTCTTAAAAAAAAAAAACAAAACACGATCTAATATGCGACTATGAAACAACGTTGTGGCCAATACGAGGGACGAACGATAAAAGAGAATGATACCCATCTCCGATTGTGACGCAAACATCGGATTTTTTGGACCTCTTAAAAGATTCCCGCGCGTTTTCGACGCTGGGGACAACCGTTGTGTTTCTTTACAAACTACACAAACAATCGATCAAACAAATATTATATCGTCGATTGTTGCGTACTATATACACGCACCAAACCAATTATTTGATATTCAGAAATCCACTCTCTTTTGATTTCATTTTATTTGTGTCAATATCAGATTTCAAAAATTTTGCGCTTTTTCGATAACATCATCGAACGAAGGGTCAAACCTAGAGAACAAGAAAGAAAAAGATGGTCAAATTGTTTCGAACAAAAATAAGAATCGCAGAGAGAATTTGCCTCCTTAATAAAAATTCTGTCTGAAACGAGATTCCCTTCAATGCTAATTATCTTCATATCGCCGATTTTTATGGACAGAAAAAATGATTAAAAAATGACGCACTCTAATAGCAGATTGTTGAATCTGTTGAATTTTGTTTCCAAATAGAAAATCGATCCATTTGGTATAAACGAATTATAAAAATTGGTTTCTAGGAAAGAGGAGACTTCTTTTCATAGATTCAACAATTTTTAAAGGTTCTTTTAACGTATAATTATAGTATTTTGTTAATTTAAGGTTGTTGTTTGGAAAATTTAATATCAAAGAACAATACCTTTTCCGAGAATTTAAAACGAAAACGACTGAAAGAGAAAAAGGGAAAATAATCTCATTTGTTAAAAAAAATCCTAATTCACTAAGACCACGGATATTGCACTTGGTAGCGAATTCATAATAGTGCAACCAACACCAATTGAACTTCCGCTTATAAGCTGGCGGGGAGAGGGATATAGAAAGGTGTGATGTCATTAAACCCGAGAGTGAAACAATAAAAGAATATTATGCGTTTGTGGCAAAATGTGTACTCATAAAGATAGAACGATCATCAAATAATAAACAAAAAGGAGAAAACAACAATAAACATAAATAAACATAAACAAAGTGGAATGAAAAAACGAAACACACGAATAGAATCAATACACGAAGAGGAAACGTCCGATTCGGGGTGCCAGCAAAAGGCACTACATTCTAGCTGTGTGTGTGTGGGGTCTCATCATTTTCGCAATACACTTTTGAACGATGTCTCCAACTCGCCTGCACTATTTTGTCGACCCATCCATCTCGCAACAACTTGCCTCTGTGCCCTATCGCCAAAAGTGCAATGTTGTTTCTTCAAACTTTGACGATTTTTCTCGTTGCCCCCGGATTTCGGTCAAAAATCAATACGTTTTCTGATTTGATTAAATGCTTGGACGCGGTCTTAGCAACGCGCCATTGGGTATATATTGAAATGATATGATATCATACAAAAAATTTCATCGAATCAGGCCTAGTTTCGGGAAAATGAACAAGGTGTCCAGCACTTTTTTTTTCGTCGTATTTTGAAATCATTGGGTTTGGAATTGGTATTTTATAAACAGTTATTTAGTTTTGTTCAATGCCAAAACCCGTTAGTTTGATTCGCCATTCACAAAATTTTCATTTTCAAATATAAAATCGCTTTGGCCTCTCTCGTCAGATCAAAATTTGAACCACTGGAAAAAGGGATAATTGATTATAGAAAATAATCCCAATTATCATTTAGGCTTCATTGTTTTGGCAGGTTTCATTGGCATTGGACAAATTTTATAAATATAACAATGATGATTGATAGTTTGAAACGGAAGAGGATAAAAAAATGAATGATTCAAATAGAAATGGCGCGAAACCAAAAATCTGACCATTTTTGAATATTAGAAACAATAAATTCATTGAAAATCAACAACATTATAGCAACAAACAACGACTTCTGAATTCCTCGACGACGTTTTCAGGAAGATGAAGCTTTCGTAATCCTCTCGAAATCCAGCGCTTCGCCATTTCATGATCCGGATTTCTTGTTAATGCTGCACTCATTGCGTTAACTATGCTATTCGCCAAGAATATTCTAGGCCGGCGGATTATGAGTAAATGCTTGCAGAAAAGAAAGCTACTTACGATTCCTTAATGCGCTCGCATAGTAATGCAAATGTCAATGCCAAGAGCGGCATTTTTGCACAATTCGTTGTTTCTTTCACGAAATTTTCCACAGCTCGCTCCAAATTAGGCTCATCGCTCGAAATTTTCATGAATTTGTAAACTTGAAGATCAAGAACATCAGCAATTTTCACAAATTTTTCAGAAGCGATGCTTTTTTGAAGAAGATAACTAAAATTGGTGGCATTTTCAGACAATCAAAAGCTTAATGACAACATGAATGTCTCAATTCTTACCAATAATGATAATGATGTAAATTGTCGATGATTATTCGCTCCAAATAATCCAGACTTTCGGAATATTTCGATGAATTTAATGCAAAATCACGGCAATTGTCCCATGGCACAAATCCGCAAATCGCTTCAACTCCAGCGCTAATCATTATTTGATCTTTCGAAAATCTTCTCAATGTGTACAAAATAAATCGACATATCCTTCGAATTGTCGCGAGTTGGCTCGCATTGTAAAACTCGAACGAGCAGATAACGAATCGAGAAAAGAAGAAAAGTGCAAGGTGAAAGGCTTTTTTTGAAAATTCGCTCGGATTTTTCGACAAAATCTCATCGATCTAAAAATAAATGCTACTTTGATCTTAACATTTTCAACGCAGTTCTTACCAAACGATAAACTTCATTCTTTTTTCGTCCGATCACAAACAAATAGCATCTATCAACTTCGTGGCGGATTTCCAAAATTTTTCCAGTCGTTGCAACTTTAAAAAAAGTTTTTTAAAGGAAAATTGAGCATATTTTACCAAACAACTGAGTGCAGCAATAATTGAGACTTTCAATCATCATTTCAAGAAGTTCGTTAGTTTCTGTATACTAATAAACTGAAATGAAAATGGAATTTTGAAAACCTATTGATATTCCAGAGTTTGCAACAATTTTCGCGAGCATTTCAAACATTTTCCTTCTTTTTTCTACATTTTTTAGATTCTTGCAAATTGTCCAAATTCGCGTGAATTTCTTCGAATCTTGTCCGATTGTTCCTAAGAAGCACACTTCGAATGTCAAGGCTCTTGTATTTTCGGTTGCCGTGCTGAACAAATCGCAAGCCTGAATATTATTCAATATTTTCATTTTTATAGATTTAAATTACCATTTCAAAAATTGCTTCCCGAAATTTGAAATCCTCAAGAGAAATTCTACGGATTATCTCGCCTCCGAAGTCGACGACAGCCTTCAAAAAGCAATACAATACGAATGGAATCTATTCGTTAAAATTTACGCGTAATGGGCATTTGGATATCGCTTCAAAAACAAATTTTGAATATTCTTTATGATTTGCAGCACAAGCACACTCTAATAAACTCTAAAAACGGCAGGATTAATGAATAACATCAAATCTACTACCGTAATTTTTGAAACAAACGCACGCTCGTCGATATCTAACGATCGCAACACATTCATAACAGCAGCTACTGACGGATAAGCCTCGGAAGGACCTTAAAAATTGAAATAAATTTCGATTTAACATAGAATTTAATAATATAGGATGATTCCACCTACATTGAAGTTTCAATAAATTATCCAATGAAGATTTCGACGCTTCGAAGTCTTCAACAGAAATAATGCCGTCTAATTGCGGACAATTTGACGCAGGATAAAAACGAGATGACTTCTGAAAAAAATCAGCACTAGAATAAATTTGTCCAAACTTTTACATCTTTTTCGGATTCGCTCATTCTAATTTTCATGATTGTCTCTTGCGAGGAATCACTCAGGTTCTTCAACATTTCGTCATCAATCTCGCGCATCACACTTTCACAAAAATCGCGCTCGAGATCACGAAGTAGCTGGCATTCTCAAAGTAAATCAATTTTTAACATTTTTAATTAAAACGAATTTACCTAAATCTGTGGGATAAATTTTGTATTTTCTACAAACTTCATACGCTAATAATCGAACATTTTCATCGTAGTGCTTCAGACACTTTTTTAAAATCTATAAGAAATTTTTATTTTTTTTTATACCTTCAACGAATATTTTACCTCAATTTCAAGAAGATTTCGAATTGAATATTGTGCACCGGCTCCACAAAATGCAATAAAAATATCGAGATATGCCATCAATGCAAGCTGACAATCTGAAAACGGGTCATCATCAAATGTCGACCTCCATTCCAAATCGACACATGTGAAGCTCTATAATAATTGTTTATTAGAAATTTTAAATCTTCATGATTCTCATACCCGAAGGTCTCGAAACGAAAGAGGCAAAATAGGTGAATTTTCCAAAGATTTTATGTGATTTTGAACGGTTTCGATAACTAATTCTACACATTTTTGAGTTTTCCGAACAGAAATAAGACGAGACAGCCATGATCTTACAACATTCGATCGAACAGCGCTAAAAAATTAATAATGAACATTTTTCTTGGTTGTTAACCAACCCAGATGGTGACTCCAAACCCTTTACTATAATGCGAGAAGCATCCTTTTGAGAATCTTCGAAGCTTGCTAAGGAAATTATCAGCGATGAACATCGCGCGGCACAGTCTTGTTCCATTGAGCAAGTCGAAAGCTCATCAAATACAGAGTTCTGTAAATTATAATGATTTATTATTCTTCAAGTTGCTCTCACTGGTAAATTCTTTAAGGAAATGAGTTCAGCATTTCTTAAATATGCAAGAAGGTCCCATCTCGATTGCATCATCAAAGGCATACTGTTTAGAAATTGAGATATCTGTTAAGAAAAATTTATGTGCTAATTTAAGAAACAAGGTGAACTTCTTGAACAATGTGTTCCTTTGAGCTGTGAAGCTTTATTGATTCGACCAGTGTTGATTGCAATTTTTTAAGTTCCTTGGACTTCTTATCCGACTCGTAAAGCTCCACTATTATAGAAAATAAACTTCTAAAATAATTCAGTTCACTATTATTTATAAATTACAACCAATTCCCTATATGAGGCGGCCGATTTTAGAGGTTCTTCTCGTCTTTTCAAAATTTTCGTCAAAACAGAAAGGCATTTTCTGTCATGTAAACATTCGCGTAAACTTCTGAAATCGAATAATTTAACAGGGAACTATTGTGTTTTAAAACAGATACCCTATATTGTTTTCCAAGTTTTCATTGAGTTCACAATTCATGTCCAGCACCTAAATAGAAAAAAATATAAAACTTAATCTGAATTTTTCCCAAAAAATTAAATTGACGGCCTAGAAATTTTCAATGGCCGAGAAGTAGCAACATCGGCCACATAAAAACATAAATTTTTGTCAGCAAATTGTGCCGTAGAAACGGCGGACAAACGCGAAATTCTGTGAAGCAATGAAAAAAAATGTTTCCATATTTCAAAATCACACACTCTCCCAATTACCTTTTCATCGGCGATCCGCGTTTTACCGAAATCGATCACCCCCGTTTCCATCGCACGATTTGATGGGTGGTTTACTGCGGGGCTGCGTGAGAACACGGATCGCCGAGATTTGAATCAAATATTACCGGATGAACAGGAGAAAAACGAAATGTCTCAAAATTGGACCGTCATAAATACAGCGCATTTTGTTCTCAATTAATTTTTTTTCAAAACAACAAACCACTAAATTTATTCAGCAATTTTTTATTCCCGTACGCTTAAAAAAAGGCAAATTTAAATATTTAAAATATCGCCCCGAATGATGGTCCGATGGTCCACAAATATCCAGGATTCTCACTTTTGCGGTAAATAATATATGTTTGGTAATAATATTGAAAGAGTATATATTACGAAAAAAAGCACTTTCGGCTGATTTACGTTGTTTTTTGGTTATCCGTATTCAAACTTGCGACGGGGCAGGTCGGACTGAAAATTTTACCGCTTTTTTTCAGAGACAGTCTGTGTAACTTCACCGCACGAAAACTACGCCAGTCAATTACATTATGGCGCATTTCCCGTGTAAATTTCGATGTTTTTGTCAATTCAAAACTCTTCTATTTTTCTGCTTCTTATTGTCTCATTTTATGTTGTATCAAATAAATTTTAAATTTGAATTGTTTCTATTTAGAAATATGGGTGATGCAATTGTCGAACGTCTTGAAAAAATCGCCCTCCGAATGGAGGAAATACTCGAATTTGGAAAAACAAGAATTGGTAAAACAAAAATAAACATTTAGTTTACCCTAATAATTTTAACTTAAATGACAGTTAATAAAAATGCGGAACAAACCGGCAAAAAAACACCTCGTACTGTTGAGCTTTACGACGATTTTGTATTAGAAAATATCGAAAAGTTCTCGATCATATCCAATGATATTGGCGGGGAGCTTCAAGAAGCAAGTAAAATAGTAAACGAAAATTCTAAAATATCGAAAATATAGATTTTTTCTTTCAGGTTTTGTCTATTTTTTCGAAACTCCGCGCATTCCTTGAAAACGCCGCTACAAATGTCAAGCCAAGCAACATCGAACTCAAAAAAATGCTGTCTGCGATAACAGACGAAACTGCAGTTTTTACTTCATGGAAAAATGAAAAAAGAAGCTCGGAGTTTTACAACCATTTTTGTGCCATTGAAGAAGCGTTGAGTGGTTTATTTTTTCTCCAATTCGAATAGGTTGATTTCTATTAAGGACTTTTCTGGGTTGCTGCTGAAAAGACACCATCAGTTAATATTCAAAACGCTATTGAAGCATCAATGTTTTACATAAACCGCGTGTTGAACAAATATAAAGTGATTCCAATTTTCATTTCCAGTTAGATAGGTTATTCAGAATACTGACAAGAAACATGTCGACTGGGCGATCACATGGAAGAGCGTTTGGGAAAAGATGTTCGATTACGTGAAACAGAACCATACAAATGGTCTTGTATGGAAATCATCTGTGATATATGCAAAAGCCTGTATTTTATACGGAAACTTTCTTTTTTAATAATCTAAGAATTTAAGTTGATATAAAGCCGTCTGCTCCTCCATGTTCTGCTCCAGCTCCACCACCACCGCCACCTCCACCAAAGAATCTTCATGGCAATTTGAAAAATGCCGATATGTCTGCACAAAGAGCAGCACTTTTTGAACAGATTCGTCAAGGAACTGATATTACTAGTCATTTAAAAAAGGTTTAGCACAAAACGAATTTCAATATTAATTATTTTAGGTGGCGGCTGACATGCAAACCCACAAAAATCCGGCGTTACGTGAGAAAAAATCGAACATTGTCTCAGGAAACAAAGAAAATGTGAAAACCGATGCCCGACGGGATGGAAAAATTTATTTGCAGGTTTCGTTTCTATTTTTTTTTTTGTCTCTGCAACTATTTCAGGATGATAAACAATGGAATATTGATTATGTGAATAACAATCATGATGTTGTTTTGAATGTTGCGGATATGAAGCAAACTGTTTACATTTATAAATGTCAGAATTCCATTATCAAGGTTAATAATTATATTTTCAAAATTTCATTTACCCACTATTATGTTTAGATTAATGGAAAAGCTAATACTGTAACATTGGATAGCTGCTACAAAACATGCGTCGTTTTTGATAGCCTTGTTGGTCAATGCGAACTGATTAATTGCAAGAAAATTCAGGTTAGTTTTGTTGGCGTCAAACGACTGAAGGGAGGCGGAACCTTCAAATTCACGGAATCAGTGTAGATTAAAATTTATCGTTGACTGAATATTAAATGTGCCTACACTATAATACAACGTACGCAGTCTCTTCTCGCTGCCTCGAGACGCATAGGCACATGGCCAATAATTTTTTAAATTTCGTCAAGTCGTTTGACTTTGACAACACCATTAAAAATTATCTGTTCGGATCAACAGTTTTTGTTTGTTTTGATGACGTCACATGGGGACTAGAATAGAAACTGAATGATTGCTATTGGATATATTCTGAAAACCTAAGATTTAAAAAAATTTTAGGTTCAAACTCTTGGAGATCTTCCAATGATATCGATTCAAAAAACTGATGGATGTCAAATTTATTTGTCGAGAGCTGCACAAAACGCCCAAATTGTCTCATCGAAATCGGGCGAGATGAATATTATGGCTCAAGTTTACAAATTATTCGTTCGATTCAAGCTTTATTTATTTTTAGCTCGATGAAAACAGTGACGAATATACCGAAATGGCGATTCCGGAGCAATATGTGACTATTTTGAAGAATAAGAAATTGCAAACTTCTGTCACTGAAATCGTTTAAATTATCTTATTTTTCTTGAAATTTCCTGATTTGTCTAGCATTACAGTTATAAAGTAGAATTGCGCAGATTTTTTTTGCACTTTTATGTGGTCAATATTCCAATATGAATATAAGTTTGAAATTTAATTACTGCATTATTTATATTAGTTATATGTATATATATCTAGATGATGAATATAATGGAAAGGCAGGTGGTGCAAGGTGAGGTTGGTGAAACAAATCCGTTAATAATGATGAATCTTTAGCACAACAACACGATGATGAACGAAAAACACCGCTCCAGGTTGGATAACGCAAATAAAAAAATAATTGAAAGCATAATTCCAATTTAGGCTCCTATTATGGTTCTTCAAGGTCATCTGGGTGAGATTTACACAGCAAAGTTTAGCAATGATGGAACATGTCTGGCCAGTGCCGGCTATGATATGCAGGTTTTTATTCAGTCCCGAATGAAATTTAAAACTCTAATTGGCTCGTAGATTTTCTTATGGAATTCATTCGACAATTGCGAGAATTTTGCACTTCTCAAAGGTCATAAAGGTGCTGTCATGGATTTGAAGTTCAACACGGATTCGACACATTTGGTTACGGCGAGTACGGATCGTACAACGCGAGTTTGGGACATGCAAACAGGCGCTTGTGTGAGAAAATTCCGCTCACACACTGATATTGTGAACAGTGTTGATGTTTCTCGTCGTGGTCCGGAATTGATCACAACCACTTCCGATGATGGCAGTGTAGTTGTATGTTGGCTTATTGTCGGCTGCGGAAAATTGGTTCTATCAGGATTTTCAAATTGGGGTGACCCGGACCTGTTTTTCATTTTGATTATTCTGGGCGAAATGCCAAAAAATTTAGGGAGAGTTCTCGGTGCGCGGTGTGCGCCTTTATCCTATCCTCATGCACAGGTCCGTAAATCCAGATTTTTTTTTGCGCCAAGATTTTCCGCAGTAGCGTCAGCAACGTTCATGTGTTTCCATTCGAAACTTCTCACTATTTTCAGATTCATGATATTCGAATGAAAGATGTCATCAAAAAGTTTGAAAACAAATATCAAGAGACGGCTGTCAGCTTCAACGATACTTCGGATCTCGTATTATGTGGTGGGATTGATAATTTAATCAAGGTTCTCATTTATTTTTTCCATCTTCTATTTGAAAACATTGACTCATTGAAGTGTTGGGACATCCGTCGAAACGATATTTTGTTTACATTGAATGGTCATCGCGATACAATCACCGGCATTGAGCTTAGTCATAATGGAAATTACTTGATTTCAAATTCGATGGATTGTTCTCGTAAGCGTTCTCTATCCCTCTCCTCTTCTTCTCATTGCCGCCTGTTCAACAAAAATGAACGCAGTTCTTTCTCACGGCAAACGAGCTTTATACTCGTAAAATATCAATAGGCGGCCGACATCATTTTATGAGATGTTTTATGCTCATTTTAACACTTCTAAAACAAAACAAGTGCATTATTATAACATAATCACATTGTATTGACAAACAAAATCACATTTTCAGTTAAATTGTGGGACATCCGTTCATTTGTTGCCGGCGAACGACTTGTTCAAACGTTCTATGGACACCAACATAATTTCGAAAAGGTTATTAATATTTATTAATGAGCGCGTTGTTTTTTTCAATTATTGTTGTTCAGAATTTGCTGAAATGTAGTTTCTCGCCTTGTGACAGCTACGTTTCCGCTGGTTCATCTGACCGTTTTGTTTATGTTTGGGAAGTGGCCAGCCGTCGAATCGTCTACAAGTTGCCTGGTCATTTGGGCAGTGTCAATGCTACAGATTTTCACCCGACACAACCGATACGTAAGAGTTGATACAAAATGAGACTACAAATCTATTGAATACATATTTGCAAATATGATATATAGAAACTTGTTTTGTTTTTGGTTTACTTTTCTTATTACTTTTTAAAATTTTAAATATATACCACAGAAAGAAATTATCTTTAACTCAAAAGAAAAAAATAGAAATTCGCATAGAGTACAGATGAAAAAGAGTTCATAAAGGTGATCGTTTAATAATAAAAGGAGCTCATAAAGGTGATCGTTTAATAATTGTCTGTACCAGATGTTGCGGTTCTCAAGTTTTTCTAACAGCCGCAGGATCCCTTAGAAGTAATGCGCCACCTTCTCTTTTCTCTGCGTTCCCTTTAGTTTCCTCGTGTTCCGCGTGTTCCCTCAACAGGCATAAGACACGCCCCTCATATCGAAACTGCTCGCTCCTAACGCTTTTTTGTTTGGCAGAAACAGATGTCCGCGCAATTTGTCGCGGCAACAAATGCGTGTTTTATAAATTTCAAATGTTTTTCTTTGCGCTGTTTTGCCGAACGCATAGTCCAAATTTAACTTTAAAAAAATTTCGTGGGTAAATCTACAAAAATTCTACGGTACTCTTGGTGCGAACACGTGGCTTTCACATCGTCATTTATCACATTTGGCACATTGACCATCTTTTGTGAATCGACTATTTTAAACCCCTAGTAAAAAATCTTAGGATTAGCATTAGAAAGTTATTTTCGACGTCGTGCGACACACATTGAAAATAGGAAATCGATCAATTTCGAGGATTTTTGAATCGAAACCAAGTTTTCAAATCAAATTTAAACATTTTGTTAATCGAATCAGGTTAATTCATTATTAATTGGTTTTCGATTTATTTTCATTTAAGTGAATTAATAAGTATTCTTTATTGACAGATTGGAGAAGGTCTGGTTGGTGACAGTGTGTTTCTAGTTAGGAATTAAAAAACACTAACAAGATTTGCAATAATTTGAGAAGCGAATTCATTTCACAACTATTTGAATGTAATTTTTGACATAAAACGTTTTCAGTTCTTTCGGCTGGAAGTGACAAAAGAATCTATCTCGGTGAGATCGAGCTCTCCGATTATTAACCGCTGTTTTTATGTATTATTCTCTCCTGTTTATGCTTTTGTCAATGTTTGTTTCTTTCACGGCATAACTTGTTTTTAATTTTATATCGACGCATTTATCATTTTTTCTTTTTCTATTGTTTAATAAATTTTTCGAATATCTCCATTTTAAATTTACTTGTAATTTTCAATTTAATATGTTATAACCTCATGGAAATATATTTATTCGAATCATAATTTGTTATCTCCTCCTCTTCCACGAAACATCAATGATAATTTAATTGCAGATAAGCTACTAACATGAAAGAAAATGAGTTGCTCTACGTTCCGATTAAAACGTGTTTTAGCGAAATGCATGCCGAGAGTAATCTTTGGACTAAGGTAAGAACAATTTTTATCTTTGTTAAATACACATTTTGTGTAGATTGATGCTTTTGAGAAATTTTAATTTCTTTCTCTAGAAGCCATCTAAAGCGAACTCTGCTTTTCAATTGGTCCCGTAAAAATTGCGAAAAAAAAATCAAACATTTCTTTATATTCATAGAGATATTTTTTCGGAAAATGGTTTACGCAGATTTTAAACAACTCATTGACGGCATAAAATGACAGAGAATAGTTAAATAATCAAAACATTGGCTTCGTGCCAAGTGTCTCGAAGCAATGAGAAGTGTGCGTGTCTGTGTACTCTGCATTTCAGCGTACGCGCATTTCAAATTTTTTTGTCCGCACGCAAATTTTTAAATTTGTAGATCTAAAGTGATTTTGCTATTGAATATCCCGCCACCAATCTGTCATTTGAAACTGACAATAAAACTTTTAAACTCATTTTGAATAGCTGTTGGTATCGGTGCACACCGCGCACTGATACCTCTTTTTAAATTGTTTGGCATTTAGCAAATTTTCCACAGTCGCGTGAATCCGAAAATATGATTCTTAAAAAATTTGCACTTATGTTTTTTTTTGTCACACGCCCATTAATTATCATGAAATATTTCATTTATATTTTTTATAATAAATTTTATTTCAGTGGAAAAATGGAGAAACCATTGAAGTCGTTCGACGTATAATTGGTCGACCATTCGTTTATTTGGAGAAATGTGATATTGATTTCTTGATTTTGAAAATTGAGAAATTTCAACAATCAGTTTGTGATGCTGTCACGCACTACAGGTAATGCTAATATGGCCGTGGCCGACAAATTTCGATTTTCCATATCATAAATATTTCTGATTTTTTTTTTGAAAAATTCGATTTGAAATATGTATTTTTTGTTTTTCGTCAAAAAATATATTTGCAGAGAGGATTGCCAATTTGATGAATGCGATTTCACTAAAAATTTCGAAAGCGACTATGAAAAGGATAAAGTGCATCAAAAAATTCCAAAAATTATCACAAGACACCTGAAGAACATAAAAGCGGAATTTGCCGGAACGAGTTATCGAATGTTCCCAAAGAAATGGGTATATTTAGAAATTTTCACACCTATTTTATTCACTCTATTGTTTTATTATAGATCAAGAGGAGATTCGTTTTGTCGGGATACGTAAATAATAACATGAAATTGCCCAAATTCAATATTAAAGACTGTAAGGCTGTTGGAACGACATTTTTTAATAATTTTTTTTTCAGTTGACAGTGACACATTTTTCAACTTAGAAAACGGACCACTCAGAGATTTCTATAAATCTCTCGCGAATAAACGAATATTCAATTCGGAGGAATTGAAGAAAAACTTTCTCGCATTTTATCAGCTTTGTGTTGTAGAGATGGTGAAGTAAGTTATTTAAATAAGTTATTTTTGATTATATTTTGATTTTGAATTTACATCTGAACTTCTTTCTAAAACGGTATATTTTTTTTAACCAAAATTGATTGGAAATTTCGAAAATGAATTTCTAAATATCTGGAGTCCCTTGTTTTTTCACCTGAATTTTGACTTGTCTCTATTTTCATAAACCATACCGTTTTTGTTTATTATATTTATATGCTCTAGAAAATTTAATTTCTTACTCGTTACACTGCACGTTGAAAAATTTGATTTGTGGCAGACCAGTTGTTTATCCATTTTCCGACGTGATATGTATTCTTATATCGTCGAAAAAAAAATTAATTTTTTAAAGCAATTTTTTAATCACTGTAATTCTTGTAGACTGGTTTGGAGATTTGAAATCACTCAAGAAGGAAACGAGGAGACGAAGAAAGTTCTTAAGATCAAAAAAAGAAGGGAGATTGAAATGATCCCGCTACCACCGTCACCATCAAACAAACCTTCGTCGGATCTTAGATTTATTACACCGCCGCCATCAACGTCGCCACCGGCTTCTTCACCGGCGAGCCCAACTCCTGGAGGCGAAAATAGTTCGATTCCAAAAATTGAATTTGGGATTGATGAGATGGAGGTGATGAAGATTGAGAGATTACAAAAAAAACTACACTGGATTAGAAAAGATGTTGAAGCTAACAAATCGTTTTCATATAATTATTTGAACGTGAAACGGGACATGAATAAACGATCAGTTTGGGACAAGGTAAGTTAATGTTAATTTGAATTTTTTATGGATCTATTCAGTGAATGTAAATTAAACAAAAACGACAAATTTTCATTATGCAGCGATGTCGTTTTTGTCGCAATAAGCGCTTAATTTTACTGAGGGGTACTGTAGATCGCGGGTCGATATTTCAAAAAAATTGGCACATGCTCCTTGAATATCGATTTTTTTAAAATATTTTTTATATTAAAATTTTCGTATTTTCACTCGTTTTTCGCGGATTTTTTTAAATAATTTAAACTTTTTTTTGAGTAACACTTTTAAATAATAATTTCATATCGTTTTCGTTTTTTTCTATTCCAAAACTGAATCGATTTTATTCGAATATTGTTTTAATTTAAAGAAATTGAATATTTCAGATCGTTCCATGGCTAATTTGGATAGGTTACGAAATAAGAAAAAGGCTATAGTAAGAAATACAATTTAAACAAAAAACAAATAAATGAATTTATAGATTGCACTGCTTATGAAAAAACGAATTATTTTGGTTTGGATATTGAAACAAAATGCATTGAATGCATCTGAAACAATTGAAGTGATCAAGAAACAGAGCTTCGATCTTTTTTGTGAAAAAGTCAACCGATTAGTAGATTGTGGTGGTATTGAGGTAAGGAAACAAGTAAAACAAGTGAATTTCTGCATAAGTAATGTAGAATAAATTAAGTTCGTGACCGGCGTTTCTAACAGCACGTTCATGGAACTTCTGAAGATATGCCGAAATCACGAAGGTCGAATCAATGCGACAATTCGATTGGCAGTTTTCTTAAAATACACAAGAGAAGGTTATTTTTTAGTTGTTTGTTAGTTTTTTACAAGCATTAAAATTATAAAATTTATAGGTATTAGCCAAAATCTTCTTGCGAAGGAAATTGGAGTTTCGCAATCAACGATTTCTCGACTAGTTAGAGATACAATCGAGGATATCGTCCAAGTTGCCGGAGAACAAATCCGATTGCCACAAAATCGAAGAGAATTAATTCGTCTGGAAGAAGGATTTATGAACTCTTCTGATCGAACTCCTCGTCGAAGAATTCCATGTTTTGCCATATTGGATGGAAAGCATTGGAAGATCGAGCATCCTGCGCATACAGGATCGTTAAATTATAATTATAAGTCGTTTTATTCATTTAATTCTCTTTTTGTTGTGATGCAAACTTGCGTGTTATATATTTGCAAATCTCTGAGCTTGGAGTAAATTCGGACTCCCAAATGTTCAGAGATGGGCCTTTGGGAGCACTCCTCGAAAATGTAGCCACAATAGGTGGATATCGCCCGCTTCCGAATTCATCCATTATAATGCCTCCATTTATAATTGCTGATAACGGATTTGGACTATCTAAGTTTCTTATGCAACCCTATAGGCAGCTTTCCTTGACTCCAGAAAACATGCGTTTTAACGAGATTATGTCGGCAACTAGGGTGAAAATTGAAAATTTTTTTGGTGTGATGCAGTCGAAATTCCAGATTTTCAAAAAAGCCCTTAATATGGACCCGTCTTCTTCGCGCGCCCTCATTGTAGCACTTTCAGTTGTACATAACATATCACTAGGTGCTCCTCCCGATCTTCCACCTGACCACAACTTTCCCTTACTTCAAGACCCATACAGCGATGCCGAAGATCAAAGAACGGCATTAAAAAATTATCTTCTTTATCATGTTTAATGTTTATCTTTTTAAATATAATTGTTAATATAATAAAAAAAATACTTAAAAATAATTTTCGTCCAACAAAATGAGAGAAGTCGTCTGCTCATTTCTTTTGCCCGTCGGTTGGAGATCCATGATGAAAGCGATCGCTTTCGCTTCGGCTTGAATTTGATCCAATTCAGGCCAATCCGCAACGTGGCTGGCCATGACCCTGCACAATCGGTCAAATTTACATTTGGGGGTTTCCTTGGCTTCCTCATCATTCGATCTAAGCAGCTGCTTGATTTCGCTGTTCGTCTCGCGCAACATACTCATCAGCTCATCGCTGTCTAAAACATACCCATAAAACTCCATTTTTTATTGCTAGAAACCTGATTTCTTGATCACTTCAATTGTTTCAGATGCATTCAATGCATTTTGTTTCAATATCCAAACCAAAATAATTCGTTTTTTCATAAGCAGTGCAATCTATAAATTCATTTATTTGTTTTTTGTTTAAATTGTATTTCTTACTATAGCCTTTTTCTTATTTCGTAACCTATCCAAATTAGCCATGGAACGATCTGAAATATTCAATTTCTTTAAATTAAAACAATATTCGAATAAAATCGATTCAGTTTTGGAATAGAAAAAAACGAAAACGATATGAAATTATTATTTAAAAGTGTTACTCAAAAAAAAGTTTAAATTATTTAAAAAAATCCGCGAAAAACGAGTGAAAATACGAAAATTTTAATATAAAAAATATTTAAAAAAAAATCGATATTCAAGGAGCATGTGCCAATTTTTTTGAAATATCGACCCGCGATCTACAGTACCCCTCAGTAAAATTAAGCGCTTATTGCGACAAAAACGACATCGCTGCATAATGAAAATTTGTCGTTTTTGTTTAATTTACATTCACTGAATAGATCCATTAGAAAGAAAAAATGAAAATTTCAGCTGGGAGATGAACGGAACTTTTACGTATTTGATACAATAGTTGGATCTCGCTGTGCTTCTGACTTACGGAATGCCCACCCTGACGTCTATCGAGAGTTTGTTAGTCTTTCTATTGAGATCAAAAACAATAGGCAGGAACTGTCATACAAAAGACTCAAGTTTGAAACGAATTTCCAACAGTCATTCAATGTTTTGTTTTCTAGGAAAATCGCATTGCAGTATTTCGGCAGCGAAAATAATTTAGTACCTATTCGAAAAATACAAAGTTTTGTTTCTGAAATTCTTCTTCGGATTTTCACGTGCAGAGATAATAGACGATATGAAACAGTTGTGCCGAAAGCCTGGGTAAATTACAAATAATTTTTATTCATTTAATTGTTTTTTAGTTAATGCCTAAACTCTATGATAAAATCGACGTCAACACAGAAATTGGTGGTTTTGTATATGGACCTGAATGTGAGAAAATTTTCATATTTTGTGAATGCGGGAAAATTTTTCAATTTTAGTGTTTAATGACACGAATAGCGCCTTATCATTGGGATGCTCCGGAGTTTTCGGATCATTCGACCGGGAAAACGATGTTCCATTTGATATTCGCGATGAGGTTCGACGACGTTCCTTGCTATTGGTGAAAAAGGTCATTGGTGACATCATGCGAATCGTATTCATTCCAAAAATATATGAAGAACAATATATTGGAGGGTTTTTGTTTAATTTCAATTTTCCACCTCACTATGACGAAGCTGAAGAAATTCAAAGAGTAATTTTCATTCTAATATATATTATTTTAATTTTTGTTTTGAATTTTCAGCCGGACACTTACCGACCGGATAACAATGATATTACGAATGCTTATCGGAAAGACGTTAACGAGGTATTACATGAATATTTTTGGGTGATATAAGGAAATTCCAGAACGGATATTTAAAATTTATGAAACATGTGGGAAACGTCAGTCCGACGCGCGAAAGATCGAGCTATTGGGCTTATATGGTTGAAAAACGAGATATTCACAAAAGATCTGTATGTGTTAAAATTAGGATTCGAAAAGTATTTTACTAAATTTTTGAAATACTAGATTTTGAGGATATAATTTTTCTACTTAAGTGATGAAAGTTTTTATAATCAAATTTTTGAATATTTCCGTTTCGTAAATAATTTAATGGAATCATTTCAGAGTCTCGACGGACCATCTGCAAAAAAACCGCGACACTAACTTCAACTATGTATTTAAATTTCTCTTTTTTTTGTACTGCTTCAATTAGCAGAATACCGACTCCCGGTTTTAGGCTGCTTTAAAATGATCTGCTTATACCAGCTAAATTTCAATAGAGGGTAATTTATGATCCATGTGGTCACATTTTTCACGTATTAGCCTAGGTTTATATTTTGTTTGACTGAAAATTCTTGATCCTTTTCTTGAATTATTAAAACATGACTCCTTACGAGAGAGGTGTGATACCCTCGACTAGCAACTACAACATCTTGTTGGCAGTTGCGTGTGATAACCGATGCCTCATTTAACTACGTGGTAGAAGGACCCCAGAACAAATGGTCATTTGATTTTCCCGTTAAATTTTTTTGTATCAATAATCTAAACAACAGTAAGTTTTAGTTATCGATGTTGACTTACTTTACTGAACATTACTCGTTCTTTTGTACTTTCATTTTGCGATATTTTTGTGGGCAATATTTTCAGCATTGGATTTTCACTTAGCTTTAAGAAAAATTATATATTTAGCTTCTACTTAGTAGGAAAATGCAATTTATCGACATTGAAATTCTCGCAATTTTAATAAATTGTTATTAAAACCACTGGAATTTATTTGATGTTTTCTTGGCTTTAAACCATTCAATTTTACCTAATTTATTTTGTTTTATTTTTCAATTTTGTGCGAAATATGCCATCTCAATCCCCAACATTTTAGAAGTTATATACATATGTATTTAAACATATTGTCGGCGTCGCGCGACTGCAAAAAATTGGCTACATGTCAAGAAAAAAAGGTCTTGGTTATTTTGCATTTGAAAAGTCTCGTTAATAACGTTAAAATTTTAAAATATTCTGGTAACTCTAAACCAATCGGATCCGACAAAATTCGGTTCCGGAATCAATCCGATTCACGTGTGGCGAAGCTAAACCTATCTGTGTACATCGTCGCCGATCATATCATCTTGCAGTTTTGAGACCGTAATACAGAATACGATTCCCCGTGGAAATCGTATCTCATAATCACCCGGCCCGGGCGCGTTGTTGTTCGCTAGTGGTCGAATTTATATTTTTTTATGTTTTACATAATGATTTTTGGCTCTACCCACGTACATCATTCGCCGAGTATTCGTTTCGTAAATTGTAAGGATCCTTGTAATTTCAGTAATTGCTTATTTCAAGTCGTTGCAATGCGAATTTATTTCCTAGGCAAACTACAACATTTCATCAAATTTTATTCCAATCCTAGGAAGTAATAATTGAATAATGTGCTGTGAAACCTAATTTAGTGAATAAAGCGGAACATGATTGACTAATTTGAAGCGCTTCGTCCACGGATGAATAAAAGTTTATTATTATGATTTTAAAACAATATCATTTTATACAGTAATCGATTCCAACGAGACATTTATTGATTACAATAATAATTCGTCATTAATTCAACTGTTTACTGAAGTTGATTGCGTGCTCGCAGATCTTGCAAAACGTCTTCCGGATTGATTCCGAGTCGTTCGCCGGCGCGCAAAACCTCGGCAAGTCGAGCCTCGATTGCATGGAGCACTGAAACACATTTTATGAATACTGTGGAATTCCATAAACGAGTGAAAAAAAATGCTCGGCGAATCGTAAAATAGTTTTTCACAGTCAGCTGATAATGCAGTGCACATTCCATTCGCTCATAGACAACACATCACTCGTTGTGTTGTTTTTTTTGGTGGAATTCTGTTGAAATAAGATCACTTACATGGTGTTCGCGTGTCGTCCATTCCTCGCTTCATTGGCTGCCAGGCGACCATTCGCTTCTGTGGGACGAAGCCAAGGAATGTCTCTTTGGGCGCGATCTGCTGTAAAACTCAAGAAGTTGGAGTAAATCTTTAGGATTCTTACCTCATTTCCGGTTTCTTTCTCAATATTGTAGAGTTGCTCCTGAAGAGCACGAAGCTTCTCATCCAAATTAGTTGGAGCACCTAAAAGTGACGAATTGCGCCATTTAATTATATTTTAATGTTAAAAAGTGTTTAAAAGATTAAGATTCGCGATTTTGTTTCTTTTTTTCATCATGATTTTTTTAAAGGAACTGAATACCTTGCTTCTTCGAGTCAACGTATTCAATTTATTCGGGTAAATAAGTTAAATTTACGGATTTAAGTTCTCGATATTAAGTCATGCTATATTTTGCAATGATGACTCAATATGAAGTTAGGAAATTAGGTTTTTTTTTTAGAACTTTAATGACTATGATCGCATTATTCCTTATCACTGTTTTTTTGCTGCCGGAAGTTTCTAGAATATTGACTGATAGCATTCTAATGGAAGTTTTAAAAACCATTTTGTGACTATTTAATGAAGCATAAAATTACGTCGTTGAGTACTGAAGTCCATAGCTTAATTAAAACGTAATTATATGTAGCATTAGTATTCTATTCAGTTAAAGCCATATTCAAAAGCGTGTTCATGGCTGTGATGAAATTAAGTTTATTGATAATAATTCAATTCCAGATATTTACAGTAATCCAAAGTGTAAACAATAGTGAAGTGGAATTAAATTGGAATCTAAAAATAGGGGGACCATCGATGGTTGTAAATTAAACTCGTCATATGCAATAGCAGAAGGTCACAAGAGGATTGCAATTGCGGATTATTTTTAAATTTTTGAAATTCGATATTCGGCTCAGGCTTCTGCCTGTGTGAGCTATTCGTAAAAAAAACCCACCGTTAATAGCGATGATTGCCAATAAAAGCACGACGAAGACCTTCATTGTGTTCGTAGAATTAAAATTTGGCGAAACGTGTGAGAGTGATTGGTCGGTTATGTGACAAACTCGTCGCTTTTATCACAAAACCTGCCCGAGGGTGCTAGCACTGATAACGGTTTTACGAGGCCGACAGACGGAGCAATCAAAATATGCTTGACGCAATTCCGGGAAGCTTTGTTTGGCGTTGAACGCGAAAAAGTGAGCGGGTGTGAAGACGTCGCCGCACTCGTTGGTTGCTGACGCCGCCCAGTCGCATACCGACCACGCCCACCATTTTTTCTTCTGCTTCTTCGCATTCTAAAGAATATGCAAGAAATGATGCGGATTGGCTAGTGAACTGTGGTGATCACCAATCCATCATGTCGGGTTGATTCATTTTACATGAGCATTTGGAGAAACGAAATCCGCTCATTAGAGAAGTTTAGATTCGCGTAATAAAATTGCGAAATTTCTGACAGAAATGAAATGCTAGGATTCACATTTAAAATAGACTTGTAGACTTCCGTAGAGGGGGTGTTGGCTTCCAATAATTTGATTTGCATGCTTTTCAAATATATACCTTATTTCACATTACATATATACCTTATTTCACATTACATCAAAGGCGCAAAATTCATTATTTTCGCGCAAAAAATTCAAATAGAATTTTACTTATTTGAATTTCCGACAGTTGTCTGTCTTCGACAATAGCATTTTAGGAATAAAATTGCTCCGGGAAATCCCAAGTTTTTAATTGCGGCTGGTACCAAATATTTTCTCTTCATTGAACCAATAAATCATAAAATTGAATTTTCTGAGCAAATTTCGCTACTGTTTAATATCAGTTGAATAATTAAATGGCAGATGGTTTTATAAAAACATAATTGTCCTGATTACTGACGTCTACAAGTTCGAGCAAAACATCTGCAGATTTCAAATATGGAATAATAAATAATATACCACGTAAAATGCGAAAGAAATCGGTTATTTTTGGATATTTTTGATTGAACAGTTTCATAAAACCTGAGTCGTATTTTAATTGAAACTGAGGTTTTCGCCCACTAAAATCCATTTCGATTGTTTTTGATTTCTTGGTCGTGTTAGTCATACAAAGAATAATGCTCGGGAGCTCATCATGCTCATTCGAATTGTGCGCGAAAGCGGAAAATATTACCAGAAGTCTGCGTTGTTGAACAAAGTGCGCAGTTCGTCTCAAATATTCAATGGAAATTATAATGCTGACATCATGGAATCTAACATCGAGTTTAGACGTAACCAACATCGAGTTTAGACGTAACAAACAACAATATTTGAATTTGAACAATTTTTGTGAATTAAGAAATCCTTTTTCGCATACGTATTTTTGAAGAAAATTTCATTGCATAGCGTTTTTGACGATTTTCTATAATCGCGTTAATGATTGGTTTTCTGATCAAATGAGGAATTCCAAGATTTCTCGAATTATTAATTCCGAAAATGTTGTGGTGTCCTCATTCGCAGAAAAAAAAAACGTGATGATCTTAAACAAATGAGACAGATGATCGAGAAATAATTCATTTGGTTAAGGCTGCTGCCATTATTATTACGAGCGCCTTGTCGCCAACTCGGCACGTTGATTCGACGGAAAATGAGCAGCGGGGACGGAGTGCATTCGACATTTGACGCACATCAAATTTATGAAAAGGTTCAACAACGGCGTCTTTCCAATTCGACATATCCGTTTTTCTGCAGGCCGAAGAATATTGGTCCCAGGCGAGTCAAGATGTCGATGGGATGCTAGGCGGATTCGCTGAACTCCATGAGCCGGACATTGCTGGATCGAAAGCATTTCTCAAAAATCTACGTGCCAAGGTCGTTTTCCATAGTTTGATTCTTAATTTAAACTCGAAAAAACGTCATATGACAACCTCGCCTTATTGTAAATAAAGGCGCATTGAAATTGAAAATTAATCAAGATTTTTTCGAAAACAATTGAACAAGAAATGATGACGTTTCAGAAAATCATTTCCTCGAATGATTATGCGCTCGATTGTGGTGCGGGAATCGGACGAATAACGAAGCATTTGCTGATTCCGCTTTACAAGAAAGTCGACATGGTCGATGTTGTTGAAGAATTCATTGCAAAAAGTGAAGAATACATTGGTTTAGGACCAATTCTTCTCGGCGATTGGTGAATTTTGAAATTCAGGAAGCAAAAATGGGGTTGGCAACAAGTTCGTAGAAGGCCTTCAAACATTCGAACCTCCTTTGGGACGATATGATCTCATATGGATTCAATGGGTTTCTGGATATCTCACAGATTCTGATTTGGTATCATTTTTCAAACGGTGTGCGGTAATTCTGTTTTAAATTTTAATAAATTCGACTGGTACAATTATCAGGCTGGATTGAAACCGGATGGATGCATTGTGCTCAAAGATAATGTTGTGAAAAACGATAATGCTGTTTTTGATGATGAGGACCATAGTTGGACAAGGACACATGTAAGGCTTAATAAATTTGTAATTAATCTAATTAGACGTTTGAGAAGTCTACAAAAACATTTCCGTTTGGTTTTAGTAGTAACTTCTGTAATTTTTCATTTTGCCTCTTTTTGCGTCAATTGAGCAAATCTTGCGGTGACGTTGAAAATGCAGTGTTTATCATTGTCATCATATTCGAAATGCACGAATCAACTCCCCGAAATGTACAAAAACAACCACCTCCATTCCTTTTTATGAGTGACATTAGTGGGGGCTCGCTTTCCTGAATGTGCTCTTTTCAAAACAAAAAGGTATAGTTTTTTAAAGGCAATGCCATGACAAACAAAAAGTGTTCTCGTAAATTGCTTAACTTTTCTTGGGAAACAAGCTTCTACTTTCAAACGCCACAAACAATCGGTTTCTTTCAGCGCGAACTGCAGAAAATATTTGAGGATGCCGATTTGTCAGTGCTTTCAAAAGTAACTCAAGCCGGTTTTCCTGATGACATCTATCCGGTGAAAATGTACGCGATGAAGCCGAAGAAAACCGAATGATGTGCGGCGTTGTTTTAGTTTGTGAACGCAATCATGAATTATTCCATTTGTTTTGTTTTGATTCGAATAAATTTCATATTGTCTTCATCGGTCTCCATTGTTAATTATTATTACAAATATGGCATTTGGTCTCAATATTCCTTTCAACAAAATAATCATATTCATTGCGAAGGAGAATAATGCGTGTGGCGTGAAACAAAATCAAAAGAGGGTATTGCATAATCGATTGATGAACAAGAATGGTTGACAAAAATATTCACACCGAAACGTGGTATCATGGACTTTTGCCTCGTGAAGATATCAAAGTTGGTTCTTTTTTCTTTCAATTTAGTCCAGAATGAAATTGGAAAGCAAAAATCATTAAAGATCATATCTCAGCGATTCGGTCGGGACGAACGGGAAACACTTTTTGGTGTGGGACATTTTGGTAGAAACAGGGAAAAAATTTAATTAGTCGAAACAAAAGTCGGCCACGGGTTAGACCGACACGCTAAATTGGGGGCGATGTGTAATTGGAGTGTCGTACTGGTAGAGTAAAAAGGTTGTTTTTTGATAAACCGCGGAAGTTTGGGAATTCAAGCGGAATCCCGATGTTTAAACCAAAACCAACCACGTTTCGTCCTTTTCGAATCACTGGGTAAGAATATTGTAGAGTATTTCAATATTTCGAGATCCGTATTATTCCAGTTTTAAAATCATTTGCTAATTTGTTCAAATTCGATAGATTTTTCTACGAATTGAAGTGTGTCTGGTCAAGCTTATTTAAGTGCGCAAATTTCATTGTTATATTAGCGCAGAAGAGTTTTTATTCCTTCCGGAAGTGGATTTCGATGAAATTTTTATATGGAGTTCTTTTTGATGTTGAAATTTTAGTTGATGTTGCGAAAGAATGGAGATTTCCTAATACGATCGACTGAGCCGAGACCTGGTGAGCCGCGACAATATGTGCTATCAGTGATGAAAAATGAAGAGCTCGAAGATCAAGGAGTGAGACTCGGCGAAATCAATTGCAATCATTCAACAATTGTAGATCAAACATTTCGTTTTACGTGAAGGAACTGGAAAAATATTTCTTGAAGCGCGCGGTTTCGATACAATTTCCTGTTTGATTAATCATTACATGAGCACCAAAGAACCGATCAAACAAGTATTTATTTGGGATCCTTAAAATAAATCTCGTTGTTTGATCTAGATTGTATTGCGCACACCGATTACGCGACAGGAATGGGAAATTGAGCACTCTCAGGTGCAATTATCCAAGAAACTCGGCGAAGGGGCTTTCGGAGAGGTGCGGCAATTGTTTTTTAAGATTCGCTTCCTGTTTCATGAAAAACGTTTAGGTGTGGAAGGGAAAAATCACATTGAAAAACGGAAAAACTGAGGATGTTGCGATTAAATCAGTTGAATTTTCAAAGCACGTTTCTCAAACGTTCGAATTTCGATTTAGGCAAAACTCGAATCTTTGAACAAAGAACAAATCAAAGAAATTATGCGCGAAGCGAGACTTATGCGATTTCTGGATGTATCTGCATTGCGCGATTCGACATTTTTTCACTTATTTTCCAGCACCCAAATATTGTCCGCTTTTATGGGGTTGGAGCAGGACAGGAGCCGCTTTATGTGATCATGGAACTCGCCGATTGCGGAGCACTCGACTCGTACCTTCAGAAGAATCCAAACCTTCCAATGTCGAAAAAAACGGAAATGATTTATCAGGTTGCCGATCAAATAATTCCGGAAAATAAACAACGATTCAGGCGGCTTGCGGTCTGAATTACATGCATGAAAAACATTTGCTACATCGCGATATTGCCGCAAGAAATTGCCTTTACGGTGGCGGACAAGTCAAGATTTCCGATTTCGGTCTATCGCGCGAAGGTACCTTCTATCAAATGGATATGACCAAAAAGGTCCCGATTCGCTGGCTCGCTCCTGAAACACTTCGTTGTGGTATTTACACACCAAAAACTGATGTGTTCGCATTTGGAATCATGGCTTGGGAGATCTATGAGAACGGCAAAGAGCCATATTCCGATATGAAAGTGGCCGAAGTCGCGAAAGAGGTTTTCACTTGGAAAAATTTTAAAAAAATGAAAACAGCATTTTGATTTAGGTACTCGGTGGATATCGCCTACCTTTCAAACCGGATGTTTGCCCAGAATTCGTTAAATTTGTTACGGTAAATTCTATGTCGTTTTTAGGTTTTTCGATTTAAGAATGCCGATTATAGAATTTCGGATGCAGAAATTTGATTTTTAGAAATCGTGTTGGTCGGAGAATCCTAACGATCGGTGCTACATGCCGGACATCGTTAAGTTCTTCATTAGAATGTATAAGTTCAAGCCGGTGGTATGTTCCTCATATTTGATTTTCAGTTGTGGAAACAAGATTTTGAGGTTCAGAGACCAGTCGAAAAACAAGAACACACATCGCAAAACAGCGAAAAGAAAAGGACATGGACGAAGAAGTTGTTCGGGAAGAAAGAAGCCGACACTCCGGTGGCCACAACGCCGACCTAATCCTGTCAAGACAAATGAATTTATTGCACAACCTTATTAAATTCGTCTCATTAGTATCCGGGTGGCGTGCGTGGTGGAGGGCAGTGATCGCAGCCTCCTGGGGGTCCAGCTGATCCATCATCTCCAGGTTCGCCGGCTGGCCCCGGTTTTCCATAAGGTCCTGGATTTCCTTGGTCTCCTGGCGGACCAGGCTCACCAGGTTGTCCGTCCGTTCCGCGAGGTCCTGGTGGCCCTGGCGGTCCAGCTGGTCCCATTTCACCCTGTCTTCCTGGTGGTCCAGCAGGAGCCTCTCCCATAATAACTTTTCCGTTGTCTCCTCGTGGTCCTGGTCTTCCAGGATAACCTGGTGGACCCGGCTGTCCGGTACTGAAAACAGATCCCTTACTTTTTGCGGCATAATTCGAATACTCACGGTCCTGGGCCTCCTTTTTCTCCAGGCTTTCCTGGGCTTCCTGGTTCTCCCGATTCGCCAGGATATCCCCTTGGTCCCTTGTCTCCAGGTGGTCCCGTTGGTCCTGGAGGGCCGGGCGGGCACTCGCGTTCGCATGCAGGCGCCAAATCAGAAGATGGTTCTTCTTGGTATCCTCCATCCGGAGTTCCGTCTTCGCCATTCTTTCCATCCTTCCCCGGCTCACCGTCCTTTCCATCAGCACCCACACCTCCATCGTCTCCAGGCGGACCAGGCGGACCTCGTCGGCATTGGCCACCGCCTCCTCCAGCGCCAGCAACAGCTCCAGCCTTTTCGGCGTATTCCTGCCGGCGATTGCGATTTGCTCGATTAGGAATGAATTGCCCGAAAAGCCATGTGCCGCTGGCTCGTCGAGTTCTCGCGATGAGTTCATCCGATCTCCCACGACTGCTCGCCATACGCATCGTCTCCTCCCACAAATCGCGATTTCGTGCCTAGAACGAATCGAGTACTCCCCGCGTAATTCCCATCCAGAAATACCTGACAGAAGTGCGCATCGTTGAGGAGATCCGAGTGAATTCTTTGTAACGATTGGTATGAGATTGGCATAAGAATCACAACAGAAACAATGCAAACAGTAGAAAGTGCGATGGAGAGAAAAGCATTCCTAAAAATACAAATTCCAGATAAAGAAAGTAGAAAAGAAACGAGAAACCTTCGCAATTTCGAAATGTCAAACGAGCCATCGCCTTCGATCAAAGCTTTCATTTTTTGCGGAATATGCAGCTTACTTAGTTACCAGACTCTCTTATATACAATCTCGATTACCAGTTTTCATTGCGATATCCATCAGAATTCCGTTTCGCCTATCTCCGAATCAAATCGTCAAAGCCGTGAATTGACGCAAAAAACATCGAAAAAAATTTATAACAAAAAAAACAACGCGTTTGAGTAACATGCTTCCCCAGGGCTTATTAATATTAATAATAATAATAATAATGATAGTTTTAGAAACTAAGCGGAGATCCATATTTGGGAATATATGTAATTTATAATTATTATTGTTCCTGCGCTGGTGTTTGGGATTGGCTCGGAGCTTGTGGCTCATTCATTTGGCTTTGAACATCGTCGGGAACAATGTCGACGATCGGACCCTCCATCATCATTTCATCATTAACTTCTTCAATAATTACTTGTTCCATTTGAACTGAAAGATTAAATTGGTCTATAGAGGAACAGTTTAATTCGATTTTACCATGTTCATGCGGTTTTGATCCGACTTGTTCGAGGAATTTTTCCCCATCTTCTTCATTCTCTTTTCTAGGACCCACAAGTTCATTGCGTCCATCTTGATTTATCTCATGCACTAACTGCTCCTCCATAGGAACACCTTCCTCAATATGAATCATCTAAAAAATTCAATAATGTAGTCATTTTTAACATCTTGTGATTTTAGAACCTCGCCATTTTCAAGCGCATCTGCTTCAACAACTCCAGCGATAATTTCAACACCAAATGTTTGATGAACCATTTGCAGAAGTCTTCCTTCGTTGCGATCAGCCAACATCTTCCACAGCGCGTCGAATGTCTCATTATCATTGGTGGTTCCCAAAGAATTCTTGGCGATACGCCACAATGTGTCAGTTCGTGGACCATGACGAACATTTCCGGACGACTTGGCGAAGAAAGATGGCTGATTAGAAGCGCTGTTTCGCGACGTATGTATGCTCGACGGATTCAACATATTGAGCTGATCACCAATTGTCGTTTGACGATGCCTTTGGCTCATTACTTGGCCGACTTGAATTTCTTCAGTATGCCCAACCTAGCGAAAAAATAAACATAAATCTCGATGAAAAAATAGGAAAGTACTTGGATGGAATTCTCATCAAACATTTGATTTTTTTCATTGCCTCCTTCATCATTTCCAGCTCTTCCAGCAATCATCATTTCTTCTCCTTGAGGATTTTGATTTCCCCATTCCTAAAGCATATTTTTTACATTTCAAATTATTAAAAATCACGCATACATCTGATTGGAAATTATTGATCATTTCATTCTTTACTTCTTCGTATGCCACATTATTTCCATTCATCATTTCCCTTCGACGTAAGTAATACAACTGAAAAGGTGTTAATAAATCTCAGACTTGTTATAAATTGACCCGGTCCATTTTCGGCCCGTTACGCTATTCATTATCTGAAAAACAGACTTGTCGAATTTCGGCAACACTACTTAAACAAATTTAAGCAATTAACAAAGAAGTTGCTCGAAAAAGTCGAATACTGCCCAAAAAGATTGTTTTTCGCATAAAAAAAATAAGCGTTTGTACAATATTGGCTACATTATTGTTAGGTAGAAGAGATCTTCTTGATAGGGGTCCTTTTCGAATTTGATTATTCTAAATAAAAGAAACTCGACAATTCTGATAAATAGGTTTTTCAATCCGACCGGGTCGTCACAAGTCTGAGAAAAACAAACCGCCGAATTCGATATTTGGATTCCGTGTCGTTCTTGGATCATCTTTCCGACTTCGTTGGCTGAGTTCGTCATGAGCAGATTTCTAGCCTCTTCACGCACTGATGCCGGCATTCTCTGGACAGTAATTTCAGGATTCACATTTCCGTAAGTAATTGGAACCGGCATTTCTCCTGCTTCGGTGAACCAGTAGATGATCATTGAGTGTCCAATTTGCATCCCATTTTTGACGACGTACACGACCTAAATATCATCAATATGTTATAAAATGAGCCAAAATAGAAACTATTCTACCTTCTTTTTGAGTCTTGGGCACCGCGGAAGGGTTGCTGTATAAATGTGCATCTGAAATTCAACGTCCAACCGAGGACCAGCCATCGGCGGACTTCTCCAAACTCTTAATTGTCCCTCGCGATTTAACGCAAGTGGATATTTAATGGATTTTGGTCGCCTAGTGAGACCAGCTGAATGCAAATATTGAAAAAAAATGAAGGAATAAAAAATTCTCACTTGGGTTCGAGCTGACATTTTCCGACCATGGAACAAGACCGTCGCACGTCAGGTTTCTTGAATCCACTTCCAGCCCGTCGATGAAAAATACGTAAGCACCTTTGCCAGGAGTTGCTGGTGGAAGTGCTGGAACCCGATTGTTCAAACATCCGAAATTTTCACTGAAATCAACCAATACAATACAAAAACAGGGGTACATTTTACAGTAAATTCGGTTTGTTGACCAAGAAATGAAGGTGGCGGTTTCGATCATTCCAAAACTCCATATCACTAAGAGCCAGATACATTGTTCCGTCATCTGCGACTTGTGGGGGCAATATAAACTGAAACGGTTTACAATAATAATTATTACCATGAGAATTGAAATGAAATCACTCACTGGACTTTCTTTTTCAGTTTCACTGATATCAGAAACGTCATTTTCAACATCATGCAACTGAATCGTATTCTAAACAAAAAATCAAAATCATAAAATTTTCCAGTTATTTTTACGTTTCTTTTATGACTTTTTCTCGCGAATCGTTTCATAAAGCTTCCATGCAAACGAGGGAGGGGTCCTTCGACATTGTAATCATAGATGATGAGAGCATGACTTACAACCAATCTTGATTCAGTTTCCATCATATAGAAAATCTAAAAATCCAGTAATTTTCAAATTTCTAGATAATTAATCAAACCTTTTTTCTGAGTCGAGGATCTCTTGGATTGATGCTGTAAAGATATACAAGGTGGAATGGGCACGATTTGTAGTCGATATCTTTGATCTGAAGAAAAAAAACAATGGTATTAATATATAAAGGAGCAAATAATCTTACGTGGAATTGCGATCCCGCATCGTCACAAATCACACCAACTTTTCGAACTTTCGTACGATAGCATGTTGGATTTTCAGCTGAAATTATTATAACCTATAAAAATCGAGCTTAAAATGATAAACATACGCGTTCCATTGTGAGACCACGGCGAGAAATCATCGCGATTAATATCATGTGGGAAAATTGCGGTTCCAGCTACAAAGAACGCATAAGCGCGCATATTGCGTACAAGTGGTGGGTGCATTGGCTTTGAATAGTTGAGAATTCCACGCTCTTCACTACACGATAACAAATTATTAAAATAAAATTGCAATAGCCCTTACACAACATTCGTATTGGCGATCCATTCAAGAACACAATCGAATGAAGATGACATTCGTTTATGTCTCACAGTCAGATAAACATGACCAGTCTCAAGTATTCTCGCTTCTTCGTAATACTAAAGCATTCCAATATATTTTTTTGTGAAATGTTAATAATAGGCTAACCGGTTCTGGGCATTCCTGAGCCAGAAGCGCATCCTCGTCAAACATTGAATCCCAGCCACCATTCAAAGTATCCTCAGTGACTTCCTCGTACTGAAAAACACCAATTCAACGATTACAAATAGAGTTTGGAACCCTTACATCATCTGTGTCTTGTTCGTTATCCTGTTCTTCTTGAATCTGTTGATCGTCATTCATCATATCTCCAACAACTTCTTCTTCAACGACTTCCAAATCTTCGACATCAATAAATTGCTCTTCTTCTCCGTTTGGTGCCATCATCGTCGTTTTTTCCTTATTGTCAATATTCATATGAATCGGTCCAGCCCATCTTTCTTGTGGCGGCTTCGCATGTGGTCGTACAATTGTTGGAATCGGTCCTTCTCGAATGTACTCATACAAATAGCACACATTTCCCATTATAACAGAATTGTTTCGTTGCACATAGAACACCTATAAGTAGAAATTTTCAAATCTAAAATAATTCATATATCCCGCACTCGTTTTCTTAGTCTCGGGCATCTGGCCAAAACCGACATCGTCTCGACGAGACAGAGCCCAGTTAATTGCCATTGATCTCGAGTTGTAACGAACAATCCATTCGTATCTTGTATCAAACAGCGACGAATAGAGCGCACACGTGGTGACGAAACTTCAGGATTATCTTGAAAATAAAGGTAAGGGATGTAGTTTTCAAGTGAAAAAAAAAAACTCACGGCTGACAGTCCAAGGCGACAATCCATCGCCGCAATGATGAAGCTGGTTTGCAACGAAAGAAGCCGGTACAAAATATACAAAAACTCCTGCTGTTTCAATGAGAGGCGGTAAGAAAGGAACACGACGATTAAGGAGTTCGGTGCCATCGCTGAAAACAATAGAAACATAAGATAACGATCTGTCTTTTGACGTACAGTAATCCGGGCTCGTTGATCAAATACTTCAAAAGAAGCTTTTTATTCTGAGCCCAACCGACTTTCGATGGACGGACTCGCAGATAATTGCCACCTCGTGGTCCAGCCACAACTTCATCCTCGAACGGGTTATCAGCATCGCCGACAGTTCCAGCGCGTTGATCGTCAGTATCGTTGTTAGCAATTGTACGCAAATAGTCATTTCCATGTGGGAGGTTGACAATAGACGGGCAATCACCCGGGCATGTGTAATCGTAAAGAATCAAAACGTTTCCGTAAATTTGTCCTTCGCGAGAGAGGTAGAAAATCTGAACAAATAATGCCAAATGTCATATAAATCTTAATACCTTTTTGCGAAGTCTCAGCAATCTTGGTAACCAAGCACTATATTCAGTCAAATGAAGCTCGGCGAGTCGAGGATCTCCTTTAATTGGAACCAATCGCCCATTAACTCTCGCAACCGGATGCCGGCGAACATTTGGCTTGATGACAGGATCTCCCATGGAAGAATCAGTCGAACTCCAGGGTTTCAAGTCATCATTTGAAATATCTTTGATCGAAACCAATTTCGATCCATCAACATAGAAAGCGAAGCAAACTTTATTAGTGACCAATGGAGGAAGACGTGGGGGTCTATCGAGCATCCACCCACCTTCGCGGCTACAAATTAAAACTGACAATATTTCAAATTTCACTATTTTTTTCTTACATCATGGAAATCTCTTCGGGACTTGTCAGCAAGTCAATAATTCTTTCCTTACGCAGTAAATATGCAAGACAGCCATTGATAACCGTAGCATAGCAATCTCCAAGTTCGGTGACATCTATCTCGTCTTCAAACTGTAAACCAAACGAGCCATTAATTTATTCTTTAATAATTAATATCTTACCAATTTCACATGGTAACCACTGACACGATCAGCCAACGATTTGCTAACAACTCGGTCTCCTCCAAGTCTCATAATTCTTGAAACTCGCTCCTTCGAACGCGATTTGTCTTTATTATTCTCGGTTTCCTCCAAAGGTTCTTCTTTGGCCTTTTTTGGTCTTCCACGACGTTTACCAAGAGGTCTAAAACGATAATTTGAAATAATATATGTATGATTTTGTTACGTGTTAAGCTCAAGCTGCGGCATTCCTGCTTCGTTTTCCTCGGAGAATTCGTCGTCGTCCCCGAAGCCCATGTCGGTTGTTTCATTTGCGGCTTCCAGGACAGCAGGACCTTAAAAATTAAATTCATATTTGAACAGTCGAACATTTTCCAACCTTCATCCTCAAATGGAGGAGCCGATTCAATTTCGGCATTCGCTTGAACTTCGATATTTTCGCCGACCTCAGTCTCAGCTCCCACAACTATGTCTTGTAGCACCTCAGCAACAGTTAGTGGTGCAACATTATTATCGGTATTCACTGGAGTTTCATCAACGGGCCGTTCAGTTGTTGGCTCTTCTGTCTTCTTCTTTTTTGCCGTGCGCACATCTTTTTCTGTCGCAGGACGCCCACGTTTTTTCACACTTTCATTAGTTAAAGCACCGGCTTGGGCAAATTCATAATCGTCGTCTTCTTCTACTTTATTAACTCCTGGCAAATTTATCTAAACATTAAAAGCAATTGTATAACCGTGAGCCACTAATTCGAATTACTTCATAATCTCCGCTTGATATCAATACACTTTTGCGCACGTTTCGTTTTGGGCGCGATGACACTGGCTCTTGAGCTACTTCTACCTAAAAAAGATTTTCACTTTACTCAACTTTTGACTTCCTTAGTTCACCGCAGGAGATTTCGAACCATTATCCTGGCTTTCTTCTTCAAGGCTATCATTTGCAGATTTTCGTGGCATGACAGCCTGTAAAACATTGCAGATAATTAATGGTATTGGAATATCTCAAAACATAAAGACTTAATGACGAAACACAAATTTAGGAGAAAAAAGTTCAAAACGGAGAAAACATAATTTTTAGAGTAATTTAACATTGAAAAATCGATGCGAAATGAAACAAATAAGTTTCGTAACAATAATTTTTAAAACTGTCGAATTTAGGGAACCTAGCGAATATTACGAACAAAATTTGAAAAAAAAAGTCGATGCGACGCGGTTGTTGTCTGCAGTGACGCGTGCGCGTGTTTGCACGCGGGCAGGAGTGAGAGAACGCGAGACGCAGACATAACAACGAGAGAACACGGCGCGCGCAGACACGACAGGCAACCAGATGACCTTTCTTTCGCCTTTCGAGCAGTATTTCTTTCAGTTCAGAGAACAACAAATCCGGTTGCGTTCATTCATTTATTGCAATTGTAATAATTATGATAAAATCTATTCAAAAAGAAATAAATTAAAATGGTGGTGGAAGAATGAAGTGAGTTACAAAATAATGTGCAAACTACTCGGAAAGTGAGGCGAGTAACAATGCAATTTGCACCCAAATCACCGTCGTTGCGCTCAAAGTCTTTTCTATCATCACATGTGCATAATTAAGAAGACAATGAAGAAAGAAAGCATAAAACATACATTAAAAAATCGTTTTGATGCAGAAATATACACATTCAAAATTATATATCGGGCCATTGGATTTGGGCTATACGAAAAGGAAAAAGGCGCTGAACTGTGCTCTACACGAACACAATTTTTGAAAGGGAACAGGTACAACGCAGCTCAGATCACAATTAAAAATTGGAAAACGGGGCATTTCAACATATGTAATAAAAAAAAAGAAAAACCGCACACCAATACCGCGACAAAACAACGGTTCAAATAAGTTTAAATACAGAAATTAAATTTGAACCGTTGTTAAGTTTAAAACAAGGCATTTAAGAGACACGTTCAGAACAGAAATTACGGATTGCAGCACTGCTTCTTCGGCAACTCAGTCGGTGGTGTTGGAATGATAGTTCCACTTCCGCCACCATATCCAGGACGATCAGAACCGACGTGCTTGCTGGAAACAGATTTGTAGATCTCCGTCAAGATGTTTGTGAACGCAGCTTCGACATTTGTACTGTCTAAGGCGGAAGTCTCTGTAAAATATAAAAATAAATATAGAAAGCTTATAATATTTTCTACCGATGAAAGAAAGCTGATTCTTTTCAGCGTAAATCTTCGCCTCATCAGTTGGAACTGCCCGAAGGTGTCTCAAATCACTCTTGTTACCAACTAACATGATAACGATGTTCTGATCTGCGTGATCTCTCAGTTCCGTCAGCCACCTCTCGACGTTCTCGTATGTCATATGTTTAGCTGAAGAGATAAGATAGATTAAAGACGATTTTAGATACTTACCGATATCATACACCAAAAGAGCGCCAACAGCTCCTCTGTAGTAAGCCGCTGTGATGGCTCGATAACGTTCCTGACCAGCAGTATCCCAAATTTGAGCTTTCACGGTTTTCCCCTCAACTTGAATACTTCTTGTCGCAAATTCGACACCAATCGTCGATTTCGATTCAAGATTGAACTCATTGCGTGTAAATCGCGACAATAGATTAGACTTTCCGACACCGGAGTCTCCTATGAGAACAACTGAAAACGCATCTATAATTGAAGCCTATTGAAGAAACAAACCTTTGAACAAGTAGTCGTACTCATCATCGCGAGAGCCCATGATGTTCTCTACAAGAAACTAAATTTGGAAATAGAAATTTCACGTAACATCTCTTAAACAAGAATTAATGTTAAAATTTCGCAATAGCGGAACCACAAAATTATTGAATAGTTTCGCCTTTTATCAGCAATTTTTCCGTTACCACGGCATGTTTTATACAACATATGCGTCAGATGTGAATAAGCGTATGATAAAACAGGGAGAAACGAATCAGAGTGCCGAAAGCAAGAAGAGAAAACCGTGGTCAGGGCATCCACGTCAATTTGTGAGGACCGCGACGCATGGCCTGCCGCGCGCGTTTTTGGGTCTTGCCGCGACGTACTACAGTGTTCCTCTTCCTTCTTTTATGCAGCAAATTTTCATTTTTTGGCCCGGCCTAACCCTTTTTTCGTTCTTTACAGCTTAAAATAGACGCTTTTCTTCTAATAAATTTCGATAATTATGATGATATTAATTCTTCATGTGTATTTTGACTCGTTCATCACGAAAATTTTTCCTTAATGCAAAATTGATTTTTTTCAATTCGTAACTCAGTCAATTTTTTATTTTCAGGGTATCAATCGGCAGTAATGGCCCCAGCGTAAGTTATTATTTTTTATTTTTAAAAATAGAAAACTGAATTCGTAATGGAAACAGTTTTTAATAGACAATTTTTTCAAATATAATTATTTTTAGAAAGAAGGTAGTGCCTCAAGTTCCGGAAACTGTGCTTAAACGCAGAAAGCAAAGAGCTGATGCGCGCGCTAAGGCTGCCCAAGCCAAAGTTAAGCTTGCCGCTGTATGTTTAAAATTAAAAAGATTATTATACCAATTAAAATTTTAGAAAAACAAGGAAAAGAAGGCTTTGGTTTTCAAGCGTGCTGAGAAGTACGTTCAGGAATACAGAAACTCCCAGAAGGAATCCTTGAGACTCAAGCGCGAGGCTGAAGCTAAGGGAGACTTCTACGTTCCAGATGAGCCAAAGGTTGCTTTCGTGATCAGAATTCGCGGTATTAACCAGATCCATCCAAAACCAAGAAAGGCAAGTCGATACATTTTATTTCCATAATTCAAATTAGTTTAGGCTTTGCAAATCCTCCGCCTCCGTCAAATCAACAATGGAGTGTTTGTTAAGTTGAACAAGGCTACTCTTCCACTTCTCCGCATCGTCGAGCCATACGTTGCTTGGGGATACCCCAACAACAAGTCGATCCATGACTTGATCTACAAGAGAGGTTACGCTAAAGTTGACGGACGTCGCGTCCCAATTACTGACAACACCATCGTCGAGCAGAATCTTGGTATGAGAAGTTTTTGTTTTTTATATTGTTGAAGCCACGCGACTGCGGAAAATTGGCTAAATACCAAAATATGACTTTGGTCGGGCGCAAAACTTAATATAAGGAAATTTTGAAGACGCTCACCGAGACCTCTACTTACATTTTTCTAGCATTTAGCCCATTTTCCGCAGTTGCGCGACGCCGATAACATTATTTTAAATTAGGATCTTAATTCATTTTAAATTTCAGGAAAATTCGACATCATCTGCTTGGAAGATCTTGTTCACGAAATCGCCACTGTTGGACCACACTTCAAGGAGGCCACCAACTTCCTCTGGCCCTTCAAGCTCAACAACCCAACTGGTGGATGGACCAAGAAGACGAACCACTTCGTCGAGGGAGGAGACTTCGGAAACCGGGAAGACCAGATCAACAACCTTCTCAGAAGAATGGTCTAAATTGTTTTTTGTTGTTCATATTGTCCACTTGGATAAAAGTTATTTGTTTGGGGATGTACATAAACTGAAACGCGATATCTCATGACCCTTCCACATGAGGCAGATTTTCTAGTCTACGCAATGAGGAGCTGTGCGATTTTGACGACGCTTCCGAGAATGGCGATTGTGCCGTACTATTCTCCGCCATGTGTTTTTGTAGAAACTGTTCTTCGCTCTAGAAATATTCCATTCAAGGTAAACTTTGTTTGAAAGCTATTTAAAGAAATCTTTTGGGCTGCGCAATGCAATATATGGAATGTTCTTCCAAGAGAACACATGTATCCGATAATAGATATTGACGGTCATACTTTTTCAAACATCATGGAGGGACTTGATTATCTTTTGGCAAAATACAATAAGGTTTTGTTCCTTTTACGAACAGTTCATTTCTAAAGATTATAGACAATTGATAATGGGCTTATTCCGTTTGAAAGAGCACAAGCAGTTGCAATAAGCGCATTGTTGGACGAGCTCACGTGGATGTTAGCATTTTCGCGCGGAAACAATTTTTCATGGATGCGAGATGATAGAAGAATTCTCGAAGATTTCAGCAAATTTCATTTATACATTTGGAGAAATTTAATTGTTCCTCGACTTCAAAGTAAAGTAAGTTTGCGGAAATTAATTTGAGTTGTTTTGTTGTGAAAAGACTAGAAGACGCGCTCGCGGATACGGACTATTCGGGAAAAAAGCAAAAGAAGAAGTTGCTGGTCGAAGCGAGGCGATGCTCGAGGCACTCAGCGCACTGCTCAATTCGAATAAATATTTTTTCAATGTCAAGGAACCGTCATGGGTAAATATGAATCAATTAAATGTCGCAAATATACATTTTTTAAGCTTGATTGTAAGGCTTTTGCCGTTTTGGTACAATTCAAATACACACCATATCAGAATGAAGCACGAACTAAACAATTTATGAGGGAACGAACTCCAAATTTGGTATGTGACGCCAGTTTAAACAGAAATTTATGTCGAACTAATTATGTATTTGTCTAGCAAAAAAAAAACAAGACATATCGCATCAATCCAATTTTGAAAAATTACCTCGATTCTAGAATCCAACATACGATTGGGGGTTTATACATGGTAGCCTTTGAAAATGTATTTTTTTAAATTAAAAGCAGTTAGATTGAAAGAACGTTGCCCACAAAGAAGAACAATAATTCAACATTTTCTATTGTCGGAGATAATCGGAAGTTGATTTGGACAAATAGCGATTTAATTATTACGGGGCAATGCCGAGAAATATTTTGCCTATTTTCTTCTTTTTAAAAATTTTCTCTTCGTTGTGTCTTTAGCACAAAAAAATAACAAATTGCGCCTGTGGATTAGAAATATTGAAACGAGCGTCTTGCAAAACTGTGGACCATCACCGTTTTTCAAGTTGATGTGTAAAAAATGCACATTAAAAGTAGTTTTTTTTAAGTTTCTTTTTTGTATTTATTGAATATGTCTAATAATGTTTGTGCGCAATCTGACCAAAAAACCCATAAGATTATTGACACGTTCTCAACGTTTGTATATTTTTGCTTGACACCACAAAATTTCGCAATGTGTACTTATATGAATAGTCAATGACTAATATTTAACGATTTTATTTATAACATGGCGTCTCGTTCGAAATTTGTATTATTCAGATGAGCTTCGTGACACGTATGAAAGACGATTTCTGGTCGGATTGGAATACGACGAAGGATTGATTTTCAAACTCATTTCCGGCATATTAAATATTTCGAATTCAATACTTTATGACATTAATTGGAATGAACTGAATACAGATGAATACACAAAAAGAAATGAAAGGAAATCGTTGGAAAAACAAACAACCGTATTTGAATTTCAGAAAAAATCTCTATTGGAGACTAAATCAGATACTAGACGTCTAATTATTAATTAATTGAAAGAAAAATGAAACAAATTATTATTGACATGCCACGATTTATACAAAAATCGTTTGTTGTTTTTGTAGTTGAACGACCCATCCAGGACTGCGTCGATTTGATGGTCCACGGGCACGATTTTTGGTCGGATAACGAAGAAGACAAAAAACTGGCGGCGCATCGAGATCGAGTGCGTATTCTTCGACGGAAAGCGATTTTGAGGCAATCGCGTTTTCATCGGAAGATGAAAGGTCTTCTGACGATGCGACCGGTGCCAATGGTGGAAGCTCTTGTAGAAGACGTTCCCTAAACAATTCGATTCTGTGTTTTGCTCATAACATTTATCAGACTTCTGTTTTCCCAAGAACTCGAGTTGCTCTTCGAAGAGCAATTTTGCGGTTCCAATGTTTGGAGTTTTCGATGGCTCACTGTTACGGCGGTGTTCTTCGATTTTCCGAAGATTTTCGGTGACCTAATAAGGATATTAAAGCTGTTCAGAGAATACACCGAAATTACCTTATGACTCGCGTCTTCCAACTCGACAATGTTGTGTAGAGTTGCCTTATATTGCCTAAGTTTCTCCTCGATGAGCGTCTGAACACAGCCCGTCTGTCTTGCAACGTCATTGAGTTGCTCTTGAGCATGAGCAGAGTCTTGTCTTCTCAAGACGCATGGTCCGAAGATTAATGCAAGATTGTTGCATCCCATCTTATTGACAGCTTCCTGGTCTGCAACCCTCGCCAGATGGTACATCAGGCGATCGAGAAGAGCTCTGTTCGCTTTTGGAAGCAGCTCAATCATAACCGAAAGGCATCGAACTCGTTCGGTGACGTCTTGAACTTCTGAAAGAAAAGGTGATGATAGTTTGAGGAAAACGCTGAAAATTACCTGAGACATTCAGGAAATTCTCATACAAATCGTGAATAATCAAAGGCTCGGTCAATTCGCGAAAAAACGCTTTGACGAGAGTTGTAAGCACGTGAATTCCGACATCTTCCAAATTCACAGCATCGGCATCTGGAATCGAAATCCGAATTTTATGTGTCTCTGAGATAAATTGAAAGAAGAAATTACCGGACGTCGATTCAATTATTCTTCTCATATTGCGCACTTGAGTCAATGAGCCGCTTTTTCTAAAAATAAATCATAACTTTCGATTCCGTATAATAAAAAAATATACCTGTAGACACCTTCCACAAATAATGCGCGAGTTTCGATAGCGAAAAACAGTCGGTCGAGAAGAACTGGAATCGAATGCTCATCATCCACGATTGAATTGAGACAAGCTCCGAAGAATCGGCCGCCGGATTTCTGAATTTCCAAATTCGACCAAACGAGTTGCGTCTTTTTTCTTACTTGAGGATCAACCGTTTTTCCCATCATTTGGCATGCATGTGTCACTTTCGGATGGCACTTTTTATGACATGAAATTCGACATGCGACACATATGAAAAGCTTCTCATGATGCCAAATCAGTTGGTTACACACTTCGCAATAAGTTGGCACGTGAACGACTTCTGCGCGGAATCGATGTCCGGCGTGAACCTGAAATAAAAAATACAAAAAAAATGGCAAAAAAAATGAATAAATGTGAAAAGTTAGAGTTGTCATCGAGGGTGTTTAGTAAACCCAATTTTGAAGATGGTAAGCATAAAAGATTCATATTATAAAATTATTAACAAATTTTGAAATTTTCAGAATCGAAAATGAAGAATTTGAGTTTGGCGAGTTATCTCATTATTAATTATAAAATACCCAAAGTCGCAGATTTTTTTTTGAGACGAATTTTTAGACAAATCTAAATGGATTAGCAAAAACACCGAAATATTAAAACTATCTAATCGAACGAAACAAAAAAAAAACTATGGGGAAAAATGAGAACACTTTTGAATTTACCGCGGCAACGATATCCGATTTTCGGCGCTTTTTGCAGGCTTTCTGAACATTTTCGTATTTTTTTATTTGGTTTCGTCAAATATTTTTACAATTATTTGCAATAAAATAGAACAATAAAAAAATGGATGAAATAAAACACTAAATTCAATTCAAACCTTACCTTTATCATCGAATTCTTCTCCTTTCCTCGCTTCTTTTTTGACTGATGCTGCATGAATTCATTCAAAAACCCTCTGAAATCAAAATTTCTCTCAATTTGAAATAATACAATACGAATACCTGAATGCATTGACTCCCAATGTCGTTGGGAAACACACTTTCTCTTCTTTGCAAACCTTTGTCAAAAGACCTTCGAACATTGTGATCACATCGCGATATTTTAATACCGATTGTTCTGCCTGAGAATCAATATATATTTCAAAAACATGTTTTTTTTTGTTTTCAAATACCGTTAAGACTGCTTCATATCCCAAAAGCTCCATATGAAATGCTCGAAGAGATTTCTTGAAGACCGCATCAACTACGGTATCACGTTTGGTCGTATCTCCCGACAGATTTGTGGTCTTATTGAAGATGAACACACTGAATTGGCGAAGATCATCTGTTGATTCTACTACCATATTTCCAGGATCCGTCTGAGTAAACCAACGATGACGAAATATTTTCAACAAAATTCGAAACCTGCTGTTTTGTTTTTGTTAGACTGAATGTGCCAGTGGTTGGTATCGGAGATGCAGATTGTCGTTGTTTGTGGGACCTTGAAAGTGAGTGTTTGTTAAATAATTATCATAACGTAAAAATATGTTGACTAGCAAGTATTAATACAAAATACACACATTAAATCCCACGGTCTTCTCGGCGATGTGAGACGAGTCGGCGAGCGAACCGGGGACACTGGATTGCAAGGAATCGACGAAGCAAACGCGGCGCACTCCTTGTGCAGACACATTTTGCATCCTTAACAAATCGTTTTTCAGTTTTCCAAACAATAAATTACTTTGGCATTTGTGAGCTTGAGAAATAAAACCGGTGAGATGTCGGTTGCAGATGGCGCAAATCTCCTGTCGATGAAGGCGCGACATTTTGAGTTGGTGCTCTTTGGCGACGAGCACGTCAGGTGAGAGTTCAGTTGGTCCGCTGCTCGGCCCAGGCGACGGCTCTTCATCATCTTCTTTCCGGCCGAACAACGCTTTCAGATTTTTTTTGGCTTTTTGGAAACCCAATTTACCGCCTCCTTTTTTCTTCGAATTCGTTGGGCTCAACTTAAAATTTAAAGAAAAATTAATGTATTTCGAAAAATTAAAAAGAAATACATGGGGTGGGGAGAAGAAATAAACGCACCGTGAATGAGTCATCGCATCTCGCAATTGAGAAATTGTTGGATTCGGTGCTGTTGGCCCTCCGCAACATTTTGAGTTTCGTTGTCGACGCGGTCGGCGCTAGCGACTGCCGACGATGATGCGACAAATCTCCGCCTTCGATTAGTTTGAGTTTGGTGTCTTCCAAAATAAATGTCGCGTCGACATCGATCGCGTCGTCGCTGTAATCCCTGAATACCAATGCATGTTTGACATTCAAATGAACCAACTCTTCCGGAAACGCGTCGGCTAGAACACTCCCTTCCGAAATATCCTCATCAAGACCATCTTGTGTCAGATTATCGCTGTCCGAATCGTCTTCATCCTCCGAAATCGCGAACGCTGCCAACGAGTTGGGATCGTTCAAATCAAACGTCGTCAATTGAACAGCTTGAACCTTTTTCACGCGGAATCCAAGCTTCTTCGCGTTTTTCGGCATCTCCTCGTATCTAGAAAACAGAGGGGAAATACATTCGAAATTCGATCATCGGTCGCACCGTTTTCGGGCCATATTTCCGCGATGAGCTGTTTGAATCGCAATGACCGCATTTCGCAATAATTGATAGCGACGCTGTTCGCGAAAACGACGCCAATTGCTTTGAATCGTCTGTGCGGCGACGGCTTTTCGGCGAACTTGCGCCCGAATCAAAGACCCTCGGATGAGAGCCTGGATCTTCACAATGCCTTCTTTCATCTTCAAATACCGTTTTCTTGCCAGCATCGTTCGAAACCATCGTTGTAGTGTGTCTAAAATCCACGTGTAATTTGAAAACGATTTAAGCTTCTATTCGAAAATGTAACATTTGCCTACCAATGTGTTGCAGGATTGTTCTATGCAGATGATCATCGAGTATCAACTTTTCAGCGTCTCTCATGAATATCTTATTGATACCATATTGAATATTGTCTGAATCAACCGATGGATGCGATTCGATGAACTCCTTCACATCGTCTACCGTACTCTCACGACCATGTCGCAAAAGGATACGGTATTGCTGGACGAAGCTCTGAAATTGTAAATAGAGTCGAATGTTCGAGCGCGCAGCGAACCGGGTATTCGATTCTGACAGAATAGCCGGCCCTTCGTATCCGGACAGTCTCCAGCATTCCGGTATAACGGAGTTGCCGAAGAATAATGTTGTCGTCAAAGTGATTCGGAATCTGAATCAGCTAATTGAGAATTAGAAGTGCTGTTTGAATCACCTTGTCATTGTTTGATTTAATACATCGAATGAAGTACGGTGTTGCATTCCCCAATGTCGACATCAGTCGAGTGAGCGAGTACTCGAACTGCTTGGAGACCGACGACGGCTTCTTGGCGAGTCGTCGGCCTCCGATGGCTTCTTTGAGAATTTGCAGAGACTTGAGCATACTCATTTTGTCATCCGATCGGCTGGCCGCTGGTGTTCGTCGTGCTTGCGTTCGAATCGTTTGGAACATGCTCGTATCGCAGAAGTCGGGAACTTCGCATCGCAGCTCGCCGCGCAAGAACGCAGAAAGAGCCGAATCGGAACCACGACGCGTCGAGGTTGTGATCGAGTTGGCAACATGCAAGTGACCAGCCGATTCTTGAATAATGCATGTTTGAAAACCACAAATCTTATTGTTATTCTTCAATTTTTTTCTAATCATTTTACAATACATACCACTTTTTTGCAGTTTTCTAGCACTTTGCTTGAATCCATTCATAGCTCGGAACACGCTGCGAACGACATTCCATCTGAACGAAGAGATTACTAAATGTGGCTAGATGAAAATGTGACCTGTGGACAGCAACTGGATCAATTCCGAGTAGTGTTTTCATGACTGAACTGGTACTCGACTTCAACGCATTCAGCACGTCTTGTCTCATCAGATCTTTGTTTTTTTCTCGGAACCCCTTCAAAACCGAATTTCGACTAATTTAATATGTCTACCAATTTTGCTACCGTAATCTGATATTTGACTTTTCCTGCATAATGTGCCACAATGAATGCGGGCTCTTTCTTCTGTGGCGTCTCGTAGTACTCGTTATTTTTAAGAAATTGATTCAGCTTCGCCAACATCGAATCATCAGTTCCATTATTGATATTACTCTCTTCATCGATCAATCGCAAAATTCCATAAGGCTTACTCTGAATCCTTCATTTTATCACAGAAACACACCAGAATGCACAATTCACCTGGAATAGTTGAACGCATTCCGTATTGTCAGTGTATTCAATATTTGTCCAGGAAATGCCTTCTTTCAAATATTCCTCCTAAAAAATGATTAATGAAATTCAAATTCAAATAAATGAGAATAGAAGTCGAAAATAGTACTTGTTCGAATTGAAAAATGTGCTGATTGAAATAGGATTGGAGTTTTTCATTGGCGTAATTGATGCACAACTGCTCAAAACTATTCCATTGGGCGCCGACATCTTCAAAACCAAAAATGTCCAAAATTCCAATATAATATCCTTTTGAAACAGCAAAATCCTTTTTGAGAAGTGCTTGATTAATTCGAAGAACAATGTAGTGAAAAAGGGAATTGTAGATGCATTTGGCCATCGCGTCGCGAGTATTCGTTGCCTAAATCAATAGTTATCGGAGGTGCTCGGTTCAATCGAGCCTACTTCCGAGACGCTGTATCTCAACACGACCGTCTCCGCCTTCATCACATGTCGTTTCATCGTCAAGGCTTGCATTAAAGTTTCGGTTTTGATTTGTAGGAGTTTCGCGACCAAATCGACGACTTCTTCATTCTCAATGTATCCGCTCTCGTCGCTATGATAGCCATGTCTCTGAAAAATCAATTTTCTGCTTCCAAATTCCTAATCTGTTTGGAATACCTTGATATAGGTAATGTTTCCAAGGAGTAATACGGCCGAAATGATTCCGAAAATGGTTTGCTGCGTTTTCGCACAAAATCCCACTGAATTCATTGCCAATCGCAATCGATCGAACTCATTTTTCTCGTTGACACCTTCCGGAGTAAACGGTTCATTCTAAACAAAACAATTAAAATATGGTGTATAAATAATTAAAATAATGAGAACCTGATTTAAATACTTGTAATCTTGTGGTTTCAACAAGAATAATTTTTGCTTTTCTTCTGTATCGGCACCTTCCAGTAGATAGTAGAAGACGTGATAATTTCTGAAAAAAAAAGAAGCATATATAATATTGAATTTCGTTTTGTTAGTTGTGGAGCGACTTGTTTTGAGGTGCACCGTGTGGATTATTGTTAGGTAGAAGAGATCTTCTTGATAGGACCCTTTTAACTTGTGAGTCTTGCACATTATTTAAATGTTTTATCCGACGTTTCGATCATTCTATCATCATCAGGGAAGGTCAATTTACCTCAAACTTGGGTAACTAAACCTGGCTTTAAAAAAACTTGGGTAAACTTGGGATTAAAAATACTATAATATTGAGATAATCAATTTTCACCTTTCGCCTTTCGCTTGGAAGATTATCCGCGATTTTTCGAGCAAATAAATCTCCACGTTTGCTCTGAAAATGATCGAATAAAAATATTTTTGAAATTGAATGAATCGAATTTTACCCAGAAACCATTCCATTCTCCCTGTAGTTGATTTTGATGAATTTTCCGAATCGACTGCTATTGTTATTTGTCAAGGTGACAGCATTCCCAAATGCTTCGAGTACTGGTCCGGCAGAGAGCAGCGTCTGTTCCGTACTGCAGCCGGTGGACCCTTTCTGAGACAACGAGATCAAATGCGACATCAGATGATTCGTCGATTCTGTCTTGCCCGATCCGCTCTCTCCGCTGATCACAACACATTGATTTTCCTTGATTCGCAGCATACTGAACATGGAAAAATTGTCGAAATGTTTCAAGAAGAATATCGAAAATACTTGTGATAACAAACATCGGCAATTGCGAAAATGTGAGGCGGAAGAGCACCGAGACGACGGCTTTGGAAATAAAGTCGCGCATATTTGGGATTATAAATTGGAAAAAAGCTGGAAATTTCAGACCAATCGATAGTGAAAAAATCATCGCGAATTACCAAAATGGGTTGACGGCTACTAAAATGGGACCAATATAGGTGTAAATATGACCATTGTTGAAGCGATCGCGAAGATTGTCCAGCAGAGTTTGTTCGGTGAGCTCGGGTAGCATACAGAGGTCAGCATACTCACGATCCTGAAAAAAAAAAAAACAGAGAACCATTTATGGGCAAATAATCATTAGATTGATATTTTGGACAAACCTGTGGTTGAGTTAAGAATTTGGTAAGGAATGCATCGATTGATGATGCAACTTCGGCCGAGCCGAATCGGGTTCTGCCAGCAGCGGCTCGATAGCCGCGATGTCGGAACACGAATCGGTTTTTCGGCGTCGCGCTGTCGACAGCAGCTGGCATTCGGGCCCAGATTGCTTGAACTGCGACCGGGTACTCTCCGGGATCAAGTCGGCGCTCTTTGTACGTCTGTCCGTCAGGAGTTCCCATCATTTCGAACAAATCGAAATCTTGCGTCGAATGCCCTTCGAGTTCTGAAATAGGCGGAATCAAGCGGGTTTGAAGCGCCTTCTTGTTTGAGTCTACCACTCCGAACACTCAGCACTTTCTCGATCAGCTCCTCTGTCGTGCATCTTTTGTGAACTTCAACAACAAGTTTGTCGTTGTCACAATCAGGATTGAAGCTGTGCATGTACACCTGAAACCCAATGCTTCAACGATTTAATGATCTCGATTCCTACCGTAACCGTGTGCCCTTTCGCCTCATCAGTGGCGGTGATGGTGTGCGCTCTGCGCGGGAAGCACCCGGTGGCGCCGGACGAGATCGAATCAAACGACATCCGTCATGCGCATTTGAACAATTCCGCAACACACGAACCAGCGTATATTAAACGTGTGTGTGTGTGTGTGTTTGTGTGTATCTCGGAGGCGGCTTGAATATTTTTTGTCTATCGCTGCTGTGATGATCTGTAGCGAGAGAATCGAGTGCGAGCACGAGACATACGACGACAAAGACGCGGGAGAGCAACGCGGATTACACCTACTCCGCCGCCGCAGACTATTTTTATCGGAAACGGACGCAATTTGATGAAATCATCTACATAAATCACAAATCTCAAAATAAAAATGCAATCGAAACAAAAATTGTTTTCGAGTTTTTTTTTTGGCGACTATTAGCCATTGAGATTTTTCCACAAATCTATATCGGAAATTCGATCTGAAAACGAGAAGAGAGCTTTTTTTTCTTGACACTTTTTTTTCGCTTGGAAATGGAATAGAATTAATTAATAATGATGATAAAAATATCAATGATGTTATTTAAAAAAATCACGAAAATTGTGGGAGCACGCACGCGAGGTGAATCCGCCTCGCCGGCGACTCTCCTCTCATTCATCACTTCAGCCTTCTTTTCCTCCTTCTCGTTTTCGGCTTTCTCAGCCACAATTTGTTGATGAAAAAAAAAACGGAAGAGCTGGAGCATTTGAAACGCTGATGGAACAGATGACAGAGAAATGAATGAAGCAACAACATTTCGAGCTCATCGATAATTATCGATTCGACTTGAGGGTGAGCACGGTCGAATAATTCCGACCAATGCTTGCTTTTTGTTTTTGAGCAAGATGGCTAAAAGGGGATGTTCTCTTTTTGATATATCGAGCCCTTCAAGGATGGTTTAAATCAATAGGATTCTTTCAATAAAAAAAATTATTGCTGAAATTGTTTGAAACATTCCAGAGCCTTGATAAACCATCAAAAATTTGATAACCATAATTAGTATTCAATCGAAAAAAAATTGAAACAGATAAACGAGTAAAAATGTGATTGCGCGACTGGACGGTTTTTTTTGCGTAGGCGGAAATCTTCGCACGATCAAAGCCGTCGGAGGTCCGATCCGATTCGAATTAAGCAAACACACTCGAAGAATTCCCTGGTATTTGTCACTCAGGGGGGGGGGAACTCGACCGAGCACCCAAATACAAAAGAAGGTGAGAAAAAGAGGGCAGAGAACAATTAAATATTACCACACGTGATGGATACGTTGCGCACGCATGTGATATAAGCTATTGGACAGAAAAAAAGAACAGCGGCGGATAAATATTGAACTTTTCGAAATCTCAATTCTCGACTACCTTTTTTTGAGATTCAATCATGATTTTAATCAGAAACTTATTTATTTCATTATTATTCAAATAAATTATAAATTAGTGTCTAAAATCAACAAATTTTCCCCCCAAAAATTATTTCAACAATCAATTATTGAGATTCGACGATTCGCTGGGTTTCGCACAACTTCTGATAAATTGGACTAGTTTGAATCAGTTGATCGTGTGTTCCTTTGTCGACAATCTTTCCCTCGCTAACCACCGCGATCACATCACTGTTTTGGATTGTGCTCAATCGGTGAGCAATCACGAGGCACGTTCTTCCCTTCTTGGCAGCATCTAGAGCGTCTTGTACCATCTGAACAACAACGGTATACGATGATTGATTCGGATTCTACAATATTCCAACCCTTTCACTTTCCGTGTCCAATGCACTTGTAGCTTCATCCAAAAGAAGGACTGATGGTGATCGGATAAGGGCTCTCGCAATTGCGATTCGTTGCTTTTGACCCCCGGAGAGTTGAGTTCCTTTCTCTCCCACATGCGTATCGTATCCCTAAAAATGTGAATTGCTACAATAAATATAATATTCATCGATATATATTTACCTCAGGCAATCCTAAAATGAAATCATGAATATTCGCCATTTTGGCGGCATCGGTCATCTCTTGATATGTCACATTTCGGCTCAATCCATAGCAAATGTTCTCGCCAATTGTACAATCGAATAGTGTGGGCTCTTGGCTCACAATGCACATTTGAGTGCGAAGCGAGCCGATGTTCAAATTCTTGATATTGTCGCCATCCACCATCTTCAATAGTTTTCAAGAAATCATTTCTATATATTTGACAACTCACAATAATTCCTTTATCGGCATTATAAAATCGTTCCAATAGAGCCATTATTGTACTTTTTCCACATCCCGAATGTCCGACCAAAGCAACTGTTTGGCCAGGTTTAATCTGCATTTAAAATAATGTCATTGAAAAACCAAAAAAAAAGCGAACCTCCAATGAGAAGCCTTGAAGAACTTTGGTTTCGCGTCGAGTTGGATAATTGAAATGAATGTTCCGAATCGAAATGTTCCCAGAAATCGGCTAAACTCTTTCGATTCATTTACTAATCTCGTTTTTGATCTACCTTGATGACTCCCGCTTTCGAAAGCGAATTAATTTGGGTTGGATGCTCGATGAGATAGAACAACAGCGAAGCGGCAAGACGGGCTTTGACGACGTCAGGAATGAACGACGAAAGATTGCCGACCATTTGTCCGCAGAAGGAAATGGCGAAGAAGACCCTATCAATGAAAAGTGGATTCAATTGATTTTGATGGGAATTAATCGAATACCTGTAAACATCAATCGGCTGCATTTGGCCGTTGTTAACGAAGATCGATCCGAGCCAGAACGCGACGGCGTACATGAAGAAGATGAGCGACTGCGAGAAGGCGAACACGACTCCGTATGTCTGCGCATGTCTCATATTCGTTTTGTAGTGCTCCTTGAGGTATTCGCAATATGTGAAATGGAACTGCTCCTGTCTGTTCAAAGCGTGAACCGTCCGAATATTCTCGACAGCCTGTGTGGCAACCTGAAACGTCAGAAATGCTCATAGAAGTCGGAGCTGTGCGCACCTTGCCAGCTTCTTCGAGAAGCTCAGTGTCGCGCACTTGTTTTCCGAATCTCATTTGCATTTCAAAGTATCCGCTGAGAATAATCAGTGGGACCATGATGATAAGCACCTAAATAGCCGTACATTTTGGGCAATTATCAATTAGACATACCGAAGTCAATTGCCAGCCGTATGCAAATCCGATTGCGATTGCTCCGACTACAGTGACGAGCGATGAGACGACGACCGGAAGTCGGGTGAACACATAGCGAACATTTGGCGCGTCTGTGGCAAATCGGGTGCACAATTTTCCAGTTCCATGCCGATTGTCGTCATAGAAGGCGATATCCTGTCGAAGAAGATTATGGAATGCGTCGAATCGCAGTTTCTTCGTCAATGATTCTCCGCATCGTCCGAGACAATTCGCCTACAAAACACATCGTTGAAGATTCACACGATTTCTGCATTATTTTTTTTCAAGCGCGAAAAAAAAAACAAAACCGAAATGAAGAATCCGATGAAGAAGAGGGCGCCCATCACGAGGAACATTCCGCACCAGAATAGCACGTCGGTTTTCATTTGCTCAACAGGCTCCGCGTAAACGTTGAAAATCTCGGCGTAGATGAGAGCGAAAATAGGTGTGACTCCACCGAAGATCGCAGCTCCGCAGAATCCTCCAATGAGAAAGCCGAGTTTGTCGCGATTGTAAGCGAAAATCTTTGAAATCGGTGTGGGTGCCGCATGAAGCTCCTAAAAAATGCGTTTCGAATATGAAAAAGAAACAAATAAAAATTGTTAGAAACGATAGAACGAAAAGCGTATTATTAGAAGTTAAAGGTGCACATCATTTCACGCCATCTAACTTACGTCAAACGCAATTTTTTCTCTGATAATCTCAGTAAAATCGGTTTCAAAATGCTGAAAAGTTGGGATGAAAAAAAAACACAAAAATTTGATGATTTGTTTCATTTTTTTTTTTGCAAAATGTTACCTCAACTTCTTCTTCAAGAAAACGAATGGATGTTGCCAAAGAAAGTGCACTTTTAGTCGATGATTTGCGACTCGCATGAGATTGAGCAATCGATAATGAATCATCGATTTCTTGAAATTGCATATTTAATTATTTAATCGATATATCAATTAATTGTACCTTTTGTCGCTTGTTTTTGTTGTGCTCTGACCACTTGTGCTTGAGTCATATTGAAGAAGACCCCCTCCTTTTTCATCAGCTCCTCGTGACTTCCGCATTCGACAATTTGCCCCTTCTGAATTTCTTCCGATTACTCTAATACTCAATTTGAATCACCAACGTCAAAAACAAAAATTTTGTCGACGTTTCGAATCGTTGACAATCGATGAGCTACGGTAATTGTCGTTCGTCCCGATTGGGCCTTGTCAAGTGCCGCTTGCACTTCAGTCTCGGCCTCAGTATCAAGAGCCGACGTAGCTTCATCGAGGAGAAGAATTTTTGGATTTTTGATGAGAGCTCGGGCGATCGCAATTCGTTGTTTTTGTCCGCCGCTCAATTGAACTCCTTTCTCGCCAACACGAGTACCGTAACCCTCGGGAAGCTTTTTGATGAACTCAGCAGCATTTGCCTATTACAAAACCAAATTCCATTTTTTTTTCTTTTTCAAATCTATGAACTCACCATTTTGCACGCCTCAACCACCTGTTCGTAGGTCGCATTCTCGTTTCCCATTTTGATATTCTCGAATAGTGTGCCATCGAAAAGCACGGGCTCTTGACTGACAATTCCAATTTGATCGCGAAGACTGTGAACGTTGATCTCTTTCAAGTCAATCCCATCAATCGTCACCTTTCCTTTCGTCGGATCATAGAATCTAGAAGCAAATTCATTTTCGAATTCGAATCAACTAATTAATTACCGTAGGAGTAAGTTGATAATTGTCGATTTACCACAGCCACTTGAACCAACCAACGCAATTTTTTGGCCAGCTTTCGCTTCAAGACTTATTCCTTTCAACACCTGAGATATGTATTCGATTGATTTTCTGAGCAATTCAACTATCAAACAATTCACCTGGATATGCTTGCGAGATGGATATCTGAAATGAACATTTTCCAGTTGAATATCTCCTTTGACTTCAGTGAGAACGAGTCCTTCCAGCGAATACGGATCAATTTTCGGCGTCTGACGACATTATTATTATTATTCGAATTCAACAAATCACATGACGAGATCCTACCGAGTTAATCGTTTTGAGCACCGAAGTTGCTGCTCCGCGAGCTACAGCCAAACTACCCAAATGCGGCAGAGCGCCGCCAAGAGCAGTTGAGCCGGACATGACAGCGAAGAAGACGGTGAAAATGAGACCGCGATCGAACGTCGGATCGTTGATGATCAGTGTGCCGCCGTACCTGAGAATAACGCGTTGATTGCGAATCGAAATTTGAAATATTCACCAAAATGCCAACGCATAGGATGCATATGTGCAGAAATTGCTGAATCCAACTCCGCATCCCATATAGAAATATTTGACAAGTCCAGTTTTGCGGCCAACTTCCAACGCATTCTCGAATCTTAATCATTTCAATTTCATTTGATAATCGCGTTTCGATCACACCTCTCCAATTCCCTTTTATGTCCGTTCAGCGAATGAACCGTTCGAATCGACGAAAACGTCTCTTCGGCAATCGCTCCAGCCACCGCATACGTCTCTTGCTCAACACGAGTTCGAGTCGCCATGTTGCGGCTCATCCAGGCGCCGGAAAGAACAATCAACGGCGCGAATCCCATCATGACAAGTGTCATCGACCAGCTGAAAAATGAGAGAATTGAGAACGAGAGGAGGTTGATTCGTTGGAAATGCCTGTAGAAGAATCCAATTGCATAGCCGGCGATGAAAGCTGAAAACATTTGGACGAGCAAAGCCAATTTATCACCGAGACCTTCGCGGACACGCTCCAAATCGCTGAAAACAATCGATGTGAGAGAGTGCGACTATCGAGTCCGACTGCGAAGTCCCATCTCCCACCCAACCCCCAAATTTGAAATAAAATCTTACTCAGTAAGTCTAGCAGTTAAATTTCCGGTTTGCTGTTTATCGAACCATTCGATTTGTTGCCTGAGAATTGCGCGAAGATAATTCTGCCGCAATCGGTGGACAAGTCGTTCGGCATACAATTCGAAGCCAGCAATCTGAAATATTCATTCTCAATCGCAATCAATTGATCGCGACACCTGAATGTGCGACGTGATGAACATGGCGACTCCAAGCACCAAATAGTAAATGCAGTAGCGCGAGACTTCGGCGTTGAACTCCTCTCGTGTGATCGGCGGCAATCCATCCGGATTCGATTTTCCGACGCCAACAACAAATTCCGAGTTTTGAGCTCTCAAAAATGTGCTCGTCATTCCACCGAGTACTGTAATAAACCAGAAGCCTCTTTTTAAATGGTCCTTCGACAATATTTTTACCGATGGCTAAAAGAGGAAATCCGGCTCCGTGAATGAAAGCAGCAAGAGATCCGACAATGAGCAGGACATAATCTAATCCGGTTGTGTAATGGAACTAAAATTAATCGCATATTTCCAATTTTTGACCGCAATCTTACTAGTCCATAATTGGAAACCTCCACTGAACTTGTTTCATCTAATGAGGACGAGCTGCTCGACGAGCTGAAATCATTTTTCGTATCGCCGTTTTCATGTTGTACTTTTGAACCAGTTTTATCATTTTTGATAACGACACTGATTCGATTTTGTTCATTATTTGATCTGACGCTAATTTTTTTCAGTACAAACGATTCGATTATTTTCAACGAATTTTCCGATTAATTTGTGATTTGCTCGTGTTGATTGCAAATTTAAAAAATAGACAATAATGACCATCAGCCGGTGACAATAAGTGGCCAGAAGTCCGAAAATTCTTTTTGAAAGTGAGTTTTCTGAATCACTGGTAATTGAAAAGAAAACCCACGGACAAAAATCCCTCTTTCTATTCTAAATATGAAATTCTTGAGAAAGCTCTTATATCCGTTTTGGTTTTCTTTTCAAATGACATTATTCGTCGAGAAATAGTGTGCGATAGACAATGTTTAGAAAATGAAACCATTTGATTGTGACGTCAATTTAGGAAATTTCGAATTTTATTTTTATTATGATACTCAAAAAAAAGAGTCTGTCGTTCATATTGACAAAGTTCTCAAAAATTTTCGTCGAGAAACGTGAAATCTTGCAAAACTGTTGTGTGTTTTTCGAACTGGACCGATTGATTCAAAGATTACTTTTCGGATATTTGATGATTGATGTCCTCAATTCTAGTTCCGTTCTTTTCAGGAAATCAGCCTGATACTTGTTTGAATTAACTCTCTAAACATCCGTTGTTGCCAACATTTATGTGTTTTTTCGATGTCTCGAAGCTCTCGAGTTCATTAATTTTGCATGACTCATCTCAGGACGCGTTTCTCAAACAAACAAAAAAAAAAGAGATATGGAGCAGTTCTAATTGATTTTTAATTGGTAATTGGAGAAAGAAAATTCAATTTTCGCTTCGCAAATTTGATGTTTGAGTTCAATAGTGAGTAAAGCAAAAAAAAAGGCCGTCACAAACATATAATTTGATGGAATTCAATAAGCGAATTCTCGGAATTTTCTCGATTTTCTGCAGAATAGAATTATGTGCAAATTTTTGATTCAATTGATCAGTTGGAAAATCGGCTGAAAATTATTTTTCTTTTTGCCTAAATCCAAATTTCGATGGGTTAGCTGAACTTTTGATATTAAAAAAAAACCAAATATTGTCTGCGGAAAATTGGCAAAATGCCACATTAAAGGCGCACACCGCCCACCGAGACCTCTTTTTAATTTTTTTCAAGCCAATTTTCCGGCGTATTTTGTTTGAAACAAAATTTGAAAGCAGCAAAATTCGATTGTCTCCGGTTTCAACGAAACAAAATGTTGTGTTTTTGCTTGTGCTTGTGTGCAGCAGCTGTGCACATCATAATAATTGCAAAAACGTTTTTCTATCATCCATTCGGCGGTGTAAAATTTGTCAGAAACAACAAAAAAAAAAGCAACGCGAATAAAAAGACAACGTACCGCTCTAGGAGTGGGCCCTTTTGAGCGGCGTCCTGGCCCATAATTGTTCATAACAGGAAGAATAGAAGTGGGGGGGGGAACCAAAAAATAAAAACAGAACAATATGAAGAAGCGAGACCCGCAACAAATCAACGAGAAGGAATGAATGAATGAAGGCGACGACGGACGGACGGACGGAAGAAGAAGACGAAGAAGAACGAGATGGAGAAAATTGAAAAATGCGAGAGGCGGCGCGAACGAGAGCGTTTCCAGGCCAAACGATATCACTCGATATCACTCAATACGCCGCTATCCAAAATGGAATTTTTAATCGAAAAAAAACCGATTTGCCAGGTGCGCAGATTGCAGGAAACAATAATATTTCATGCGGCTGCGAAGAGACATTTCTCGTTCGCCCCCGCTCAGCGAGATCTTGTTTGTCCTTACAAAGTACAACTCAGCCGAATCGAAATCGCTCCAACTCTCTCACTTCCTATCAATCATTGTTGCACTTACCTTTTGCGACGATAATCCGCCGCGGACAGCAGCGGCGTCTTCTCCGAGTTTCTTCTGCCCATTCACTGAAAATTCAAATTGATGGGATTTTGAGTTTGAAAAATTTAAAAAAAAAACAGAACATTGCGATTTGTTGAATTATTCGTGCGCAAAAAATGGACGAATTTCAGTTTGCAAAAAGATTTTTTTTAATTTTCAGATTTTCTTTTTTAAATGCGGGTTTTCGTTTTTCAACGAAAACCCTCAGAACATATCTTTGACGCATTTTTTGGCCTTATTTTGGAAATTTTGAAAGAAAGCTAAATAAAAAAACTCGATTTTTGACCAATCTGCATAGCGTTTTTCGAGTTTATTTGGCAAGATTTTGAAAAAAATAAGATTAATCAAAACGAGATTATAGAAGGAGATTTGAATGACAATAGAAATGATTAAAATTAAATACAAGGAAAAAAACAATAATGTCAAATTATGAAAAATTAATTTTTTTTTATTTTCACTTATACTAACGATTGAAAAAAAAACAATTTGCTTATAGAAAATGTCCTTATAAAAATGGTTAAAATTTAATCACCAAGTTGAGAATTTCTGTTATCGGTCGTACCTGTTTGTTGGTGTCAATTTCGTCTTTAAATTCAATTAAAAAAATGAAAAATTAACGTGGATTTTTAATAACATAAAAACATCGATAACTCATTTTATTATATGTCTGACAAAAAATAGCAGAATAAAAATGAAGATGTGCTAAAGAAAGCCACGTTCTTTCGAACACTGAGAGACAAAATAAAGAAGTGAAACGATAAGGAACCCAGTTGATGACATTGATAAAGTTTTGAGCACAATTATGATAATGAAGGACTATAGACTACAAAGCACAAACTGGATCAGCCGAGGCCGCCTCCATTGATAACACTTCCTTTGGGGAAACGTGCCAGAGGAACTTTCGATCCAAGACATGTTGTTAAGATATTTATGCAGGTTAAATGGAATACCTGAAAATACTTGGGGGTTTAAGATTAAAAATTAAATGAATTAGCTTGAAAGAATATTTGTAAATCAGTCTTCAAATTATTTCAGCGAGTGTTACTGTCGACCTAATAGACGATGTTATATGACGCAAAAATGCACATACATAAATAAGAAATTCAAATTCAGTTTTGTTTGATTGAACTTCACTTTCGTTTCTCTGTTATTATAAGGTTTATACACATATTTAGTTTTTTAGATTTCACAAATGATGCAATCTCATAAAAAGAAACGCTCAGATTTGGTATATGGGAAAAAGAAGAAAAAATGTTTCTGTCGAGTTTTCAGAGTTTCAAGACGTTTCAAAAAAAGTCGACAAAAGCGAAAGAGGGAACTGTAGAAGAAAAGGAAAACATGAACACATTTTCCAGACCAGTTAGAATTGAAATTAATAAAGTCCGTTTGAAAAAATTTAGACTTTCGCATCGATGAGTGGCGATAAAAACAACAATTCGTCGAAAATGAAACAAAACGTTCCACATCGAAATGCACCAACAATCGAAAAGGTGGAGATGTTGGATAAATTTCAGAAAACGATTAAAGCAGATAAAACTCATGCTGACGAAAACAAAGGTTAAATCAGAAATTCAGATATATTATTTTTAAAACTTTTAGCTCAGAAATATTCTGGTGCTGCTGATCATAAATACCCAACAAACCGCAACAAAGGCTCAACTTTAATAATGTATCTTCCAGCGGCATTCACCGATGCAGTTTTTGATTGCCTAACTCTCAAAGTACATCTTATTAAAATCCGTCTAACTAAAAAAAAAATATATAGTGGCTCTACAATCGATTTGATACGTTTGATGTCAGTATTAACTATAATTCCGAAGGGTATTGCATTGGAAGTGGCACAATGAAAGTTGCAAAGCATCATGTAGACGAAGTAGCACGTTTCGCTTCACAAAAGAATTGGAGAGGTGAGTTTCATATCAATCATATCTCACTCCGAATTATTTTAAAGCTTTGAAACCTTCGCCTATTCGATATCACGATTCTCGAGACAAATCAACAATAATTCCCGCATTAGTTGGCGGTCTGCCAACGTTTGCATTGCCTGATGAGCTTGAAGTAAATTTCAATCAATATTAACGATTATAACAAAATTTAGCAATTTTTAATGAGTAAAAATGCTAAAAACATCGAATTACTTTTTGATTCAACCGGCTCTCACAAGAAAATAGCAAAAATTGATATCACAATAGCAGATGCAATCGATTTCCAAAGGGATTTGACATATCCGTTGACAAATTCTTCAGGTACGATCTCTAATAGATTTTTCAAACAAAAAATCTCCGATATGCAGGCAATGCTCAAACCAAAGTATGGAAGCTTTGGATTTACGAGATAATTGACTCACTTAAATAATCCAAATAATATTTCTTCCAAAATGTATATTTTTTGCTTGAATTTAATATTTACGACGTGAAATTGTTCGCATGTTTAAACCATTTTTTTAATTGATTCATATTACTTCAACTTGATCACTAGATAAATTATGGTAACAATTTTAATGGTTTGTGCGAAATGTTGATATAATAACGAATACCTAGTTTCCCTATAACTGGTTTGCATTTCTCATTTCTTCCGCAAGTCCGTTTGTGCACTCACTAGCCGTTGTCTACGTTTTCTTGGCGTGTTATCTACGACCGTCGAAGACCCAAACGGACTCAAATTTAACTGAATGGTGAGTTTTTCGATGTTCGTCCGATCAGAATATCGTTTTGGTTAGGTATCGCTTGAATTTTGTGACCCAATTCCTACTGGCTCTCGCATTTCTTCCTGAGGTCATCATCAGTCTGTTCCACGGATTCCAATATTCGATTTGTACGAGCGGCGGACTGAACACCGGAATTCTGTCGGGACTTGTTGTCCTTTTCTGGACACTATCAAAGATCTCGGATCTTGTCGAAACGTTTCTTCTGATATTCGATGCCCGAAGGCCACTGCCGATTCATATTATTCATCACTGCGTCTCGCTCTCCTATGCGTTTACATTCTACGGATTGAACATGGCAATTCAACGATGGGTGGTGTTCTGCAATCTACTAGCACACATCGTGCTTTATGCCTATCTTGCCAACATCAAAGTGCTCAATTGGGCTCCGTGTTGGGCGTCGGTTTGCATTACCCAAATGCTGCAGCTCATTATTCCTCTGCTCGCGAGTTTCCCGGTTTCCACGGTTTGTGTCTTTTTTTTTCAATTTCGTCTCAAATAATTCACTTTTTAGGCTCTTACGAGAGGTTTGAAATGCGACGCTTCTCCTAATCATCTACTAATTATGCAATTTGGCCTCACCACTCTTATTGTGCTTTTCGCGGATTTCTATTATTCACGAATCAAAAAGTTTCGTCAACAAAACTTGAAGATCGTAAGCGAAAAAGAAAAAGAGCCGAGTGTACGGAAAAAGGTGAACGCGAAATCGGATGAAACTGTGATTTTCGAAAAAGATTTTCCCGATCTTCGATCCGTTATTTTCTCGCCGTAAATCAAATAAACTTTTCTCGAAATTAGTGTTTTCTACGAAAGGATTATATCCAATTTGAGAGTTTTTCGAAATGAACATTAAATAAAAGATTTATCGACCAATATAATATAATGACACAGTCGGGGCTGATAAAATTGGTTAGGTCGGTGGTCAGAATTAGTTCAAAATGCTTCAATCATGCTTCTCAATTGTTCGACGCTGATTTCGCTGTTCTTTGCAGCTTCGACAAGTTCACGAACTCTCGGATCAACGACAAGATTCGCAGCGAACTTGTTGGATTCTGCATAAGCATTTCGAACGACGTCGTGGCTGATTCCGGCAAGTTTAGCAGCATAGAATCCATAAGATTTTGGACAGATCCCGGATTCAAGTTCGTATAAGAATGTGACATCTTCCATTGTGGGATCTTCGTTGTTCTCCTTATCAACAACACATTTCTGCAAGAAAACAATGGGTGATACCAAAAACAACGTGTCAAAGTACCATATGAGCGAGTCGGACGTTGGGATGATCCAAAAACGAATTACAAATCGAATGATAGTGAGTCGAGAAGAATGTTCTGCACGACAATTCGTCGGCGATGTTCTGAAGGACAGCGGATGCAATTGCAGTCCCATCAAATGTGCTGAAATAACCAACAATGACGAACAATTGATTCGAATAACCTCGTTCCTCTTCCCAACTCATCAATAAGCAACAATGAATGTTTCGTTGCGTTTTTGAGCATTACATCAGTTTCCTTCAATTCGATGAAGAATGTCGATTCGCCGCACATGATTCGATCGTTTGCACCGATTCTTGTAAAGATGCGATCAATTGGAGTCAACTTCATAGAGTTCGCTGGAACCATCGAGCCCTAAATATTATTTCGTTTTAATAAATAAACTAAAATTCAAAGCACCATATGCGCAAGAATGCTTAAAATGGCAGTTTGTCGCATCAATGTCGATTTTCCACCCATATTTGGTCCAGTGAGGAGCATCACAGCAGCTTCTCCTTCTCCCATGGTGATACTATTCGCTGATATTTTAAAAAATTTTGTTTAGATCTTGACCGGCGCTACTAACCAATGAAGGATGTGGTACCGGTGACTTCGTTTCTTGATTGAAGTGCCAAACAAGGATGAACTCCGCGATCAATAATAAGATACGGCTAAAGTCCGATGTGTGCATAAATTCATTGGAAAGCAAAACCTTTGTCGATGTGAAGTCAAATTCAGGCATACACATATCGAATGGGCACGACTTCGAGAAAATTGCCATCGAAAGCAAGACATCAAATTTGGAAATGGAGTTAACAGTTTCAGCCCAAATTGGGTTTCTGAAACAATATCAAGCATTCAGCTTTTTTTCTCGAATATTTCTCACTTGCAGCCGAATTGTTCAAATACACGGCGAGTCGCGTCATCTCCAAGTTTGGCCATTTCATTTTGGGCATCTTGAAGTGAACGAACAAGCGCTTCAGAATCTGAAGTCGAATATCGAACAAATCCCTAAATTTAGAGATGTCCGAAACAATAATTCAAATAATATGCACCTTTCGGCGTGATTTCATTTCAAAATCCGATGAGACTTTGATCGATTCGGGCATTTCGAGCAAATATTTCAATTTTCCGGATGTCACAAATTTAATTGCGCAAGAATACTTTTTGGCGATTTTTCGGCGATACTCCTCAATTTCAGCTTCACATTCTTCGACGAGTTTTCCAGCAGCTTCATATTCATCATCACATCCTTTATTAGGCACAATTTTTCCCGATTTTTCAGCCGCTGAACGATCGAACATTTTCTCGAAATATGCAATATTTTCAGCGACTTCATCTCGCTGCTTTTCATTTCCCAACAAATCATCCAACATTGCGCAGCTGTAAATTGTTTTGAATTAATCTCTTTTTGATAATGCTGAACACGCTCTACCCTTCGCCCTCTTGTTGCATATTCATGTATTCGGCGCGAATTTTATTACACACTTTAAAACCATCGATAGCCGCGAGAAGTTCGGAAATTTTTCTCTGATTGATGCGAAGAGAATCGAACATTACAGCACGACTGTCCGGATGCTTCTCGGCGCGATATTTAAGTCCAATCGTATGAATTCTGTAATTGTATTAAATTTTAAATAAAAAAGAGAATTGCATTTTGCACTTCTGAAGAAGTCGATCCAAATCCGGAATTTTCTTCATCATTCCAGTAACTTTTGTGACAAAACTGGAAGCATCAGGCGATGTCATCCATGTTATAGCATCTTGACGAAGTTTCAACTGCGTTGGATCACATGTAGGATGGAGAAGCCAAGATCTGAGAAGTCGGCGTCCTACAATTATTTTTTTAAATATTTTTTTTTAATATCACGGAAAAATTACCAAACGGTGTGCAGCATTTATTTATGACAAAATACAACGAGGAACTGTGAGAATCGCGTCCATTTGGAACAACGTTTAAATTTTCGAGGGCAGTTCCGTCAAGAATCAAACTTTTTCCGTCCCATTTCGTGATTTCCTCCTTCTTCTGAACAATTCAAATCGAATCAAAAGTTCTAACAATTATTTCAACTTTATCAAAGCTTGCTTCATACAATGAAATATTTTTCATTGATAGCATGTCCACATCGATCAAACTATCGCGCAGATACCATAAAACGGCTCCAAACGCCGAAAGAGCAAGAGAATATTTGCTCGACGGCTTCGGAAGAACACTCGACTCATCCATCATCAATTTCAAACATTCCGGCCATTCGCTAACTTCGCTTCCATAATAGTCATCGCCGGAAATGATTTTCACCGCTTCTTCAGCTGTCAAGAATTGTTTTTTTGCTAGCAATGCTTCTGTTGGCACAGAGCACAAAATTCCGCCCAAAATCGCCTTGGTTGTAGTAGACGAAGAATTTCTTTCAGTAAGAAGCTGAAACAAGTCGGAATTTCGCGGATTTGTGCGAATTTCTACCTGCACAACAACAATATTCGCAAGAAGTGTTCTCAATTGCGATCGATAATCGTCATCGGAGAATTGTCCGATTTGAATTTCAGCGGTTGTCGTGTCAATCATGCAAACACCATAAATTGACTTGCCGGTTTCTGAATCCTGCGTCTCTTTGACAGCCAACAGATATTTAGATGTTGGGTCGAGTGTTTCCGAATTTTCTCCCAATTCGACACCATCCAAAATTCCATAGGTTCTGGTCCCATTCGATGTAACTCGGCACACTTCTCTGCAAACAATTTCTTCAAGTTTTTCATAATTTTTCACAACTAATGAAAATCACCTGCGGACGACTTTATCCTTCATCTTCGTCTTCTGGTTTCTCTCTTCAAGCTGTTGTGGGGTTTCAGTCTGTTCGACTCTCGCGACTTTGTATCCGTGATTCATAAGTTGATCAGCAAATTTCGACGAAGCATGTTCGGGGAATCCAGCGTGAGCGAACGATCCCTAAAGGAAGTTAAAGTGATTTGCGAATTCAAATAGCTATAAATACCCTCATAAAAGCAATATTCAAAGCACGAACAACTTCAACCGCGTCCATGTGATACGTTTCATAGAATTTTCCGACTTTAAACAAGATGATCGTGTCGAAATGCTGCGATTTGATAAGCCACCACTGCTTATGTCCCGGTGTTTGTTTGTTGAGAAAATCTGGTGGAACCCAAAGAGTTTTCGGATCATAGTCGGGATCGCTTGGAGACCTTTTTTGAGCATCGCGAATTTTTTCAGGCTACAAATAATTATAATACGAATGTTTTAGTCTAAATATGATATTTTCAAAAAAAAAAAAAAACCTTGAGAAATTCAAACTTTTCATGATCAAATCTTTCGACTTCTTCGTACTCGCTCGATTTTGAAGTCATCTTCTTCGAATGACCTTTCTAAACTTTTGAACATCGAATTTTCCTAATTAGATATTTTCAACCTTATCCCTTTCAGTTTCTCCACTCATAATCGCATTCATTTTTTCTTCTACAACACTCATCGAGATCTTCTCCCCATCTCCGCCAATTCTTCCACTATTTGCCGTCTTCTTAACCGCTTTTGGAGTCTTCTTTTCTCTTTTTGGTGTCTCAAACGTCACTTCGCACTCATCATCATCATCATCCTCATCATTATCCGCTCCAGCTTCATCATCACTAGCATTTTCATCATATTCAGATTCCGATGCACTATCTTCCATATTTTCATCGCCCGGCTCAAAGTTCTCGTCATTACTGTCGTCATCATCTTCAGAAGAAGAAGAAGATGAAACGATGACTCGAGCGCGTTTCACAGATTTCACTGGAGTTGCGAGAGGAGAATCGACGGTCTGCGAATTGGATCGTTTCAAAACCTTGCGCTCATCTGTAAAACATAAAATATTTTCAAATTTAAAAACTCCAAAATGTTCAAAATTTGAAAAAATCAATATAAATACCGAGAGTTTCTTTAGGAAAAACGTTTTCCTCAGTTTTCTTTTCCGGCTCAACTTTTTCGCGTTTCGGCGTTCTCGCAAAGAAGCTTGTAATAGAACTTTGCTTTTTCGCCGACATTTCTGAAAATTTTCTTTAATCGAAATCTGGAAATTAGCAATAGTTCGGGTTTTGCAACCAAGAATAAATCAAAACTTGAATGATCACAGAATTTTTACCAGAAAAAAACGTATTCACAATATCGAAAATGTAATTAAATTACATAAATAAGTAAAAAAAAAGAGTATTGGCGCAAAACTAAAAATGTAGATTTACGGGCCTAAGTACAAGAATAGGTTAATTTTTTGACATTTAGTCAATTTTCTGCAGCGACGCCGATAATAAAAAAATTTACAAATGTAACACAAAAAGTAACAAATTAGCGATTATTCAAAATGTATCCAGCTTCAAAATCTTTCGTCGCTTTTTTATTTTCAGCGAGATACCGACGAAATTCAGCATCAAATCTATCATCATTTTTTGTTGGTCTGCAAATTGTTCGATATTCATTTGAACTTTAGCTCTTTTCTTACACAACATCTGTTGTTTTATTCCACGCATCGATAAGTGTCATTTGTTTTTTTCTAAAATCCAAACTCTATCTTTATTATTAAAATCTCGGGATATTCTCACGCTTTAACAATCTCATCAAGCGGAACTCCAAATATTGTCGCTTTTCGTTTTCGTGATACCGAATTGTATTCGTTTAGGGTAACATCGTCAAGCTTCTAAATTAATTTAGAATGTTCACAAAAAATTTTTATTCTATAAAATCTACCGTATTCCACGCCGAGAATCTTTTCGCCGTTTCCTCGTTCAACAGATTATTCTTCGTTGCAGCTTTACCTTCATTTACTTTCATATTTTCATCGTCAGAATGTTCATTACTAAAATAGAAATTTATTTTACTTGTTAACACTGTCAAAATTCTACCTATCCAATTGAACATCCATGGAACATTCAGATGACGGCCCTACAAAGAAGATATTTCTTTTTAGGATTTAGTGGTTCGGAAAATCGATTATATAAAAAATATGTTTGCATTCAGGCTTACGTTTGTCCATAGGATTTATTGTGTGATTTTCACTAGACGTTTTCCGACGAGTTGCATACGCAACTCGCCTAACTGGACTGGCTCTATTCTTCGAAGACTTGTTGGATTCTTCTGAAATATTAAATTTCAAAGGGAAACTCTGGAAACAATCGAACCTGACACCGATTTAGCAACAGTTTTCGGTTTCGAAGAATTCTTTCCACTTTTGGTGGATTCCTTATTATTCACTCCAATTTTTTTCGGTGTTTCGACTTCGCCCTTCACCTTTTGCCTTTTTGGAGTTGCCGCATCTTCTGACAAATAAATATACTGATAAGAAGTTTTGTTCTTAGAAATACCTTGTTCGGAACCATCTTGCTTTCTCGCCAACCTAGTTTTCGACCGAGTTACCATTGTAAAAGAGAGTTGAGCTTTGACTTCTGGCGTATTTTCTGAATATTCAGACCACTTTTCTATAAAACACACAAAGTTTATATCATTTACCTCTTGAATTTGCTGTCGATTTGATGTCTTCAACAATTTTCGGAGTTCGTCTGCTGGCTTCTACAATATGTCGATTTTAATCTAAAAGCTTCTACTACTAACCTTTTACTTCCGATTCAATCAATTTGGGTTTCGAAGAATTCAGCTTCGAATCTGCAGAATCAGCCTGGTTTATTTTCGAAATCTTCGGCATTTGGGCTTCAATGACCACAGATCTTTTTGCATTCGTTGACTCATTTGAGTTTTCAGCTCTTTTTGATTTCGGAGTTGAAGTTTCAACTATTTTGGTCGTCTCATTAGAAACGTCTTTTGCTGATTTGAAATCAGCTTTCACAGAACTAATGCGAAAATTGGCTTCTGTAGGTTCCACGCCCGGGGATTTAACTGAATTTCTGGGAGAAGTTCGATCTTTTGAAACATCTTGTTTTTTCTGATCACGCGTATTTTCATTGTGCGAACTCCTCGTAATTGTTAATGCATATCTGGATTCCGTATTCGAAGTCCGCGGCGTTTCGCTCTCATTCGAAGAATTGTTTTTCACTACAAAATATCATTATTAACGAATAATAATAATAATAATAATTTTTCCCAAACCGTTCACATTTTTCACAGATTTTGGCGTTTTTGACGTTAATTTGTTTTTCTTGACAGTATTCGCAGATTGTGAGACACTTTCGACCATGCTTACATTATTTTCTTCTAAATTCGTAAATCATAAAATTATTTATGAAAATCTTACTTTTTTCTGTAGACTTCTGAGAAATTGCCGTTTTTCTTACAATTTCCCCATTTTTTGATTCGTTGTTAGCCGCAGTATCAACTGCAAAATTAAAAAAAAGTATGGTTTGAAAATAAAATAATATGAAACCATTTGGGAAAGCTTTTCTTTTATCCGCAATTCGTTTAGAAGACCGCACTGGATCAGAAGAAACAGATTTCGAAAATTTGACGGCTCGTTCATGGGTCATTTCTAAAACTATTATTTAACTCTTGAATGAAACATTCGCTGATTGTGGGTGAAAAAACCTTTGACAAATTCCATTTTCGGTGCGGTCTTACTATCATTTCTATTTTTATTCTCGTTGACTTCGTTTATAGCTTGGTCTCCAACAATTTCTAAAACAATATTGTTTCTCTTATAAACGTTTTGAATATTAACTTTTTGAGTGAATAACCACAGTTTCTATCTCAGGCGTAATTCTGACGACCAATTGCTCAGTTTTTATGTTCTCAACAATCTCTTCTTGTTCATTCTTTTCTTTTCCACCATCTTCTTCTTCTTCTACTTCTTCGTCTTCTTCATCTTCCAAATCACTGAATGATTCGCTCGAAATCTCGCTAGAATCAGTCATATCTTCTGCTTCCTCAATTTCTTCATCTGATTCATCACTATCTGTATCGCTATCATTTTGTCTGCTGGAATTCGGATTTCTGAAAAAAAAATCAAATCAATTCAGTAATTATAGATATAAAAACCTTCTAGGTGAGTGATGCCCGAAATCACTATAACTTAATGGAGAACTGTTCTTCTGAAAATGAAAGATTTCTTGATCTGAAAAAAAACGAAACATTATAAACTAACAATTCTAATCTGGTGACTTTCGCGTCGAAGTTCGCTTATTCTTCTATGCTGAGCAACTCGTTTCAATCTTGCAGATTTCATGAATTCATCATCAAGCTTCTTCGCAATTTCCAATCTTTTGCTGGTTTGTGCGAGTGTGTCTGTCGAATTGCAAGGCGCCGAAAACGCAGAATTTCTATAATTATTTTATGAATGCAGCCAAAAATAAATAAAATTTCGGTATAAATATAATTTCTTTTTTTTGTTGCCCCGATCGCTGTAAATTTTTTATTTTAGTGAAAAAAATGTACATGTATTTTTGGCCACAAGTGTATACGTGAGAATACACATTTTGTAATACATACCCAAACTCAATATCCTGACGATGCATACGATTCAGAAAAATTTGTTGTCGAGCAGGCGACATATCTTGCGGAAAATAAAAATTTCCATGCGCATCAACTTCAATCATCGTCTCAACTCCGCCATTCCGCACGCGTTGCTCATATTTCTTACCAATTTTGTTCAAATTGAATGAGAATCTGAAAAATTGAAATAAAAATGTGAGAAAATCAATTCGAAACCTCTCGCCTGCCCTTCTCATACTTGTATACAATCGTTCAGTATTTGATGGTGAATTTTCCGTCTACAATTCGTAATACAGTATTAAAATGTGTTTCAAACATACTGTGTCATCTGGGCTCCTGAGGCTTCCGTTATGTGATAAGCTCTCATCACAGTTCTCCACGTATTCTGCAAACTCACAGAATCAAATCGAAAAAGTAAGTAAAGCTTCAATAGCTGAAATATAGTTTATAAAAAGAAAACATATTTAACAATTGATTATCACGCCGATAATTGTTTTTTCATCGAAAACTAGCTGCTAATTCATTTTGACATTTATAAATTTTAGAGTTTTTATAATCAAAGGACAGCATCACAAATTAACTGGATAAAATGACAACGTCTCAGGAACCAAAGCCTCTACACACAGGTCAGGTTGTTGATGGAAAATGGAGGATAAAACAGCTACTCGGAAAAGGCGCGTGTGGTGTTGTGTATAAAGTCGAGGACAAGACTCGAAAAGGCTATTGTGCGGCGATGAAGGTTGAATACGTTTCACCCGATTACGATCAGACATTGCGATTGGAGATTGGTGTGCTCAATAAGCTTCGAAATCACAAGCACATGATGCAACTCATCGATTTTGGCAAGAGGAAGACATTCACGTAAATTTGAAATTTCAAACAAGCGGCAAATTTCGAATTTCATTTAAGGTATATGGTCACAACGCTATGCGGAAAGGATCTGATGGCACTACGGTGTAAAATCAAACGAGGCTTCAACGACAGTAGCGCGTTACGAATAGCAGTGTTCACTCTGTTTGGACTCAAGCAGGTGCACGAAGCCGGCTACGTGCATCGCGATGTCAAACCGGGAAACATCATCACGGCGGCAAATAAGGGACGAGAATCTCGGACTCTGCTGTTGATCGATTTTGGAATGGCGAGGTCTTTTGTGACGACAGATGCACACGGAAAGAAGCAATTGCGACCGATGCGAAGGCGGATTCCCTTGCGTGGGACCATTCGGTATTGCTCATTGAATGTGCACGAACGATATGAACAGGTGAGTCATTTTGCAAGCGTCCGCCGGGTTTCCGAATAACTTCTGTTTTATTAGGGCCGCAGTGATGATCTCATCGCAATGATGTACATGCTTGTCGAGGTTACGCTGGGTGTTCCTTGGCATGCGTTAAAAGATGAGAAAGAGATTATCACAATGAAAAAAGCGACGAAAGATTCGGAACTGTTTGAGGAGCTTCCCGAAGAATTTCGGACGATTTTCGAATACTTGAAACCACTAACATATCCTGACAGACCTAATTATATGAAAATTTATAATTTGGTAATTTAATGTATCCCACTAATCATCATTACTTATATTCTAATTGCAGCTAATTAATGCTATAAAACGACTTAAAGTCAACTTTTTGGATCCTTATGAGTGGGAAGACGAAGAAATTGAGAGAGACCTTAAGCAGGAAAAGGAGAAAGAACTTGAGAAAGAAAAAGAAAAGGAAAAGAATGAATTTAAAGATCATAAGGACCATAAAGACCACAAGGACGACAAGGAAAAAGAAAAATCTCGAAGTAATAGCTTCTAATCATAGTTATAGCGATAATGTAATGCACTTCAGTAACTAGTGAACTACCAGCGGAAGCCGTGAAAAAGGATAAAAAGATGAATAGTCAAGAAACAGAAAAGGCGAATAGTGCGGAAAACGCCAAGGTTAAATTTTTGAATTTTTAGAATAACACGTTCCCGTTTATAGTCACCTACAACAAAGGCATTGGACGTGACTCACTCAAATACAACAGCAAGTGTGGACACAACAGCCCAGGTATCAAAAACATCCGATTTGAAAACAAGTCCGTCCAGCGAGTAGGAATAATACAAAATTTTGGAATTGACTTTAGTAAAAACGGAAAGTAAAACAGCGATTTCACCAGAAAGCGTGCGTGATGGCGATAAGGACTTGGAAACGGCTATCGATTATCAGTCAACAGAATATTTAACGAAAAAAGCATTGCCAAGTTAGATTTGATCGAAAAAAACAACCTATTATTTCAGTAATATTCTTTTTAGGGGATGAACTACAATACCATGTTTATCCGGCAATTGGACCGAAAACGTTTGAGGAAACTATTATTCCTTTTTGAAAATAAATTTTCTCACCCTCGCTTTCATTTTTTGCCTTTAATCTTCGACACAACTCGATTTCTTCTCGTCGCAATCGTTGTAACTCCATACGAAGTCGGCGAACTTCATCTTCATCAAGAGAATCCTTTAAAATGCAACATTTTGAAAAATTATTTATTAAAACTTACGTCTGAATCGCTCTCCGAGAACTTTTCACATTTCGATCGTCGTTTCGGCAAAGATTTATAGCGAGGCATAATGGCTTTACTTGATTTGAATGAAAACTTTGAGAATTTAAATTTCCCGCACGTCCGTAAAGTATGATGCATTGTACGCAAACGAGAGGGATTAGGTCGGTGAACCGCGGGAGCGTCAATTTTTCAAACTTTTTATTTTGTTCATTATCTTGTGAATTATTTATTGCCTTTATTATAGAAAAATTCGAGAAGTATGCATTTGGGATAAGAAAAAAGAACAATCTTATTAGAGTAATTCGAAACTGTTTGAATTTGTGCACCTCGAAGTTCAAGAAAATATAATTCGACAACAATTTTTTAATTTTTTTCTAATAATTTCTAAAATTTCTTTTAGCAGTGATGAAACGAAATTCAAGTGAAAATATGGATGAAAAAGGGCAAACAACTGAAAAGATGAAAGCAATTTCAAGAATTCTGATAACATATCTTGAAGATTTATCAGAAATTCAAAATACGGTATGATTTTTCAAAAAAAAAATGCTTATTAATTTAAATTTTAAGATGACAGAATCTTTAATTGAAGAATTTGGCCAGAATGGGCTAATCGACACTTCATCAATTATGAAATTTGCGAGAATTACTTCAAAATTTGCAACTTCACAGAATAGCAGCACAATTAAAAATACGGGATCTCTATTAAAAGTATCGCATTGTATTTCTCAATAAAAAAAATAATTATTTTTTTAGAAATGCTATGATACTTGGCAAAAACATTTTAATGTGGTTTACGCAATGAAAAAGACAGAACGTCGGCTACTGCTCATGGTCCCATCGCGACTTTCGTTTTGCCTGTTTTATAATGGAGAAGTAACTTTTCAAATTGTTTGTTTCATCATAAAACTAAACTAAATCTTTAGTATTACAAAGCTATTGTCTGCCTCTGTCAGTATGCGCAGCTCGTTCCTGAAGACGTCACGGTCAAGGATATTATTGTTAAATGGCTCACATATCTCGGTAATCGAAGTTTTTTTCGCGCTATATGCAATACAGGAAATTTTTAGGCGAAAATGAGCTTGCTGAGGCGAAGATCAAAGAATTCAAAATGGAAACCGTTTCACCTTGTTTAACAGAAATTGTGCAGCATTTTCTAGTTTATATGAAATCAAAAGATCGACGCGCCGAAAAATTGGAAAAAATTAAAGCCTGTCACGAGAAAATCAAGGAAAATGGAATCACTAAAAAGTCGTTCGCCAGTTATGATTTATTCTCGTTTTCCTCTTGGATGATGTCTCTACTATCAAATGTTCCTCTGAGCACAGCGTTGGAAAATGCCGAGTTTCCCGATAGAGGTGCATATTTGGTAGAAGCTTCTTCCAAAGCTGATTCGCTTGTTCGCAATCGACTTGCTGGCCTTGCACCCTACTCATTTGAAAATACTGCTGCTGCTAATGTCCTTGAGTACCTTGAACGCGGAAATACTCCAGTCTCTCCGACAGAATACAGTAAAAATCTGATTTGTTAAAATGTTATTTTGACGGTTTAGTGAGTTGTGCTTCATCGCTTGCGTGGATGTTCGAACTACGACGCGAACTGGCAATGTTCAACACTTCGATTGCTCAGGCGAGAGAAGCAATGTCGGCATTTGTGCTCAATTGGAGGGTGGCTTTACGATCGGGCTCACTTCTGAGGTGATTTTTGTGAGAGTCTCAATGTTATAGAACTATTTTCAGAATCTTACAAGCTATTAATGGCGCTTTTTATTATTACAAAGTGATTGATGAGCCAGAATCAAAATCATACTTGAATGCGATCGTTACATCATGTGTTAATCTACTATCGGTGAATTTTAACGTCTTTCTAGACTATTTGATTATTTTAGCCGGAAGCTGTTGTGATTCGGTGCTCAACGCCGATACGAAAGGAAGAAAACAATCGTTTGGCCGTACGAACACCGGTGTTTTCTAAGAAGGAGAACATTCGAAAACTTGCGGTTGACGACGAAAACACTTTGCTGCTGGAAATTACCGATAATATGAACGATCTTAGAATGTAATATTATTCCTTTAGTATTCTTATAATGTCATATACTAGGTTTTTTTTAGCGAAGAAGGAAATACTCTCCACCAAGTTTCAAAAACTTGCATCTGCTCAACTTGTGAGCATTACTACAATATAAGCTCGATGTCAATTGAATATCAGTTTTCAAAAGCGCTTTATTCTGATTTTTCGCAAGAATCCATAGTCGAACTCGATAAAGAATATGTTGAAATTCGACACGAGATTATGAAAGTTCAACGAATATTATTTAAAGAAGATGTCAAACCGGTTTGTCTTTTTTTTTAACGGGATTTTTCTTATTTCTTTCACTTTTTTTAGAGGCCGTCAATATTTTTAAACGAAATCTTTGCAATTTGTGCAATCCGATGGATTTCGAATAAAATTCAAAGCGAAGAAAGAGCGGATGAGACGAGTGTTCAAATTTTGAAAAATGCTTTGAAGGCAACGAAATATGTGCCGATTCGAACCCTTGAACACTCGCTTATTCTCAACCAATACTGTCGAAAATACCGCCGTTCGTTTCATTGTCGATTGTCGTGGATGCAGCCGATTGAGAGTAAACCGTTTGTTAGAATGGGTATTGAGTGTGCTCTTGACATTATTCGTGCTGTATCGCCATTTGGGCGAAAATCGAAAACGACGCCAACGACGCTAAGCGAAGAAGAAAAACAAAAAGAAATTGAAGCAACTGCAAAAATGTACCAAGAAGTTCGAATTGATAATGCCTATCACGTTCACTTATTGTATCGAGAATGGCGTGCTAATGCGTTCCCGTATGCTGCTCGAATCAGCCAAGAACCGTGGGAAAGTGCCTATGCTTGGGCGGAAGCGACCGCGATTGGATCTAGGAGTGCTCTTCAGAGCAAGATTGGAACATGCAAAAGGGATGGAGTAACCATTTCAAGTGGATCAAAACTGAAAACATGTATTCGTGCCATGCCAGAAGGTGTTTGAAACTATTCATATGTATATACATATTATTGTTATAGAAATGACGATTGTGCAAATTGCAAAAAGCGACGAAGGGCATATTTATCTCATCAAAATGCACAGTGATCGAGATCCAATTGTTATGCCGATTGCTCATGCATCGCAAGCTACCGAACTCATGGATAAGTTTACGCATTTGCTGCAAGAAGATGAACGTATTGCGCGGGAACCCGGAGATCGCACGCCCGAACAATTTTGGAACACGCGGAGAGCCATTGATGCCCGGATAAAGGTACTTAAAATTCAATGAAATCCATTAATCCTATCAAATTTTGAGTCGCTTTTGGATGAAGCTGAGAAAAATTTGCTCGACGTTTTTGCATATCTATTTTTACCGTCAATCAAACTTGGGGAAAAATCTGTGAAAAACTCAGCAAGGATTGAGAAACAATTAAATGGAGCAATTCGCCTCGGAGAAGCCAAGGTATACAACTAATGAAATATTGATAATCGAAGTGATCTTTTAATGTAGGAGCTAGTTTTCTTGACGTCGAAAATGAATGAAAAAGATTGGATAAAATTCGTTACGAGATTCTGCGAGATGCGAAACGTATCAAATGTTAATGCGAACATGTTTTCGATTTGCTATAAGAGGTTAACTATTTGAAATTTATTTTATATATAGTAGATTTTTAAAGATTCCGCGAGGACATAGCTCTTGATACGACCCCGACGACTAGAAAATTCTATACCTATCTCATAATTTCTCCTGATTTGTCGCAATTTTGTTGGGAAAAGCTGCCGATTCTCGCATCGCAGCCGTTCGTTTGCCGAATGGTTTCAATTCATGCAATGCTAAGTCATCTGGAGTCGCTCAATCAGAATCAGAAGCAGGTCCCGTTGCATGTTGATCTTGACAAATCCTACTATGTCCTTGATCCCGATAACAATTTGGGGCAAACAAAGAAGCGAATTCTTGAATTTATTGATAAATTCAAATGGGAAGGAACTGTCGGAGAAACGCCGAAGCCGAATGAAGTTGTCAGCGCTTTGGAAAACAAGGACGCCTTCTTGTATGTTTTTTTTTTCTGTGAACAATGTAATATTGTAGTGGTTTAGCTACTTTGGACATGGATCTGGCTCGAAGCATGTCAATCGGAACACGGTCAAACAGAGCAAATGCAAAGCGATTAGCTTGTTGATGGGCTGTGGAAGCGTGCGAACGTTGCCACAAGGACTTGGATGGGATGGAAAGTCCGTCTTACTCGATTATGTTCTGGCTAAATGCCCTTTGGTGGTTGGATGTTTGTGGACAATTACGGATGGCGAAATTGATCGATATTTGATGAGAATGGTTGATGATTGCTTTGAGAATAATAGTGGTGTTGATCAAAAACAAATGCGTCAACTTTCTGAAGCGATGGAGGTTTGGAAATGAGAAAAAATAAATAAAAATAGCCCTTTATTTCGTTTTAGAATGCTCGAACTAAAGCGAAGTTGAAGTATCTCACAGGCGCGTCTGTCGTAATGTATGGTTTTCCGGCAATCATGAGACCTGGGATGATGAAAATTGAGACAGATTCCGAATTAAAAAATATTAGTCAGAAAGGTTTCGTATTTAATTTTTTATAAAATTTAGTTATATTATAAATTTCAGTGCTTTCATCAATGCTAGATAATCAAGTGTCAAACAATTATACTAATTCATCGTACAAATCGCCATTGCGGTCTCGAAGCGCCAGATCTGCTCTTCGTCCAAAAAATGAAGAAGCAAAGGGATTCCAAGTTTTCGAAGACCCGGAACCAGAAGAGCCGCCGAAGCGGATTACGCGAAGTCGGACAACGAGGAACTTGTAGTTCCGCATGATATGTTTTTATCGACTCCAATAATGTGATGTTAACTGCATATTAGTCGTATTTATATTCTAATCAATGCTTCTTCTGATCTCAAAGAAAAAACGGTTTATAGATTTGTTAAATAATCAAATACATAAAAAAATTCCTGCGCAATAAAATACTTTGAAAACTAGAAAAATATGTTAGCGACCTGTAGAATCAGTAGGAAGAGCTGAAATTGGCGATGTAACAACAATATTCAGATAATCTTTTTACCGCAATTATTGCGACGAATTGTGTAGAAGCAAATAAGGGCCACCGCGACAAACACGATGAGGATTAGGAGAATGAGCGGTGCAAATCCACTTGTAATGAAATGTATCAGCGTGTCTTGGCCTTAAATGAGCTCTTATGTCATCTTTAGTCGGTACTTATTGATTACCTGCTATGCAGACCCTTTCATCTCGACCATATGGACAATTTACGCGCCCATTGCACGCCAACGACGATGGTACGCAATTTTCGTCACCGCATGCGAACAATCCTTCTTGAGAGCAATTTTTCACTGAAACAGAAAAAGCTTGAATAGCCCATTTCAAGATTCCTTCGAATCACTTTTTGTGTATGAGGAGAAAAGCGCTGAAAAGTTTGTTTCGTTGAGATTTCGCACGTCCGAAAGGTAAAAGCGAATGAACATTTCGTTTGCTGGGGCGAATACGTCGGTGGCAGTCAAACCGCAAAATCTATAAGAAAAACGAGCATGAAAAGGAGAAGAATTTGAACCTTCGAAGCGGTTTATTCGACGTGTCTCCAGAATACACTTCAATGAAATTTTGAACGCATTGATTTGGAGATTTCAAGTTAAAATCTTTAATATAAAAAGCTATGCGGAAATTTGCTGGAACTGCGAGCCGCCAGACACAATCAAGGGTTCCAGAAGCATTTATTGGAAGCGTCTGAATGAGATCCTGTGTGCGAATAAAACCGTCAAGACCGTTCAAATACTCCAAAAGGCATTCTGAAATATTGAACACATAAATTTTTTTGTTATTTTTTTCCTTATGTATTTCAGATTACCATGGTTATTGTATCGCGAATTTTTGCTCGGCACAATCGCAAACTCAGCGGAGAATCCTTGATATTCAAGCATCGCGTCTGAACGGAAGCGAATCCAAAGGAATCCCGAAACAGCTCGAATTTCCCGTTTTGGAATTCGGCTGCCGCAGAAGCGAGCGATGAGTGGCGAAAACCCGTAGCGGCCATCACGAAACTCCTTAAATTGCATTTCAACAGGAAAAAAAACCAAAAGGAATAATTTAACTATTTTTTAATCGAACTTCAAATAAACTTACTATAAAATCATTGGGGCAATCTTCGCCGGCTTCAACTTTGTCGTATGTCGATTCGATCTAAATAAATAGAGAGCATAGAACAAATCTAAGTATATTGATAGCAATGATGCTCTGAATCTCGTAAACTTTCCACATATAAAATGCTCCTGTGATCTATTTTTGTTTTTCGGGGTTTCTTCTGCCAAACGCGTGTTTTTCAATTATTGCAACTCTCAAAACAAAAACAAGAGTTGGATGGTCTTACATGGAAAATGTGATGAAATTTGACTATGACATCATGCTGAGGTCGTGACTGTACAACGCGAACACAGTCGATGTTTGGAGGGTATCTGCAAATTGAAATCTTCCAAGTTCAGTCCATATTTTCCACAAATCTCCAGTTGTAAAACATGCACAAATTTAGTGAAAAAGTGCGTCAGCAACTCTTGTCGTGTAATTGGATTTGAGATTTTCATATTTTTGCCCACCTCGTCCTCTCGTTTTTCGTATTTTTCGCCAAAACTCACTTTTCGGGAAAATTCGGCGAGGTGAACAAATTGTAGCTACTCGAACCGATTCCCTTGATCGACAAACATGGGTCGAATGAGCCGCGGACTCTAGTGCAAACTGCAGAAAAAAAACACGCTCGATATGACAGATGAATAATCGCGTCAAAACTCACGCAGGGCCACAATCGGCAAAATGAAGCGCATGAATTGAACACATGCGGGCGGAACTACGCGGAGGATCTGTGTGAATACAAACTATTGTGGAAAAATAACGAATGTGAAAAACTGAAGCGATATCTTATGCATTGTGTGCGTACACCGAGTCGCACATCTCGATCTTAGCTACAGTAATCTCAACTAAAAATTATTTAATTAATTATTGATCGTTAATTTTTATATAAAACAATTAACTTTGAATAGTATACAAAAATGATTATTATTTCACTTTTCCAACACAAAAATATACATAAAACCATAGATTCGCCAAGAAAACACAGAAAAAATTTTTTTATAATTGATTAAATAATTTTCAGTTGAGGTTACTGTAACTAAGATCGAGATGTGCGACTCGGTGTACGCACAAAATGCATAGGATTTCGCTGCAGTTTTTCACATTCGTCATTTTTTCACAATAGCTGAATAGATGGCAGCAAAAAAACGGAACAAATAAGAAAACGTTCAAAAAGTTGGAGAAAAAAAACAATGGACATTTATGAGCACATTTCAAGTGTGAACAACAAATGTTAGACCATAAAATAGTCGACACTGGCAAATTATTTATTAAGGGAACGGGAAATGATAAACACGATTTTAAGCGTGAATGCTAACAAAAAACCAAAGTGTGGAATGCCGTTTCGAATTCGAATATGTGTCGAATATTTCGAATAAGAATAACTTTTATCGAAAAGGGAGAATGTTTCGGGTTCAGAAACCCCAGAAGCTTCCAGAATTCTTCTAATTTAAATTCAGGAACAACAACCAAAAACCTGCGAATTTTCGAGCAACCAAAGAACTCGAACTTGTTCTTTTGTCGTCTTTTCGAAAAGGCGACGATGAGGAATTCTAAAATATGCGCGGAACCACCGCAGGCAATATTTTTTATTCGCATTCTGAACACAGGAAATCCTTCAACAAAAAAAACACACAAACACGCACAAGACGACTTCTGCATTTTTTTCGGAAAACTTTATGCGGCCGTGAGCGAATACCAAATTGAGTTTTAGCGAGGGCGACACGCCTTCTTCGTCGCCTTCTATTTCTCGGCATTTTTTTTTGAGCATTCGACTGGCTTTGGGGCCATTACTTTGTCGAATTGGATGCGTTTTTTTTTCGAATGCGCGCTCATCGTTGTTGGGATGAACAGCGACATGTAATTGCGGCGAAACGTCTCGAAACGAGTGTTGATTTATATGTCCGACGTCGGATTTTCTTTCGCGTCGAATTTCAAAGAAAATCAATCATTTTTTTCCACAAAAAAGCCACATTTTGTAGACATGTCTCAAAAAAAAAACAAAAAAATATGTATTATATAGAAGACGTATTGAACTTTTTTACTTTTCTTTGTGAAAAAAAAACACACCCTGACAAGGCCAAATCAAATCGACAAACGTCATCATTTATTATTTATTTTTACTCGTAAAACACGAATCTGCAAAAAATACAAAAAAGTGCGTATCATCAGTTTTTTGTTTAGTTTGATTGTGGTGAATGGGCGGGCGGGGATGACTAGATGAGTTGCCATGGCAGTTGTTATCGGCTTGGGTTTGAATCCAATTGATTCTCGACGGACTCATTGTGGAGGTTGAGCATTGACTGGAGGTTGAGCATCAACAGATTCTTCGGGGAATTCGAGTTCCCAGATTCGCTTCAAATGTTTGCCTTTGACGTCGCGTGGAGTACCGAATCCGGTCATTCCCTAAAAATTTATTATATCATTCATTTTACAAAATTGAATGTTTTGGAATAAACCGAAAAATTGCTATTGGAGATTTGAAGTTTGAATTTCAAATTTCAAGCAAAAACTTCAAATAAAAATGCAAACCGATTTTTAATATTTAATTTTAAGACGATATTTCACACAAGGGAAATGAATGATTAAATAGGATAATATAAAACCACAATTTGCTGGGAGGTCGATTCAGAATAATAAATATATATATACAGTAGCAATGGTTTTTTTTTCGTGCTGTTTTCTACGCAGACGTCTTCTCAATTCCGCTCAAATATTTCTGAATATCTAGCTTTCGTTATTCTATTAATCTTGATTCTTATCCAACCTTCACCCAATTATCACAAGACCAATCAATTGGAACCAAAAATAAACTGGTTGCTGCGATTAGGGAGATTCTGGAGGAATTGACATAAAGATTTAAACGGCCAACAGGTTTACAAAATATTGCGTGGGAAGGGGGGGGGCTGAAAATAAACCGAACCAACTCGTGTAATTCGTACAGAAAGAAAAGTGCAAGCAAACTAAGAGTTTCTCATCCGATTCACAAACAGTCGATGACGGGACATGACAGGACGCGAATAAGACAAGACACGGACCTTTTGACTCTCAAACATATTGGTGCCGGATTGGAGGCGAACAAACGTGTCGTTGGGATTCGTGTTGAGTGGTCCGTCGTGATCGGCGAACTCGATCTTCGTCTGAGTGTTGCGCGGCATTCCGAAGCCCGTTTTTCCCTGAACAACGAACACGGACATGCTCGGGTTCGACAAAAAATGTGCAAAACGACCGTGACCGGACGCGGACAAAAACGGACAAAACACAAACCTTCTGACTATCAAACTGGTTAGTACCGGATTGGAGTCGGACTATCGCGTCCGAGTATTGCTTTTGCTGCTCGATGGTCCAGTGCTTGTTGCGATCGGCAAAATCGACTTTTGTCTGCGTGTTGCGCGGCATTCCAAACCCAGTTTTACCCTAGAAAATTTGAATAGCTTGCGATCAGTTTTTTTTTCTCATCACTTTTTTTTTCGTGGCCGCTCTTCTTCGAGAAAGTACACAGACTCGTACTGTACACAGAGAGAAAAAAAGAGACATTTTTTGACAGAGACACACAAACACACGTACAGAAGCAACGGTAGGAGCAGCGGCGGCAAAAAAAAACAACAAAAAAGTGCGCGCACTGCGTCTCTTCGTCTTGCACACTCTCTAGCCGCTGTCGGAAGGGCCCGTTATCTCGGTAAACAAACGAAACAAACCACCAGCGGGGTCTCCTAACAATTATACATCAATGAGCAACTAACTAGAAAGTTTTTGCGCATTATATCACGAAATTTCAACCATTGATCAGTTTAAAGAGAAATCCGATCGGATTTTCAAAAATTTTCTTGTCATTATTTCAAAAAGGTACTCTCTAATTATTCAAATTTTCAATTTCTCATAAGCTTAATTTTAAATTTTTTTTCGATATTTGGAGGCCCTATTGAATAGCGTTATGCATATTTCTACTAAAATTCTATGAAACATACAACCGGCCTTGTTCTCATTTTTTTTTTCCATTTGAAATAGTAATCATTCTCGCGATTGATTTGGTTCTCAATATGCCAATTTTTGAGGCACAATTGAGAACATGCTGATTCATTATTAGTTTTCATTGAAAACCGTACATAAAGCAAAGCAAATTTGATCGAATAATTAATTTTTGAAACAAATTCTTGCATATCTAATTTTCTCAAGAAATGAACGTTTTTGGTACGACAAAAAATTGGGTTTTATTTCGATATTACTGTAGTTTATAATTATTATATAACCTTGTCTTTAAAATATCATTTTTTATAAAAGAAAATTAATAAAATTATAACATAATCTAGGAAAATTTTAAAATTTAATTTTCGGCACTGATTTATTATTTTTTTTATTCTTATTCTATTACTACTATCGCAAAAAACGAGCGTTTTGCAAAATTCTGGACCTGTACGCTGGTAGATTTACGGGAATGCGTCTTTCGAAATGGTCTCGCGAGGACTAACAGGTTATTTCAAAATTTATGGACCGGTTCGATAATTTTTCAATCGAATGAGGTTGGAAATTCAAGGAAATGCGAAAATCATCAAAAAAAATGAAGCAGTTCACGTGAAAACAGCAAAATAAGCATTCACGCGTGGCGAGACCTTTTCAAGGCGCATGCGCGTAAATCTACCAGCGTACAGCAGTCGCCGGACGCCGACTATAATAATTGCATACTTAAATTGCTCTTTGATTTTCGCACTACTGCTTTTTTGGCGCACTCACCCGCTGGCTATCGAATTGATTGGTTCCCGATTGAAGCGGAACAATTGCGTCGGTTTGTCGCAACTGACGAAGTGTCCATTTTCCTGCAAATGCACATCGAATAGCTAAAAATCAAAATTTCAGCAATCATCAAACCATCGCGGGTTCTCCTTTCCAACGATTCGTTGCTTGGCACTTCAACAGCGGCTATTTTGAGACCAGTTTCTTCAAATATGGCTGAATACGCCGAAAATCTATTCGATAAATTCGATTACCTGGATTTGGCTGTGGTGGAACGGGCGAAGACATTTTGACAAATCTGCAGATTAAAATCACGGTGCGAAAATCGTTTGGGTTGCGCTGTGCTCGACGACCCGAATGGGCGGAGTCGCGAGAGATGAGGGAGCGAGAGACGCAGAAGGCTCAGACACCCACACTTTGGATCTTGAGAGGAAGAATGAAAGATGAAAGAGAAAGACAAAAAAAACACAAGAGGTGAATCATATGTTGGAATTGGTTACAGATGGTCGCCTTCACACCACTTATAACGAACCCAAATCTATACGATTTTTATTGATTTACTCCCAAAAGCCACTTTTTATTGGGTATGAGGGATTCATAATCGAATTAATATTATAAATATAAAATAACTGATCGAGCTTCATATAGAATTCAAGGTAATGTGGGTTGCAATAGTTTCTCAAACGAAATTTGAAGACCTCAACCCATTCGAAAGGCAGCAAATTCATTATTTTTTCAGCGCCGTTGATATTGTTTTTCGGTTTCGTCATTTTTTCGTCACCGAATTTCTCAATATTTTTCAATCACAGCTGTGACTCGACAAAATTTCAACCGGATGCCCAATTTTTTTCTATTTCTCTCTCACTTCACATCGTAGGGTGCGAAACAGCTGACCTATGGCCAACGGATTCGTTCCATATTTTTCACATCAGCCTCCATTTTTCCACCGTAATCCCAACCAACCGACGTCGAGTGGTTTCTATAAATAAAAGATAAGGAAGAATGCTCAAACTTCAATCTGTTCGCTTTCGAAAAAACCTCATATGATTTCTTTCGTTTTTTTTTTCAACTGTTCGCAACACAGACAGCTGCGGCTCGCCGAGTTGTGTAATGGCGCCAAGATTTTCGATAAAAGTACATCGGATTTCAACAACTGGCAACTGTGGGTGTGTGTTTGTTTTTTCCGAATACGCGATAACAAAAAATTGAAAGAACATATTCGGTGTCGACGATCGAATGCGGCCCCCCAATCAATTACGATTTCGATGGTTTCTTTCTTGCACAACGATTGTCTAATCCACGTATGGTTGATAAATGACAAATGTATCCAGATGTCGTGGGATCCTGCGTTTTGTACACAATGCGATGAGCCAGTTACCGTAATCCTCGCAGCGATTTACGGGGATTTCATAACTTCGATTTTCATTTTTTTTTTCGCTAAATTTTTGTATTTTCTTTCGAAATTGTTTATTTAAAATCTGTAGAAATCGATTTTAATTCAATAATTAGCAGAATATGCACTTTTAAAATATATTTTTTGGTAAAAATAGCAGAAACAAAAAGAAAATGAAAATTCGAAATTTAAAATGTCTCCGTAAATCGCCTGGTGGATTACTGTATCTGGCTCATCGCGTTGCGTACAAAACGCAGGATCCCACGACATCTGGATACATTTGTCATTTCTCAACAATACTCGATTCCCTCATCAATAATTCGGTGGTATCAAATGGCTGCACTCCCAATTAAACTTGTGTGTTTTGTGGGGGATAAAATGCAGCCTTGGAAAATCTAGATCTTTTGTTAGAGTAAACACTCGAAGGCAATTTTGGGCCCCCCATCGTAGGCGCCCCGCATTGATACTTTGCAGTTCAACGCCGGATTTGTTGACGCACCTATTTCGCGATGAACGCTCAATTCAATGAAAGCTTTCTTCGATCTATTGAATTTTGAGAACATCTTGGCGCACAGAGAATCATTTAATCAGAAAGAAAACCTCACATTTTTGTTTTTTCTCTATCACCTTTTTTCGCACGAATCAACTAGGTATCCAAATGACCATTCAAACTATTTGTGATCACTTTATTCGTCAACGAACAACAAGTAATAAAAACACATAAAATGAAAATTGATTAGATCAAATCTTCAATTTGAGACAAGACAAAGTTCAGGGGTTCCGTAATAAGAAACATTCTTAAACTGTCCGCAGCAGTGCAAAACTCCACCGGAGACCTTTGGAATGAATCCCTCGCGTATCCTGAACAATCGATTCCTATCATATTATTTTAGTGTGCCTACCAGTTAACATAACATGGAGTAACTTGACCAGTAACTATAAGACCTTCGATGGCATCCCAAGTTGCCGATATTCCGCCGAAGAATCCGAATACTAGATTATAACAAGAAATTATTTGAAACCGAATTGCAACTATCAATTACTTATGGTTAGAGCATTGAGAACGAGTAAGTATTTCGGTGTATATTTCAGCACACTAAACAGTTGTAATATTTGAAATTTAGCATTCGCTTACTCTGAAAACGTTGCCAGCTCGTCATCGGGACATTCTTCATCAATCTCTCCCGCGTCAATACCTTCCTTTCGTTTTTTGAATGATGCTTGCATGCACAACCAGAAGACCGAGGGCAAAACCATTGTCATAAATGTGATTGTTGTTCCACCGACAAGATTGACAAATATTCCGAGTTTCAAAACCGAAAGAGCCATGAAAACGGCGAGGAAGAGGATGCAAGTTCGAACACCGAATCGGGCAAGAGAAAAATCTGAAAATTTCGCATTCTACCGAAATCGATTCGTTGAGAATTTCTCACGATTAGGAACTCCCGTCCATTCCTCGACTTGAAGAGTCATTGGTGACATCACAATGATAATTGTCGGCAAGATGTGTGCGGTGATTAGGATATTCACAGCATGCGCCACCCAGGTCAATTGCATCGAGGGAATGATCGTGTCAATCATACTGTCGCCATAGGCAAGTAATCCAGTGACGGCAATTGCCAAATAAGCAATCATAATCACTGAAAGCGAGATGTTTCGAAATCACAAATATATCTCACCTATATAGCCAGCCACAACTGATTTGTTGAATTGATGTGGATTGGCCATGTCATGCTGAATTGTTGGGAATGCTGCATGACCGCCGTAGGCGAACATGATCGTTCCGTAGGCCAACGAAAAGCTTTTGAATTCGAAATCAGGAAGCTTGCGCTCCTGAAAACAAAAAAAAATTTATTTTTTTCGAGTATCGCTCAAAGTTACTTTAATACAGACGGGCAAGTCGTGAGCAGTTCCAGCCACAATCAAGCATGCAGCGACAATACTGGAAGCAGCGGAGAGGCAAGCCAGTTGCCTGAAAATAATACCGATATGTTTTTTCGAGAAACCGCGAAAATCGCACCAGAAATCCATAGGACTGCGAAGCATAATCAGAGGCCACAAAATCAATCCCAAAACAACAATGAAAATACAAAAATCGAGGCGAATTTCGGTGAACGTATTGAGCAAATTTGTGAAATTCTGCGCACATATTAATATTAAAACCGATCCGATAAGAAATTGCGAGAATGTGATTGTGACGGCGACAAGTCGACCGGCCCATTTTCCGAGCGATCGAGACGCCATTTCCGGATAAGGTCGGCGACATCTTGATCGATATTCCGCCCATCGATCCTGCATCATTTCCCAATTGTCACTGAGTTGAATTCCAGTATAGCCAGATATTAAGCCCAGCAGAATAATGAAAAATACACCAGGAATGAGGCCTAAGTTTAAAACAACAAATAGAAAAAAACATTGACGGAACGAAACCTGCTGATCCGAGGGCCAAAGGTAACGAGATCATTCCTGCTCCCATCATGTCGCCAATGACAAATACGGCTGCCATTGCCCACGAGATACCATCGGCATTGTAATGTTTGACATTCTTAAATCGGCAGAATTGGCAAGATTGATTGAAAAGAGAAACAATAATGAATTAATTCATGAAATTAATTTTTTACAGGAAAAAATCACACTAAATGTGAATTTTTTTAAAAGATTGCATGAATAAATCCATAAAAGAAAAAAAAGAGAAATCCGGAAAACCGAAGATTATCCGTTTTCGAGATTTCAGATTTGATACGTTCAAACAACGAGAACTTGGTGATCCGTCATGCTCTCTGCTTGACGATTGGCTATTCGGGCAGTTTTCGGACGAGTCTTTATCTATCGAGTGACTCCAACTCGGGGCCGCCACTGCCAACATCACTTCCTCGACCTTAAAATGAGAAAGTGTGTCAGATCTTGGCCAGAGACACATTTTATTTCAAAAAATTGTTTTCACGTGAAAACCTTTAAAAAAAATACATTCTTATTGTATAACATTGGTAAAACACAGCTCAAAACATTGTTTAGCAAAAGAAAATCTAATGAAAAATTAAAAAAAAATGTTCGACCTCGCTGAATAAATCAGTTGCAAATGAATAGAGAACCCGAATGTAATAAACGAGAAAAAGAAGGAATTGAAATAAAGATAATAAACTATATTACAGTCAACTGAATGAAATGGCAAAAAAGGAAATTTTGAAAATGGGCATTCAATAAAAATCTTTAATAGCACAGAATTAAACATTAGATTTTCTTAAAATTCGGTCAGTTCCTCAGAGCTCGAACGACGATCCTGATCCTGAAATCAGAAAGCAATTATTATTGATTTTATGCGATTAGGTTAAATACAACCTCATCTTTGACATTAGCAAGAAGGTCCAATACGGAAGGACGATTCTCTATAAAATCGTTCTGCATAAAATATCGATGAGAAAGGGCCATTTTGGCTGTAAGCCGTTTTTCAGGTGGATAGCGAACGATTTCCTTAATAACGAACGAAAATGTATAGAGAAGGACGTGGAAAAATAACCTTAAGAATATCATATCCTGGTCCAGTAAGATTTGAGGATTCGGCAAGAAGCCTTCCATTAAACTTCCAATTAGGGAAAACCCCTTTATAATGTGGAAGTTTTTCGACGCCAGGCCAGTTCTGAAAATAATATATTTAAAAAATTTTTGTGTTTTAAATTGAGAATGTTTGCAATAAAAGATACCGTAGAATTGGGGGTTCCAATGATTTCGAATATTTTAAATAGCTGCGAAATCTCCGATTCTCCGTTGAAAAGTGGTTGGCCTGACGCCAGTTCGGCAAAAATACAACCCAAAGACCACATATCCAGCGAAGTCGAATATCTTTGCGACCCAAGTATGATCTGAATAACAAATTTTTTCAAGTAAGAACAATTTCACATTACCTCAGGCGGCCTGTACCACAATGTAACCACTTCATGTGTATATTTTCGACTAGGAAATGAGAAACTTCTGAAAATTTGCCATCAAACTTTTAATTCGATTCACATAAAAAATAATACCTGGCTAATCCAAAATCGGCAATTTTAACCACGCCATCATCGGAAACGAGAATATTTTGTGGCTTAAGATCGCGGTGGACAATTCGTCTTAAATGGCAATACGACAATGCTGACAGTAACTGCCACATGAATGACTAAAACAAGATAATAAATTTAACAAGATAGTAGAAGTTTCAATAAATTTCAATTCAAATACTTACTCGGACATAATTTTCAGGCAAACGGTCTGGTTCAATCATTTCCAACAAAAGTTTGAGGTCGCGATCAATAAACTCGAACACCATATAAAGCTTTTGATCAGAATCTGAAAAATAAACTCACATTACTCGTAATCTACTTTACTTTGCTCGCATACCTGTGAAAATAATATCAAACAAGTGAACAATATTATCATGTCGTAGGTCTTTTATACATGAAATTTCTCGAAGGCACGTACTTGGAATTCCTTCCTCGTCTCTGAATTGAAGACAATTAAAATACCAGAATATGTCGTCTACTTGTCCATGGTGATCATTTTCAATGCGCATTTCGTTTGATCCTTGACATGAATTGCCTTGTAAACGATCCCATATGTCCCTTCTCCAATTTTTTTTAACGAACGAAACTTTTTGCTTAGCTCGTTATCTGGAAAATAAATAAATAATATCTTCAGATAGAAATTTATACCTGTTGGGCCCGCGGACATGCCGAGCGAACCTATAAACAAAAAAATTAAGGAACGCAATTTGAAAATTGTCGAATCGCGCTCATTTCATGGCGGCACAGAGACGCAGACAGAACAACAAAATCTCAAACATTTTGCCTGCGATAACGAATATAGTTAAAACATTTTTTTGAGATAAAAACAAGTGAGGCATGATTTGGAGTAGTAGATTTAAAAAAAAAACATTTTCTTTCCCTCTTTTCGATAATTGAATTTCAATTGATAATAAACGAAAAATGCAAAAACTGCGGACATGTCTTAATTTTAGAAAAAAATTTGAATAATATCTAGTTTACTGTATTTAAATAGATGATTAAAAATGTGTTGTATTCTTTTGAAGTGTTTGCAGAATTTTAGAACAAATCCAGAAGTAATCTCGATAATACGTTTCGTAGAAACGGCGGAGAAAAGAAAATTGTGAGATTAAATGATTTTGAGAGATGGAGACATTTCTTTCCACAGCCGCTCCACCAAAACTTACTTTTATCGCATATTTCATCCATTTAATCGTTTTCCAAAATGTTTGACAATTTTCTATTGTTTATTTAACTAATCCCATATATTTTCGGAAATTTTTGAAGGTTTTTTGTGGTAAAAATAAATTTGACGAGCGAATCGATATTGTGTTTCGAATCCAAAACGAATATTCGCTAACGCCTCATGTCTGTAGTATTGTCAGAGTTAAACGACTTGACGAAATTGAAAAAATTATTTGCTATGTGCCAGTACGCGAGACTGCGTACATTGCATTATACAGTGCTCCACAAAATTATATACCCACCCTAATTTTGTCGAATAACTCGAAAACGCGAATACCTCCAGAAATGGTTTCAATTAGAAAAATATGCGCATTTATTATTAGTTTCATGTTACATTCACAAAATTCAACAAAAAATAACAATTTAAAAAATTTCGTCATTTTCACGAAAAAGTGGGAAAAAAATTTTCCACAAAATGATATATACCCACTTGATAAAAAACTCAGAAAAAGGCATCGAGAGTTAGAATTTGAACGAAAATGAACATTTAGTAATTAACTGGACCTCCATTGAGTCGTGTTACATCAAAAATTCGACTGTCCATTGATAAATAAAGTTTGTCAAGAAGCTGTTGATCGACAAGCTTCCAGGCTTCCACGATTGCCTTTTTGAGATCCGTAGTTGAATGAAAAGACTTGTTGTCATCGTAAATCTTCTTCACCATAAATCCCCAGACATTTTCGATGGGGTTTATGTCTGGAGAACAGGCTGGCCAGTCGAGAACTGGGATTCTACGGCTGCGTATCCACTGGATGGTGCGGCGAGCGCGATGACAAGCAGCTCAATCTTGCATGAAAGAGTAATTTTTGTGAATATTTCGACGCCAAAATGGCAACAGACCACGTCTTATGACGTATCGGAAGTCAGAGCCACTTATCTTCGGCGAAACGAAGCACAACTTGACTCTTCCATGCGAGCTGATTGCCGCCCACACCATGACGCATCCTCGTTTGAACTTTCTACGAGAAAACCGTAGCTTCTCTTTTCTCAAATCGTGCCAATAATCACGATAACCATCTGGCCCATCACAATTGAACATTTTTTCATCGGAAAAGACTACCCGAAAGAAGAAAACAAGTTGAATGAACGTTGCAGTTATTCTCACTTGTCTCCAGTTATTTCGTTGATTCTTTTTTGCAAACTCCAGTCGTTTTTCACGATGTATTCGAGTCAACATTGGTGCCTTCGTCATTTTTCTGTGTTGATGAAGGTGCTCTTCGATAAAACACGCCGGACGGTTTCATTTGACACCGTGAGATTGAATTCCCTTCGAATCGTTGAGCACGACACGGCTGAATTTGACGGTCTTCGCAAAATTTTGCGCTTATCACGATCCGAAAGCAGTGAAGGACGACCTGTCAACTTTTTTTGACCATATGCGGTTGGATTCTCAGCATATCGGCTAATAACATTATGAGTGCGTCCGAGATCATTCCCAATTTGCCGATAAGAGAGACCTTGAGCCAGTTTTGCTTCAATTTCACCTTTTTCAAAGTCGGTGAGCGGCTTTCCACGAAGCATTTCTTAAAGAACAGTAAAATTGCAAAAAAAAAAAATTCGAAAATACGAAAATATACGAAAAAAATCGAAAAAAACGCCAAAAAAATGGAGAGGGTATATCATTTTGTGGAAACATTTTTTCCACTTTTTCGTGAAAATGACGAAATTATTAAAATTGTTATTTTTTGTTGAATTTTGTGAATGTAACATGAAACTAATAATAAATGCGCATATTTTTCTAATTGAAACCATTTCTGGAGGTATTCGCGTTTTCGAGTTATTCGACAAAATTGGGGTGGGTATATAATTTTGTGGAGCACTGTAGTGTACGCGCATTTAATATTCAGTCAACGATAAATTTAAATCTACACTAATTTCGCGAATTTGAAGATCTCGCCTTCCTTCAGTCTTTTTGACACCGACAATATGTATATTCACCGCCGTTTCAACAGAACGATTTGTTGAGATGTAAATTAGGGTACCGTACTACGGAAAACCTGCGAATCAAACTCGCCGTAAAATCGGAAGAGGCTACTCGTTTTTTGCGCTTGAATAATAATTGGTTTATTTATTTTTAATAATAGCACTTTATTTCAAACAATGCGCCAGTAACAATATATTCTTGACAATTAAAATCCGATAGGATTACTTAAGAAATCCGCTTCCTGAAACAACGGAACATCAGGAACAGCTGTAGGAACTGCTGAAAATATAACTATAATAACCAAAATGCAAAAAACTTCCCAACGTTTTCGGTGAACACTTTTTGTCGATACAGTTGGTGATTTGTCAGCCTTATTGTTTCTCTTCAACGAGTTTTTATTACGAGAAATCGATTTATCATAACCGAAACGCGATTCCCAGTGATAAGGATCCGACCATCTAAATAATTTATTATTCTGTTTAATAATTTTGTAATAAAACACGATAGTAAACATCAAAACGGCACTACTTGCCGCAGGGAGCTGGCGTGGTCAAGAAAAAATTTCCTCAAAAATTAGGTTCAGCCACGGCCGCATTTGATGGATTAATATAATGGCGCGACGCAGCGCTGGAACGGCCGAGAATAATTGGTCGACACTTTCAAAAATCAAAAATGCAAGTGCTGCACACAAATCACCAAATGCTAGTTTTTTTTCAATAATATGTAATGCTTATTCACGATTTTCCTTTATTTCCATTTTTTTACTACTTTTATTTTGGTATACACACGCAATATGAATGTATTCATTTCGTTCTACTTAATTAAATTAATTACTTCATAAAGTGTGGCCGTGGCCGAACCTAATTTTTGAGGATATTTTTTCTAACATTTTTTTTGTATGCCACACCAGCTCAGGCGCGAGCCGTGGATTTATTATCGGCAGATTTGCGAAATCAGGCAAGATTTAAATTTATCGTTGACTGAATATTAAATGCGCGTACACTATAATGCAATGTACGCAGTCTCGCGTACTTCTCGTTGCCTCGAGACACATTGGCACATTTCCAATCATTTTTTAAATTTCGTGCAGTCGTTTGTCTACGACAATAATTAAGTATAACAAAACGAATACGTGAACTGAATGTGATTTCAAAAAACCGAACACCAAAATGAAAGTGGTAACTTCGGGGAAATATAAGTAAATCGTGAATAGCACATTATTGAAAAAATTAGGCGGTGGTAGTGTGCCGTACTTGCAGTTTTTTTTACCAGAATTTGTGCGCTGAGCTTGCATTTTTGATTTTTGAAAGTGTCGATCAATTTTGCTCTTGTGTATACGTATTTTTGTTTTCTTTTTTTATAGAACTAATTCGTTTTGATTGATATGTTCTACAATTAAAATCAAATCATACTTGTAGCCGCCATGTTTCATAATACTTTCAAAAATTCGATAGATTGTTTCGTATTCTGGTCGATCGTAATAATTTAACCCTCTGAAAGCAACATAGTCAATTTTCAGATTAAATGTGTATTCTGATGTTTTACATCCGTAAAAGTCTACAAATTTACCTAACGTAGCGAGCAAATTCGAGCAGCTGCACAGGGCTTTTACTCAAAAGAACCTCATCAGTGGTTTGCCGCTTCATGTCAGCAATTTCGTTTTTTTCACTATTTCAAAAAATGTTAATATATGTGTTTTGATATAGACCAATTCTCCCGCGGAGAAGAGGAAGGGGGCAACGTGCTCTTGTGCTCAGGGGGTCAATGTCTCTTAGGGGCCATTCAGAGGTGTGTCTCAAATGGGGGAATATTACAAAGTCTCTTATTGTTAGGGGCCAACAGATTTATTCTCAGGGGTTTCAACAAAAATGCTTTGTTAAATTACTGGTTCGACTGGAAAATTGGTGAAAGTGGCTATTCGATTTTTGAGTACCACGAAGCTACTGAATCCTTGTATACTTTGACGAACGTATTGTTGCTCTGAGAAAAAAGTGGAGTGTTTAAATAATATCAATTTAAAACACAGTTTTCGCCTAAACCTGATTTGTTGAATATACGTATTTCATTCAGCATACGATAAAAACTTAAGGTGAATTCAGCATATTTCGAAATAATGGAGTATTCTGTAAAATAAAACTTCGATAAAAATGTGGTTTTAAATTGATAATCTTTAAACAGTTCGGCTTGCTGAAGCATTTCTGTTGAAACCCATGATATGAAATTTGTTGACCCTTATGAGATTTTGTAAAATGCCCCCTTTGAGACATACCTTTGGTTGACCTCTAAAAGACATTTAACCCATGAGCACATGAACCTCAAGAGCACGTTGCCCTCTATTTCGTTGCCCCCTGGGTGCATCGGCCTTTGATATATTTATTTTCGATCTCTCAGAAAAACGATCTAAAATATTATAATAATCGATACCTTTATTAGGAATTCAAAAATATTATAAGAGATTGAAAATTTTAATAAATAGTATTTTATAAAATTCTAATAAATCAAAATTTTTTAAATCTCTTAAAAAATTCTAAGGTATAATAATAATAAAAATATAAAATATTATAGTCGTGAAATATAATCAAAGATCTTTTATAAAATTTCAGTTTGCTTGCCTGAGAGAATAAAGGTGCACTTCTCGTGCAAAGGCAGAGAGAGAGATGATATTTCGGCATTAGCCAATTTTTCGCAGTCGCCCGATGCCGATAGTAGGTTTTTAATGATTTTATCCTAATTATTTTTAAAAATAATTTTAGTGTCCCCATTGCGGCTCAAAAGGCGCCAGACGGGTAAAAGCAGCGAGGACCCGCGGGGTGGGAAAAAGAGTATTAAGGTATGTAAAATATATAATAAGCAGGGTGTTTCACCCGCCGATTTCCACCACGCCCAAGTGGCCTTCGCCATTCTCACCCTGTTTCGCCCCATAAGTCGCCCAACGCTGGCCCGGGCTAGTTTGATGCGACTCACCCAGATGTGCAAATTTCCTCCGACTCCCGTGTGTACTATTGTACCCAAAATTTGCTACGATTGAACTGACCATATTTATTTCTAAAGCCTTCCACCAGAAATTTTGAAATGATTATTGAAATGTTTCGAAGTTTTCCATTATAGAAAACTAGCCTTTTAAGGACACAATTATACATGTATAATCTTCGAAATAATTTTTAATTATTGTCGGCATCAAACGATTGAACGAATTTGTTAAAAATCGGGGAAATTGTTAAAAGTTCGTCCCAAAAACTGACCACAAGTCAGCCCAAGGTAATTTGCAACGCAACTCCGCTAAAATATACAACGTCGCCCACAAGTCATCGACTCGTCCTTGTTCGAGCCTGTCGTGCATTGCCAGCGAACAGTATCGAGCAGTTCCACTGTGATTATTTGTATTTATTTTCTCATTTTTCAAACCAATTTCCAACCGAAACAATGCTCGTTCGCGTGGTCTTCGCATCACCCATTTTCCATCAGTTTCACACACAAATTGTCGAGCAAGGCCAAAATCGAGCACCATGAAAAACCTCTCCTCACTAGTTCCTTTCTACATGTAGAATTTTACATCAACATTATTAAAACAATGAGCTTCATCACGTTTTGCTACATCTTTTAAAAACATTCAGTACGCTATAAAGATACCGCCAAAACTCGAATATTTCGATAACATGATGAAGACGTTTGAATTGCCGCCAAAATGACGATGTTTGCGGACTTGTGTATATCTTTGGGATTTTCTCGCAAATTTAATTCATTTTTTGTTACTTGATTTATTAACATTGGAAGTTTAAAATATCAGAAAATATGGTAGCGAAAATGCGTATTAAAAAACCCATAAGACACCCATCTCATTTTAGATTTTTCCAGCAAAGCCGCAATTAAAAATTTTCAAAAATCTAGTTTCACACTACTGTTGGACCCATAATTAAAGCGGTATAAGAAGTTTTACGGCCTATCGAGTTTGTGGGTTTCTTTAGCCTAGTAATAAACTTACATAACCAAGTGCAATATTAGCCGGTTTCAAATCTCTATGAATATATCCTATCTGGAATCAATTACTTCTTTTACTCATCAACTTTCACCATCAAACGTCATGAATTTGTTTTTGACCGAACAAGAGGCATATTCCTATTCGAGTTTGTGTTGAAACGTTAATTATGGGCCCATATTTTCTTAAACTCGGTGTTATTAGCAATATAATTGAAATTTTGATACTTCACAAGAGAGCACAGGCTTTCACCAAGGAGGGTCATCACCATATAAGTATAGGTGGGCTTCTTGCCACTTGCGATCAGTTTCGCCACGTGCTTCTTGCTTCGGAGCAATGTGAGAATCTAAATTTGTATTTGAAATTTTTAGAAGAAATTGGAAAATATTTTTTTCGGCGACTACTGTACGCGGGTGGATTTACGGGAATGCGTCTTTCGAAATGGTCTCGAAAGGACTAGCAGGTTGAAGAAAAATGAAGCAGTTCACGTGAAAACACCAAAATAAGCATTCATGCGTGGCGAGATCTTTTCAAAGCGCATGTGCGTAAATCTACCCGCGTACAGCAGTCGCCGGACGCCGACTATACCTGAACTTCCATTTTAAGAACGCTTCCATTACTATTTGAATTGAATTCGACTTTCATAGCATGCTAAAAAAAAGTGAAATTTTGAAACGAAAATTGTGTCAAAAATACAAAAGTATTTTTCTGCTCGAGATCTTCAACTTTATATACTGATCCGCAACCACCTTCGCCTAGTTTGCGTACCACTTTGAATCGATTTGCGACAATTATTCCGGATGCAAGGCTTTCTAGAAAACGAGAAATATTTCCAGATTGGTTTCAGATGGACAACCAGCAATTTCAGACGACATCATTGCAATTATTGAACACGAATTCTGATAGACAAAAATAAGAGAAATGAGCATCAGTTTATTGATTAAAACGTTTAAAAAATTAGTCAATAATACTATTAATTAATATAATTGTTGAAACGTGTATGAAACATTTGAAAGCATTCAGGAAACCCGATGAAATTCCTGAAAGAAATTCGGCAAAACCGTAGATTTTAAATGGAAAAGGAAGACATGAAAGAAATAAAACATTAAAGCATTGGCTTCGCGATTGGGGGAACTAGCGGTAATCAATGAGAAATAAATGCACGGGGGGAATTGAATTGATTAAACTTCGATCGTCGAATCTTTTTTCGAATCTTTCACAACTCTTGAAGCCGTTGAGAAAAGCATCAGTTGCAGTTTGGCGGTTTCTTGTTGAAGGACAGCAATCTTCAAGAATGCAGTTTAATTTTACCCAAATGATTTTCTAATTTGTTAAAATAAGAATACAATTCGTTTTGAAATCATCAAATCAATAAATTTGCAAATTTCAACATATATTTTATGAGCAATTTTCCTGTTTTTTTTTTAATTTCAATTGTTTCCTTTTTGGTGGAAAATGGAGGCCCGGAACCAGTTGAATAATCTCACAAAAAAAATATTTTTTTTTCAATGGATAGCACCAGTAGCTTAAGCTAATATATAAAATATATTTTTTCACTTTTATTTTTACAAGGGAGGTCTTTTTGATGTCCGTCTTAAAATTCTTTCATTTTTTGCATACAAATTCTTTAGCAAATTTCCAATCGAATGAACTAGGTGCCTACCTGCGCAAACTTCTAGTTATCGAGATATGGACCCTCAAAGTTTTAGCCCCTCCCCACATGAATTTTGCACACAAATGTGCGGAAACTCGAAATGAAATAACGTGATGTCTTATCTCGCGCTTATATCCTAATTTAGCAAGCAGTTGTGGTTCAGTGGTGTGTAGGTTATGTTGTCATGAATGGAGTTCCGGATTTGAAGGTCCATATCTCGATAACGAGAAGTTTGCGCAGGTATGCACCTAGTTCATTCGATTGGAAATTTTCTAAAGAATCTGTATGCAAAAAATAAAAAAATTTTAAGACGGACAGCAAAAAGACCTCCCTTGTTTGATATTTTGAAAGTCAAATGAGATTGAGAATGAAGTGAACCTGTCCCCTTAATTGAATGTTCTCCTGCTCAAGAGCGGCCGCTTTTGCCGCCACCGCCTCCTCCTTCTGCCTTCTTGCATCTCGAGATCGTTTCGCGGCATCGTTGTTTTTGCGGCGACGCTCAAAGTAGGCTTCGTCCTGCAAAATTCCGCATATCAGGTATCAGCGAACGACGACGAGTGCGCGATCGTAGCTCGGTTGTAACATTTGACAATAAACTCGCCAGACACCTGAGCTGCTGCTTCATCGCCAAAATGTTGTAAAAAAACGAGGGGGGGGGGAGGTCGACGTAAGATTGATTAAGGGATTGACCTCATTTTATGCAACGTAAATTATCTTCAAAGAATTTCAGCGCCTATCTCGTGTTATACCGAAAATTGCAGAACGTCTAATTTTTTCATTGCAGGGAAATATCTCCAAAATTTCCTTGAACAGAATATTCATAATCAATTAAAATTTTAAATCAAGGTTCCTAATTATAGCTGATCAATTGAAACATATGAAGACGAATAAGTTTTTGAAATACTCCGAGATTACTGTGTCATTTGCGGCATGTGTGTGTCAATACCATTAATGGATGCAGTCGATTGCGCAATTCGAGCACTACTCTCAAGTCTCCGTTCGTACCTTACGCATATTTGAACTCATACAGCCACCCTAATTAATTGGTGCAACAGTTGGCTGGCGCGAAACAATGCCAACCGTTGAGGGGCGAATAAAGAGCATATAATTATAGCGGTCATCTTGCGGTTAGGCGAAACTGTTTCGGATTCGAATCGATGCGTCGGATTAAGCAGAACTAGTAGCACTCAAGTAGCGAATGCTAAAAGTCGCGCGGAGGTCAGAGTGCAATTCGACTCGTGTAGCAACAGCAAGCATTATTGCGCAATTTGGTAAACTTTCTAGCACAAACCTTCTTCTCAACGGGAATCGGATGAGCCGGTTTGCGACATGGGCTTGGAGCAGGGCTTGAAAACTGAAAAAAAACGCGTTTTGACTTGATATTAACCTAAAAAAACAACTTGCAACGTTTGCGTGAGTTCTGAAAATTATGTATTAAACAATGGATCTTAACTAATCCGATTATCGAAAGAACATGAACCTTCGTGTTGATATACGTAATATCTCAAATTTCAAATAACACCGGAATTACAGATGATTGGATAATACTATTTTGTTTGAGGAAAACTACTTACGTTTGTACTGCTTACAGTACTCGAATGACTGGAAACCGGACTGCTCGGTTCCTCAATTTTAGCTTTTTTCGTTGGTGTGAACTGAGTGGTTGATGTTGGAACCGCCGCCGATTCATATGGAACAATTCCAAGCGGCGATTCGAGTTTCGACGTCAACGCGGCGGTGAGCAAACTCGACGTGTCTGGAAATGGAAAACCGAGATGCGCCAACGATTGATTCGGCACTCCACCCATCGGACCAATCAAAGCCGATAGTGCACGATGTAGGTCCATTATTTGCAGGTCTACTCACTGAAAATGCAAGAAACATTTGAATTCAGAATACAAGAAAAAGAATAGACGTAATTTTTAATATGATAAAATGGAGTAAAATCTATGGTCATCAAATAATATGGATCGTGTTTTGGACTTAAACGAAATAAAATAACCCCTGCCCATATAAATATTATTTTTTATTTGATAAAAGTATGAATGCTGATTTTAATTAATTAAAAAATAGCTTATGTGCAGGTATGGGTGAATGCGAAAGTGTCGGAATGAGAGCGCGCACTCGATGAGATCGGCGGCTGTCAGGCTGACCCGATCTGAAAGCCCATCCCGACACGCCTCCTCTTCCCCCCGTCTCCCATCTACCACGACGCATCGCCTCGCATTCAATTCCATCGTACGCGGCGTCTCTTCGTCTCGCGCGCACTCTCCTCAATGTTCACGCCGGTCCACTTTCTCCTCTTGTTGGTCCCGACGAGGTCAACACCGGTCATACGGGTGCAACAGTGCGCAACGGCGAAAAAAAAATAGGCGAGCCAGCGCGCGCGCGCGCGCAGTGCGTCGCTATTTGAATTCGTACGCGTGCGACACTGTGTCGGCGGGATCCGACAATGCGTCGAGAATTATGCAATCGAGAGAGCCCTTATGTAATTCACTAACATTCAACGCGTTTCTAATTAAAGGATTATTTAACGGTAGTGGTGGAATCATCGGCCATCTCGTATCACATTCGAATTTGCAATGGTAGCTCCTCAGGAAAACTAATCGAGCAAAACAGGAGTTTTTGGTTTGGCATGAAAACCCCCCCCCCAGAAAAATTCGGTTTCTGGAATCGTCAATACAGCGCGTATTTCGCCATTACAGATATTAGTTTGCCGAGTCGTTTATTTCGCAAATGATGAGTTCGCCAAGTGACAGTCTTCTCCCGAATTATAGAAATAATACAGTGTAACCTCATTGAAGATTTGACGCGAATTTCGAAATTTTATTACACATCGCTAATTCTATAGCTAATTCTGAAACGTAAATTTTTTTGAATAAAACCATTTGACCCTAATTTCAGATTTCAATTTTATTTATTTTTTCATTAGCCAAACATGATAATCCAATAGAAGTGAGATATAATTATTTAAGCAGACCCACTTTAGAATACTCGATGTTTGAGAATATAATCTTTCAGTTTTGATTCATCATTTTTGCAAGTTTAATCAGGGTTGTTAAATTTTGGGCCCGGCCGGCCGAAAGCCGGCCTGAGGCCGGCTTTCGGCCGGCTTTTTTCGCTGTCAAATTTTTGGCCCGCGATTCGGCCCCCAACTCCGTTGTTTACGGCCGCACGGCCGAAGCGGGAATTCAAAAAAAAGCCGAAAGCCGGCCGAAAGCCGGGCCGGCCGGCCGGCTTTCGGTCCCGGCTTCAATTTACCAACCCTGAGTTTAATTAAATTTGTGAATCTTAATCAGATATTAAAAGCGGTGGTCATCAAAATTTTGCAATTGAAAATATTTTTTGTTTTGTTTCATCGTATGCTAATTAAAATTAGCACATGAATCAAATGGAATATCTGGCGAGAAAAAAAAGTGGCGTCTGCTCATTTTCCTATAAATCATCTGTTGCCATCCATTCATACAGTATGCTAATAAGCACCAGCTCATACCGTAAAAGGTCATCGCGCACCGACAGAAATGATGGTGGTCCCACTGGATTAAGTACTATTCAATGTATGACACACCACCGACTTCAATCTGCCGTGATCGATGATGATGAGGAGGGAGATGAATAAAAAGAAGGATTCAAATTGAATTCGGCTGAGGATAGCATTTAAACAAAATTGAAAAAAAAACTACCAAAAGGGCATGTCGAAGGTTGATTGGAGCTCGTTTATCTCGATATTCAAAGATTAGACTAATTTAAAATTAAAGTAGTTCGATTCGCAGATGTCAAAATCTGCATGAGTTTTTAAAAGGAAACGTTGTCACGAGCCAAAATTTGAAAAATCTGAAACTGAGAATTTGCATAATTTCATGGGACCAATAAAATCGGGGGGAGATTCTTCTAAACGGATTACGGTACACTCGAATAAAAAGCCATGTGCTGAATGAGCGGGATTTCGCGCGCAACATTCTTTTTGTCGGCGGCTCATCACCGATAATCAATTCGATTTATTCGAGACGAGTCACGTCTTATGACGCATTTTGAAGCGGCGCGACGATGCAACGCAAAAACAAACAGAATGTGTAACGGCATGCAGATATCGACAGGTAACGGAAGAGCCCAAAAAGGGGCAATGCGAACGAGTGAGGAGGGGGGGGGGAGAGGCCATCGCGGGTCATGTTTGCACGGCAATTATTATCTTGGTGTTTGAATCATAAAAAGCGCAACGGCAACAAAGTTTTTGGTATCGAGATGAAGGTGCACGAATGAATAAATCACTGATATCTGCCATCAACTAGTCAAGGAAGTATTCGAAAAATTAAATATACCCAAGAAATTTCGGGTATTTAGCATGTTTCAGCATCAATTGTTTCTTTTTTTTTTGAGTCAAATTATCCAACAATTTTGCACCAAAAACCAACGAGTTCAAATTGCATTCTCCTACCGTAATCAGCTTTATCATTTCTCATAAGGCCAAATTTGCGGCAATTCCCAAATGAATTGTCTAATTTGGTTTTGTGGCGCCGAAAAACGAAAATTATCATTTAGGCGAGTCATTCGAAATCATTTTGAGATTTGCAACAATTCGACGAAATTCCCCGTCGAGACGCTAATTTTTCGAATATTCTCGAATATTCTTGATTTTCACGCGTTTTTCTTTTTAAACAATTTTTTCTCAATGATAAACTAAAGAATTTGGAGAACATAAAACGAAAAAAAAACCAATTATTGGATGATATTTACTTTTGGCGTAGTGGCGCAATATTTCGAATAATTTTCGCGCATTCCATTTCCAACATTATCGGTACATCTTGCGTCATTGCACGGTATTTAAGAATTTCGAAAACTGAAAATTGTTTCCGGATTTTAAAGACTATTTCGGAGAGTTTTTTTTTTCAACTTTGATAATTTCCTTGTAAATTTTCTATTGAACGGATTTTTTTTTCAAAAACTATACCTAAAATATATTAAGAGCTTTTAAGCATTCGACGGTTTTATTAAATTCATCGAAACTATTGGCATTGTTCCAAAAAGGAGATGTTCGGGTACATTATTGTTCAATAACAATTGAAATATCATAAGTACCTTCAGCACTATAGATCCAAATCGGTCATTCGATGAGACGATGAAACCAATCAGACGGTTATTCAAGAATCGGCTAGAAATTAAAAAAATTTGAAAATCGTGTACACTGAAACCTTATCTGTGTTCACAATTGCCCTTTTGAAACATCGCCATTTTAATTTTTTGCGATGAGCATTTTTGAAAACTGATATTATTTAATAAACATTCGACAATCGTTGGGTGCAACAAACAAGTCGCCAAAAATGGGCACAATTTTGAAATATTTCGTGCATCCATCGTCGATCCTCATTCAAATAATTCCTTTTGTGTCCAGAAAGTAAATATACAGAGCCTCGTTCGTTTTCTCGATCTTCTCCGGTTGCCCGCTGACTGTATTTGCCCGTCGGCCTCTCTCGATTTCGCGAAGCCTCTCCGCGTCGCCTCACTTCTTGAGCACACAATATATCGCGCCCCTCGGACACATACACACACACACCACCATTACCATTATTGCACCATCAATTTCAATTCAGTTTTTGAACCGTTTTTTTTTCAAGCCCAGACTAATCGTTTTTCATTTATGACGCTCCACTTTCAGCAAAAAAAAAATGGAGCCGTTCGTGAAGAAACGCCGAATCGGCAACACTTCCGATTCATCCGAAGGTCTCGAAGCTTCATCTTCGTCCGGTTCTAACGTCGAGGTGTTCGAAGAACACATTCCAGTCAGGTAATTCTTATTAATTATTATGTAGACGGTATAGTTACATCAAGCTTAAAATACTACACTACTCCAGATTTCCTTCAAGTCTTGTTGTTTGTTTGGTCTCGCTAAAAATAGCTTGAATACGATTTTCGAGAAAAAATTTTCCGGACATGACTCAAACACTATTATAGTATTTCAAACACCAAATGTACATAGATCAAATATTAAATTCGTACAACTCGGCAAACTAATCGGGTGAAACAGGGTTTTTTTTCGTATTCGGCGATAAAAACCACTGAACAAATCGGACCCTGGAAGCGACAAAACAGCGCATCCAATCTGCGTGCTGCCCTTTTATAGAGATGAGCACGTGTTTCAGCCGATGAGTTTGCCGAGTAAAAAGTAACTTTTCAAATATTTGTTGCTCGTCGATTTTTGAACTATTTGAACTCTGACCACCTGTGTCTCTTCGCATGTCGACTCATCAACATCATAACAACAGTTTGAGTAAAGTATTTGTTGCCGAGAAAATATTCCAAAATTCAAACAAAATGTTACCATTGCAAAAAATGAGCACTCTAGGTGTTTGCGGACCAGACAGTGTTTTTTTTTTTCGCGGTAATTCAAATTTCAATTTAAACAGGGGGTAATCTTACTAGGAGCCGTCTACGCATCAAACTCACTAAAGTTTGTAAGTTACAATAACCCGTAAAAACAGACAATTTCTCCCCCCGGGCCTCCATAGAGTCCTTATTTGAATTGCCGCCAACGATTATTTCACGGAACAACAACGAGCGAAAACAACTAATTCGCGCTTGTGGTTCATCCCGGAAAATGTCCGAAGATGTTTACAATGCGAATCCTGTTGTTGCGATTTCGAAATTAAGCAGTTCTGAGCTTTATAGGGGATCTTTATGATATCTTTTCCCAAAGTTAGACCTATTCATGAAATGAAAAAATTGTAAAAATTACAATTTTTCCAATGAATCGATGCAAAAAAAATGCAATGGATACTGTAATTAAATAATGAAGAAAGCAGTGAGACCTGTGAGAACATTTGTTGGCGTGCGTCTTTTTTCGAAGTTACGATATTATTTTTTGTTTGATTGATTTAAATTTTCTAGTTTCTTTCGTTTATTTACTGAAAATTGTGTATTGTCGGCGTCGCGCGCCAACAGAAAATTGGCTAAATGCCAAAAAAAACACAATGGCAATGGCATTGGCGCAAAACTGTTGTGTAGATTTTTTTGGACCTATGTATACCGTAATTTCGAAAAAAAAAACGCATGTCAACAAATTGTTTCACAGGTCTCGCTGTTTTCTTCATTTTTTTAAAATTTTAGTACCCATTGCATTTTTTTTGCATCTCTGCATTGAAAAAATAATAATTTTCGTGGCATGAATCGATCCATTATTGAATTTTGATCATTCGGAATGGGAAAAGATCATTATTAATTATCACGTAATTCAAATAATCTCATTACTAATCAGAATTCTGAAATAATTATTTATTTAAAAAAATCGATTTATCAACCAGTCGGAAAAGTGGTAAACTGTGACGAAACATTTTTCTTGTGGAAACCATACTTGCAACGGGGCGGGTCGGGGCGGGGCGGGGCGGATCAGAGTTAAAATTCTACCGACCCGCCCCTGACCCGCCCCGACCCGCTCGACCCCATACTTGCAAATTTCCGGGTCGACCCGCCATCATAATAGATTTTTTGAAGAAAAGTTTATTTTAAAAAATCGAAAACGAAACAAAAACAGTGAAAGACGGTACAATCAATTTTGTTTGAGGACTTCTGAACAATTTTTGTTGCGAGAATAATTAATTCTACTCAAATAATGTAATTCGAATTTTTTTTTTCACTAAACAAGGGCCTCGCTGTAAACTTGGAGTGTCGTTGCGGGTCGGCGGGGCGGGGGCGGGTCGCGAAATTTTTTACTGACCCGCCCCGCCCCGACTCGGAAATTTGCAAGTATGGTGGAAACAGACATTTTCAAACTAATCCGAGTTATTTTATCAGTCGGCTCTACTATATTTTACGGTTTTGATTATTTGATGAGATATAATTTTGAAATTGGTAGACACGAAAGAGAACGAAGGCTCCGGAAATTTGATTGCCACCACACAAACCGTTAGTGAGTATTATTCATTTTTTTTTTTCGGTAAATTTGGGTTTATTATATTCGCACAACTAAAAACAGGTATTAAATAAAATGACACCTCAAACTAATCGCAAATTAAACAATTTTTCCCTAATTTTAAAAATATTTTTTCTAACTCTTTGTACTTTCTCTTTCTGTAAATTTATCTAAAAAGGCAGCTTCAAAATTCGTATGATTTTATGATAAAATAATCCTAGGTTACAGATCCAGGAGTTTGTAAACAACGGAAAATTAAATAAATGCCAGAAACATTTAAATAGCGGTGTGTGCCTTTAATCCATCTTTAGGGCCGTAAAGTCACAATTTTGTCTTCTGCCAAAACCGCTGTCATTGTTTTTTGGCATTTAGTCAATTTTTCGCAGTCGCGCGACTTCGTATTTCGCGAAATTCAGAATATTCATAAAAATTACTTTATATTCGAATATTGAAATTAAAATAATTAAAAACTGAACCGAAAACCCTCCAAGAACTCGAAATCCGTGGTAAATTGGAAATATTTGAATTTTTGGATACGGTAATGAAAGGCGCACGCAGTTTTTGCGCCGTGAGTCTCGCAGCGGCCCGTTTTTTTTTCAAATCACTCAGCAAATCGTCTCGAAAAAACTGCGGAAAAACGCGAAATTTTGTGAAACAGTGATGAAATCCAATGTTTTCGTCTCTCAAAATCACACTCTCTTGCAAATACAGTTTGAACGGCGGTTCTCCCGCGTTCCACCCATATCTCTATTCACCGCCGTTTCAAAACGGCGATTTGCTGAGGCAATCTACTTAAAAATAAAAAAAATATATATGTATATTAAATTCTCTTCGATTAATTTTTTCATTTTTCTAAAAAAATTCCCACATTTAGCAATTCTACACAAAATCTGCAACATTGCACAACAGTGACGTCACATCCTTCAACAAATGTGCTCGACAGAAGAATTCAGGTAATTTCCGAATTTGGGCTTTGTTATTTTTAGTTGAAGGAATTGTTGCTGTCATCGCCGGCACATCTCTTCTCGATTGGTGCTTTAAATTCACAGCAGACATCAGTCTCGACTAGCTGGGAACAGTGGCTTTGCTTCTTGGCATCGAATCTTTCACCATCTCAATGGCAGGTAATCCCGTCGAAATTAGCAGATTAAAAAATTAAACTGTGGCATAACTTTGTTGCTTTGAACTGTTTTTCAATGGATAAGTAAGTTTTGTGTGAAAATGGCCTCGTGTGAATTATGTAGAGCCAAATCATAAATCTAAGCAATTATCTCCTTTTTTGTGAATTAGATTAAAAAAAAAACTCTGGTAAATGAAAATCAATCGGATTCGAAGAAAAATTAAATATAAATTAACCTGTTTCGATTGAAAAATAATTCAAATTCAATTAAGAAAATGCGATTGAAAAATAATTCAAATTCAATTAAGAAAAAACATATTTTGATTTTTGGATGTGAATAAAAACGTGATCTAAAATTTAATAGCACACACCAGAAACGAATCTGTTCTTTTTTATTATATTCTCTAGAAAAGCGCTACTTCGTCCAAAATTATGAGAAAATGACATCATGCATCAAAATAATTTTTATATTTCTTCCAATGTTTAATATTATCTTAAAAATACGAAAGACCGAATATCGCCGATATAATTGGTCGTTTCATTGTTTTGTGATGAACGACTAAATTACAGGGTTACTGGTTGGCGCATTGCGCCTTATTTGGCGAACAAGCGGTGCCAGTACATCTTCTCTCGTTTTTCTCGAATCAAACTAGCGGATTAGAGCCGTGTTCTTCTTCGCATTCGGTCGCCGACTCAACACCATTGAATTTGCACCAACACCCGCATCCAAATGACGCAATTCACACCAAATACGGTACGCGAGACTTTCTTTTTTATCTCATTTATTTTTTTTGCTGCTCAATTGATTGAATGACGTCTTATAGCTCCCAAATATAAGTATATTATTCTTCTCACACACACACATACGATTTTTGTGTGAATTTTTCCTCGTTGCTTGAAAATAGTTGACATTAGTTGTTCCCTTCGAATTGTCCTCATTTATCAATTTGTTCTTCTCGTAACGACGGCATTTGTTCATTTTCAAAAAAAAAATGTTTGAACGAGCTGTGATACATATTCATAGTCATGGATAGACGATAAAATCTGGGTTCGAGCAAGCGTCGATTTGAAATCAATGAAGAAAATTTCGGAAACCATGAATTATCGAAAATTTGATATTGGCTGAAGAGAGCAAATCGCAATAGCGGAGCAACAACGTGACAACGCTGAAGCCAAGAGATGAGAGAAAGAGAATGCTTCTCGTTTTGTGCTCCCGGGGCCATGACAAGAATGTGTGGTCCGCCCGTCGCGTCGAAAAATAGGACGTTGATCGGCGAGTGTGCAAGTCAAATGCCAAAAAAACAGGCGAACGAGAGAAGAAATGCGACGGATGCCAACGAAGCGATGCGAGCCAACCCCTCGTTTTCAATTATTTCACATCTAATCAATTTTTGTGCTGCCTCCCACTTCCACTGCCACCGCCATCAACCATCTGCTCCAGCTCTCGCAACCTTTTCGCCTCGTTTGATTTTCAAAGACTTTTTTGTTGCCTCGTCGCTTTGAATTCATCGCTGCACACGTGCCAATTGTTGTTTACTTTTGTCTGTAGCATTCTGATTCGCATAATTCTGATCGAGAATTGCATTCAATTCGTGATTTGATATCATTCTCGTATATTATTAGTATTATTATCGATAAGTACTAAAATTAAATTAATATAATATTGAGGGAGGAATTCGTGGAACCCGATTGAATTTCCGAATTGCTCAATTGTCCTCTTGATTTATTGCACTTTTCTGCTCACAATTTACATCGTGTAATCACAAATTTTTTTCGGATAATATTGGCCCGAAAAAATATTGAAACATTTTAGTTTCCGTTTGGACTTTTGTCTATAAATGATTAGTCATTGCCAAAAAATGCCAATGTCTCTCGCGCTTTTTCTTCTTTATTTAGGAAAAATGAGAAAAATTCGGCGTTTGCTTCTTTTTTTTTGTATTTTCTATTTTACACGAAGTGTGTTGAAAAAATTGATTGTTATTTTCCTACTATTAAAGTGACTCATTTGAATTTTCGCACAATTTCAGCACTTTTGCTTTCAAACATTTCTACGAATCCGTTTTAATCGTTTACGGAAATGATAGAATTCTGTGAAAAATTTCAATTTATCTTAGTTTAAAAAAAATAATAATCTACATTCTCAATTTGCCGTTAATCGAAATTAGACTAGACGCATTATCGAAGTTTAGATTATCCGAATGAGTGAAATCGAATTTCCGGAACTACATGATTGTTTTCAAAATTTTTTAAAGTGTACTGTTCTAAAAAAAACTCAATAAACACGAAAAAATACTATGCAAAATAACTAAACACAAAAAAAACAATACTAGTTTTTTGATTTTTTTTTCCCAAAATCTGCATAGCAAAATTCGATGATTGAACTTCTAAAAAATTCGTTGAAATTTCGAAGTACAAAATAATAATTAAAAAACATGTTTTTTTTAATTTTAAAAATAATTTTTTTTAATAGTAGAATTCGTATTTTGTAGAATTGATGTCAATATGATCCCCGAAATTTGCTTTGAACCCCTTCGAGACTTCTTGAAATACATATTTTACAAATATATTTCAAGAAGTCTCGAATTAATCAAAAAATAGATGTTAAACAAATGTTGAAAGAGGAATCTCAAAAATCCGTTGGGAAACGACAATAAGACATTTTATAGTCTATTATCTTGTTTTATGTCTGACCTATATATAATAAATCATCCGAAAATCCTATGACTTCTTTCTCGAATCGTTCGTTCATGTTCCGTTCCGTTCCGCATTGCTCGTCGTTCGTCATTTGTGTGACCTGCAGATAATTTCCATCAAGTCCGACCAAGTATGGGAAATGCCGCAAGGGGTGGTTCGGGTAACTCGCGGCGAGCCGAATTCGCAAATGCCACCGTATTCTTGAACGGAAGATTAGCCGCTACTGAGACAAGTGGGTTTTTACGATTTTGTGATTGTGTGTTAGCATTCGGTCAATGGAATACTGTAGATTTGGCATTGTTTTAACAAAATGCAATGTTCTTAATGGTGATTCTCAAAAACACTTGAAATACCGGTTATTCGGGTTGAATTCAACCTGAAACAATTCCATGTTGCTGACTTTCATTTGACTCGTTCAAATTCGCGAAAAAAGCACTCACTCGGGGTTTTGCCTTTCTTGCCTTTCATGGCTACATTCAACCTTTTCAATTATTTTGTGAATCGTCAATCTCTTGATTAGTGATAGCCCTCACATGTTGAATATGTTTTTGAGCTTCTACTCTGTTTTATTGGTAGAATCTTCAGAATTAAAGCCATTTCGCAAAAATTTTGATGTTTTAATTTTTTAATTTTCAATCGAGATCGAGTAAGAAATTTCGAGTTATATTGAAAATGGTTTCCAAATCGCATCGATTTGAAAATGTGGCATTATTCAAGTGTTTGTATGTAGTACTATGAAATATGCATATTCGTCGATTATGTTGATGTCGCTCAAGAGAAACAGCCGATAATTCGAATCGGGCGGATTATCGGAAGTGCGATTAATCGCAATGGGTGAATTCTGAAGAAATTGATTTGCAAAATGTCGCTTAATTCAATGATCGACCGCATTTTTTTCTGCTTCGCTTTATTTATTTTTCGCCCCTTCCTCAAACTTATTTATTGGAATCCTTTTCGAATAGAGGAAAAAAAGTATCTATCGAATATATAATATAATATATTTCGTGCAAAACTCTCATAAAAATAAATCGAATAATAAATAAAATGTGGTTTTTTTTGTCGGCCCGACTAGGACGCAGTTTTATTGTGTCAATTTAATGTAGTTTTTTTGTGGTGGCCGTGTTTCAATACCTTCCTCTCTTCTTGTCCAAAAAATGTATTTTTTGTGTTGTTGTCGGTGTGAAAACCCAAATTTGATTCACTTTTTCTCGCTTCCTCGGTTTTTTTCAAACAAAATGAAAGGTTCTTTCTTTTTTTCTTTCCAATTTTTTGTTCAGGCACCCATTTTTTCCCATGAGGCCTTGAATGGGCAATTTTTCAAAAGGACCCCCCCCGTCTTCCTCCCCCACCGCTGCTTCGCCTCCATTCTCTCTTCAATTCCTTCACATTTCGGTGTTGTCTCGTTCGGTTTCTAAAAATACATTGGTTTGTGTATAAAAATAGAACGACGATGAAAAGATGCAAAAAAATGGGACGAACATGTGTTTTTCTTTTCGTTTTTTCTGCCATCGAAATATACTACTACTTTCCGGCTTTCCGTCCGGTCCATCCGTAGTTGTTGTTGTTGTCGTTGTCATTGCACGCGAATTGCGCCAGCATTTGGTATTATTGTCTTGATTGCCTCATAATAATATAAATTATTATTATTATTATTAGAGGCGGTGTTTTTACCTGTTATGACACGAAAAATGCGCCAAGCGGAATCGGTTTTGATGCATAAATATGTATTTTGTGCGATGAGAGAAAATGAATTATTCATGGAAATATACGAACCAATGAGGAACATAAATATCAACACGAGATATGAATGAATAAATACGACAACTTAGTTCTATGTGCGAGGAAAAAAGTATTCATGGAAAGTGATATAAGATATTTAAAAAAAATGTGGAATTTTTGAAATCCAAGGATGAAGGAAATTGAAGAAACAATGGAAGTAGGGGCAATGTGCTACACATACATGGTTTTTGTCATCCAATTTTCAGACTGATCAAAAATGGCCTCTAGAAGGGCGCTACACCCAAACCTAGAGGTTGGATCACTGCAAATTCGTCTATTTAAATTTAATTCGGGATTTCATCTAGCGGTCGATTTTTATGGATCTATTCAGTGCTTGCCAAAGTCATTTTTACCCAATGCCAAAATGTGTCAAATTTGACGCTAATAATTATTATTTCAATTATTTTGCATTTAGTTGATTAAGTCATTAAGATATTTTTTGCCATTAAAAAAATCGAATTTAATTCAAACTTTCGTGTTTTTTTTTTCATCAAACGTCATTTGGACTTTGTACATTTATTCGAAAGCAGTAAGAAATTCATATTTCTTCTTGGAAATTATTCATTAAGCAAGCAGCCGGACTTCAATTGTTTTCTAATTAAACTCTTTCAAAAGTAATATTAAATTGAAGCTTTTTAAAAAATGTGTTCGTGCGAAATATTATAAAAAAATTATGAATACGTCAAGCGCGAGTTTTCACCTGGCGAATGAATGCAAATTATGATAGCAATTTGCATTCGGAGCTTAGTCAGTCTCGGCTCTTCAGACCGCGGTCGTCGGCCGTCGTCGCCGCTGTCGCGCGCACGACTACTATTTCGGAAATCGGTCAGCGTCTCTTGCTCTCCAGCAATGTCGCAATGCGAAAAAATGTTGGCGAGGCTTTTGCCGCCAACCAACGCCAACACTTCTTTGCCAATTTCGCCTTGGGATTTGTCGGCGTCAGCGCATGCGCGAGCAGCAGCAGCAGTAACGACTGACCGACCGACCGACGGCGCGCAAGTTTCGTTTTAGTTTTGTGCTTTATGTAAATTAGAAATTGATTTCGAGTTGTTTGGATGAGGGTCCCGCCCGCTCCGGTGTTGCTGGTTGGCCCCGCCTTTCCGAAATTCGATACTTCTCTTTTCTTTTTCGCATTATTTCCACAAAGTTCTTTTTTTTTTCTCATTTTCAGCCTTTCATGTATTGTGTCACTGGACTTGAATCACAAAAAAAATTTTCCATTTTTTCCACATATTTCATTGATTCTTTTCCAAATAAACATATTGTGAAATGATTGCCTGGAATATTTGAAATTTTGATAATAGACTCCGAAAACGATAGGGTTAGAATATTCTACTGATACGCCTTTAATTTATACCATATCCATAAAACTATAATGAATAAATACACTGGTCGTTGGCTCATTTTCTTTCATTCTTCTCTTCAATGAAAACCCGTAAAAAAGTTGTTCGTGTGCACGCAACTAAAAGAAAAAAACCACAATTGGGCGTAGTATACATAATTGGTCGCTTGTGCAGCAATTTAATTATACGTTGCGGCGAACCCGGAAAAAATAAATAAACATAACGGACAAGTGCGTAATAGAATATTCATGATACAAATGAAATAAATACCTGCTCAGAGAAGTCGTGTCGAAACGCGTAGAATACGACCAGGAAAAAGCTTTTTGTCCATCTTATTCATCGTCTTTCTTGGCAATTTCCACATTTTGTTGTTATCTCTGAACCATCTCGATTCTGCACACAATTCGAACCTCTTTTTCTCTCACTTGGTGGCTTAGAGAGGGGCCCGCGTTTTTATACACAAACCAGCCGAATATCATCATCATCATCAACAGCATCAGTTGCAGTGCGACAACAACAGAAGCAGCAGTAGCAACAATAAAAGAAAAGTTTCGCATCCGTCCATTTTTGTGCCCATTAATAGACACAGAGTAGAGAGAAAGAGAGAGAGAGAGAGAGAGAGAGAGAGAGAGAGAGAGAGAGAGAGAGAAAGAAAGAGAGAAAAAGTAGAATTGAAAATCGGCGCGTTATGATCTGTGGTTTCGATTTGATTTGATTTTTTCTTTCGATTATCGCGTCTCAAACATAAACGAAGAGAATTGAAAAAAGGAGTGAACGGCAGAAGAATAGAATATAAATCAAAATTGCTCATATTACCAAGTATCCTTGGTAGTGCTCGGGCGCTACTTTTATGGTTGTTATGTCGCAAAATGTAAAAGGAGAGGCAAAGAAGAGGAAAAACGTCGTCATCCGTCGCTAATCCAGCGTTTTCGCCTCTTTTCTTTCGTGTCTCCTTTCAATTTTCTTCTTTTTTTCTTTCTTTTTTTCCGATTTTCGCTTCGTCAATTTCTGCGTTTTGTCGTGTATTTGGTTTTGGTGCTACTGGTGGCGATGGTGGTGGTGGCGTTCGAGTATCTCGTGTCCAGTTTCATATTTCTCCTTCTCCATCTACTACTACTACTACTTATTTTTGAAAATAGAAACGGAGAGTGTGAGAGAGAGAGAGAGAGAACTTCTTAGGGTCCCACTAGGAATACCAAAAAATGATAGCAAGAAGGAATAAATATAAAATTCATACTCAACACACATTTCACCTGTTTTCCTCCTACTGTTTTCACTCATGCGGCGCTCAAAAAATTGAAAAATTGACACTTTGGAACAGAGAGCCACGGTGTGTTATTTATAAAGTTTTTTGGTTGATTGGGGGACCACGAAAATAAGAAGCCCACTTTTTGTAAATATAATCGAACACCTCTCTCTAACCATCAAAATAGGCTTTATTCTCGTTTTTTTTGCATTTTGCTTTTTGGCTTTAAACCAAATTGTAATGCCTCTTTAAATCGAATTTGCTGCTTTCATATTTTGACAATTTTATTTTCATTTGCATCCCGAATGAGATCCTATTATGACCGTCAAATTTGATTGAAATTTATGTTCCATTTTTGGCAATATTGTCTTTTTTCTGTTACGATTTTGTATAGACTGCGATTGATTTTTTTTTCTTCGTTGAGCATTTGTTGAGATTTTTCGATCGATTAATTTCTTATCGCATTCTGCCTTTTCCGATTTGCCTCAATTTCCAATAAGAGGTCAAATTGTCATTTTCTTGTGAGTGAAGACACATGTGAGACAATCTTGATTTTGCCGTAGCCTCTTTTGGAAAATACGTTTTCATGTTTTTTAAGCAAATTTCCATCTGCCGACATATTTTTAATAATTTAAGGTCAAAAATTGTGCACAGCTGTAGACCGTAAAAAATCCGAATTACTGAATAATAAAAAAAATCCAAAATTTGCGCTAACAATCTCTTGTCTGGGTGTGTGTGTGTGTCTCTTCACAAAACAATAAAGCTGACTAGGCCGTAAACAATGTGAAATTCGCAATAATTTTTGAAGTAGTATCTTCTGATTCGAATCTTGTATTAAAGTGGCTCAAAATGAGAAAGCGGCGCGCATCTCAACTGACAGCCTCTTCTTCGCCAACGACGTATTGTTTTTGTTAAACGTTACCCTTCAGCTGATGCCAGTGTGTATGGTAGTTACTATATTTAGACGCAATTTCTCGATCTCAAGGCCTTACAACACTGTCCGAATAGTAGTAGTTTTTACTCGTTGGCCACCGCGTGTGAGTGAGTGTGTGTGAGTATGCGTGCGTGCGTCTTCGCCTCCGGTCGATCGGTCGGTCGTCATTTTCATTTCATTGGAAAAACCCAATTTGCTGAAGGGTATCTCGACTCAGGTTGGGTGCTGCGCTGGTAGACGGGACGGGAAGGACTTTGAGGTATTTTTGAAAAGACGAGACGGCCCCCACCCCCCCCCCCCCCCAACAAAAATCGACCACAAAACTGCGAGAGACGTTTAAGAATATGGAGGCGCTGTATAATCGTCGGTTCGAGTCGAGAATTGGCCAAAGAAAAATTGAAGTTTTTTCTTGGTTGCCGATTTTTTCCTTTCTTTTTTCTTTCTTTTACTTTTCTTCTTCTTTCTTCTCTGAAAAAAAAACGTCGGAGAAAAGTTCGGAAGCTTGTGCCCTTCTCTGTGTTTTTTCTTCTTCTTTTTTATCTTTTCCTTCATTTTCATCCTCTTATTCAACAATCCTCAGCCAGCCACTTCTCCAATTCTTCTTCTTCTTCTTCTTTTTCCATTTTCTTCGTCTTCGGTGGAATTGATTTTCGTAGAATTGGGCCCTTGCAAATACTCGTGCACGTTTTTTTTCGACCCGAGAATTTGCCCGCCACCGATATTTTGCCATTTTCCGTATTTTCCTGTCATCACGGACCCTTATTAGAACATAATGAGAAATACCCGCAGATTACCAAATAAACCTTTGAATGCCCATGAAATTTCGTCTCTTTGCTGCTGCGGACAATTTTCAGTAGTTAAAGTAACCACCATCGTTTTTTCCAAGAGAAACACACCGGCAGCCTTTCTTAGGACGGAAATCATGGTTATTAAACGGTCGATTATATTCTGGCGGTTGTCTGTCCCTGATATTCAGTTTTTTTTTTTCAAAATTCGATATCATAGTCTATTTTTTTAATCAAAACAGATTAAAACCGAAATTATGCAAAGTATTTTACCGTATTCGGAATCTATTTTTGATCTGCAATGTCGTGAATGCCGTTCTTTTCAATCGAATGACTCAACGCCGGCGGTGAGAATGTTTCTTGTTTGCCGTTGTTTAATTATTATAGCATCTTTTTTTCGTCACGACTACTTCTTTTGATTTTCATTTGTTTCTATTTTTTTTTCAATTGCCTGCCGACTGACAGAAAAAAACCGAAAACGCGAAAAATATTTATGATTTAGCACACCGGAAACTGTATATCGGCGAATAATTCAAAAAGAATTCACAGAATGGTGTCTATTTTTGGAGTGTAAAAAACGCGTTTTTGAATACATTAAACACTTTGCATAATTCTCGACCTCCGCCAAATATACAGTAATCCGAGTGAAACATGACAATCGAGAAGTTTTATGCAAATTCGTTTCGGCTCTCGATGATGCAAATTGTGGGAGCCCGCTTGTGCCCGAACAAACATTTGCTATTCATTTTTTTGAATTTTCATTTCATATTAGGTTGAAGAAATTGTCTACATTGAGAAAATGAAGATGTAGAAGCTACGCTTGAATTCAATTTAAATTTTTCGTTTTACATTTATCATACATCTTCCTCCTTCTCTTCCCCACTCCTAGTTTTACATTTTTTTTTCAAATTTGGCAAGCAACGAATTGTTGAGAGGGAAAGAGAGAGAGAGAGGGAGGGAGAGGGAGAAAGACATTGCAAGCGCGTCGGGGCCAACGATTTTCATTTTCTTTCTATTTTTATCAGTCAGTCAGTCTGTCCGTCGTCCCATCGCCGTCAGTTTCTCAACACCATTGCGGGCGGAGGTGCCGCAGTGTGTTTTTGAAAATCATCCATTATTTTGTATTATGTTTGATATTCGACATCAAGAAATAAAAAATAAAAAAAAGGGAGACGAGCGCGCGCGCGCGTTGTAATAATAGTGTGTCATTTCCATCGAAGAATCGTTTCTTTTTTTATCACTTGATCAATCAGCATTTTTGCGTTGTTGACCTCCTCCACCTCCTCCTTCACCTTCTCCTTCCACTCCTATTCCTCCTCCTCTTCCTCCATCAACATCCTCGCGGGTTTCGAATGAATGATTCAAATGGCGATTTGTACTTGTTCCGCTCATTTCTTGGTATTTTTCGAATGGGAACTGGTTTCGCAAAACCCGCCAAATCTCTCAATAATTGTTGTAAGACCGCATAAGAGCCGCCATCGTTGACGATGGCTGTAATCGTCGAGAACAGTTATTTTAAAGGCGCAATATGGTTTTAATTTAAATGGACTTCGTCGCGACCGGGCCTGTACATCTGAAAATTAAATCATTTAAAGGCACAGAGAAAATAATGCGATGTTATCTTTTCAATTCTCAAATCTCTCAATTTTAAAGATGTCGTCGAACCGGTTCCGATCCACAATTTTCTCGACATAGGTGGCAAAACAAAACCGAAAAAAATTTTGTTCATTTTTTGGAAATTATCTAGGGTTTCGCTTTTTAAAATTATTATTTTCATTCAACCAAAAAAATGAATTGGATTAGTCAGTTATATTAAAAATAATTTTCGATCCAAAATAAATTAAATGTTGTACTATTTCGTGTTCCGAAATCTTCGACTAATTGCGATTGAGTGTTTTTCAAGGAAATCGGCGCCAATTCCACATTTTTTTTTCGCTCAAGGTTAGAATCGAGATAATTTGATAAAGTAGCAAACGTTTTAAACATCGCGCAAATTTGTTATTGAGGAGTGCGCGACGAGAATTATTTTGTGATTTAAAGGCCCAATGACGTATTCAACAGGTTTAAAGGAGCGAGCATGCAGGAAAGTCAAAAAATCATGGACATTTTGCTTTTTAGTCACTCACTCCCCTCTAATTTCAATAATAAAATATTAAAAAGCAAATTGAATTTTTAAAAATATGAAGTATTGACATTGTAAATATGACTGATAAGGAAATGATATCATCATCCATTATGATTTCAATCTTCATTTTCGTTTTCATTCTATTCGCCCGTTATTTTTTGGGCTATTTTTCATTTAAGCTCGATTTTCATCAGATATCGGTAATAAAATAGCTCCTCTAATTTTTCTGGCGATTTTTTATTTTTACGTGAATTGTGTGTTTTTTTTTGTGAAATTGTCTGATGATCCATGCACACGCGAATTTTCGAATTCAAAACAATTGCCACGTATTGTCCCGCCCATTTGAATTCACTAAAATGATATTTTGAATATATATATATATGTGCGTGTTGCAAATTTAACTATACTTTTTAACAATTGCAAAGAAAATTAAAAGAGGGTGCCAAAATACATGAATTGATTTAAGTTTTACTCGGATATGATTCTTAATATACATACATATAATCTCAATTCGAGGTTTGTAAGAAGAAAAACGAATAAAAAACGATAATAATTCTTTTTTGCATATTTAGAAACCCTTCAAAACGTATAAAGCGCGTATATTTATAATATATTTTCTTCCGAATCGAGTGACTCAGAATTTTTTGTTTCGGTTAGGAAGGGAATATGTTTTAATTGTTCATGTTTATTTTAATATGTATTATTATTATTATTATTTATTGTTGTTGTTATTTATTGAAATGATTTGTGTAGATATTTTGCTGGTTCGTTCCCAGCTCGGCCGTTCATATTTTCTTGGCAACCCATCGATTCTGTCGTTATCTGTCCCCACCCCCAATGCATCATATTCTTCCTGTCTCCCTCTCTCCCTCTTAAACACGCTCTTCTTAAAACGCCTCGATCGATCAAAGTGCTCAATTCTGTTCTGTTCGACTTTCTTTTTATTATTTTTTCTAGATACCGCCAATACGAGCCCCATCACGATCACACCAGAGTTGGGAGCGGGAAATTCGTGAGATTCGGCGCCAAAATTTCGCGTTTTGTGCCCGCCTTATTGATTCGAGTTTTTCGCGTTTCTTTCGTGGGGCCCGGCTTAATCCCTCCCCATCCTCCCTCATCCCAAAAAAAGAAAGAAAGTGAACATCTCCCCGACAGCTAAAAAAAAATTTGTGATAATTCCTCGAGCGAATAGGCAAAGAAGAAAAGAAGGAAATGCTCAAGTTTTTGAAACCGAAATCGTCGGATGAGGGCAGCTCGAAAGATAACAAATCATCCGCATCCAGTGAGTTTTCTTTTCAAGCAAACGAAATGTCGTGATGTCCTTTGTAGTCCTTCTTGTTCATTTTCATTAAAAATCATCAAACGAATTGCCCTATAATCTACAGTATCCATTGTTGTTGTTGGTGAAATCAAACTAAAATCGACTTATACATATGAATGTCCAGGAAATGTGTAATCATCAGCCGTGTGACCACGCGACCACGCTTTTTGTGCAAAACTTGCTCTGCAAATTAGGATCATGAACCTTTCATGTCACACTTTGTACTTTTGATTTACATTGAGATGAACAATTCTTGTCAATTGTTTCCAAATCGACGTTTCCTACGGTATTCTCACACTCCGAAAAAAATATGCAATTGAATTGAATTAATGGTTTTATGCAAATTTTGAATCGATATTGGTGATAGGAATATGCAGAATCTTTTTTGTTCAAAATATGATCTTACTATCATAAGGAGAGTCGGTCCTACCGGATGGTTAATGCGATTATATTGGGCTTGATTGGGAGTTCTGACGAATCAAACTTATTTAGTAATTGGTGAGCTGCATACTACGTCATGCTTGTTTCGATGAATCCTATTATCTGATTGATGACCAATCATGTGTATCACGAATACCATTGATTCGATTAGATCCTTCTGTTTCGAGTATCGTTTCAATTATCTCCAATAGCTCCAATTTCTTTACCCATCTTTTTCGGTTGGCTACAGTAATCTGCCTGGATCTTGGCTACCCTTTAAAGCAAATTTCCCTTTCAATTTCCGGTGCACGGAACGAAAATGCGAAAAAAAGACGGGGGACGCCTTAACACAATTGTTGTTTTTTGGTTGGTTTCCACTTCTTTTCCGTTTCGTCCATTTTTTGTGTATATATGTGCGCCTTCATCGAATACCAATTTTGGTGGTGATGATGGTGTGTGTTTGTGGCATTCTCCGTAAATCGACAACGGAACATTGAAGCTAAGCCGAGGCGGGCAGTCAGCATTCATCATCAACAACATTGAAGTGGAGGAATGGAACTCGGTGGATGAGTTTGGACGAAACAAAAAAAATAGAGAAGAATTTGATGGAGAGTTGCATTAAAATACGAAGAAAAAACTGGAAAGGGACCCAAAACTTGTTTGCCCATCTCCACTTTTTTTGTGTGTGTGTGTGTATCTGAGTGTGCGTGTTGCAACTCACTAGAAAAGGTCCGTCGCCGTACGTGAGTCTACTGATGCATAGGCGAGCGTGAGGCGCAATAATTCGACGCCTCAGGCACACAGAGCCGCACCATCTCCTCCGCCTCCTTCCTTCCATCCAAGAGCTCCTCCTTCGAATGGCTCCGATTGATTTGAACTCACCCCCGAGACTCCAGTGAATGTCTCAAATGGCCTAATGTTGTCGTCTTCGTTTTTCCGCGGAAGCATGAAAGAGCGACGGAATGAGTCGCTCAAGAACCATCGAAGTAGATTTATCACCTCCGCTTATATCGAGACAGGTTCGCGTTTTATTTCAATCGAATCCACATTTACAGTAATCCTCAGGCCACTAATATGCCTAGATTCTCGTTGCAATAATAGTCGGAAGTGTTCGAATGCATATTTCAGGAAATCGTTTATACATTCTTCATCATTTGAGCTCATTCTTTCTGTTTTCTCTGATCCCTGTGTTCGTTTCAATGCTTCCGAATCTACGCGCATAGGCAGTTTGAGTTTTGTGCCGAACATCTGAAATCAATTTCGGCACATGTGAATGTTCGGAACTTGTGAAATGTGATTTCGAAAGATCAAGAAATAATAAACATTAGCGCGAGACCTTGTCCGTCACACATATTTCTAGTGTTGTCCGTAATTTTTTCGAAATGAACATCTTGTTGTTGGATTAGGAACGCGAAAATTACACACAAGATGTGATATATTGGCGAGATTTTTAAAGATTCTGTTGTTCTCGTCCACGCGCAATTTTACCAAGGTTATCAATGTTTGATTGATTGTAGGCATCGATGAAATGAACTATAAACTTGATTAATTATCGAATTATACCGTAGTCGTTGCACTTTTTCGCCGAGCGCGTCGGTGACATCAAAAATCAGCTGAAATGTCTCGATTTGTTGTCAATTTTAATTAAATATCCATCTCGTTTGTCTTCTATTTCTCCTCGTTATGCCGCTTTCTCCTTCGTCTTCTTCTTCTTCCTCCACTTGTTGCCATGCGAGGCCGGCAACATTCCATCGACAGTTTCTTTTCCCAAATTCCGATTTGAATCGTCTTCATAACGCGTCCCGAGGGGAAAATATTTGGAATAATCGAGAATAAAAATGCAATAAATCAAAACGAAAAAAACGCATAGAGGCTGGAAGAAGGAAAAGAAGAATGTTATGATCAGGACTGGTTGGGTGGTTTTTCCTCATCATTTGAACTCAAGAAAAAATGAACCGACGAAACTGGTTTCGAATGGTGTTACTGATGAACATATAGAATGTTATTTTTGAAAATTTACACTTTATTTTATTTTCTCGCTGAATCAATGAACACTGAGATATCGTTTTTTTTTTCATTCTTTTAAAGTTTTAGCGAGTTCACTGATGAAATCTTTTTTCTCTCTCTGAAACCCACCGATTTTTAGATAATATAAAGGAATAGGAAATTTTTAAATTTAAACGATAATTTTTAACGATATGCTTAATAAGGTTTACAATAGTCGTAAAATAATACATTGGGTTGGAGTGAATTTGGTTCACTCTCTGTTTGAGTCACTGTCAGTGATTGAACCATTTGAATTCTCAATGTGGGAACATATTTCGTTTTCAACTTGAAGCAGTTTTCAACAAATGATGTATCAATTGACGTTGGTACCCTCTTCGATAAACCAAAAATCTTGACTATCAGCTGTTTTCCAGCCAACTGCGCTCCTGATCACCAGTTTTGTTCCTCATCTGCTTTTTTTCATGATTCATCCGCCGCGTTTTCTATTTCCGATCGCTTCCCGCCTTTATTTGGTGTTCTCGCCAAGAAATGAGTACTGTAGCGGTGTGACGTCCACGTGGCATTCGGCGACATATCCTATCGAGTGCAACACCAAAAACAACAACAATAATATTAAAAAGAACAACAATGAAAAAAGAAAAGATGAAAGAGAAGATGATAAGATGGCGGGATGTGTTGGCGAGGAGAATGAGAAGAAGAAGAATAAGAAGAAGCAACTCCTCGTCGGTTTTCCACCTCCACGGGAGCTTGAGCAGCTGTCGGCAAGCGGTGGCATCATTCACACCGGTGTCGCGATGCCGACGAAACTCGACATCGTCGGCAATCTCACCGCAACCGCGAGTTTCGACGATGAAGAGCCCGGCGACGTCACCGTGTGCTTCGTTCTACCGTCGCCGTCGAGCTTTACCAAATTGACGATTCTCGACAGTGACGTCGACGAATGTAGGTTTTCGTTCATTCAATCGCTCGCCTCTCGTTTTCTCCTTGTATTTTGTGGGGCGTCAAAATGCTTGCTCGAATCACGATTTAATTTCGTTTTTAATTTACGAAATAGCTCATCACAATATTGTTTGCATTTAGCCGCTTCAAATTCATTTCACGTTTCATTCTATGCCGTTTTCTTGACATTTTCTCGGAAACAGTCGACTACACCAAATTTTTGCATAATACAAATGATAGAATGGTAAAATTAGTTTGCGTTAAATTTATTTAATTTTTCATTAGTGAAAGTTCCATAGAATTTTGGAATTCTGAATTCTCGAAAGATCGAATTGTGCAAAACAAAATGTTTTGTTGGTCGTAATGAGTCAGTGGTCTGCACAACAATTAATTCTCACTTGAGTCCAATCAATCTCGTCCCATTTTTTTCGTCTTTGTCGTTGTCGTTGTGACTCGTCTTCATCATCATCATCATCATCATCATCCACTTTGCGTCGAAACAACTTTCTTTTTTTGTTCAATTTCCATTGCGTTCCTCTCCGATTGCTCGAGTTCTTATTTCTTCGCTTGTTATCTCCTCGAGCTGTTGTCACTCTCAACATGCAGCAGCTCAAGGTGCTTGTTGATGGGTTCAGCGGGCGTAAACGTGCCAGAAGCTTGCTCACAACATGTGCAACGTCAACGAATTGTCGCAAAAGTGCCTTAATGTGCGAAATTTGCACATTCGCGCCTCGTCGATCGCATATGAGGTTTGAGCAGGAATCTGAAATTTGATTCAATATTTTGAGTCGTTTCGAATCTTCAAGAAAGTATGGGATATCGTGTCGAGAACCTTCTAGAGCAATATGAAAATTTGAAAATTTTGCAAATATTTTATGCACGCTTCATGTCTTCCAAAACGCAATTAGGCTCATTTGATGCGTGTGAATCGAAATTCACTCATTCATCATATCAAATGCTCGAGCGTTTGCGCGTTTCCCATCTCTACAATCCAGGTATTCTTGTTTTGGCTATGACGCTGTCTTGCGAAGCTTTCTCCTTTTTGTTTAACCGAATTTTTCGGATTCGAGGTGCCGATTATATGGGTCGAAAAGCGTGGCGGTTGAAGTGCAAACGCCGATTCCCAATTGGGAATTGTTTCTTGCTGAGAGGTGTCATATGAACGATGAGATTTTCGTGACGAGACTCTGGCGTTTCTTTTTTTCGTTCCTTCTGTCTTGAAGATAGATGACGAACATTGTTGGTATCCCTTCTTCGTCTTCCTCTTCATATTCTTGTGTTTGATTCGTAATTGGCCGCAATTCTGCGTGTGTGTGCACTCGGCCATCGGAGGTCTCCAATGGTGTTGATGTCGATTGATTGATGCTTCAGTTTACCTTCTTCCAAAGTGCACTTCGTGCTTCAATTCACTTTCAGCTATGTTAGTTTCTCGTTTTTTGGAGGATTTTATATCAAATGTATGCCAGTATGCAATTTTGAATTTAATATTATTAATAGGAAATTCAATTAATTTTCTTCGTATGTTGGAAGAATTGGATTTTGATTCGAAAATGAAATTTCTTGTGAAATGTTTCGAGGAATTTTTCGTGCCAAAACCGAACCCATTCATTTTATGAACTCAACTGGTTCTTTTGTGAATAAAAAACTTTCGCAACTGCAAAAATACTCGAGAAATATCCAAGTGGGATTTGCAAATGTTCTCGATACTATCATTGATACCAAGGGATTCGGAATTTCACTGCAAGAATTTTGAAGTTGTTTCTTTTTGAACGAGTATACGTGTGTAGTTTGAAATGGAATTTTTGACGGAAATCAAGCTGCAGAGAATTTTTGAAATGATCTTAGCTATTGTCAGCGTCTATCGGCTGAACGAAATTTAAAAAATAATTGGCCATGTGACAATGTGTCTCGGTAGCGAGAAATACGCAAGTTGATCTACGCTGATTTCGTGAATTTGAAATCCCTATTCCTTTCATTCGTTCAAGGTCAAATTACATAATTTCATAATTTCGAAAAATGAAAAAATTTTACTATTGAGAAATTAAAAAAAAAAAGGCATTTTATTATTGAAAAATTCAAGCTTTTCGAATATTTCGTTCATGATTCGAAAATTAACAATTCGAAACCAAACGTGCTCCGATAGATGATATAAGACTAGTTGAAATATTTCAAGCAGCTTCTCATAATTCAAATACAATATTAATAGTATTCACACGGTTTATCTTCTTCTTTGTTCGTTTGCTGGCGAATTGTCTTCGTGAAAATCAAATAATCAATGTTACTTCGTAGAAAATTGGAATTCTTCTGGATTTGGGTCACCGAGTTTATCTAATGATCAGAATTTAATAAAAATTTAACCTCGACTTGCAAGCGACGAAACATTTTTTACAAAAGACCGCAAATCTTTATCAACAAATTTAATGCTCAGTCGATTTCGTAAAAAAAAAATTAACGGCAACGCAAAATTAACGGCTATGCTCTCATAAGATGAGCAAAGCGCATCATTCTGTTTAGTTTTTTTTTCTCATATTTCTCTTCTCATGTTTCAAGTGTTCCTATTGGCGTGTTTCACTGATTCCGTTGTTTTCTAAGTGCTTCGATGCACTGATTTCATTGAAGACCTCAGAAGCCTGACGTCGTCGTCGTTGCCATTGTTCTGAGAAACGTTGCCCAAAAATTATTTGGTGGAGAGAGAGAATATCGAAAAGAAAGTTATCCACTTAAAGCGCGGTGAATCTTCACATACATACATACATAAATAAATTTGTGCATGTGTGCTCCTCTCGACACGCACCTCCTGATAGAAGACGGGAAGAAGTCGGAGTATGACGATGGAGGAGAAGTGAGCACGACGGAGAACGAGCAGCAGCGGAAAAATAGAGAAGATGAAGCTCACAGTGTGTATTTTTTCTCGCTGCCGCCCCCCCCCCTCACCCCTTCTTCTTTTTTCCTCCTAACAAGTCGATTTTGGGGCCGTGCGCATTTTCAGCCGCCCGTTGGTCGTCGTCGCCATCGCCATCGTCGTCGTTGTCGTTGTCTGCGTCTCTAATTCGGTTTCTTTTTTTCGCGATTCGCCGTCGTCGTCGTCGTCGTCGCCATCGTTTAGTGTCCATATTCGCCGTGTTTGATATTCGATGCTCTCCTTGATCTGATAATCGATTATGTCGTCAAGTAGCAACAAAAAAGTGCAAATCAAATTCTGTAAGGATCCACTCGTTGTCGAGCACCTCAATTAATCCATTCGCACCAAACTGTTTTCCGTAATAATTTTTTTGCGGTTGCCAAATTTTATCAGTTGTGATAATTTGTGAAAATCAATTGGATTTTCTGGATAATTAATGCAAGAATAATACAAATGAAAAATAACCTACGTGATGTCATTCATTTCCACCTAGCTATTAATCAGTCACACAGACACAAAAAAATTGAAGAGCATGAGAGGGTTGCCTCTTGTTAATCTCTGAGCGATATATAAGCATTATTAGTATTAGTATTATTATTATTAGTATTCGTTGAAAATTGGAAATCGGGACCACTAAAAAATAAAAGAAAACCCCCGGGGGCGACCATTAATAACAAATCAAAATGTGTCGTTTTTGCAGTCAAAGAATTTCTCGACAAGGCGCGCGAGGACTTCAAACAACGATGGGAGAATCCGGCTCAGGTACGTCTACATTTTTTCATTTTTTTTTTCATTTTGAATTGTGCTGCTTTTACGTGATTTTCAACAAAACTTTTTTTTTCAAATTGAACCTATTGATGCGAACCATATGAATCTCTTTTCTTGAACCATTTTGAACAAGCTTTTCATTACAGCTGGTTGATTATTCTTCGAAATGTATGATTCATAAATGCAGCTGCTGAATAATGTTTTCTAGAAATCAGAGTTTTTTTTTTCGAAAAAAAATTGATTTTAGTTTCTTTGAGTTTTTGTTTTGTGAAATTGTATTCATTTTTCTACAGCTTCTTCATCTTCTTCTTTTTTTTTCTCCTTCCTTTTTTCTTCGAATAATTCCCAAAGCAGTTTTGATGCACAAAATGTTGGCCAAAAAAGAGAAAAAACTCGAAAACGTAGTTAAAATGCGCATAACTTTTTTGTGTGGTTCGATTCTCGACGACACAACCAGAAAAATTTATATTCAAGGTGAAATTTCTTTTTCTTCAGATTTTTTTTTGTAATATGCTGAACTTTGATTCGTAAATTGGCATTTCGCTGATAAATGACTCAAAAATTCGGAGTTTCTATGTGTATTTTTAGAATTTTATTCTAATATTTTCTGATTATTCCCAAACCTGCGTCATTCATAGAGCTTGCAAAATCCGATTTTGCAAAAAGCGATATTCTTTTTTAATTGAAAATGTTCCAAAAATTTCAAATAAGCTTTGATCTTTTCAAAAATCTATTATTTGAGTTTCTTTTTTTTTTTTTTTTGAAAATGCTGTTTAAAGAATGAAGATTATTGTTTCTGGTTGCCTGGACACGTAGAATAGTTTAAATATGAATATATTTCGGTGTAAACTCATTATCTCAAAATGGAGAAGCCTCCTACAATCTTGATGGTTGTTCCGGGTTCGATTTGCAGCAAGATAAAAAAAGGTGAAATTTATTGACCGTTGAATTAACCGGTTGCTTCGATGATCGTAAAATATAAATATTCAATGTGTCTATTTTCGTTTTCTCTCCTTCTTGTTTTATTCCATTCGCTCTTGTTTGCCGGTAATTAAAAAGTGTGGCCGCCTGAGCGTGCTGCAAATGACACTCGGGGCCGTCTTATTCTGTGTAGTTTTTTCTTGGTGTTTCTCGTCTATTTCTGGCGTCGATTCAAGTCAATTAATTGAGGCAAAAAAGACCGTTAAACGAGGATTCGAAACAAGGTCAATGACGTGAACATTGATTATTTCTGGTTTCGAACGAATCGAACCTTGTCTGTTTATTGCAGCTTTCTCACAACATTATGCTTATTTTTTTATATGAGGTGGGCGGGGCGGGGCTCTAAAAAAAACACCACCATAATTTGTTATTGTTGAAAAATTGTTGGCGATTGATTTCATTCTCCACCAAACAATGATCATATATTTCTAAAAATAGGCGGTATCTTATCAACAAAATGCAAAAGATCATTATTTCGTGCGGCTGCGCTGCTAAGGATTTCTAGAATGTCGAGGATTCGGCGTCGGATTGACGAATGCCGCATTGTTACTCCACTCATCGCTGCCTATTCATTCATCCAATACAATTTGCTTTCGTTTTTCCCACAGTCGTCTAATACGAATTGGATGTCGCATAATTGAATTGAATGATTGGAATGTTGATTTGAATTCGAATTAACTTGGGCGTGTTGTGCTGAAAATGTATTCAACAATATTTGCGATGCAATACCTCCTCGTATCGGCGATGAGAGCACTGACTGTCTGGCCGACTGATTGACTGTGCTCTGCTCTGCGAGGCGGCGACTCGAGCACCGCAAATAGATTTGACACTGTTTTCATCGTGCGCCGATTATACTTGGACCGTGTCGACGAGACGGTCACACATTGACATAGACAACACCAAAAGAGCAGACGAAGTTAAAAAATAGGTCAAAACAATAGTTAAAATTGAATAAAATATCATTGAAATGAGAGGATGTTTTTTTTTTAGAAAAAATAAACAAAACGAAAAGATTTTAAATATTTTAATCTATACATAGCCACGGATTAGGACGAAAATTATTCATGTGTGAAATTCTAATCATTTTTGCATTTTCTCAAGTCTTTTCCACTCCATTTACCAAATCCTTTTAATACGTAACGATTGACTGCCAAAAAATAAATATTTAGGTGACCTTGTTTGTTACACGGCAGGCAGATTGTCTCGGCTCTCAATTGGAGCCGCCGAACTGACACTTATGTCAATTTATGAAAAAAAAAACTACATCAGTCCTGGCGGTTTTTTGACCGAAATATGAAATCTATGAATATATCATTTTGATTTGATTGATATTTCGATTTTTTTGATTTACGTGAACTTTCTAAGAGATGGCGTGGAATTTCAGTTCATTTCCACCGTGGGAAGACGATTAGATCTTCGAATAGAACTCGTTTCTCCTGAATTTGTCTACTAGTATATGGAAATATGAGAATGTGATCCCTCTGAACACATGCTATTCGTAGTATTCTAAAAATAGACGGCTTAACTCTATTTGAGTGAGCACAAATCTCTCTGGAAAATAGCTTGATTGATCTCGTCGTGAACATGTGCTATGCAAAAGTGTAATTCTCCGATATTGGTAGCCGTTGGGCTTCTTCGTGTGGACGTCCTTCCACCTGCCATAGTACACATTTATTTCGCTCCCCACACAGTTGTTGGAAGCAACAGCTCAGCTCATCTGCTGCTGATAAAAAATATCATTCAATTTTGCGGCACACACACACACACACATATACACATATATTTCAACAGTCGCCTCATTCTCACTCTCTAACTCGCTCACATTTTCGCTCGGGAGGCAGCGAATCGAGAAGAAGTTTTAGTGGAAGAAGGCGAAGAAACAAAAAACACACACTAAATTGCGGCAGAAAGATGAAAAGCGGCGCGAATAGCGCATTAGAGACGGAGTGATTAGATTGACTAGGCTGGCTGAGGCGGCGCATTGCACACACGGCTGGAGGGCGCAGGCATTTGGCCGGCTAAAAATAGCCGAATTTCGGCGTTGTGTGTGTATGTGTGTGTGTTCGCCTCGACCCTCTCCGAATTGACGGACTGGCCCCACCCCGAAGCCGGCAGATCTCTTCACGTTCTGTACAGTACACCTGGGTCCCAATTTTTGTTATTTATTTTTGTTTTCTTCATTGCTTCCCCAGGCGCATCTTTTGAGCCATGACTATGTCGACGCAGCAGGCGATCGATGATGAATGGCGTCGTCGACTGTCCGAAGCGATCCGACGCGAAGACGCCGCCGAGTATTCCGAGGATTCCGACGAGGAGGACTTCGTACCGCATCCGCTGTGCCGCGCTGCTCCAATGATGTCACCATTGGCTCGAGGCGGTTTTCCATTAACACCGTCGCCGACGCCGTCGACGTCCGCAGCGTCTTCGATTCTGACGAAGAAGCGTCGGAGCTCGTCATCGCCGGAAGAGCAAGGTCGTCGTCGCGAGAAGATGCCCCATCTTGTTCAACCGTTGAACTATCGGCGACAACCGATGACAACCTCGCTGACCACCGATGAAGCCTCGACGAGCAATGGATCGCCACTTGATATTGTGAAGAGCATCGTGAAGCGAAGCGCCTCCGAAAGCCAAGACATCAATCTCTCAGCTGATCTATTCTGGCTCAAATCGCAGATTTCTGATAATTGGGCACTCAAATGGTTCTGGCAGGTTTCAATTTTTTTATTTTTTTTCTCTCCGGTACAAAAAAGCTTATTTCAAAAGTATGCATTTATCATTATCTCCATTTATTTTTCATGCCTACTTGCTCGCTTTATCTACATCCTAGTTCTGAATTCCTAATGATTCGTCGTTTTTCCCTCGTTGACGCTTTTTTTATTAGCCAAATCGTATATGTTGGTGTTTATCACATACACAAATATATTTCTCGATGAAGAGAAAACCAATTATTTTCGAGTTTCTATTTTTGGCGCTCTTCTCTCGTATGCATCTTTTCTTCTCGAAGAGAATTGCCAGATATAAAGAAAATGAGGCATACACACAGAAAAACTAATGTATTCATGAAATTGAACATGTGTTTTTACGCGCTTCTAAAAATAGACTCGTCTAGAGCTCCGAGCTCGACCCTCTATTTCTCTCCGCTTTTTTTGAGCATAAAAAACCAAGTAGGCGAAGACGAAGAAGATGAAGCTGCTCTTTTCTCGATTCCTCTCATTCTCATACTATCCCGCTCTGTTCACCGGCCGAGCGCGCCTCGTGATTTTTTGAGGTACTCGCTTCGACTTTTTTTTTTCCTTCCTTCGTCGTGCCTCCGAGCTTTTGAGCAACTCTGTTTCGCGCAGCACACATAGACTCACACACACACACACACACACATACACACAAAAATGAAGAAGACGAAGAAGACAAATTGAATAGAGTGGGGATATTTGAAAGTTACTCAAACCTCGTGTTTTGAAAATACTTGGCCGCTTCCCCCTTCTTGATTAAGAAACTGATGAGAATTGGGGGAAAGCGAGGAATCAAAAAACGAATAATGTTGGCTCGCATCGCGAATTAGCATAAAGAAGATTAATCGAGCGAATTTTCACCGAATTCCTCTAGCTTATTTAAAATGACGTTTCTACAGTAGGACAAAACAAACAAAATATTTATAACAAGGTTTGGGCCATTTAAGTGCAACTCATCTGATTCATATGAAAATATGTAGATGTGATAATGATTCAATCATGCCAGTATTTTTTTGCTTGTGATGCTTGATCGGCAACGAATGTTTCCAAAAGAAATCAACAGTTGTCTTTGTTCAAGTATACTATTTGAGCTGGTGTGTTGAGTATTCCTCTTCACCCCCGATGGCCTCGCTTCATTCCTGAAACCAGATCCAACACCAGCCCGCTCGAACAAAAAAAAATAACAAATTGCCAATACATAATTGTGTGTATTGTTGAATTCGTCCTTTGCTTTCTCTTCTGCCGCCACCGACGCCGCTGCTGTTACTGCTACTGATGTTGCAGTATGCCGGCCAGCCCACGCATATCAAATCAAAAATACGTGAGATCTTTACAAGTATTAAAATTGAGTCGAAAATGAATCTTTGTTTGTCCATATGTTGTGTGTGTGTGTCCGTTTTTTTTCGAAAAAATCGGACAATTCAATTTTTGGGCAAGAGTGGTGTTGGAATGGTGTATGCGTACATATTTGATGGCAAATATAAACAAATATAAACATTTCCGGTAATCGATTCGATTCGATTCGCTTTTATTACAACAGTGTAAACACTCTAACACTTCGCTACAGTATTGAGTCGAAAATGTGAAAAGTAGTAGGTAATTTGGTTTCGATGGGAGTGGCGGAAAATGTTGATGCAATTATTCGATACCTAACCATTATTCAATTTTGGAGTCAAGCAAAACATAGAATTGAGCATTAAATGGCGCTATAATATCACGATAAATCCACTTGTTTGCCTTGTAGAAATATATATTTATATATTATATATATATATGTCCATATATGTATGCATATGTATGTGAGATTAAGAGGAGGTGAAGCAGTGCGTTTTTAATCGCATCCGTGGCGAATAGTTTAAGCTGCACTCTCTGCTCACCTCGAGCTATGTCGTTGGTGGGTTTCCAGAGTGATATATGTATGCTACTTCTCTATCCCATTCAACATCATCATCATCCAATTTGCGAGCATTGAGAGTTACTCATTCTTGAATCGATTCATTTTATCTACTTTCACTTCTTATGTTGTCGTCGTCGTCCTCATCTGAAGAAATGTCGATGCGCGATGAAACGACATCAGCATCGGCGACGTCGACGAGCTACTCATCAACTACTGATGAGGATGAGTCGACATCGTCGTTTTCTGAAGTTAATAGTCCATTGACGGCGCTAACACCGCAGCCAGAAGTATGAAGTGAAAAAATCTCAAAATACACATTTAAAAAAAGCAGCACAATTCTCATAGAATTCCTCATTCCGTTTCTAATTTTGCTAATTTTCTAGAATACGGCATGTCTCGACGACTTCGATCGAATAAAAACCTTGGGAACCGGCTCGTTTGGTCGAGTAATGCTCGTCAAACACAAACAGTCCGGCAACTACTATGCTATGAAAATTCTTGATAAGCAGAAAGTTTGTCAATTTAGATGTATTGTTGACTAATTATCGGCTCATTCAGGTTGTCAAGCTGAAGCAAGTCGAGCATACGCTTAACGAGAAACGCATCCTGCAGGCGATCGATTTCCCGTTCCTCGTCAACATGCAGTTCTCGTTTAAAGACAATTCCAATTTGTACATGGTTCTCGAATTCATTTCCGGTGGTGAGATGTTTTCGCATTTGCGGCGAATTGGAAGGTGAGACTCGCGTCGGATTCCCATACTGAATAATGCGGGGGACATTTGCTTCTAGATTCTCGGAGCCTCACTCGCGATTCTACGCCGCGCAAATTGTGTTGGCGTTTGAGTACTTGCACTCTCTCGATTTGATCTATCGCGATCTGAAACCCGAAAATCTTCTCATCGATTCTACCGGCTACCTTAAAGTGAGTGAATAATCCGATTTAATCCACACGCAGATTATCTTTTTTACGAAACGCATCATTGGATCTTCTTTTTTTTTCAGATCACTGATTTTGGTTTTGCAAAACGAGTGAAGGGTAGGACGTGGACGTTGTGCGGTACGCCCGAATATCTCGCTCCGGAAATTATTCTCTCCAAGGTTTGTCTATTGCCTCCCCTGATTGGCAATTATCAAACAACAATCCAATTTGTAGGGTTATAATAAAGCTGTTGATTGGTGGGCGCTTGGTGTTTTGATCTACGAAATGGCAGCGGGTTATCCACCATTCTTCGCCGATCAGCCGATTCAAATATATGAGAAAATTGTGTCAGGAAAGGTAATTGCAGAGATTTGTTTTTTTTTTAATTTCAATTGGAATCCCCCACTCGTTTCAGGTCAAATTCCCATCGCACTTCTCGAACGAACTGAAAGACTTGCTGAAAAATCTATTACAAGTCGACCTGACAAAACGCTTCGGAAACCTGAAGAACGGTGTTGCCGACATCAAGAATCACAAATGGTTCGGAAGCACCGACTGGATTGCGATCTATCAGAAAAAGGTGAGCGCCGCATGTGGATTGGGACCGTTTCCGCTATCGTTGAGTTGATGCATGTTCTTCTTCTATAGTGTGTTGTGTGCCTTTCATTTAGATCACACCGCCGTCGTTCTCGAAAGGCGACTCATCAGGCCGTCTGCTGGAAGCATTATACCCGAGAGTCGATGGTCCCGCCGACACGAGGCACTTCGTTGAAGAAGTCACCGAGCCAACGGAGTTTGTCATCGCGGAAGTCTCTCATCACGCCGATCTGTTTGCTGAGTTTTAAAGACGCATGCGAGTCTGCCTGCCCAAACCGCACAATACCTCAACTTCTTCTTAATTTTGGTTTGATTTTCAATATCTTTCTGAAAATTGCCTCTTTCCTTATTCTTCTAAGTTTCGCGATCTTCTTCCCTTTTAACAAAATCCAATCAGTTGACATACAGCATGCGCTTTTAAGTTTGAGTTGAGGTAGTGATTGCGAAAAGAAATGTGCATGTGTCGCGTTTCGAGCGAAGAAAATTGAATGAAAATTTCGAGCAAATTTTTGTTGGGATAGACAGATGAGTAGGATTAGTTGTATCGCACGTTGTTAATAAATTCGGATTACGGTAATGAAAAACACGAGGATTTTCTAAATTTAGACACCTTCAATTATCGCCCGAAAACCTTTTTAGTAGATTAGACAAAGGTTGTTTAATCAGTGGGAGTAAAAAAAACTTTTGACATTTGAGAGTTTAGTAATGTTAAATTAATTATCGGCCATATATGAAGTTTCCTGATATTTTCTTCGACATATTTATTCGATATTTGTAGTTTGTGACTGTGGCGTAATATTGTAGATTTGCTAGAGAAAATGAATACCAAGCATGTCTATTTTCAGTTATTTTGAATGATTATTGCGTATATCACAATGATTAATTTGAATGTTTTAGATCGAAGCTCCATTCCTACCAAAATGCCGCGGGCCCGGCGACGCCTCGAATTTCGACGATTACGAGGAAGAGCCGCTGCGCATCTCGGGCACCGAGAAGTGCGCCAAAGAGTTTGCCGAGTTCTAGCCGCCAGAAACTGACCCCAATTCGATATGTAATGTTCCTCATCATGTCCGGTGACACTTTCCCCAAATTAAAGGAACTTCCTCTCTTTGCCAAGTGAGGTTTCCTCTCATCCCCTCCCCCCTTCCTCACCCTAGTCGTTTAGCGAATAATAAGCGTCTCACTGCTTTATTTGTCTCGTACCTTTAGTAGCCACACTCCCCATAAAACCCCCAAAACAATCTGTTTTCGTTCCTCCAAATTCTTGCCTGCAATTTTTTTCTAGACACAATTGGTGTAATAATTACTAATAATTTCTAATAATTCAAACCATTCAATATTTTTTAAATTGTTTATTTAAATAAATATAATATTCGAAAAGAGGTAGCAACAGAGTAATATCATTTTTGTTCTAGTCATGTTGTTTGATTTTCTTTTCTCTTTTTCACTTCTCCTCCTTCACCCACCCAACCACACCATTCACCCTCACCCGGATTTGCTGAACGCCATAGTCCTTCTTTTTTCTTCTTCTTGAGTTCACTCTGTACAGTTTCGTGCTGCTGCAGCTCTCCCAAACAATTTATGTAGATCAAATACAAAATTGAAAACCCCTCCTTTTTTCTCTATGTCTCTCTCTCTCCCTAAATGTCGAGTATTGCCAATGCCCCATTTTTTCTTTTTTCGATAATTTTTTTGTGTGTACACTACAAATAATTTTAAACTGTCAACAGAATAGCTTTAAAATATAAATTTTTAATAAATAATTCGACTATTAGCACAATTTCAACATGAAGCAAAAATTTTCAGTAGAAAAAGGTAATTTCTTCTGGAAAAATACTTCAAAGTAGTGCTCAAAGAGTTGTATTACAAATAATTTTAAACAAATCTTTTTATTATTATCAGTGTACAGAATTATTATCACGAATCATATATACATAATAATCAGTCGTCGCATTCTGGTTTGTAGATTTTTACAATCATCGGCTGAAAACTCCATATATTGATTCATAACTTTAGAAGAGTCTCACGTCATCGACTATTGGGCCTACAACTGTTGAATTGTCTTCAAAACCTTCCTTGAGGATTGTTTCTGCCGCATCATTCGCGGCTTCTGATTCTGAAACCAGTTTATTTGAAAATTGAATAAGTGTACTAATACGCGAAAAACAGAAAACTTTGCAACTCACAGACTATTTAGAAATTTGAAAAAAAAAGTTTAGCGGGAATTTCAAAATAATTATTGTTGAATTCAAACGAATTGACGAAATTTAAAAAAATGATTGGCTATGTGCCAATGCGTCTCGAGGCAGCGAAAAGTACATGGCATTATAGTGTACGCGCATTTAATATTCAGTCAACGATTAATTTAAATCTACACTGATTTCGCGAATTTGAAGACTCCGCCTCCCTTCAATCGTTTAACGCCGACAATATTTTTATAATTTTTTATACTATTTGATGAATTGAGATTATTACTTGGTATGCACGCTTTCTCGACTTTTTCTTCAGCTTCATCTCCGAGTTGTTTATCAACTTTCGTCATATAAACTCCATTTGAAGCAAGAAATGTGTTCTGTGGTGGATAAATATTCTGAATATCTAAAAGACATTATGATAATATATTAGAAATGCTTTTCCATTAAATTTTACCTTTTATCTCAATTGGGAGTGTTGTTATTAATAAAAAGAGGAAAGCGAAAAGAATATAAGTGGAGTGGTGAAACATTTTGAAGGCGCTGAAAATTAAGAATGAATGAAGATGAACGAAAATCGACTTGTTGAAATTGCGAAAACGGGAGACACACTTGGTTTAATTGATGTAATCAAGCAATAGTGCAGAAAAATGAGAGGCGAAATGAGTCACGAACATCGATCGATTTCGATTTTTTGTTATTGTTGTCGTTGTCGACAACGGATGGCACTTGAGCTCTCAATGTGTAAAAAATCACCAAAAGATCAAGAAAACACGTTTTAAACTACCGCCAAATTCATCACCGCAAACACCGAGAGTGTAATTTTGCGTACGGTGATTCATTTGAATTTCAAAATTGGAAAAGCGATTTTCATTTTTTTTCCGATATTTTTCTAACGTTAAAAAATTATAGTCATTTCTTAAAAAAAATGAAACTAAATAAGAGCGAAATGGAAATTGAAGGTATTTATAATCTAGGATTCGTCATTTTTATGAGTAATCACGAATTCCTGAAGAAACATTTCGTGTACGCCGTTATTTTAATGACTTAACAGTTTGTTGACAACGAAAGTGGGGTATAACGACAAAATTTACGAAATTTGTGTGCGTAGCGAGAAAATTATTGTTCAAGAGTATTTTTCCGGTTATGGAAATCCGGTTTATAGAAGCTAGTTTTAAGTTCCAAAAAAATTCTGGCTGAAAATCGAATATTGTCATTTTTATACCAATTTTATCACATGCAAATATTTCATTCCAATGTTAAATTCTAAAAATCTCACTTCATTAGCAATTCTTTGATACAAAGTTATCGATTATTGTTATTTATTCAAGTGGTGCAATGCGAACAGTTTGACCTCAGCTATTCGGGCCGGCAACAAAGCTCCAGTTTTCATCGCGCTGCCGCGTATCTTATATTTGCACGCTATCTCTGCTTCCTTTTTTTTTTGAAATTCCCTCTTTCGCAATTCGACCAACTTAGTTCATTTTTTATCTTGAAAATTCACCATAAATCATTGTTTTTTTTTAGAAAACATGGATAGTGGTAACGAGACCACCATTATCCAACCTTCTTTAAAATTAGCGGCGGAAGGTGATGTGAAGGATTACATTGTGCAAAATGTGTCGTCGCTTTTCGCTCTGTCAGCCACTGAAGTCGCTGCTCTTGACATGGAATTGCAGAATCATGTGAAATTTCTCGGCGAATTCATTAGCGAAGCCGACAAAAACGTTCTTGTCGTTGATAGAGTCGTTACGAGAGGTAAAAAATATTCAGAATAGGAAGAGAAATGAAATTCGTGAAAGAATAGGTTTCAAACTCTAAAAAACGAAAACTGAAGACATACAGTTTTAGTTTAGAATTGTCAGAATTAATTCAAATGCTTTTTGAAATATTTGACTGAGAAGTTATCAAATGAGCTGGATAAGATAAAAACTGTCAAATTATGAAAAACTGCGATGGTAAACAATTTCGCAATATTTGCTTGGTTGTTTTAGAGCAAGGAGATCAGCAGCAAGGTGCTGAAAGTGGTGAAGAATCTACTGCGACGAGTTTCAATGTTCATGATGGTTTATTTGTGGCGGATCGCGGAATGGCAGCCGTCTTCTTGAAGCACAGAAATGCAATTGAAGGCGATAAGACGATTGCTTCACAAGTTATCACTTTCACGTAAATTAGAGCTGGAAATCAACGAATAAAATCCGAAACATAATTTCAGAATCAACGGCGGAAGTGCATGCGAAATGCTTCATTTGATGATGAGTCGATTCGTGAATCCCTACTTCAAATCATTCATTAACCAATCAGGACGAGGTGAACGCGATGGTGACAAGCTTGCGCCGACTGTTCAAAAGAGTTTCACAGAAGCTGAAGCCGCACTATTGCATTTGCAGCATAATATTGACATTCCTGAAATTAATTTAGTTATTAACCCGCATATTGCGGCTGCTATTGAAAAAGCTTCAAAAGAAGGAAGAAGAGCCAAAGTATTATCCTACATGGCGACAATTTCAATAGTTTTGTTTTCAGATTGAAGATCTTGGAGATTTAGTCGAAGATTCGACGTTTTTGAATTCTCTCCAAGCCGGATGCAACCGTTGGGTGAAGGAAATTCGAAAAGTACGCAACGATTTCGATTTTGCATTCAAAATGATTATTCTAGGTTACCCAATTGGAAAGAGATGCTAGCTCCGGAACTTCTCTCCAGGAAATGACGTTTTGGTTGAATCTTGAACGAGCATTGCAAAAGATTTTACAAAAAAGGGAATCTGAAGAGGTAATTATTCTATATTCTGAATGTGTAATAATCGAACGCTTCAGGTTACATTAACCCTTGAAGCCCTAAAATGCGGAAAACGATTCCATGCGACTGTCGGATTTGACAGTGACACGGGTCTCAAACAGAAATTGGCAGTTGTTGCCGATTACAACACTTTGATGAAAGATTTTCCATTGAATGAGCTGGTTTCTGCCGCCGATGTTCCAAAACTCCAGCAGGCGATTCTAGGAATTTTTGTACATTTGAAGAAGCTCAGATCGACGAAATACCCGCTTCAACGAGCTCTTCGACTTGTCGAGGCGATTTCGAGAGATTTGAACTCGCAGCTTCTCAAAGTGCTCTCATCACTTCGCCTCATGCACATTCCGATTGGCGAATTCAATGAGATCATGTCGCAATGCTCAGCATTGTTCGGAAAATGGGATGACGAATACGATAAATTCATTGCATTGCTTCGTGATATAAACAAGAAGAAGCGTGATGATCCAGCGAAATTATCGTGGAAGGTGAATGCGGTGCACAAAAGACTTGAGCAGCGTCTTACTCAAATCGCGCAATTCAGAAAGTTGGGATAGTTTTAAATCACTGCGAAGAGAAAAATGAATTTCAGGCAACACGAACAATTCCGAACTGTGATTGAACGTGTTTTACGACCAGTTGGAACTCCATCGTCACGAATTAAGGATGACTTCTTAATGAGCGAGTCGATGGACAACGAAAAATCTCCTGATGAGCAGGTCGATATTGCCTATGAACACCTGAAGAATGTCGAATTCCTTGATGTTGATAGCAATGCCTGGGAGCTCGCTTATCGCAAATACGAGGATCAGATTGGTATCGTCGAAACTGCGATCACAAGCCATTTGAAGTGTCAACTGGAATCGTCAAAGAACTCGAATGAAATGTTCTCAATCTTCAGTCGATATAATGCTTTATTCATTCGTCCACGTATTCGTGGTGCCATTTATGAATATCAAACAAGACTTATCAATCGTGTCAAGGACGACATCAATCAGCTGCAGGTTTGAATATTCTATGCTCACAATTTTATTTTCAACGATAATTTTTTAAAGGAAAGATTCACAAAAGCGCGTGGAGAGAAGCGCGTTAAAATCATGCAGACGAGCGGAATTCCACCGTTCTCAGCCAAAATAATTTGGATCAAACAATTCGAGCGTCAACTTCAGCTCTATATGAAGCGTGTTGAGGATGTTCTTGGAAAACAATGGGAAAATCATGTTGATGGGCGTCAACTTAAAGCTGACGGCGATAATTTCAAGGCGAAACTCAACACTCAACCAATGTTCGACGAATGGGTAGAAAAAGTGCAGGCACAAAACTATCAGTTGCCGTCGAAAATTATGTTGGTTGAAAGAGTCCAGGTCGATGGAAAAGTGAAGCTTCAATTGAAGGTCAACTATCATCCAGACAGTTTCATGCTTTACAAAGAGGTTCGTTTAATTTTTTTTTCAAATTTTTTTTATATTATTTTTCTTTCTAGGTCACCCATTTGAAATTGATGGGATTCCGTGTTCCTTTGAGAATAGTGAACGCTACTCATCAAGCTTATCAAATGTACCCATCAGCAACAGCTCTCATTGAAGCCATCCGAACGTTTGACGCCGTTAACTCTGCTCTTGCTTCCGTTAAGGGTGTTGATTCGTTGTTGGCTAGCTATAAGAAAGATATACAACAACAATTGCTAGAAGGTAATCAGTCATCGGAATTTATATTTTTTTAATGAATATCATTTGTTCATTCTAGGTGCTGCACTGACATGGGATTCATACAAGATTGAACAATATCAATTGCGCCTCACTGAAACAGTTAATGCATACCAAGAACGCGAAGAAGAATTGTTGAATGTTGTGAGGAAGTTGAATGCAGACATGAATGCACTCAAGACTTGCCATTACGATCATGCGACGTTCGAGAATTTGCTCAGCTCTATTCAGAAGGGCGTTGATCAGCTTTCGCTTGGAAACTATTCGAATCTGACACAGTGGGTGAACAAATTGGATAAGGATGTGAGATTCAAAGTTAATTAATACTTTAATTAATTTTCCATTTAGATTGAAACGATTCTTGCTGTTCGCGTTGAAGAAGCTATTCGAATTTGGACACTAGTCTTCTCAAAGTCCGAGGAAGTCGAGGAGCTTCGCGAACGTCAAATCGCACTTCCACAGGTCAAAAGTGTTGTTGTTGAGCTCTGTATGACTGCGCAGACCTTGTACATCAGCCCTAGTTCGCAAGACACTCGCGAAAAGATTTTGGAACAGTTCTATTATTGGCTAAGCATGTGTACTGCACAACGTCGAATAACCGGAAATCGATTCCAGGTAGGAATTCAATAAAAGAAGATACGAAATAGTCTTTTTCAGATGGGAATGAATGATGTCGCCGAACCAGAAACGTACAAGAACGTTTTGAATTTGATGCCTGATGGACTGAATTCGCTCAACAAGGCTTATGATTGTGTGACTGGTATCATGTCGGACATGGAAGAATACCTTGCTGAATGGCTCAACTACCAATCACTTTGGATTTTGCAAGCTGAACAATTGTTTGAGATGCTCGGAACGAACCTCTCGAAATGGATTAAAACTCTCATGGAGTTGCGAAAAGGAAGGCTTGTGTTCGACACTCTGGTAAGCTTAAATTGAACATGCGCTGCTATATCAAATTCGTATTTGAAGGAAACGCGTAAAGCAATCTTCCCAGTTGTTATCGAATATGGCAAAGTCCAATCGAAGATTTTGTTCAAATATGACTGTTGGCACAAAGAAATGCTTGTCAAATTCGGATCTGTTGTAGGTAAGTATTTTATTATTTTTTTTCTAGTAGTGTGCAACTAATCATTAATTCGCAGCTGAGGAAATGCAAAAGTTCTACAACTGCGTCAGCAAGTGGCGCAACACCTTGGAAACGCAATCAGTTGATGGCGGTTCGACATCAGACACAATTGGGCTCATCTCGTTCGTACAATCGCTGAAGAAACAAACAAAGATTGGACAAGAAGCTGTAAAAAATTATAATTTTTTTCTCTTAAATATTGTCTAATTTAAAGGTTGACCTCTACATTTCGTCTCAAAGATTGTTGAATCAGCAACGCTATCAATTCCCTTCGAACTGGCTTTATTCGGAAAATGTTGCCGGTGAATGGTCGGCGTTTGTCGAGATACTTGGTCTTCGCGATGCTTCCATTCAAACACAGGTAAATGATATCAGACAAGATATCTCAACTCATTCTTTAAATTTTCAGATGGCTAACTTGCAAAGCAAATTCGCACAAGAAGATGAACTTGTCGAGAAAAGAACATTGGAGACGTTGACAGAATGGAACAAGAACAAACCAGTTGAAGGTTCTCAGAGGCCACAAGACGCGATGAATGTGATAATGGCATTCGAGGCGAAATTGAATAAGTTGACAGAGGAGAGAAACAAGATGCGCAAAGCTCGTGTTGCTTTGGATCTTTCCGACAGTGCCCATGCTCCATCAGAGCGTGACAAGCTTTCCGTGGCCGCTGAAGAATTGGCTGATATGAAAGAAGTGTGGAAGGCTTTGCAGCCAGTTTATGCTGGAATCGACGAGGCGAAAGAGAAGGCTTGGTTGTCTGTGCAGCCGAGGAAGATTCGACAATCTTTGGATGAGCTTATGAATCAATTGAAGCAGCTTCCTGTTAAATGCCGTACTTACAAGAGCTACGAACACGTGAAAGAGATGCTTCACACTTATGGAAAGATGAATATGCTTGTTGCCGAATTGAAGTCTGAAGCGTTGAAAGAGCGACATTGGAATCAAATGATGAAAGAGATGCGTGTCAACTGGAATCTGTCGGATTTGACACTTGGACAAGTCTGGGATGCTGACATTCTTCGTCACGAGAACACAATTAAAAAGATTTTACTTGTCGCCCAAGGAGAAATGGCTTTGGAGGAGTTTTTGAGAGAAATGCGCGAATACTGGCAATCCTACGAGGTCGAACTTGTCAATTATCAGAATAAGACTCGATTGATCAAAGGATGGGACGATCTCTTCAACAAACTTAAGGAACATCAGAACTCATTGTCAGCGATGAAGCTGTCACCGTACTACAAACAATTCGAAGAGAGCGCACAATCATGGGATGAGAAATTAAACAAGATCAATGCGATGTTCGATGTATGGATTGATGTTCAACGTAGATGGGTGTATCTCGAAGGATTGTTCTCGGGATCGGCAGAAATCGCAACACTGCTTCCATTCGAAAGCTCCCGTTTCGCCACGATCACTTCCGATGTTCTGGCTTTGATGAAAAAAGTCGCAGCTTCGCCAAGAATTCTTGATGTCGTCAACATGCAAGGAGCTCAACGTCTACTTGAGCGTCTCGCTGACATGCTTGCGAAGATCCAGAAAGCTCTCGGAGAATATTTGGAACGTGAACGGTCATCTTTCCCGCGTTTCTACTTTGTCGGAGACGAAGATTTGCTGGAAATCATGGGAAATAGCAAAGACATCACGAGAATTCAGAAGCATTTGAAGAAAATGTTTGCTGGAATCACTGCAATCGATATCAACGAAGAGGATAGAACGGTTTTAAATTAAATCAGATAATTATGCAATTAATGTAATTTTTTTCAAGATTACTGCATTCCACAGTCGGGAAGGTGAAAAGGTTGATTTGGTGAAGGTCGTGGCAACAAAGGATGTTCGCATCAACGATTGGCTCCAGGCTCTTGAATCCGAAATGAAGCATTCTTTGGCTCGACAGCTGGCTTCTTCATTGGCCCATTTCTCGAAAATGGACGTTGAAACGATAACACCAGACTCCTACATTGAATGGTTGGACAAATATCCGGTAAATAAATAGAAAAAAGTACACTATTAAAACAATTATTTTTAGACACAAGTCATAACGTTGACTGCAGAGATCTGGTGGTGCGACGAAATGGAGAAGACGTTGGCCGATGGAAAAGGCGCGGAAAACGTCGAGAAATCGGTATCGAAGACATTGGAGCTGTTGGCAGACAGTGTTCTTCGTGAGCAACCACCAATCAGACGAAAGAAGATGGAGGCGTTGATCACTGAGCTCGTTCACAAACGCGATACCTGCAGAAAATTGTTGGCGATGAAAATTCGAGCTGCGAATGACTTTGGATGGTTGCAATGCATGCGCTTCTACTTTGATCCCAAACAGGTGTTATAGCTCTAAATATTCTCTTATATCGATATTTTGTTTTTAGGTCGATCCAGTGCGATGTTGTGTTGTGAAAATGGCGAATGCTCAATTCTACTATGGCTTCGAATATCTCGGAATTCAAGAAAGACTTGTTCGCACACCACTTACCGATCGTTGCTATTTGACTATGACTCAAGCTTTGCACTCGCGTCTCGGAGGATCGCCCTTCGGACCGGCTGGTACCGGTAAGACTGAATCTGTGAAGGCGCTTGGACACCAGCTCGGACGATTCGTACTTGTTTTCAATTGTGACGAAACATTTGACTTCCAAGCCATGGGACGTATCCTTGTTGGATTGTGCCAGGTCGGCGCTTGGGGATGCTTCGATGAATTTAATCGTCTCGAAGAACGTATGCTGTCAGCTGTCTCGCAACAAATTCAGACGATCCAAGAAGCAGTTCGTGCCGGAGGAGATATGAGCGTTGATTTGGTGGGAAAACGACTAAATGTCAACCAGAACATCGGAATCTTCATAACAATGAATCCTGGATACTCTGGACGTTCAAACCTTCCGGACAATCTCAAACAATTGTTCAGAAGTTTGGCGATGACTCAACCCGACCGTCAACTCATTGCTCAAGTCATGCTCTTCTCACAAGGATTCCGAACAGCCGAAACATTGGCTAACAAGATTGTTCCGCTCTTTATTCTTTGCAAAGAGCAGCTTTCCGCCCAATGTCACTACGATTTCGGTCTTCGTGCATTAAAATATGTGCTGGTTTCGGCTGGAAACATCAAACGTGACAAACTCGACAAAGTAGGATCTGCTGCTCTCGAAGACATCGCAGAACAACAAATGCTCATCCAATCGGTGTGCGAGACATTGGTTCCAAAACTCGTCAATGAAGATATCGCTTTGTTGTTCTCACTCCTCTCTGATGTCTTCCCAGGAATTCACTACACACCAAACCAAATGGCAGAGTATGATTCTAATTGAAACAATTATATACAATTGCGTTTCCATTTTTAGACTTCGCCAACAAATCGCTTCAGTTTGCGACGAACATCTTTTGGTTTATTCCGACATGCAAGGCGAGATGGGATCAATGTGGCTTGATAAGGTGCTCCAGCTCTACCAAATCACCAATCTTAATCATGGATTGATGCTGGTTGGATCAAGTGGAAGCGGAAAGACGATGGCATGGAAAGTGTTATTGAAGGTGAAAAATAAATCGTCATGGAAAAATATTCATCAAAATTTAGGCTCTTGAAAAATGGGAAAACATTGAAGGTGTTTCACATGTGATTGATGCTAAAGCTATGAGCAAAGATTCGCTTTATGGTGTGATGGATCCGAATACAAGAGAATGGACCGATGGATTATTCACGTCGATTATTAGAAAGTACATTAACCTTTCAGTGTTTTAATTAATTCCACAAAATAAAATTTGAAGGATCATAGATAATGTTCGTGGAGAGGCCGATCGTAGACAATGGATCATCTTTGATGGAGATGTTGATCCGGAATGGGTTGAAAACTTGAATTCAGTTCTCGATGACAACAAACTTCTCACTTTGCCGAACGGAGAGCGTTTGTCGATTCCGCCGAACGTTCGCATTATCTTTGAGGCATATTTAATCATTCCTCGAAAAAAAAACTAACTACAAATTTAAAGGTTGCTGATTTACAATACGCTACGCTTGCTACTGTTTCACGTTGTGGAATGGTTTGGTTCAGCGAAGAAGTCGTCACATCGGAGATGTTGTTCGAGCGCTACTTGGCCATGGTTAGACGAGTTCCATTGGATTCGGAAACTGCCGTCAGCTTCTCTTCCTCAAATGCACCAGTCAATTTGATAGCCGAAGATGCCAAGCCAACCAGGACGATTGAAATTCAACGTGCTGCTGCTTCAGCTATTCAAACTCACTTCTCTCCTGGTATTGGGTATTCAAGATTTCAAGGGCAAATTAGGAATTTCAGATGGATTGGTTCCGGCTGCTCTCAAGTATGCTGTCACGGAACTCGAACATATTATGCCACCAACACCGCAACGTCTTCTTTCTTCGTTCTTCGCAATGATGTCATACTCCATTCGCAAGATGATTTCTCACGATGAAGGTCTTATCGACGATTCGGTGGAACCAGAGCAGATTCAAAATTACATGCTTCGGTCCATGCTCACCAATATGGTTTGGGCATTCAGTGGTGACGGAAAATGGAAATCTCGTGAGATGATGAGCGCATTTATTCGCCAGACGACCACGATTTCGCTTCCACCGAACAACCAAGCATGTTTGATCGACTATGAAGTTCAACTCGATGGAGAATGGCAACCGTGGCTCTCGAAGGTGCCAACTATGGAAATTGAATGTAAGAACTCACATCGAAATAAAGGGTTCATTTGATAATTATGTTTAGCTCATCGCGTTGCTGCTGCGGATCTTGTCGTTCCAACCATCGACACAGTTCGTCACGAAATGCTTCTTGCTGCTTGGCTTGCTGAGCACAAGCCATTAGTGCTTTGCGGTCCACCCGGATCCGGTAAGACAATGACTTTGTTGGCTGCGCTTCGCTCGCAAAATGAAATGGATGTGGTTAATGTCAACTTCTCATCATCAACAACTCCTGAACTTCTTCTCCGAACATTTGATCATTATTGCGAATATAGGTAGGAAATCTAAACTGAAATTTAAATATACTCTCTTCATTGTTAGACGTACTCCAAACGGAGTTGTTTTGGCACCAGTCCAAATGTCGCAGTGGCTTGTCATCTTCTGTGATGAGATCAACTTGCCGTCTCCTGACAAATATGGAACGCAGCGAGTGATCAGCTTCCTTCGTCAACTTGTTGAATTGGTAAATTCACGTGTGATTATTTTATTCTTGAATAATTATCATTAAGAACGGATTCTATCGCACATCTGATCATAGCTGGGTGACGTTAGAGCGAATTCAATTCGTTGGTGCATGCAACCCTCCGACCGATCCAGGACGTCATCCGATGACTTCAAGATTCCTCCGTCACGTTCCAATTGTGTACGTCGACTATCCAGGACAGACTTCGTTGGTGCAGATCTACGGAACATTCAATCGTGCTATGCTCAAGATGACACCTGCTGTGAGATCACTTGCCGACCAATTGACCGGTGCAATGGTGGATGTCTACTTGGCAAGTCAGGAACACTTCACACAAGACGATCAACCACACTACGTCTATTCTCCTCGTGAGTTGACTAGATGGGTGCGAGGAATCAGTGAAGCGATCACACCACTTGAATCGCTCACAGCGGAACAGCTTGTTCGACTATGGGCTCATGAAGCCATCAGATTGTTCCAAGATCGATTGGTTACTGAAGAAGAGCGTTTGTGGACTGATAAGCTTGTTGATTCAACCGCGGAGAAATATTTTGGAAACGCGTGCCGTTTGGAAGACGCCCTCCAACGACCACTGCTCTACTCATGCTGGATGTCGAAGAACTACGTTCCTGTCAGCCGGGAAGAACTTCAAGAATACGTTTCTGCTCGTCTCAAAGGATTTTACGAAGAAGAGCTTGACGTCAAACTCGTTTTGTTCGATCAAATGCTTGATCATGTGTTGAGAATCGACAGAATCTATCGACAATCACAAGGTCATTTGCTTCTCATTGGAACTGCTGGTGCTGGAAAAACGACACTGTCAAGATTTGTTGCTTGGCTGAACGGATTGAGTGTCTTCCAAGTACGCGATTTATGGTTTCTTGCCTCACATTTTCTTTTTTTTTCAGCTTAAAGTTCACTCGAAGTACACTGCTGCTGATTTTGATGAAGACATGCGAACCGTTTTGCGTCGCGCAGGTTGTCGCAACGAAAAGCTCTGTTTCATTATGGATGAGTCGAACATGTTGGACACTGGATTCCTCGAGAGATTGAACACCCTCTTGGCGAACGGTGAAGTTCCTGGATTATTCGAAGGTTCAGTTTTGAAAATCGTTTTGATTATTGTGGGCAAATGTTTTAGGAGATGAGCATACCACGCTGATGACTCAAATCAAGGAAGGAGCTCAACGTCAAGGTCTGATTCTGGATAGTCACGACGAATTGTATAAATGGTTCACGCAACAAGTAATGCGAAACCTTCACGTCGTTTTCACTATGAATCCATCTGGAAGTGGATTACGTGAACGAGCTTCAACTTCGCCAGCTTTGTTCAATCGTTGCGTTCTCAATTGGTTCGGAGACTGGTCTGATAATGCGCTTTACCAGGTCGGATCTGAGCTTACAAGAACTATGGATATGGATCGCACTGATTACGAAGGATCTGTACGAATGGTTCCGTCATGTGAACTTGTTCCAAAAGAGCCCACTTATCGCGATGCCGTTGTTAACACGTTGGTGTTGGCCCACAAGACGGTTAAGAAGTTCAATGAAGTCGAACAGAAGAAGGGACATCGTGTGATGGCTGTTACGCCGCGGCACTTCCTTGACTTCATCGAACAGTTTATGACGTTGTTCCATGAGAAACGATCCGATTTGGAAGAAGAAAAGATTCACTTGAACATTGGATTGAACAAGATCAGTGAAACTGAGGAGCAAGTCAAGGAATTACAGAAGAGTTTGCACTTGAAGAGCAAGGAGCTTGAGGAGAAGAAAGAAGCAGCCAATTTGAAATTGAAGGAGATGTTGGCCGATCAGCAAAAGGCCGAAGAAGAGAAACGTCTTTCTGAACAATTGCAGAAGGAACTTGCTGAACAACTCTCGCAGATGGCTACGAAGAAGACTGTTGTGGAAAGCGATTTGGCACAAGTCGAACCAGCAGTCGCTGAAGCTCAGACAGCGGTTCAAGGAATCAAGAAGAACCAATTGGTTGAGGTCAAGTCGATGTCAAGTCCGCCGGTTGTTGTGAAACTCACTTTGGAAGCAATCTGCATTTTGTTGGGAGAGAACGTTGGAACCGATTGGAAGGCGATTCGTCAAGTTATGATGAAGGAAGATTTCATGTCGAGAATCCTGCAGTTTGATACCGAAAGCATAACGCCGTCTATTCTTAAGGAAATGGAGAAGTACATTCAGAATCCGGATTGGGAATTCGAAAAAGTCAATCGTGCCTCTGTTGCTTGTGGACCTATGGTGAAATGGGCTCGCGCTCAACTTCTCTATTCGACAATGCTTCACAAGGTCGAACCATTGCGAAATGAATTGAAGCGCCTTGAGAAAGAAGCTGCAAAGAAGACTGAAGAAGGAAAAGTGGTTGATGTCAGAATAACGGAGCTTGAAGGGAAGATTGCCAAATACAAAGAAGAATACGCTCAGCTTATCGGACAGGCCGAAAAGATCAAACAGGATTTGTCATCGGTGCAGGAGAAGGTCAATCGTTCCACAGAACTTCTGTCTTCGCTCAGATCAGAGAGAGATCGTTGGTCGAGTGGAAGTGCCGGATTCTCGCAACAAATGGATTCGCTTGTTGGAGATGCTCTTATGTCAGCAGCATTCCTTGCTTACGCTGGATACTATGATCAAATGGTAAGCATTTGAAATGCGTAATACATATATTAAACAAAACTGATTTAGCTTCGTGATGAGATCTTCCACAAATGGTTCAGCCACGTGTGCGATGCTGGAGTTCACTTCAGGCACGATCTTGCTAGAATTGAATACCTTTCGACAGTCGATGATCGTCTACAATGGCAACTCAATTCACTTCCAGTTGACGATTTGTGCACTGAGAATGCGATTATGCTCCACAGGTTCAACCGCTATCCGTTGATTATCGACCCATCTGGACAAGCCATCGAATATATCATGAAGCAATTCGCCGACAAGAACATCCAGAAGACTTCGTTCCTTGATGAATCATTCAGGTTTATTATTCGTTTGGTATTTCTATATTTTTTATTTTCTTCAGAAAAAATTTGGAATCTGCTCTTCGATTCGGAAACGCTCTTCTCGTACAAGATGTTGAAGCCTACGATCCTATTTTGAATCCAGTACTTAATCGGGAGGTTAAGAGAGCTGGTGGGCGTGTTTTGATCACTATTGGAGACCAGGATATCGATTTGTCGCCATCGTTCCAGATCTTCATGATTACTCGAGATTCAACGGTAACATGATGTTAATATTTTTTAAATAAAATATAATTTTATAGGTTGAATTCTCTCCGGATATTTGCTCTCGTGTGACATTCGTCAACTTCACAGTTACCTCGTCTTCGTTGGCTAGTCAATGTCTCAACCAAGTTCTTCGCAGCGAACGGCCAGATGTTGACAAGAAGAGAAGTGACTTACTCAAACTTCAGGTATGGAATTTATTCGAAATTTTTTATATTTATTTAAAAAAATTTTAAGGGAGAATTTGCGGTTCGGCTTCGCCATCTTGAAAAGGCGTTGTTGGCTGCATTGAACGAGAGCAAAGGAAAAATTTTGGATGATAACTCGGTCATTGAGACACTTGAAAAACTTAAAACAGAAGCTGCTGAAGTGAGTTACTGTAAATAGTTAAAAGAATGCGACAATTTTATTCAAGGTTGCCCAAAAATCGGCGGAAACCGACAAAGTTATGGCCGAAGTGGATGCAGTTTCTGCTCAATACCAGAGACTCGCCAATGCTTGTTCGCACATCTACCACACATTGCAACAGCTCAACGAAATTCACTTCCTTTACCACTATTCTCTCGACTTTCTTGTCGAAATCTTCACTTATGTTCTCAAGTCGCCCGAATTGGCTCAAATCAGTGATTATGCCAAACGGTTGCGCATTATTACCGCCAACCTATTCCAGGTAAATCCATTCCGCAATTACCATTTTACCCATTTGTTTAAGACTGTGTACCGAAGAGTATCTCGTGGAATGCTTCACACTGATAAGGTTCTTCTCGCCTTATTGCTCATGAGAATTCACATTCGATCGAATCCAGCGCATCCAGCGTACGAGCAACATTTCGATGTCCTCCTTGGTAGAAGTGATTTAGTAGCCAAGAGTGGTAAGCGATTTCTCAAATTGTCAAAATTGCAACAATCGAATTTCAGATGAAGCTGAAGCTGTCATTCCAACCGGAATCGATTTCATTCCTGTCGAGAACCAGAAGGCTTTGAACAAACTGCGAAAGGTCGATGGATTCGAGAATGTATTTGGACTTGTGAAGAATCTCGAAGCTCAAATTGTACCATGGATGAATAATGACAATCCGGAGTCGAATGTTCCAGTTCTTTGGTCAGATTCTGAAGGAAAATTGAGTAAGTCGATCGTTAAATTTTTAAATAATTTAAATGTTTAGCGCCCCTCTGCATTTCAATGAACGAACTTCTTGTCATTCACGCTCTTCGTCCCGATCGTCTTTTGGCTTCTGCTCATCGTGTCGTTTCCGCCGCATTCGATGACAACTTCATGCAACAAGACAAAGTTGTCGACATTCTGTCCATTGTTGACGGAGAGGTGTCACCATCGGAACCAGTTCTTCTGTGCTCTGCTACTGGTTACGACGCATCTGGAAGGATTGAGGATCTTGCTGTTGAGACAAATCGCCAGATCACTTCCATTGCTATTGGATCTGCTGAAGGATTCAGTCAGGCTGATTCGGCTCTTGGAACCGCTACAAAATCTGGAAGATGGGTGCTTCTCAAGAACGTCCACTTGGCGCCATCTTGGTTGGCACAGCTTGAGAAACGATTGCATTCCATGAAACCTCATGCTCAATTCCGTCTCTTCCTGACTGCCGAGATTCATCCGAAATTACCATCGTCGATTCTTCGCGCTTCTCGTGTTGTGGTCTTCGAACCAGCTACTGGTCTCAAGGCGAATTTGCTCAGATCGCTCTCATCGATTCCAGCGCAAAGACTTACGAAAGCACCAATGGAAAGAAGTCGATTGTATCTTTTGGTTTGCTGGCTCCATGCTCTTGTCCAAGAAAGATTACGGTAATTAACACATATTTATATTTATTTTTTCTTGATAAAATGCTTGCAGCTACACTCCGCTTGGATGGTCGACTGCGTATGAATTCTCCGATGCTGATCTTCGTGTTGCTTGCGACACACTGGACGCAGCTGTTGACGCAGTTGCTCAAGGACGTCCAAATGTTGAACCGGAACGACTACCATGGACAACACTTCGAACTCTTTTGAGTCAATGCATCTATGGTGGAAAGATTGACAATCAATTTGATCAAGTACACTCTATTATCGAATTATCTTTATGGTTAAAATTTTAGGTTCTTCTTGACTGCGTTCTTACGAACTTGTTCACATCGAAGAGTTTCGAGCAGAATCATGTGCTCATCGCAAAATATGACGGCGACACGCCGCTGTACACTCCAAACATGTCGAAGAAGGACCAAATGGTTGGTTGGGTCGAGGAATTGAAGAATGAACAACTTCCTGCTTGGCTCGGTTTACCAAACAATGCTGAGAAGGTGTTGCTAACAAAACGCGGAGAATCGATGCTCCGTAACATGCTCAAGGTGACCGACGAAGAATTGGCATTCAGCCAAGACGGAGAAGAAGCAGCAAAACCACAATGGATGGCTCAATTGGGCGAACTCGCTAAACAATGGTTGCATTTGTTGCCAAAGGAAATTCAGAAGATGAGAAGAACTGTTGAGAACATCAAGGATCCGTTGTTCAGATTCTTCGAGAGAGAAGTAAGTTAACGACTTTAAAAGCACCGAAGTAAATTTCTTCTTGAATTTAGGTGAATTTGGGAGCTCAATTATTGAAAGATATTCGTCGTGATTTGAATGAGATCAGTGCTGTTTGTCGTGGTGAACAGAAGCAGAACAACGAGACTCGTGCGCTCGCTGCAAGTCTTCAGAAGGCTGAAGTTCCAGCTGGATGGAAGAGATACACTGTGCCACGAGATGTTACTGTTATGGACTGGATGATGGATTTGAATGAGAGAATCAAGCAATTGATCCGAATTTCTACTTCTGATAACATGAAGGTTCGAATTGAGCAATTTGCTCTTAATATTCAGTTTGTTTCAGAAAGAAATTATTTGGCTCGGAGGAACATTCTCACCGGAAGCGTATGTGACAGCCACTCGCCAACAGGTTGCTCAAGCGAACACTTGGTCTTTGGAGCAGCTAAACTTGCATATTCATATTGGAAAAACTGACAATACCGATGTATTCAGAATTTCGGGTATTTGATATCTCGAAGTTGAACGTATCAAATTCGGATTTCTCTTAGGCATTGATATTCGTGGTGCTAAATCGACAAATGGAAATCATTTGGAATTGTGCGAATCGGTGAAGAGTTCGTGCGATTGCGTCGAATTTAGCTGGAAACAGGTAAACCTTGGAAATTTGCGCACTCATTTGATTTTTTGATGTTTTGCAGGAATCGGCCGATGGAACCCGTCTGCCACTCTACCTGTACGGAGATCGCCGTCAACTCATCTCGCCGCTCGCGTTCCAAGTTTCATCGGCTACCGTATTCTACCAGCGAGGTGTCGCCCTGGTGGCCAACTCGTCGCTCTAGAGTTTTATTTATTTTCCCATAATTATCGTAATCTATTTATTTTTAATTTATTTACTTCTCGCTTTCTTGTTAATAGTTTTCGATTGCCCCCTTAAAATTTCGCTTATAATATTTTATGTACATGCAATGAATTGATCCGAATTGAAAAAGGCCGATGAAAACGGCGATACGCATCTCATCGACACGCACACACACACCCAACGAATACACCCACTATTTTGAGTTTACAGGAAAATGTCTTCCAAATCCAACGCGAAAAATAATTTTAAAGTGAGTTTTGAATTTGTATAATATTATTATCAATAAAATGGTAAAATAAGGTCTTCCAGTTTTCGGTTCCAATTTATTATTTAATACGATTTTTAATTTTTTACCCTGGTTATTCGGAACCGATAACTAAATGCTTGTCAAAGTTCAAAATTGAAGTTTTGAATTGTAAAATGGTTAATTCGATCAATTTTGCATTCTAGGCGAATAGTAAATTAATTGACTGTCTCATTTTTATTGTATCGAATCAATAAATCATTTTTATTTGCTTGTTTCAGTATGACACAATTTATTACTTCGCTCTTCATCTTGCATCGGCTTTTATGCTCTCTGCTGCTCACAATGTGCTCTACTTCGTGCTCGACATCAAACTGTTTGTCACCAGCTTCCTTCAATACTTGTTTACATTTTTATTCCTTCATCTACTAAAATTTGCAAATTTTGTTCCAATTGTTCAAATTCCAAAAATGGTAAGCATTTTAAAAAGAAAACTGGCATCGCACCAATTTGCAGCAATTATTTTATGCGGCTGGCGCAAAATTTGTCGAAACAATTTTGGCGGCTTTTGCGAATTCGCACAATCGAACCGGCGAATTGTATTTAGTTCGGCAAGTTTCTTCGTTTTTTTTTCTTTGTTTCTCGAAATTAATTGCCGTGTTTCAGAGTTTTTGACTTCTTCTTCACTTTTTCAATTGTTTTCTACCACACGTTTCGAGCAAAACATGGAGTTCCAATGAAACCAGAAAGCTTCTTAATTGTATCTGATCATTGCAAATATGTACAATTTATGAGAATTATTCATTCAGATCCCACTCGGCCTGTTCGTTTCAATCAGCTGGCTGGAACCCGGCCAATTGGAATACAGTGCAATTTCAGCGATTGCTGCCTTCCTTCTTCCATTCGCTCGAGCGGCATCTTTGATTCTTCTCAAAAACGCATTCGAATCGACCGGAAAAGGTTGGAATCGATGAAATTTCGAAATATAAATATAAAATTGAGTTCATCTAAACGCATTCTGTTTGGAGTACACCCGCTATGTGTGCGCATTTCTCGCAATCCCAGCCCTTTTTTCCTATTTGGGCAGCTCCGTTGAAGTGACGGCCAGTTGGGAATCCATCGACTACGTAAGTGGCGTTTCTTATTTCAAAACGAATCTCCATTTTAGGTCCTCATGTATCTGTCATTCTTATACATGATTTGCAATCAATACAGTGATTTGTGGTTGAGTCTAAGTCTCAACTCGAATTCCTACGTCACATTGGACAACACGAAATACCTCCTCGCTTCTGTATTATCAATAATTCCAGTCTATATCTTATATATTTCTCTATTTCAGTGCGCGCAATGGATCATCCAGAACATGGCTCACCCAAACATACTGGCATTCGGAGCAAAATTCGTCGCATTTTCTTGCTTATTCAGAATTTGGACAAGATTCAATTGATTTATTGCATTTAAGTCTGTGAGTATCATAGAAAGTGTGAATTTCATCAAAATCATAATAAACCGGCAATTCAATTAAAATATGTCTTGTACAATTTGTTTGGTGTTTGGATCATAGGTGAAATGGTTCGACGTGAACAAATCGCACGTATAAAACGGCTTAACATTTTCAATTCGCAATTGCTGAGCCTGAAATTAGTAAGAATTTAGAACAATTCGAATGTGATGAACTTGCCTTCTCAATAAAATCGTTCTCAGAAATTGCAATAGTCGACAAATCTCCTCCTTTAACACTTCTGTAGTGCATTTGTTCACGAATAAGTTGTTTGAGAACGAAAAGAAGAAGCTCATTGGATGTGCGATTTTCGGTGAGATGTCTCGAGAATGTCTTACGCATTTGGCGCATAATCGACGCCTTCTGCGTGTTGACAAACGATTCGAGCATAATGCGGATCGCCGCGGAGCAGTCGTCATCATTCACATAACTAATAGAAATGGATATTTCGAGATACAAACATTTAACATACGATCTAAGATGAAGCTTGGCGTGTGCTTCAGACAAACGAATCATGGATTCAACATGTCTGACAGTAATTGCGACCGATCCAGTAGCCATACTCTCTTTTCTCATCATTGCAAAAATGGTCGAGAACTTTTCAGTGCACTGAGAATTCAATGTCGGATGGCACTTCTCACGAGAGTAGATGATGTATTTGCGTAAAAGATCCTGCGGAATGAGCCTGACTCCAGTTCTCTCATCAACAGCTTCTTCCTCTCCACCAACTCCTTCATCTTCTTCATCGTCCTTCGCATTATCTGGATGATGTTTGACGTGATTTCCGACCACAAACTTGGCGAGTCTCTCGTCTTCGATACTGTCGACAGTGTCGCGAATAACGCAGAGAACGTCAAAACGCGACAAGATTGGCTCGGTAAGATCAACGTTTTCAGCGAAAGTTCTCGTCGGGTTATATCGGCCACCAATCGGATTCGCAGCGGCAATAACCGTACATCTAGCATGAAGCGAGGTTACAATTCCAGCTTTGGAAATGGAAATCGATTGTTGTTCCATGGCTTCGTGGATAGAAGTACGATCTTGATCAGACATTTTGTCAAACTCATCAATCAAGCAAACTCCTTTATCGGCAAGCACCTGTAAAAATTCGACAATAAAACAATTGAAGTTTTTCTTTTACCATTGCTCCTGCTTCAAGAGTCCATTCCCTTGTAACCGGATGTCTCTGGACATAGGCAGTAAGACCGACGGCAGAGGCTCCTTGACCAGTGGTGAGAACAGCACGTGGAGCAATATGCGCAGCATAACGCAGAAACTGCGACTTGGCAGTTCCTGGATCTCCGCACAACAAAACATTGATATCTCCACGAAGACGATGCTTCTCTCCTGGATTCTTGGCTTCCCCACGGAACAAAGCAAGAGCAATTGCTCGTTTAACATCATCGTGTCCATAAATGGACGGAGCAATGGATGCGAAAATGCGTGATGCGATGTTTGGGTCCTTTGAAAGCTCACGAATGGCCTAAAAGATCTAGTATTATTTTGGAAGTTTCCCCTAGCAACCTTAATATCCTCATCAGTCAATTGATCAGAGGCCATTTTGTCCTTGTTCATAATATGATTCGCATGAATAATTGTGTTGAACACTGGAAATCCTTGTTTATAATTCAACGATCCATCGAAATTATTCGTGTAGATTCCAGTAACCTCCTGAAACCACCAAATCATTGATTATAAATTAATATTTAAAAAAAACCAACAATTTCATCTCCGGGCTTACAGGAATCGCACAAATCTCCGAGAAGTATAACGTCCTTCGATCTAGGCAATCGTCCAGCAGCTACCTTATTTGGAGACTCTTGCATAGTAATTCGTTGATAATTGTGATAAACCGTCTAGTAGAAATCATAAGTTAGATTGACAACAAAACCGGATTTCCCCTACATTCTCCACGTTCAATTCAAATGGTCCCTTTCCTTGGCAAGATGGGCAAATTGTTGGTTTCACTTCCTGATCGTCATGTTGAACAAATGGTCCAAGAAGATAACCGCAAGCAACACAGTCATACTTAACGACGGCCAATTGGGGAAGAATTCCTAAAAACAAATAATTAATGAAAACATTGAAGAATTCCTAGAGAGAAGAACGAGAAAAGATACCACTAGCAATGGTGACAACTCCGCTAGTACGAATTAGCATGTTGAGATGAACTTGACGAAGCATTCTGATATCTTCCTCGACCGGCAAATGCGCGATTCTGACCTTGATCTCAGCACAAACTCTCGAATAGAATGGATACATGCTCATGACAACATCGGTAGCAGCGCGATCCATGATTTGGAGCATCTAAATTGTTGAATTCGCATCAGACACTCTATCAAAATTTGTGATTAAAATGCCTTATCACGATTCTTTTTTCTATTCCCTCAATATTGAAGTCGGCATTTAAAACCACGACGACTAGTGAAAAATGAGGGATTTGTGATAAGGTATATCTGATTAAAAACGTTCGTTACCTGAACTGGAGCTTCAGGAAGGAAGTACGAGATGTTCTGTTCGCCAGCTTCGTCACTCAAGTCAGTGAAGCTAACCTATAACACTTATATTTAAACATCCAATTCTGATTCCCTTCAATACTTCCAAAGATTCCTTGTTGTCGGCTGCCATAGCCTTGATGGCATGGATGTATTTGACTTGATTCGTCGCAGGATCTTTGAACGAGCGCAAGAAATTTTTAAATCGTCGCTCGATTTCTTTAGCAACAGCTTCATCAGAAACGTGATCGCGAATCGATCGACCACGGATGTTTTCAAGAATGTCAATGGGAAATTCCTCGTCTTCCATTGGAACTTCCTCGTCATCTTTGCGTTCTCTTCGCTGACCACGACGTCCACGACGACCCGGCTGAGCCTCGCTATCACCTTCTTCGTAGAGAAGAGCATCGTCATCAAGCATTTGATCGCGCTGCGCCATTTCACGCTCGGCAGCACGACGCGCATCGATTGAGAGACTTCCGAGGTCTGATGCATCATCCATTCCGGATTCGGAGTAAACATCGAGCTCCGGTTGCTCACGATAATCGCTAAACAATTAGGAAATTAATAACTTCTAAAATATTCTAATAAGTACCGCTCCATATCGTCTCCGAACAAATTCTCTCCGTCCTCCTCCTCTGGATCATCAACCTCGTTGTTGAACATTTCATCAATGGCGTCGAGTTCCTCGTCGTCATCAACCATTGCAGGCTGAAGTGGATCATCGTTAGTAGCTAAATTTATTTATAATATTATGATTTATTTGGTTAATTTACCGTTATCAGAATCTCCTCTTCCGGACATTTTTAGTTAGTATTAGCTGAAAGTAGTCATTTTCGTTATTCTGCTTAGATATTTCGAGAAAATCATTTTTATTATATAAATATGCTTACGGAACAAAATGAACACATTAAAAAGCTAATGAAACTTAAAAGATGAAGCTTAAAATAATGAGAGAGTTGCGAATAAGCGAAATATCAAATTCAAACGATTCGATTTCCCGCACTTGGCGCTCATCTCATTCGCAATAGAGCGCAGTATACACACACAAAGAAATTCAGCCACGGCCATATTTCGATTTGCGAAAAATATTTTCCGTAAAATTTTTGCGTAAGAGAATGGAGCAATTAGTAGAAGAAGATCCATATGCAGCTGTCATTTTAAGACCATTCATTGAACAATATTGTGCATTTTGTATGAAGAAAATAAATACAGATGGAAACGTTAGAATGACGTAAATAAATATAGATATTTTTAAGATTTCATTCTATATTTTCAGATGTGATTATTGCATTGAAGTTTGCTATTGTTCAGCAAGATGCCAGCGGAAAGATTGGCAATCAGCACACAAGTATGAATGTGAAATTCTTCGAGCACAAAGTGAGGAGAGAATGTTAACGCCTATGATGAGATTGTGCATTCGAATTTTAATTCGAAGGATGTCCGACGCAACAGAACAAAAAGCATTTAACGGATCGACGTTTTTAGACCTTGAAACAAGTTTGTATGCAATCAAATGGTTTGATATTACTTTCATTTTTAGATTATGAATATTACCGTTCGGACGAGAAATACAATCAATTTCTTTGTAATCTTTTGGCAATTATACGTACTACTGGTCATGGTAATCTTATCATATTAGAACTGACATGTTATTAATGTTTAGGAGTGTTGAAAAACGAAAATTTGAGACAAATCGAAACAGAAGAAATAATCGCGATTATTTGTGCAACCCTTTGCAATACATTCAGCATAACAGACGAATTTCGTGGAGAATCGATTGGATGTGGTTTATATTTAGGGTAGTTTTTGAATATAATTGCTTAATTATTCAATTTTTGTTTAGATTAGCGAAACATGATCATGCCTGCTCATCAACCAGTTTTGTTATTTTTAATGGAGGCAAAGCTATTTTAAGAGCTCCTACCGGCACAAAATACAGTACAAGGGTATTATTTATTAAAGTATCGAATGTTAAATGATAATTTAGATTACAATATCGTATGTTTCTCGAATGCTTCCCACATTCAAGAGACAAGAAGAAATAAGTAAAGTGCACTTTTTCACGTGTCGTTGTGATTTGTGCAACGACAACATGAAAGTAGTCTTGAAAATCAATTGTTCAACGCCAATAATATCAATTCAGGATGCAATCGGACTCGCGCGTGTTTGTCCCGATCGCGCATGCTCCGGCTATTGCAAATCCTCCGAGTTTTTCTCAGAAGAGTGTGTGGTTTGTGGGAAATTTCCCACAATTAGCGTGGATGAAGCAATCGAAGCAACCTCATCTCTCATTGATGAGCTAGAAAATATTCATAAAACTATCGAAGACGAAGATGTTCCAAACTATTTGAAAAGTCTTCGAAAGGAATACGAAAAAATCTTAGGGCCACCTAATTTGAGTTTATTGATGCTCGATGAAGCAATCGCATTCCGCACAGGAAAGGACGACACCAACGGATTTGAATATATTATGTGAGGATTGCCTCTTTAAACATTTAATAAACTCAGATTTCAGTGAGAGATTGGGAATTGGAGCTCCGGAAACATCTCGAAGACTTTTTATAAGTTGCAAAGCTCGAAAAGATGATGACAAACTTAGAACCCTTGTAAGCAACTTTTAAGATTTTTTTCGTATGTTAACGTTTTCAGGCAATCAAATCATGCAAACTGAGTCATGGAGAATCGCATCCATTAACCGTAGGAATCATTTAATTTCATTGGGACACAAATAAATAAATTATTAATGTCTTCATAATTCTTCAAACTTTTCAATCCATTTCGTGCGAATTTCTTCATCGATTTTCTGAAAATGAGGTGTTTGACTATTTAAAAAATTTTCTTACAGTAGAACTTTTCAAAAATTCAATGGCATAGTTGCATTTCGAGTGCACCGCGCGAAATTCGTCGTAAATCAATGCGAGTTCCTGAGAAGAAAAATAATGTAGAAATTGTACTGTATTATGTGTACCTTTTGAAGATATTCAGAATTTCCGGAAATTGCGTCAAGCCGAGTTATTTGCTTGGCAACGAAATTCATGCTTTTGTTGGCGACAGGTTTATACATCAAATTCGGAAGTTTTGCAGGATTCTCATTCACCTTTAAACAACAAAAAATGTCGAAGTTTTAAAACGCGATTATACATACAGAGTCAACAGTAACATAGTCGAGCAGCGTTTTCCATTTGTCGAAATGATCCGCTGGAAATCGAACCAACGCTAATCCAATTTCGGACTCTTCAAAATTCCTACACATCGAAATTCCTTTTAGTCGAACTCACCGGTTTCCATTGTATAAGGGACAATAAGACCGTAATCCAAACGATTGGGATCAATGAGACATTCGCAAAACATTGTGCTGACTGGCTTCGATTCAATCAAATACGTGGCCAACATGCTGAATGCATCTTGATTCCTTTTCGAGTCCTTCGAGAGATTGTTCTCCTCGTCAAACGAGAATCGAATGAAATTGTCTCGATCCATTGGAATTTGAGAGAAACCGATTCGATCAAGCTCAAGTTCCGGCAAAACTCCGACACAATTAATCATTTGATAGTTGGTTGAGTCTGATCCATTTTCAGAAATATTGCTTAACTGAAATTTTTCTCAGAGCAATTGTATTAATTGCATTATTCTGCATACTTTAATTGGGAATTGAAAATTTCCCAGAATCAGATTCGTCTTCGTTACAACAACTTTTCGATTATCCGCGTATCTTTCGTTTAACATGTCGGACACAGCGATGACATTTCGAAAAGAGAGCCTGTAAAATTTCGAATTGACGATTTTACAAATTAATGCTAATTCTACAAGAAATGAATATCGTAGTTATTCGTTTCAGCGAATTTCGCACAAATATTTTCAGCGATCAATTTCTCGTCGTGAAGCTGAACCAAATCACCAATCACGTATACTGTAACTGTCACATTCTCGTCATTAAGCGAAGCATATTGAGACCATTCCTGAAAAAATCAAATGAATTTATTGAAAAAAAAACAGACGTGACATTTTCAGAAGAATTATCAAATGAAAATAATATCAGTTCCCAACTCCGAAGAAATTCAAAATCGATTTGAAACGAACAAAAAATGAGTCGAAATGCAAAAAGTGGCAACAAAAGCAAAATGGGCGAAGCGACAATGAAGCGACGAAAATTGTCGGCGATGTCGAATAAAGGATCCCCGGCGGTAAGAAAAAGCTTCTGCGGTTCAAATAAAATCCGGATTTTCAAAGACAAATGATGGAGATACCCCGGAAGAGCTTATTGCCCATTTTACAACAATACCAAATAAAAAGAATTTGTACGACGCGCTTAGCGGACACGCAAGAATAGTTGCCGATGGATTTCTTAAAAATATTGTGAGCATAATTTCAAAATTTATATGACTTAATTTCGATTCCTAGGATAAAAACATTCGTCTTCCCGTGCCGATTCCCGAAAAAAGACGAGTGAAGTTAGATAAAGTCATCTCATGTGGAATTGATATTAATTTAAATCAATGTGATCATTTTAGGATGAAGATTATATTCCTGCACAGTATGTGAAGCTCGAAAACTCTGAATATGTGCTAGTGCAGGCTCCAAGCAAGGCCAACCAACGTGAGCTGTGGCGTCTTGTCTGGCAGGATCAGATAAAAGTGATGATTTGTCTTTGCACTGAGGAACAAATGTCAGCAAGTGATGATGCCAAATGCTTCCCTTATTTTCCTAATGAAGCAAATCAAACAAAAGAAATCGAGGTTGGTGTGTGGTTCACAACTCAGCTACTCAAAATTCAATTCGGACAGACTAAAAAAGGAAAACTTGTGGTAACGTGTAAAGCGAAAGAATCAACGAGTTGCATGTATCACAAATATGAATTAGAAGTGACAATGACAGAAGCTGAGGGGACATCAGAAGAAAAGAAACCTGATGAGGAATTATCAGGAAGTGTCGCTGGCAAAGTGCTTCCGATCACATTATTCCATATGTACGGCTGGCCGCAGAAGCCAGAAAATTCGAAGGATCCGTTCGACATGTCGCATAATGTCGCATTATTGTGTAAAGAAGTTTTTAAAGCGGAAATGAATGTGCTCCGAAAGAGCATGGAAAACTTTGTGCCACCGGTTTTGATACAATCAATGGATGCTATTGGGCGGTTCGAAAACACGTTTACAAATATTCATATTTTTTTTTATTTAGATCTGCGGTTCTTTGGGTTTGTTTAATGCTCTACAAAGACGTAGAAAAACGCGAATGTTTCGATGTTCCTGAACTTATCAAAAAAGTTCAGAAAATGCGACCCGGCTCACTTTCTACATACCACAGCTTTTGTTTCACATTCGCCGTTTCATTGTGGATTGGAAAAGAAGCTAATTGGATGTCGGATAGTGTAAAATCATGCAGAATAATTTTTCCTACTTTTCCTAATTTAGGAATGCTCATCTAAACTTGGAGAGTTAACCAAAGGATATTTGGACAGAAAGTTAAATGAACAAGGCGTTCCAATCATTTGAAAATTATACCGATTTGACAAATAGTTCGGTGTCAATGAATAAATGAATATCCTTCTTGAAAACCTCCTTTGAAATAATTGATTTTCTTAACTGAAAAGCATGGAGGTTGGTGCTGTTAGAGAATTCATTAAAAAATACTTCTTTGAGCCCAATTTCAAGGTCAGCTTCACCTGTCGACTTGAACTGCTTTCCCAAAGCAAGAATGCTTAAAATGCCATCATTTTTTTATTATATTTATTTCGTCTACCTCGCATTGATTGCTTCATTCCTCGCCGCAAGAGATCCCGAAACAACTTCTGTGGTTTCTAAAGAATCCGAAAATTTTATCTTAATGCATTAATTATATTTGTATATATATGTTGCACAAATTAATACCACAGAAACTTCAATTTCGTCAAAATTTTCTAAATTTGAAACAGCGGTTGCAATTAAATCACTGCAAATTGACCATCGGGTAGGAAATTCTGAAAAAAAAACTTTTTAATTTCAATCAAAATTAAAGCTGCAATACCTGTCGAATATCGAAATCTGCTTGCTTTATTATTGTTATTATTATTATCATAATTTTCGAGAACCACTTCATCTTTTTCGTCATATTCAATTGGCGGTGGGAATCTGTTAGAATGTTATTTTAAAAACATGACACAAATACTTACAAATTTCTCATCGAAGAACTTAGTGAAACACAAAAAGAGACAATCTCCTTGCTCATATTTCTAAAAAATTCTGGAGAAATTAAGAAGTCGTCAATTTAAAAAAAATTCGAAATTCAAATTGAAAATATTTAAATGCTTAATGCAACTATAGTAATGTGTCTTTGCGCGAAAGCGTAATAATATTGTATGTGCCTTGAAACCTACTGTAATTTTCTAGTCTTCCGTCACCACACGTTTCCAAAGTCCGTTATACAACTTGTTCCTTTATTTATTTATTAACAGTTCGATTCATAAAATTAAGATTTTTATGTATTTACATTATCATTTTATTTCGATCAGTAATAAACGCTTCATTCAAACAAAACTGCACAAATAAAAAATAAATTTCGAAAATAATCAATAATGGGGATATAATTTTAGCAATAAAAATACATGTTACATAAATAGTGTTAATCGATGATGGATCCGCTCGACATTGCATGCTAAAGACACCCGAAAATGTGTTGAATGGATTAATCTAGTCCATTTGTTTATCAACTTTGTTGTAGAAGAATAAATATCCACCTTCAGAGGCCCTCCGTAACACATGCGCTTCAGAAACCTGAAGCATAAGATTGTTAAACGATTGAGATATAAATATTCAAAATTAGAACCTCCATAATATCGTCATCTGAGCAACAAAGCCAAGTATTCACCGCCTTATCCATAATGTACGCCACGTAATGTCCTGAATTATTTGTTTTTTTTTATTATTTAATTTATCTTAAATATATAATTTCAATTTACCGCTATGAAGAGATGATCCTCTATGGCAAACTACGGATGCCAGAATATAAACCGGTGCTCCGTTCGCTTTTTCCCAATCAACGACGGCTTCCTAAATAATAAATAAAATTGGAGGTGTCGCGATACTGCGAAATATTTATCAAGTGCCAAACAAATTTAGGGAATGGTCTCGGTGCGAGGTGTGTGCCTTTAACTTATCCTTATGCTTAGCTTGTAAATCTACACTTCTAGTTTGCTACCAGGCCGCTGTCATAGTTACGTTTGGCATTTAGCCAATTTTCTGCAGTCGAGCGACGCCGACAAGGCAACCTTTTTTCTATACACAAAAGAAACTTTATATTTACTTTAACTCTATTGTTTTCGTTGTAGGAACCGGTGAATCTTGTCGATCTCGCGTTTCTTGAATTCGCTGAAGATCCCATTTCAACATTTCGGTCGATAGGCGAGACTTTCTTTGATTTCGGCATATCATCGTCCTCATTGCTGTTTTGTGGTGTACTGCGCTTGGCTCTAAGCGTTTGCAATTTTTAAAAATCGATAAAAACGATCAATACCTCCTAGATGAAAGCGAAAATTCGAATGATAGTACCGGATCATAATGAACGCCTTGTTTGTTGTTCAAATATATCGATTGTTCTGGTTTCTTAAATCCTGAAAATAAAATCAAGCGTATCAAGAACGAAAGTCCGGCTTCTCATACGTTTTTCCGGTGATTCGCTCGTCTGCGGATTGAAATGAACCCAACGATCTTCAACAAATGTTGAAATCTATAGAATAAATTGAAAATATGTATTCAGAAAACAGAAAATCTTACATTGATATTCAGAAATGTGCACATTGATTGAATAACAACTTCGTCAACCCATTCAGCATTTTCCTTGGATCTTCAATCAAATGTGTATTCAATCTGTTTATTTCGAAACTCACTTTCTAACAAATGCTTCAAACGAATACGTTTTATGAACGAGTGCCTCGAATAATTTTCGATTGGCTTCCAAGAATTCGACATTCTGTCACGAATTTCTCTTTTTTTTTAAAGAATGTGACAATTATTTAGCTCACATATTTTCTAAACTTAAAATGATGTATTTCTGAACCCGTCATCCACCATGATATCGAACGATAAAAACAGTTTCCGTCGCCTTCAACGTGCCTCGTTCGAACAGGCCTTTCCGTCGATTCAACTAGAGTAATTCCAGAGGGTGGAAATATCTCAAAATGCCGTCTAAACAATCAATTTGAATTATTAAAGGAAACAAAAAATCTCACTCTAATTCATTGTCAGGTACCGTAATTTTCATAAATTTCAGCCTTGCTTGAATTTCAGAGACATCTGATAATGGTTTGAATGGGAAAGGAGAAGCTCTCTATAAAAATTTCAAGAAACGAAATAATAATAATATAGAAAAGGAACAACCTTTTCATGTATAATCTCGAGTTCTCCAGATTCGTGGTCAGTCTTTTTCGAATTCGCAGAAAACGGATCTTCATTATCTGAACCTCCCAACATTTTGCAACTATTCTGAAATCTAACACTTTCTTTCACAACGAAATAATATAATAACTCTTGATTGATTGAAATCCGTTGCAAGCGGTTCTTCATTGATCGTCGAGCTCGAAGTGTTGACTTCGAGATCAACTTCAACCTCAGGATCATCAGGATTCATGAATTCAGGAAGCTCTGCAGATTTCGAAGAAGTACACTCGCGCTCATACAATGGTTTATCCGGAGATTCGGGTTTCTCAGCACTAAACAAATAATTTTAAATTAAATTTAAAAAAAAAAATCAAATACGGTTCTATTAGGATATTCTGTGGTTCTTTTTTGAAGTCGCTCAACTCATTGCAATATAAAATCGACGGAACATCAATGACATCTCCGCTCTTTTGCATGAACGCGTTCTTCGACATTTCGTATCTTTTAAGGGTCACGATAAGGGTTCTAAAACATCATTCAAGTCTTTCAAATAAATAAATAAAATGTTTTACTGTGGAAAACCGCTCATCCTGTCTGCAATCGTGCAACCCTTCATTTCGCATTTTTCGCATTTTATGTCGCTTTCATAATTGCACGGAAAATTGTCAGTAATTATACTTTGAAGACTTTGATCGGCTCTAAAAATTCGTAAAATATTATTCACTCTAATAGATTCGTGAGAACTCATTTGTGAAAACATATATATTTATTTGAATATATTTAAGTAAAAACCATTTCTCTCATAGCACCCAGAACGAGACAAGGGCCACAAGTAGAAGACGGCCTAGCTGGCATCGAACTTATGAAATTGAAATTAAAACATACTTGATAGAAACAATCAGATCTGGCGAATAACTCGGTTTGCGAACCCGCGATTCCCCACAGTGAAGGCAAGTAATTCTAGAACAAAAGTCATAAAAAAACATTAAAATTAATTACTTGGTTTCATTTGCAACGGTGAATGTTTTTGTTGGATTTGCGAATGCACTACCACCCGTTTCTTTCTAAATATTATTGTTATTATTTTTTATTTATATGTTTATATTATTTAAACCTTTTCAATTTCATTGCATTGATTGGAAAATGTTTCGAAGGCGTCCAAGAGAACATATAAAAATTCATGAGCATCCTTTGATAGAAATGTTTAAAATTTAAATAAAATTTCAGGAAAACCTGCTGATCACACGTCGCCATTGCCGGATTGAGAGCACCAAACTTTTCACGCACAGATTCTAAAGTATCGAGGGAAACCGTTTCCAAGTTTTGAGATGCGAGCTCGTTGAAGTCATTTTTGATCGAGAACAAAATTTTCGATGAGTAATGTCTGCAATAACTTCTCAATTCTTCAATTTTTTTAGTTTCACATTTCTCTAAATAATAGCCTAAAACTTACACGGCTTTAGCAAGTTTATTGAAGGATTCACTTTCATTACATCTCGCTTTCGTCTCGTTCTTCATCGACGCAAATGCGTATTGAAAAGATTGACGGACCCGAGCCATAAATGGCTCGCTCGTTGATAATCCTTGAAATATTGCATTCATGTAACAGGAATTTCCGATGTTTAATAGTCTGCAAAAAAATACGATTTTCTTCAATGTTTCGAATTTCAACACAAACTTTCTATGTGGATGGGCATCGGTGAGAACTGGTGGTGTTTCCGGCTCCGGATAAATACACCGTGTATTCAATCGTACAGTGCTAAACGTAATTATTCACATAAAAATATTTCTTAATTGATCATAAATTACCCATAATATTCTTTGTTTTCATCGACTTTGATTCTCAGTGGCCGATTTTCATCGACATTTTCCCATGTTTCAACCGACAATTCGTTAAGACTTCTTAACAATTTTTTTTGATTTTGTGAAAAATCGTTAAAATTTTACTCTATTTCATTCGGTTTATTCTCGGGGAGTAATGGAGGTGATTCGATGGAATTAATGACAGTAGTCTCTTCAATGCTATCACTACAAATTTTACATTTTTAAGCTAAAAAAAACCAAAAATAAATATTTCAAAAAAATTACTATTCAATGAATTTCCTCTCTTTCGGCGGAATCGGTTGAATATCATTTCGTGGACGAAGCGGCATTGAAATTCTTGATAGCATATCCATCGGTTTGTCAAAACTCAATTCTTCCTTGCGATTTCTGATATGGTAATTGTACTTTTTTTGTTGAGAATTGAACATACTCCGTCGAAATCCCATTTGGAACGAGGTTGTTCAAATGATCTGCTGAAATCGCCAGTCTCGAAGATGTGTTTTGCACATGGGACTGTCTAAAAAACAAAATTAAGTATAGGCGGCGTCCGGCGACTGCTGTACTCTGGTAACTCAAAACCAATCGGATCCAACAAAATTCGGCCAATCGAACCAGCAAAAATCAAGCTTATCCGATTGGTAATTTTACGGATAAGATTGGTTATTTGTCGAATCCGATTCGAATTGAAATATTAAAACAAAACGGATTCGAATAATTACCAATCGGATTCGAAGAAAATCTAATCGGATCCGACAAATTACCAATCGGATTCGAAAATTCCCAAAAAACCAATGGATCCGGCAATTTTCCAATCCTATCCGTAGAACTTCCAATCGGATAAGGTTGATTCCGGAGTCGAATTTTGTCGGATTCAATTGGTTTTGAGTTACCAGAGTACGCGGGTAGATTTACGCGCAAGCGCCTTGAAAAGGTCTCGCCACATGTGAACGCTTCTTTCGCTGTTTTCACGTGAACTGTTAGTTTTTTCTCGATGAGTTTCGCATATAATTAAATTTCCAACGCTATTGGATTAAAAAATTATCGATCCGGTCCATAAATTTTGAAATAACCTGTTAGTCCGTGCGAGACAAAGTGAAAGACGCATCCCCCGTAAATCTACCATATAATTTTAAAGAATTATGATAAAATGGTTACCTTTGCGAGATTCTTGGTGATGTAGACCGGGACAATTTCTGGAAATTAAACAATTGCAATCATTTTTAAATGTTTCTTTACCGGAGTGTTTCTGGATGAAATCAATCCACAAACTTTTGGCTCTGAAGACTTCTTCTCTGAAATCATTTAAATCTCAAACAAATCATAGTCCAATCAAAACTTGGTTTAGGGAATTTATCCATCAGCCCGTTGAGCAGAGTACAAGCCGTAATAATATCAGGAGCTTTCTGTTGATCGAAATTCATTTTTATAGTTAATCCACTGTCGCCACTGGAATAATTATTCTTAAACAATAATGCTCTCATCAAAGTTACCTATTGCATGTTTTATCACAATTTAATGTTATACAGCTTCCTTTTGGTAATAATTTTTTATGAACAAAATTCATAATATCGTAGTCGTACTGAAAATTTATTGAATTGTCATGAACTCGCCGATTTTGATAACAATTAATTAAATGCTTTTGAAAGCAAGATTTTTGGAGCCTCAAACCGGCAGGTAGTGAAATTTGTTCGGAAAAAATAACTGATTTGTCATACCGTTGAAGTTTGGCGATTGTTTAAAGAAAAATGTCCTGTTGCCATATCCACATTGAGAGCAACGTTATTTATGGTAACGCACCCCTTTGCTCTTACCAGACAAACTGAATTAATAAGAATTGAACCTTCCATCTGCGAAATTAACCATTATTCGCTTGATAATTATATACCAATATAACCATGAGGATTTGAGACTCATTCGATGAAAACTCGAATAAAACCACCAGACTAACATTTATTTTGGTAAAATGCCGTAAAAATGAATAAAATACTATTTGACACAATTTTGAGGCAAATATGATTCATGTCAGATCAATTTCTTCTTTCACATTCATTTTTTCGGTTAACATTCGCTGCATAAAACATCGAAATTGTTCATCGAATTGTCCGAAACTCGGGTATGATTTGAGCTGCGTCCGGATCCATTTCGAGACTTTTGCAGAAGCAGCACCGCCCGTTTTATTGCCGACTTGGCGTTCGAGTCTTTCGTCGATAAGCAATAAAGCACCCCAATCATTTTTATGACGAAGGCATCTAAAAATGGACAGTCACTAACGCTCATAAATTATTATTCGAAACCTTCCGAGAGCTTGATTCAAGGCTCGATATGCCTGCGTTACGTACCATTCTTCACCGTTCAGAATACCCAGTTTTTTACTATTTTCATCGTTGTATACTCGTTTAGCATTCACCTAAAAAAAGGAAAATAAAGATAAAATCATAACTTCTTACCAACTCATCCATTGAACTCGGGAATGGAATACCCACAGAAATCACAACTCGCGCGCGATCATCAGCGAAATCAATTCCCTCGGAAACCTAAACAAAATTTGAATTATAAATGAAACACCGAGATGGTGAAAATACTTTTCCACGAAATACAGCAAACATCAAAGCACCGTTAACATTCGGCCCGATGAGATGAGGCTCGAAAATTGCTTCATCGAATTGGGCCATGACACTTGCTAATTCAGAAGATCTACGAGGTTCAAACAAAACAAGCTGAAAACGCATTTTCTGAAAACTTGAAAAATTTTTTTTTACCTTTTTGTTTTCGATTTGTTGCATGTATGAAGAGGTTTCCAGTTTAGTTTTTAACAAGTCCAAAACTCGATAACTTGGGAGAAAGCAAAGGATCCCTGCGGGAACATTCACACAAACATAACTAAATAAACCTAATCTCATTTTTAAACCATTAATATTTAATATATGTATATTTATTCTTACGTGATAATCGAGCTAAGTTCTTTGTAGAATATTGAATCTCCATTTGCTGTGTTTCTGTAGGTGCATTGTATTCGAGACCCAGAAGGACCCTAAAATATTTACCTCATTAATTTATTTGAAATCAAAGAAATTCAGTCTAAAATAAATTATCGACTTCAAAAATCTATCGTAGTCAATTTTTTTCCGCAATCACGCATTCACCAGGACGCAATATTGCACAGTTTTGCAAATAATTTCGAAATTTTCTCGGAAAGATTTGTTTAAATTTAAGACATTTCCTCAATTGAGAAGTGTGCTATTGAAGGAAATTTTAAAAGAAATAAGAATATTTAAGAAATAAAAAAACTATATCAAACAATTTTAATTTTCATTATTTAATATGACAATTCTGCAATTGAAATCTCTTTTCAAAAATTTCTTAATTTTTCTCTTACAATTGGTAAAACAGCAGCAAAGATGCGATCGGATGGGATGACTTGATCCCCTTCGGCCTGTTGCTTGAATTCCATTCCAAGCTCCGTCTTGAGTGTTTCCATCGGACAAAGAGTTCCAGACGCGAGAATTACAGAACGACATTCATTAAATGCATCAATAAATGACTGGAAAGTCTAGTGATAAAAAATGATTTTTTTAATTGATTAATTACCAAAGCAGGACTCATACACCAAAGGTTCACAGTTGCCTTCTTTCCTTGAGCAATCGGCTCATACCCTGATTGAGTGCCATTTGCACTAAGCCATCCTTCACTGCCATTTTCAGATAACCTAAAAGAAAAATATAAATACAGAATGTGAATGCGAATACTAACATCGACGAATTCATATCAAAAGAGTCATTGCTGAAATCGTCATTAAAATATTTCATGTTTCGTGGTCCGCCCGATTTCGACCTCCTCTCTATCTGACAAAAAATTACAATTCATTAAAATATCTTAATATGTCTGTCACATTGTTTGAATTCGTTTGAAAATTTCCATTTTGTTTGAAGTCTTCAATTGAAATATTAACTCTGTAATTAATATCATTTGATAATTATGGAGAATATCAATATACCGATACGTTGACTGATATTGCGAAGATCCAAAATATGTTTGGAAGTAAAGCCATTTCTCGATACACACGATAGCCGTTGCACTTGGTTTGTAAGAGTCCATAAACTGATTCTCTGGTTCGTTATGAGCCGCGACAGCACCGAAGGCAGTCGAAAGAAATTAATATAATGTTTGACTGAAAAATTATTTTCTTACTGAATATTTCGCATTTAGCGGCGTTCCTGGGGGCATATATAAATTAATGCCTCGTTCTACATTTGTTAAAGATGCCATCAGATTTGCAGCATCGCTGGACAATAGTTCAGAAACTTATATTAAACGTGTATTGTAGAAGACAGATGAAATCCGTGTGGCGGAGCTTAATAATTTGAACTGGACAACTTGGTCTCGCAATAATTTACAAATTGGTCGTGTATCAAATATATACAAAACTACAGTATACACCAAAGGCGCATGCTAATAGAAGTGATTTTCGTTTCAAAAAGCGAAGCCGTATTCGGTCTGTCTTCGACAATACATATATAGTTCTTACAATGTTATTGTCTTTAGATCAGTGTTATTAGAAGATTTCAATTCCGCTGCTAAACATCTCATCCATTTCATAATTTCCAGAACCAGAAGCTCAAGTGTGATGAGATCGGAACGGAAACTTTTTAGCTTGTCCATTTTATCATTCATATCATCATCGAATCCGCTATCACCGAAATTAGATTTCCCGTTCGATAGAATCGAATCAGCAGCACATCCTAATTCAAATAAGCACAAAAATTGAAACTAATGATCAAAATGAATACGTTTGATTCGAAACGAGAGCAATGAATCTTCGAATTCTTTTTCAGTGAATGAGAAACTCGCAGCATCACGACAAGTGTCTTCAATATTATGAGCCTCGTCGAGAATGATTATCGAATTTTTCATATGTACATCCGACGAATTTCTTATAATTGGATCTAAATTTTGAAATTATTGGAAAAGATCATGAGTAAAAACAAACCAACTAAATATGAGAATGGACAGAAAATGATATCAGCATCTTGAGTAAGAACTCTAGTTGAGCAAAAGTACGGACATAGCTGGGGTCCTGTGCTCGAGAGAACATCGACAAGTGCATCCGTATCAAATACCACGGTACCCTAAATAAACCTATAATTTAATTATTTTAAGCTGAATTTTTACATTATTTTCTAGATGAGATCTCAGCGGAGCGGCTTTTTCAAATCGATTTCTCATCGACGATTTAAAGGAGCATCCTAAGCCATCGGCTGAATTGATATCTTTACAAAATTGCGAGATATCAGCAGACTTCCTAGCAGCCCCATTAATGCAGGTCTGCTCGCGACTTGCCAATATTGTGTGCCTTTAATGAAATATTATATGATTGAATATTGCTAGAAATATAAAATACTTCAAAATTCCATTATAAGGTAATCGTCCAAACTCTTTCACGACTTGCGAAATCTGTTTATGAGTTCGCGTGCCGTAATAAATTCGAACTCGCCTAAACTAAATAGAATATTATGTGATTCATGTGGGAAATAATACGGAAGACACGTGCAAGTAAGTTCCTCAGACGTATTCATCGTTTCATCAAATGTTCCATTCTCGTCTTTTTTGATATTTGCTTTCACATCATACGGCTTGAAGTCTTCTATCCACTGGCTTTCAACTAAAATATCAATTATTCGATTGAATATACCAAGACAATTACATAAGCTTTGTTTAAGGGTTGATTCCATTTCATCATCATCAGCTGCCGACGGTTCCTCTTTAATTCCGATCTTTTCATTCTTCACACTGCCAATTTCTTCTTTCACAGTGTAATTTTCTTCTTCTCGTTTTATAATTTCTAAATTTCCTTATAAGCAGCGAATAATTTTTAAAAATTGGGTTTTCTTCAAAAAATTTCAAAAACCTGTTTCAAACCAATATTTTAATGGCTTAGCTACGCAAAAATGCTCCAATTGGGAACCAAAAATATTCAGCACGACAAAATGTGCTTTCAGAAAAAAACGCCATGAAACAAGGTCAAATCAAGCTCAATTCCAAATGGAGCGGTGCTTAGCCGGCTCCTAAGCCATTCAACTTGTCCTTTCTTCTCTTAGTCATTCAAACATGATTCACGTTCGCATCGATAATCATTTCAAAATTGAAAAAATATTTAACAACATTCTCGTTTCCGACACACCTTGCTTTACAACACTTGCAATGCTGTGGAGTTTACACGATTTTTTTGACATTTTTCTTTCTTCTTGATACGATCGCAACCAGGCACACGTCGACGCTAACAACGCCATCGTTTTTCCTTTAAACAAAGATATTTCTAATTTTGAAAAAAAAAATAATATTTCTAACCGCTTCCCGTTGGACTTTCTGCGAGAACATTCGTGCTATTTTTCAATGCCGTTATAATTCGAACAATAATCAGTTTTTGTGAAGGATACGGTTTAAGACCTACAGGAAGGCGAACTTCGATTCCACATACTGGTAATTTATCATATTCGTCGTTTTTCACAACAATCCTATTTCTACAACAAATATGTTCATTTCAATTTGTGGGAAAAATTTGTTTACCTTTTCCGTTTTTTCGGTTTTATATCCATTAGATCACTAACTATTTCTTTTTTAATATTTTCGTTCCGCATTTCCTGTTTAACCAACGATTTTCTGAATTTGAAATCATTAAATTGTTTAAAAACTACAAAACAATGCCTTGAATTTTTTGTATTTGCTTCACTTTTAGCGCCCCTCCTCGATTTCGCAGCAAACAGGCCCCAAAATTCGAATTGTTCATTTTTTTCCATACTATGAAGGTTTATTTTTTTTCTGAAAATATTTAGATCGTATTTGTATGGATAATGATTAATTTAACGATGTTATTTTCAAAATTAAAACTCAATTATTGAAGAAACAACGAAAATTTTAAAAATATAAATAAAAATGATGTTGTTATAAAAAAATATATAGAAAAAAGGGTTAATAATGAACAAAATCAGACAATTTTCATTGAAATTCCAATTTTGTGACAAATTTCCTCAAGGCAAAATTTTCGTTTAAATTTCTGTGCATTTTCTCGTGAGCGTATTACGTACTCAGCAAATAAGGATGTCGGACAGTGCTTCTTCTGCACATTTCTTTTAATTTTGTCTTTCTGCAATATTGTTTGAAACAATTTCAAATTTCAGGCATTTTAAATGAGCTATGACCAACCAGGCACATCCACACAACCCGCGATTAAAGTATTTCTTATTGGAATTGATTATTTATGATAACATTTTCAGCAAATATTTGTATCTTCAAAAAATTGCGGGTATAGTATCGAAAAACACGCTAATTATTTAATGTCCGGATTAAACGAGCTATATAAGGTTTGATTGGTTTTTGAATTGTTCATTTTTTTTCCTTTTTTAGGGCCAGAATGATCCATCATGTAATGTGACACTTGAAATCGATGGAATCGAGGTTTTGAAAGCTCACGGAATCATTTTAGCCATCAACAGTGCTTATTTTGAAACTGCGCTTCGTTCAATTCATCACCCACAATGTAATACAATATTTGATCTCGATTCAAAAATAATAAGTGAGAGTCCATATTTAAACTAACATAAAAAGTTGTTATCTTTAGAATTTTCAAGAAATGTGCTATTGGAAATTGTAAATTATATGTATACTGGTGTTATAGCGATCGAAAAAGAAAATTTGGAAGCTGCAAAGTTTTTAGACTGTAAAGAGCTCGTGACGGTATTTTATTTCATATTGCGAATAAAATAAAATAAAAGTATATTACAGTTTTTAGAAGAAAGGTTTAAGGAAAACCAGGATTCAACGGTTCAAGATGATCCGTGTGTTGAGAAAATTCGTCAAATTGGGTACAATACGAAACATTTCGCGATGGTACATCATTCAATTCTAAAACTACGCGATGAAAACAAATACTTTGATTGTAAGTTGCAAATAAATGTTAGTTCTTGCTCATATTTCCAAAACGGCGTGTTCTTTCAGAAAACAGGTGGAATATTCGCCCACAGGTGCATTTTATCTGTCTTTTCGCCCGTTTTGTTCGCCCTGCTAAGTTCTGTTGGACAGAAAGCAGCGGTGACGTTGGAGATTGGAGAAGACACATTATTCCTGAACATGTAAAATCAGAAACGGAAACATTCGTTTCTACTAATAAATTTTTCTTCAGACATGATGCGAAACAAATCATAAATTTCATGTATTGTGGAAAATTGACGAATCTGAACAAGAATCGCCTACAATTACTTCGAATTTCATCAGAGAAGCTCAAATACTTGGTAATTATGTTTATCGGGACCACAATTTAGAAAATTGTTAAGACTCTTGCACAATTGATCACAATGATGCTCAAAAAGATTGAAACTAAAGAGCAAGAATATCGAAAAATAACGAAACGGAAAGTGATATCCGAGGAAAAAATGATCGAGGTTGATCTACAGGATGAATATGCCATGTAAGAAAACAATTTTTTGGTAGACCTAATTATGAAATGTAATTTTTTCACAATACATCTAAAAATGAAATTAAATGTGCACTTTTTACAAACCTGGATTGAAAAATATGAATTTTTCTTCTATTATTTATTGTATGAGTACGCTCATTGAAGAAACTATTCTGATTTCAGAGAAAAAAGAAATTGAAACAGGTTGAAATTATTTTTTTATTTGACATTTCCTTCGATTTTCAACGAATTTTAACAATTTTTTGTCAAAAATTTGGATAAACGTGAATTATCGAAATTTTAGGGTTTACAATGGTTACGTGAAAGGTCCTTCGAGGAAAAGGAAGACGAAACTAGTAGAAATTCAAGATTCTGGAGAAGGAACTTCGAATTCATGCGAGGGTAATAATGATATTGAACAGCAAGAGGTTCGAAGATATAATTTTAATTATTAGTTTATATTTTAATTTGTTTAGGAGGTGACAAAAAATCCATTAAAATGTTCCAAATGTGATCAACTATTTGAAACGAAAGAAGCTCAAGAATCGCATGAGAGGTTTTGTTTTCAACCATTTTTAAATTGTTTTAATTAACTGATTATTTTGATAGCTCTATAAACATTCTATTATATCAATTATTTCTTTTAGAACAATTCATTCCGTCGATCTCCCTTACGTGTGCGCAGTTTGTGGTATCGGATTCAAGGTTCAGTCGAACTTTGCGAGACACAGACGATCTCATACTGGTATGTTTCTTTCTTCATTCAGCTGTTCAAACAATAAACAAATTTCCAATAAAAATGCATCTCGTTTTTTAGGCGAAAAACCATATGAATGTAAGCAGTGTGGAGCTACTTATGCGGATAAAAAATATATGGATCGGCATATTCTTCGTGAGCATTTCAATGCCACCGAAATACTTTGTGCAGCTCCGGGATGTCGCTCGAAATTTTGGCGCAATGATCGTTATTTAATTCATTATAAAAATAATCATGGCGGATTTCCGAATAATTTGTATGGTTGACAATAAATTGATTATTTATTTTAAAATATTTCAATTTTTTTTTAAATTGTATATTGAAGAGTATATTCTCTTTTTTAATATATGATTCAAGCTGTTCAGGTTCCTCATAAATAACCGAATTTCAGATGGAAATTGAGGCATGCATAAGGGAAAACATTCCATGGGCAAAACTATCGGAAGATATTCGAGTTATGCTCGGAAATTCTTCCAAGGAATATGAGAAACGAGTTTTTGATTATTCTATTAGGAATCAATTAAGATATAAAGGAAATTTAGGTTTGTTTTAATTTCGTTTCAAAATATGAATAATAAAACTGTTTTTTCAGTGCGACATGTAAAAAAGAGTGAAGAACTTTATTATGAGCTGTTGATGAGGTTTTCGGAATCTCATTTAATGCTTTTTCCTTATCATTTATCGGATATTGTGGTTAGTGGCTTGCGAATATCACCGTTTAGTTATTATATTAATATATTATCGGTAATTTTTCACTTAAAAATCAAACTTTGATATAATTTTCATCAGGAAATGCTAAATCAAGAGAAATCATACGATTCGCTTCCAAATTTCACTGCTGCTGATGCAATGCGATTACTTGGAATCGGAAGAAATCAGTATATCGAACTAATGAATCAAACACGGTAATTGAATATCTCCTTCTTTGGAAATGATAATAAGATATTATATATGTATAGATCGAATAGAAAATTTTTACGGCGAAATAAAACGGCAAAAGAATTACTACCTCAAAAACCGGCAAAAATAAATATTGAACCATGGTGGAAAGCGTGTGCTGGAGCTGTTCTAGAAAGCGATATCAAGGTATTTGAAGGGGCTTTTTGTATTAAACCATTGTAAATTAAAGATTCTTTCCGAAGAGGAAAAAGAAGTTATCGATATGCTGCTGGATAGTGGCCCAACAGAATCTGGGACTCTTCCTCATACTGTTGTTACCACTTTATTTAATAGAGGATTGATTTATTTTGATGTTCCTGTTTATGAAAATGATTATGTATACGGTGAGCTCAAAAATTGTGTTCGAAAATCATTGAAATGTTACAGTGGCACCACTAGATGGATTTGTGATGAATCGGGTTCTCGGTGACTACTTTGAAACGCTTCTTTACAAAATATTCGTAGCAATTGATGATCAGACAACTGTGCTCGAAATGTCGAATGTTCTTCACATCGATCTGCAATTGGTCAAAAACGCGATTTCGCTTTTTTGTCGTCTGGGATTTGCGAGGAAACGAGTTACCGGTGCTGAGAATCTTACAATTCATACGTCATGGAACAGCTATTCAATGATTTCGTCGCCTACTTCGCCAACGTCACCAACTTCGACGTAACAATGAAATAATTATTAGGGTAATGCGACATTTTGGTTTAGACAAATGACAACAAGCGCCACGGAGGATATAAACGAGCTTACAAAAACATTGCTGAGAATGGATGAAGATGATTCCGAAGATGTTCTTTCTCCAGTTGGAGATGATCATATTCTAAGGGCATCGTCTCCAAATCCATCATTGAATACTTCAATTGATGTAAGTCCAAAAAATTTATGTGTGCAGTTTTGAAGTATTATTTAGTCGGCCCCTTCTGTACCTTCGTCAAATCCTCCAACATCAGACGTAGGCACCGTGAACCGAGCTGCCTTCATTTTCGATTCAACGCTAACCGCCTTCCTGATGATGGGAAACTTATCAGCATCACTGAAGGTTCAATCAATCCGTGTTTTTACTTTCAATAAGATCAACCTCAATTCTATTTTTAGGGTCATGCGGTGGCTTTATTCGAAGTTGGCAAACTGGCTGATGAGCAAATGCGTGATTTCCTCGAACAACTTGAATGTGTTAATCAATTTGCTGAAGGAGATGCTCAACGATATTCGATGCATGCAACTGCTCTCTTGGATTCATTGAAAAGTTTGCGACAAGATCGAGAAGCGGATTTGGTAAGAGGAGAAAGTCTTCTGACGCTCGATGATAAAAGCAGAAAACGAGTTTTGGCGAAGAGCTATGGGTAAGAATCTCATTAATAATTGTAATTTGTGTTTCTTTTAGAATTCTTGTTGCTATGGCTCCACTCTCATTGGAAGCATGCACAATTCCTGTCTCCTCGATTCCATTCATTGGTCCTCCAAATGCCGAGGTGCTGTCGTGCATTTAAATTCGAGATAGTCAAATATTTCAGACGTGTTCTCCATGGTTCCGACTTGCAATTTACCTGACATGTAAAAGTGGACCATACAGTGCTTATTTTCCACACGGGACTCGTTTAACGACTTTACCCGAAAAATTGCTTAGCTCTGCTTCTTCAAGCGAATTTGGACGATTTCTTGTGTCCAGTACGAAGCACGAGCCACACGTGATTCCGGTTCAAAATGCGCTATTTGCCCTTAACGATTTACTGACGAATGGTCCCGTATTCGTGCAAGTGTGAAAACCATCGGATATATAAAATTAAAACTTTTAATTACGTAGGCATATCCGCCAGAATCAAGTGAAGTTCAAACGGTTCTTGTCGCATTTCCCTTTGAAAAATCAGAACTCGAAAATCCCCGTATGTCCTTTTTTTCACGAATTCGATTTAAATTTCAAATTTAATCGAGAGTTTTTAGGTTCGTTTTGTAATCATCCTGCTGTTCAAACGCTATCGGAAAATGTCGGCCTTCAAAGCATGGCCGGTTATGTTGTGCTGCTCAAAAATCGAAATGTTGCGTTGAAAAATGATGAGAAACAATATCGAGAAATCAGCGGTCGAACACGAACAGATGACGCATTCCTTCAGAACAGCGGAAATGCTACGACTTCTCGATTACAATCGTAAATAGAATATTATATTAATGCACCAACAATACCAATATTTAACTTTTTGCAGAGAATTGTCTGAAGGTGCTCAATTTGAAGATTACGACCTTCTTGATTGCGTTTTTGGTGTGCCATTATTCGATTCTTCGCTAAATAAGGATATTTGTCATCGAATAAACGCACAAGGGATTCTCGATGCGAAAAAGTTAGTGCTGTTCATTATTTTATTGGGTGTTCTATATAATTTATATTCCAGCCGACTAAATATCCAGCTCTCCAACAAACAGATTGTGACAATGGTCGAAGAATTGATGAGAAAAGCGAATTTCGGATTAATTACGGTATTATTTTGTGGCATTTTCAGACAATGTAGTTTGAAAACTTTAGACATCGCAATTATTCGTCGAAAGCGAGCAACGGAAAGTGGAAGTTGTGCCGCCGGTTCGTGCGATCTTCTACGACTCCGTTCTAAAAGAAATTCAATTTGCTCCAATTTAGCTATTGCGTTGGTGTTTTTCAATTTCTAGTCTTCATATTTAATTGACATAGTCGTCTTTTTTTTTACTCATCCCGCCACGATTTGAATAATGATTTTCGCAGCGAGACATTGTGTTTTCCGAATTGGTTGTGGTCCCAACTTTCGTGTCAAGAGTTTCACTTCAGCGTTCCCCTTCTGTGTCGCAACTAGTCCCTCTTTTGTTCATCTTAATTATGTATATACTAGGCGAAGCCCAAAAGAACAAAAAATTCATTTTCAACTCCTAATCGAATCAATTTGGATGTTTGTCTCTCCTTCTCTTTTCCGTTTTTGGTCGTTTTCAACTCGATTTAATTAATTACATGTTCATTATTCAAAGCAAAATTTTGGAAATGGAAAAAATTAAGGCTTTTATTCACAATCATTTGGGAATTATTCTAATGTCATTTTTTTTATCTTGGGTTTCAATTTATTTGCACACAATAAATTTTTTAAAGAAAAATATCGCGGAAATAGGTTTTTTTTGTTTTGCCAAAAATGAATGAAGGTTGACGGGGGTTAAGCCATGAGAAGAATTAAAGTATTAACAAGGCCGTGGCGGGACCATTTGCCGAACGGGCGAAACGGACCTTGTTTTTGAGGCGGCGCTGGGAAAATGAAGCACTTGAGGAAGGTGTGACAAGTGGCGCTCGTTCCACTTGTTCGATACGGTGAAAAAGAAGAAGCAGCATACGGAGTGCCCGTCTTCTTGATTTTATTAAGTGCCCCCCCACAAACTCGAGCTGCCACTGCTTCTGCTTACTAACTAACTAACGAACTAACAATTCGAAAAATGTGTGTGACGTGCCGCAAAATTCTGGTGAGTTCTCATTTTTCAGTTGGTTCTTACGAATCGATTATTTTTAGAGAAATAATCGATTTTACCGTAGTCGGATTTTTCTTTTGTTATGTTTGCCTCGAGAATTTTTTTGCTGCTCCAATACGTTTCTTCAACAAGAAAAAAAACCAAAAGTCTCTTGAAGTTTGTTATAATTTGATTTGTATTAAAGTGAATTCTGAAGAGTTTGGAGGCTCCAAAAATTGCCATCAAATGCCTCATTTTTTGTTCCTGGTTTGTCATTTTCGATTCATTCACATGTTTATAAATTCTTCTAAAAATTCGGGTTCCATTCCTTCTTTTTTTTTTCATTTTAAAACGTTTTTTTTGTTTGTGTCTCAATTGTTGTTCACACTTAATCCGAAATAAAGTCGAAATGAACGAAGCCAAACAAAAATCGCGACCGCCGCTTCAAATTTTTTCCGACCGCAAATTCGCGCCGACGTCTTCAAGACATTTTTTGTGGACCATTTATGTGAAATCGAGCATCCCTTCCTTCGCTTTGTGTTGGCTGCATGTCAAAAACGCCATCGGACCACCAAATATTCCCTGCGGACCGTTTCATATTTCGGTTGGTTCGACCCTCGCTTCTGTTTATCGCCGACAATCTTCGTTTTCACTTTCCAAAACATTATTCATCGAATGTTAAATTTTTCTTTAAAAAAATCATTTCTAAAAGTGCGTTTAGGCCATTATAAAAACTTATCAGAAAAAGTGTCTCCAAAATGAAATTCAAATTGTTTTAATTTAACAAGACGCCAATATTACCATTGCAAAAAACGAGCATCTTGACAAATTGTGGACCATTGTATTTTGTTCGAGGGCGGCAATTCAAATTTGAATTTAAGCAGTGGGAATGCAAACTTGCAGAAAATCAAAAAAAAATTTAATAAGTAGACTCTTTGCATACACTTTCAAAAAAATTGCTAAAGTTTCATAATCACATCAACGCTTTCAAATTAGATCTACATCTGAAAGTTCGTTACGAGACCTCAAAGTGAATATTAACGCATTTTGCCACTTAAAATTCTCGAATATTTAACTGATATAATAATGCTCTGTCAAATCTAACCCGTCATAGCCGCTATGTCAAACAATAAATTTAGAAGGTTCTAGCTTCTTTTCTAAACTTTTTTTTAACCGAAATTGGATTCTTTATGAGGACTAGTTTTTTGACGAATTTAAGGATAGTTGTTCTAATTTAAAACGCTGAAATGTGCGAAACGTTAAATGACGACGGTTGAAGAAAAATAAGCTTCGTAAATGGAATTTGATAAGTTTTGCTCTTCGATGATGCATGTTATAGTATACTCGAGGGAGTCTTCTTCGAAGCATTTCCCTCTCCATCATTCGCCTTCCATTGTATTCCCATGTTTGGCAGCCAACACGCGGGCGCCGACGGCTCTCAACTATTGGAGCCGCGCAAAAATGGGCGGTTCCGACGATGTGCTCCATTTTTTGGACGGCAACTCAATGTTGCATTTTTTTTATTTCTCACATTTAATTTGATCCAAAATCGAGGTGTGATTCTCAGTTTTTTTTTGTCGGCTCATTTCCTAATATGAGCAATGTCGGCAAAGAGACGCAGACCAAAAATTTGAGTCGAAATCGCGCGAGTTTTCCAAATTTACATATTGGTTCAAGTGCCGCGAGTCTTACATATTCATCCGTTTTTTTTTTCAACGAAAATAGTTTTTTTTTGAAAGCTTTTATTTCTATATATGGGTGAGAATTGTCGGCAGCCATTATTTCTCAAATTCGGTTTATATCATTCGATTCGAGAAACACATCTTCTCGTCGTATGAATGCGTTGGATGACACCTTTCATATTCGGCGACAAATTGCCGGGTTTCGCTCAAGATTCCGCACGTTTTCGTTTTTTTTCCTCTTCTTTCAATGTACATTCGCCACCTACCAACTTCAAGGGGCTCATCGCGTGAGTTGAGATTTAAGCTGAGATGCCGTGGGAGTACTTTCCATTTTTTGAATTTTGAGAATAGGATGTCTCAAATTTTCGAAATCAAAATTGGATTTTTTTAATGTATGTATATCTGCTCCTAAAAAAATAATTTCAGATATCTCTTCTGGCTAGAAAAATATTTTTAGTAAACCAGAAATAAATGAAAACGTAGTTTCGAATTTCTGACCAAATAATTTAAAATTTTTCGGCTTTGATATTTATATTCTAACAGTTGCTCTTTTGCTATTTTGAATTTGAATTGAAATGATTAATCTTTGAATTTCCGAATGGATTTATTTAGGAGACATTCGAATTATGATTAGAAAATCGCAACAAGTATTCATTTGTTTTCTATTTTTTTTCTCACTGACGTGCGATTTGTTTAAACATTCTTGATTCTGAATTCCTAACTCTGTGTGATCACACTAGAAATTTCTTCTCAATTTCAAAAAACCAGAGTCCCTTGCACAAGATTTGCGTAATTCCAAGCACCTCTTCTGGAAAAAAGAACCGCGAAAATAATTTCGGTCGGTTTGCTTCGAACCCAGTGCTCAATTCATTTCGGTTCCAACTCAATTGGTATTCGCAAAGCGATGCTCGTTTGTCAAATCACAATTCATTTGGCTTGTTTAGGCCTTCGCTTCCACCTCGAATCGTTTGTCATTCCTTTTTTGGCGATCTACCCCCCCCCCCATTCAATATAAAAATGCGTTTGTGAGTGTGTGTGCGCGGCGAATGTCCATCCATCGGAGTGCAATTCGCACCATTACCGCATCTCGGCTTCGTCGTCCAATTTATTCGGCGCCAATCCAATTCGTCGGTTCGTCGTCATCAATCACCTCACTTCCACTTCCCGCCGGTGTTTTTTCTTTCTTTATATCGACCTCGAGCAGATATCTCCACTTGGTTTCTCTTTTCGAGCAATCTTCCAGATTACACTCTAGCCTCATTTAATCAATTACCAACTAAAGATCGTTCACGATTGAACCAATTAAGGATAGAAATAAGTTCTTAAAGAAGGCTAATTCGGAGAGCTCTCGTTTTATTTGCGGATTGAAACCGGAAATTGATTTTGATAAGCCAATTTGTTTCTAATTTGATTAATTGGTTAAATTTAAATAATTTGGCGGAATATTCATTAAAAATTATTGCGATCAGATGTAAATGATGCTTTTGAAGAAAAATTGAATTTCCGAAATTCATTTAAATAATTAAGAACGTTTCAAACTTGCTAGGTAATACGACATTACTTAAAAAGAAACATTACTGAAGACTGATTTGAGGGATGATTTCATAATATAGTAAATGTTTGAAACCTGTTGAACATGATGTGTTCGTTCGTTCGAAAAGAAGGCCATCCATAAGACATCACAATGCGCAATTAGATTCAAATAGAGCGAAACGCGCGAGTGAGCACGTCGCGCAGACTGGATTTGATAGGAGAGGGGGGGATGAGAAGCGAGCCGAAACCATATCATATTTCGACGACCAACAATTTCAAGTCATCCACAAAAATGCTAACGAGTCCGACGGCCTCCTCTTAATTCACTCGCAAATTTATTTCCGGCCCCACATTGGAGGAGGGTTACGGTGGAAATGCTGCTCAGAACGACGAAGCTGCTCAGAAGATAATTTGTGTGCTCGAATAAAAAAGGCGGAAAAGGGGGGGGGAAGTTAAAGATTGCGCAAAGTTCTCTATTGACAATATGATTTAGGGGTGCTCCTCCTTCTCTTTTTTCGCCTTCTTCTTCTTCTCCTTCTTCTTCTATTTTCTACTATTACTTTTGCTGCTGCTTCTTCTTCGACTTCGACTTCTGCCCTAGCAAATTGTAATCATTTATGTTTGTCGCCGACGATGAGCCGTCCGGAAAATGGCCCGGATACTCGTATACGCAATTCCTTGAAATGTTCATCTCGCAGGTAATTTTTGGTTGCCTCCAAACAATTTTCACCCATTTTCTCATTTCCACGGCTAATCCTTAAAATAATTGACACACGCCGACCGGATAAGTCTTCCGTTAGAAGTCTAAACAGGGGAACAAATTTTCGGCGAATATACATATTTGTCATGTTTCCTTATTTTTCCGCTCGTCTTTTTCTCGTCGCCAAAAATTTTGAAGCGAAAAAAAAATTTAAGGAAAAGAAAGCAATTGTGAATTTGGATTGTGTGTTTTCAACATTTTCAGCAACCAATTCGAGAATTTCTCTCTCTCTCTCTCTCTCGCCACGGAATTTACATGAATTTTGACCTTTTTGCGGATTCCTATAGCTTCTTCTACATTTTCTCCTTTTTGAAGAAATTCGATTTTGAGTGACTGAGCCGATAACACTCAACTGTTACTACATAGTGTTTGAGATTTGATCGGGTCTTAATTGTTCGAAAAAATCTCGAGATGTTTTTTTTTAAAGAAAATGAAATGACGAATATTTGGCATAAATTCCACAAGCTCACACTTGTAATATATTGGAAATACAGTAGCCTCAAACTGATATGAGTTTGTCGCTACAAGACCCACAATCTGATTACGGTAGGAATAAGACGATCCGAGTTTGTCGTTTTTCTATATTCTCGTATCAAAATTGAAGTCGTTGGTGGAATATTAGTATTCGAATGTTGTCGTTAAGTGTTCGAATTTCGTCGTTGAATCCATCTCCTACGAATATTTTTCTTTTCATTTTTTTGTTTGCCAAATTTCGTACACCATCTAAACCCAATTATCCTTATTATTTCTTTTTTCCTTCGTCGTCGTATTCGTTTAAACGGAAATCATTTGATGATGATGACCAGTGGCTCCCGACGAGAACGCTAGCTGACGATTCTCAAGCATTTACTCGCGATTCGTGTGCCCCCCGCGTCCATTAAATCCCATTTTGCCCCATAAAACAATAACGATGCTGATGATGATGATGATATGAGGTTTTTGTTTGACAAACGAATACTGAGCCGCGTCTCGGATGTCTCTCCTCCGGGGTGGGGCGACAATTCGATTATGTCTTCTTCGGGTCTTCTTCTCCTTTCATCTGGTGTGCGTTTGTGTGTGTGTGTTTTTCCTCGCTTCCAATTCTATTTCGTATGCCATTGGCATCGGGCGGCCGCTCCAGTTTTTTGTTCTTCGCCTATTAGAGCGCTGCCGGTTTCGGTGATGGCGTCGTCGTCGTCGACGGCAACCGATCGCGCTTCTACCAATGAGCACGTCAGATTACAGCAGACAGTCCTCCGGGTCGATCCTCAATCTGATTACTTTCACTATGAGACTACGGTAGGCGCAGAATGCATTGAAGCCGGCGAACTATTCTAGAGCTGGTTTCTTCTTATTCAAGAATTCTACTATTAGTATTAATTTGATGTGTTTTTTTTTTGGTTTTCCAAGAAAACAATAATTTCAAATATAATCTTCACATCATCTTTTTTTTCAATATTCATTTGAAATCGATTTCCGATTTATCGTCGATATTCTAAATATTCTCACGATTTGAATATTCCAAAAGAACTTCTAAATAGAAATTAAAAAAAAAATAAAATTAATTAATTTTTTTATTGTTAATCATGCCTTTTATGAAATTCAAAAAAAACTAGCAAAAACTGGAAATGCGCCAATAAATCATTTCGAAAGCACCGAAATAATTCGAAATAAATCCTTACTTCAAATAAACGAAAATTCCGATTTTAAGATGGAAGGAGGAGCCAGTTGGACGGATTCGTTGGAGAAGGACTTCGACAAAGCGTTCGTGGCTTTGGACCTTCTTCTCGGAGAAATCGATTCGGATCAGGTTGAGATCACGTATGAGGGCCGACAAAAAATGACATCGTTGAGTGCGTGCTTCGCACAGATGATGCACAAATGCCAATGGATGATACACACAATTAGCAAGCAGGAGAAAGTTTTCAAACAAATTCTGTTCGATTATCGATCCATTCAATTAAGGAAATGACCGCAATGAGAAGCGAGATGGTCGAGGCGAGAGCAGCTCGCGATAGCATGGAAAAGGAGGTGGAGCAGCTGATGCTGCAGGTGCACAGTCTGCAATGCCAGTTGCATTCGAAGACGGCGCCGCATGAGTCGGACATGATCAAGAAGAAGCTGGAAGGACAGCTGACACAGTTCCGCACCGATTTGATGCAAGGATTGAGCACCGTGTGCGAGTTGGAAATGGCGAGAAAAGAGTGCGAACGCCAGAAGAAGACGATTCAGGCATTGGAGACCGAAGTGTTCGGAGCGCGACTGGCCGCCAAATATTTGGATAAAGTAAAATGAGTGAAGAATTATTCAACGAATGAATATTAATTGTAGGAGTTGGCCGGTCGAATTCAGCAAATTCAGCTTCTCGGACGAAACATGCGCGGAGTTGAACACGATCGATTGTGGAATCAGTTAGAAGCCGAGATTCATCTTCATCGTCATAAAACTGTGATTCGTGCGTGCAGGTAGGAAACGACTCTTATTATTCCGCAAAAAGTGCATGAAAGACGACGATGATTGCAGAGGTCGAGGCACGACGAAAGGATTAACGGCTCCAGCGCGCCACGACTTCAAGAGTCTCCGAAAGCGTAATGGAGTGGGAAAAAGCCGAAAAGTGACACTCACGAAGCATCCACATGAGGGTCTTGGAATATCGATTACGGTTAGTTGTAGAACAAGGGGGGGGGGGTAGCGAGTTTATTCAATGAGATAATTTTGAGGGTGGATCCGAACACGCGCTTCCGATCGTCATTTCCGAAATTCAACCGGGCCAGCCGGCCGATCGTTGCGGGCAGGTTTTCGTGGGTGATGCGATCTTGTCGGTGAACGGATATGATTTGCGAACCGTCAAACATCAGGAAGCAGTTGATATACTGAGTGGGCAGGTTCGAGACAATTCATAAAGAATCGTGCGAAGTGAAAGACTTTAGCAAGGCGACTTAGATTTGGAGTTGGTGTTTGTCTGTCCCGACGAGGATAGCGATGACGACGGAACAGTGATGATCGAACACAGCGATGGATCAATGTTCGCTTCGTTTATTGTTTTCTCTCTTTATAAGGAATCTTTAGATACAACTTGTACAGCATCGAGGAACCATCGTCAAGTCGTTCGTCGACCGCTTCTCATAACAATTCCGAAGGCTCGCGGAGCACATGATCAAGTGTCAATGTTCTAAATGGTTTTCTTTTCTTTTTTTAAAGTTACAAGTAGTTAGTCTAACTAAAAAAGAAGCCCCCCCCCCTTTGCGATACGTGTCCCGTTAATGATCTTTGTGTAAAAATGTTGCCACGCCAGTGATAGAACGGTGCTTTTCTCCTATTACCATCATTTGTTGCATTTTTCGTTGAAAAACGGTTAATCAAATAAATTTTTGCAAATGATCTTCAGATTTTGTTGAAGGTCATTTCAATGGCGTCGAATAGAGTGTGCAACTGATCCACCAAATCCATCAGGAAAATAATGGCAGAGCAAACAACATGTGTCGATGTTAGTGTCCTTCAGACAAGCAACCCTGATGTCCGTCTGGTTCCGGATTGCACGGAAACAGCTTTTCTTTCCTTCCTTCCGCTAATCAACGGACCGGAAATACGGACACCAACTTTTTTCAAATGAAAATTCGAACAAAAGATTTTTCAGCATTGCTGAAAATTGGCTAAATGCCAAAAATTAGGAAGACGTCTTAATTCACAATGGACCTATTTTTATGCATAGACCGAGACCGCAAATCTCTCCCGGAAAAAAAGAAAAGCTTCTTGCCTGACGGTGAAAACGGAAACGGATTTCTGTGGAATAATTTCCCCAGTTCAAACTAATCAAAACCATTCCATATTCAGCCAATTGCGACCGAAGTGCGACAATTGTCTAGCCATCAAATGTTCGCGATCAACAAGTGCGACGATCTTCTATCTTTCAGTTGATCAATTTTCAAATCAACTTCCTTGTTCCTCATCCTCGCCGCCCTATCCGTTCTTCTCGATATAAAAAGACCAACGGATGTTGATTGGAGTTCATTCTACGATGAATCCTCTTCTTCTCGCTCTACTCATCAGCGTCGCCGCTGCTGCGGACAATTACAAAATTAAAAATTATTTCGTCAAATTCCATCCAAATGCAACCGAGTAAGTCAAATTGTATGCAAATTTTGAGCAAATGCGAGAGTTGAACAATTCTATTCGAAAATTTTGCAAATTTTTATAGAAAAACATTTGTGGTTGACCAGGAGAGTCATTTCGACGTTCTTGGCGATGTGAAAGAGATGAAAATCAAAATTGGAAAGAATTTGGAGATCGATTCCGTTTCCGTTTTCACCTCTAAATTCATCTTCCGCGGAAATCCCGATTGTAATTCCCACAAATATTCTAATAATGACCTTTATTTATTTTTTTTCAGTCATTGGACTCGCATTGAAAAATGATGAATACAGCTATGATAAGAAAACTGAAATTCTCACCGTCAAATTGAGCGAGGTGAACAAGAAAACGGCGAGCGAAGGAGCCTATGTTTCGATTCGATACAAGGGAAAAATTGCGGATGAAGCGACGAAAGGACCAATCTATGTGACGAAGAACGGAGTAATTGTTGCTGATTTGAAGGTAACACTGGATTTCGAACTAAATCAATTGATATTTGCAGAAGGACACCCACACGATTGTTCCGTACGTTGTTCCAGGAAAGATGAAGGTTGGATTCCATATTGTGACAGGACAAAAGGAAAAGGTCGAAGTCAAAGGATTGGTAAGGATAACCGTAGTTGTTGTTCACAATATAATCGAATCCAGGATGCTCCTGGTGGCTTCAAGCACATCGATAACTGGGATGAAACTCGTACCTACTACTACAGCGCTACAAAGGACGGCGGATTCGAGCAAATCAGCTTTAAAATTTCTCCGCAATAATTTTCTTTTTGACAGAAATAAATAATAGAGATTTTGTTGTGTCCTTGTGAACGAGCCAACGTAGAGAATATATTTATTGGACACAATATGAATAACTGATTATTGAGCGTAAAAAGGGGTTTTTATATCGCTCCTATGAAACGTGTGCCACGTGGTGTGTCACGTGACGTGTCGAGGCCACGGCTCCAACATCTCCCTCGCTAGTTCGAAACGTAGGTGTTTCGGGATGGATTGATCTGTGGTAGTCTGACCGGCTTCGCGATCCTTGTTCTTGGAGAAGCGTTTCCATGCGGGTGTGATGACGAACCTGGTCGGCAGTGATGGCCAGGTTCGAGCAGCGTTCGGTCCGATCGGCGATGACTTCAGCTTCGACGGCGGCAATGACTCGATCTTCGTTCTCCATAGTGCGGGCATGTTCCGATATGAGATGAGAGAGTGCGTCGGCAGCGGCATCGTCCGTGAGCAAGAGAGAGCGGGGAATGTGCTGGATCCAATCTAGTCCGAGGAGTGTGGCGGTATACAACGAATACAATAGTATTATAGTATTATTTAGGATTAATAGTAATATTTTTTCGCGATTATAATTGGGAAATGAAATAATGCACGTATCCTATTCTATGTGTATGCTAAGATTTTCTATCATCATCATACAATCTTCGATCTTTTTTTCCGTCTCTTTGCACATCCACTTCCTGGTTTCTTTCGTCCGTATCTGTTTTTTTTTTTAAAGAACATCAGAGGCGACTCATTTGAGTTCCTTTGACAATGAAGCTTCTTCTTCTTCTTCTTTTTTAATCACAAAGTTACCAAGGATAACATCAAGATAATTGGGTATTTCGTGAAATTTCAAGCCTAGTTCGTCGCTACCAAATTTTCACTATCTATTGTCGGCGTCAAACGACTTGACGAAATTTTAAAAAATATTGGCTAATTGCCAGATGTCTCGAGGCGAAGAGAAGTGTATGTGGCATACACTCCGCAGCGTGTTTTGCGCAGCGTGTTTTTGGGCGCGTTATTTTTTGAGAATTTTTCTGTGTCTCTTTTTTTATTAGCCAATTTCTTTTATTTTTACGGTTTATCTTACATTTTTATAATCGCTGATTGATAGTTTAAAATTTTCATATATTTAAAGGCATTTTTTAATTAATTTGACATTGTAAAAACTTATTCTTCATCATTTTCCGTTTCTTAATTTTTAGTACATTTTAGGAAACACAATCATATTGAACTGGAGCCGAAGGACTTTGAAAACTACTGAAGTTAACAAGACGGGTATTATTTTATTTTTATTTAAAATGCTCATTGTTTCATCATAGTTGCAGCGACTACAATGGCATCATATATTGAATCCTTCGCGCAACCTCGAAGACAACCTCCAACGGACACAAAATTCTGAATTATATGCTCGCCTTGGTACTTCACAGCTTCATCAATACTAGGGAAAAGAAAAAAAAATATACTCAACGACTTCAAGCTTCTTCCAAAAAGTACGTTATCATTTTTTTAATCTTTGTAGACTCATTTTTCTTTTTAATTTTGTATTCCATGTGAAGTTATTACTAGTTTTAGGCGATTGGAATCAACGCTCGTTTGGCTTTCGGTTATAAGTTTCAATTGTGCGGCGTCTTGGTGCATTTCGAGAATTCTCAATTAATCGGATGACTTTCCCCTTTGAACAATAATTTTCATACTATTTTTACGGTAAATAAAACATTGTTGTGGTGCTCTTAAAATATTCAATAAATGTTCTTTCGCTTGTTTAAGTAAATGCCGTTAGTTCCGTGAACTTTTACGTATATATGGAGGTCGACTCATTATAAGAATGCAAATGACAATGGGAATCAGGATTAAAACGCGCATAACATTTTTTAATATTAAAAAATCGAGAAAAAAAAACCATTTAATATTTGGTCAGCGCGTAAATCTACCCGCTCGTAAATCTACACTGGTTACGATATACTGAATGCCACGCCCCCATCAAGTCGTTTGACGCCGACAATATGGAGGTCGACTCATTATAAAAATTCAAATGACAATGGGTATCAGGATTAAAATACGCATAACATTTTTTTAATATTAAGAAATCGAAAAAAAAAAAACCATTTAATATTTGGTCAGCCTCTACCCGCTCGTAAATTTACACTGATTACGATATACTGAAGGCCACGCCCCCATCAAGTCGTTTGAAGCCGACAATATTTATTTATTTTCAGTAATCAAGTTCATTGCTTCTGTCACGGAAAAATCGTTGAACACCTATAAATCCGTCTCGTTCATGATGAATATTCAGTTTACGACCCAAGTTTGATTACTATCAAATACGTTGTTCAATTTATGTCTCATGAACCTTAATAATATGTATCGATTCGCTAAGACGACTCACATCACACACTTACCCACAATACTATTATACTTATAGGTGGGAGTAACTGTAAAAAAATAAAAATGTGATAGAAAACAGAAAAGAAAATGAAAAAAAAACGAAAATTGTACAATAATTCGTCGTGGAGAAATTGGACAACATGTGTATTGTCGTCAAATAAGATGCATAGTCCGTAATGTCATTTTCATCTTCATTTCGAAATGTAACATCTTTTTTCTACTTTATTCATTACCTAAGAGACCTGAAAACGTATTTGAGACAAAACATTAATAATTGAAATACGAAAACTATTTTTGGTCAAATGCAGCGTGAGCGCTCGATCGATCTTGGTCAATCTTTTGTGTCTTTTTTTCAAACACATCTCATGAAATGTGAAGAATGTCATCATGTAGCAAATTTTTCGTAGATTCCGAATTTGCTTTCATAACATATTTACTTAAACGAGCTACATTGATGCAAAAATTACGAGTCTCCATTCTTTTCCAAGCTGCAGGTATTTCGATGACTAAAAAAATTAGTTCTAGTTATTGTCGGCGTCAAACGACTTGATGGGGGCGTGGCATTCAGTATATCGTAACCAGTGTAGATTTACGAGCGGGTAGATTTACGCGCTGACCAAATATTAAATGGTTTTTTTTCTCGATTTTTTAATATTAAAAAATGTTATGCGCGTTTTAATCCTGATTCCCATTGTCATTTGAATTCTTATAATGAGTCGACCTCCATATATATGTAAATGTTCGCGCAACTAACGGCATTTACTTAAACAAGCGAGAGAATCGTACATTTATCGAATATCTTAAGAGCACCACATAAAAATGTAAGATAAACCGTAAAAATAAAAGAAACTGGCTAATAAAAAAAAGAGACACAGAAAAATTCTTAAAAAATAACGCGACCAAAAACTGCGCAAAAACACGCTGCAGAGTGTATGGCACGGAGAAGGCGCTGATCGGTTCCTATTTTGAATGACGGTATTACCGATGTATCTGTTACAAACCTCCCGTTGGCGAGGATGTGATCGATTTCGTGCTTGAAGAGGCCATCTGAACTTATGAAAGTCCAACGCTTATGGGCTGGCTTTTGGAAAAGCGAGTTTGTGTGCCATAAGCGGTTTGTTTCACAGAAGGTCGCGAGGAGTTCACCAGCGTCATTGCGCGGTTCCATCGAATTGACTCCGATGAACCGCTCATTCTCATTACTTCTGGCCCCTACGCGTGCGTTGAAGTCACCAATGACTAGCTTGTAGTCGCTCCTACAAGAACGGAAAGGTTCTTCCAGCGTCATAGAAGAGTTCAATATCTTCAGTTTCGGCGTCGTCGGTTGGAGCATAGACTTGCTGTGCTATGAACTACGGAGCGAGGGTGCAACGAACTAAGCCGACCCCTCCAACGACAGAAGTGTCGTGACGTTTGCCTTGGAAAATCGCTGTCCCATCAACGTGTTTCTTATGCTCTTCAGTTCAGTTTCCAAAGAAAATCATTGACATTAGTTATATTTTCTGTTGTAAATTGCAGAATAGGGACATGATTGCTCATGTGATCGAGACTTCTCCCTTCCTCAACGATTGATTGACTACGTCGGTCGTTTCTACTTATGGTAAAATATTCAATGGAAAAAGAAACAATCTTAGAAAATTCACAGAAGTTTCTCCTTGACAAGCCGAACGAAGTCACACCATCTACAAGATTTCCAATGTTCTCTTTACCTTCCTCTTCGGTTCTTCCGATCCTTGCAGCCAATCTAAATTTGTTTTCATTTTGGGAAACAACTGTGTTTTTTATACTTCAAATTCTCCGATCTCATAGGTGTACGAGGGGTATCGAAGGTGTTTCGGATTTCCGAAAGATGCACACACAAAGTCTGAAATAAAATTCGTTTCATTGGAATTAAACGCCAAAGGGCTCAATATTGGAAATATTGTTTAATTTCGTACTGTTTATAATTCTGGTCTACGAAATGCGAAATCTTCAAAATAGCCAGTTTTTGCGCCAAAATTTTTCAATCGTAAAAATACACAAATCACTTTCAAGCACCGCGTGATATACAGTGCTCCACATAACTACATATATACCCACCTCAATTTTGTCGACTATCGCGAAAACGCGAATAGATCCAGAAATGGTTTCAATTAGAAAAATATGCGCATTTATTATTAATTTTTGTGATGGGCAAGATGCCTATCGTAGTTATTGGCACGATTTGGGAAGGAGACACTGTGATTTTTGCGAAGAAACTTCAAAAAAAAGAGAAATTCCCGAAAACTCCCGAGACTTCCGGGAAATTCCCAAAGACTTCCGAAGACTCTCGGGAAATTCCCGATTACTTCTCGGGAATTTCCCGATGACTCCCGGGAATTTCCCGGGAACGTTTCGGGAATTTCCCGAAGACTCCCGGGAAATTTTACGTATATTTCCCGAAGACTCCCGGGAATTTCCCGGGAGTTTAGTTTTTTTTCTAGAGAAATGTGAAAAACTTATGTAGTCGGCGTCCGGCGACTATTGTATGCGGGTAGATTTGCGGAAATGCGTCTTCCGAAATGGTCTCACAAGGACCAACAGGTTATTTCAAATTTTATGGACCGATTCGATAATTTTTTAATCGAATGAAGTTGTAAATTCAAAGAAATGCGAACCTCATCAAGAAAAATGAGGCAGTTCACATAAAAACAACAAAATAAGCGTTCACGCGAGACCCTTTCAAGGCGCATGCGCGTAAATCTTCGGGAGTCTTCGGGAAATATACGTAAAATTTCCCGGGAGTCTTCGGGAAATTCCCGAAACGTTCCCGGGAAATTCCCGGGAGTCATCGGGAAATTCCCGAGAAGTAATCGGGAATTTCCCGAGAGTCTTCGGAAGTCTTTGGGAATTTCCCGGAAGTCTCGGGAGTTTTCGGGAATTTTGTGGAGATGAAAATTCCCGAAATTTTCGGGAATACCGGGAATCTTAAAACGAATACTTCCCGGGAATTCCCGGGAAATTTCCTCCCGGGAGTACACACTGGTTGTAAGTATCAATCAAAAAACAAAAAACCATAAAAACAAATCAAGAAACAAAACAATGTCCAATTTTCGTTTGAATTTACCTGTTATATATTTGAACTGAGGCTTTTAGTTCATTTCGCTTTATTCATCATCGCCAACTAAATATGTGCAATACAAAGTTATACAGCATCGCGTTAGTTTTTTTTGTATGTATATCTGATTATTGAGCGAATACATACATATAGATTATTTCCCAACATAAAAATTTCCATTTACAATGGTTTTATTTCTGATCATTTAGATGCGAGTTATCATGTGAAATAAGGATATTTGTGTTAATTTGATGCAGACTTCACCCGATGCCGCTTTGATGAACCTTTAGCGTTGATTAAACAAAACACTTTTACAGATTTCAAAAAAAAAGTTCTAAACGCTCAAAAATAAAAAAAAATTCGAAAAAAAAAACAGCCATAAAAAATACAGTACCGACTTCGCGACGGGACCTGCGCAACTTTTCGGGTGCGCCTTTGGAAATAAACAGCGGAGAGTACGATATATCGCGTCAATTTTTTGTAATTTTCGACGTGCGTACATAGGGAATTCAAATGAAAATAATTGATTGTTTTCAATTGTTTTCCTTGCATGCTACAGTAATCTTAGCTGGAAAATGATTTATTGTTGAGAAATGACAAATGTATCCAGGTGTCGTAGGATCCTGCGTTTTGTACGCAATGCTAAGAGACAGTTACCGTAATCCTCGCAGCGATTTACGGAGATTTTTTTTTTAATTTTCTTTCAATTTTTTGCTGTATTTTATAATTTTTTTTAGAAATCTTTTATTTAAAACCTGTAGAAACCGAGTTTAATTATTTATTTTTCAGAATATGCACTTTTCCATTTGTCCAGTTGAGTTGGGAATTTTCGTGAAGATTTTGTCGCTCTAAAAATTATTTCGAAAATGAAGAATACAAAAACAAGATAATAGATACGCGTACAAAAAGCAAAACACGAATAAATAATTTTGTTAACGACAAAAATGTTTTCTTTTTAATCTCTGCTGTTTTTACCAAAAAAATATCGTTTAAAAGTGCTTATTCTGCTAAATAAATTATTAAACTCGGTTTCTGCAAAATTTAAATAACAAAATTTCGAAGGAAAATACGAAAATTGAGCGAAAAATAAAAAAATGAATATGCGAAATTAAAAAAAAAAAGTCCCCGTAAATCGCTTCGAGGATTACGGTAACTGTCTCTTAGCATTGCGTACAAAACGCAGGATCCTACGACACCTGGATACATTTGTCATTTTTCAACAATAATTAATTATTGATTCAAATCCAATATACCGAAAGAAGTGAAAAGTACATGATGAGAAGTGATACGGAGAAATGTGCCACTGATTTCAAACGAATAATCAAATAATTCAAGTGAAACTCAAACTTGAATTGCTATTGAAAAAGAACACCAGTTCTGATGGATTTTAATTTGCAAGTGTAATATTTTAAAAGGTTATTTCATGCTTTTTTATTTATTATAATTCACATTCGAATGAAATTTGGTGCTGGGTTTCTCATTAAAAAAATGATCCACTTTTTCAAACGGTACGAACACTTTCAAACGATGAAGCAGGAGTTTTCCTAGAGGCACATAGTGAAGGTGCTAAAGTCAGGAGAGAGTGAATGATAGAGAAAAGGTGCGACCTAGAGTAGCTTGTAAGTGAGCAATAAATCTCAAGTTCACACATTTGTACAGATGCATCAAATGGTACACGCCCATTTTGACACCTTCGACGACTATATAAGACTGGTATGGGTTAATATTCATTACTGTTTACTTCATATTCCCTCACGTGCTTGCACCAATCGCCCAAGACGGCCATTCATTACCAGACCTCCACAACCTCTGGTCATGACAGCCTTTTTGGGAGGTTGGGGCTGTGCCTCTATTTTGATTCTTTCGTGATCAGGTTCATTACAGATCACCTGGTGCTTGCACCAATCGCCCAAAACGGCCATTCATTACCAGACTCCGAACACCTTCTGGTCATGACAGCCTTTTTGGGAGGTTGGGGCTGTGCCTCCATTTTGATTCTTTCGTGATCGGGTTCATTCCAGATCACCTGGTGCTTGCACCAATCGCCCAAAACGGCCATTCATTACCAGACTCCGAACACCTTCTGGTCATGACAGCCTTTTTGGGAGGTTGGGGCTGTGCCTCTATTTTGATTCTTTCGTGATCAGGTTCATTCCAGATCACCTGGTGCTTGCACCAATCGCCCAAAACGGCCATTCATTACCAGACTCCGAACACCTTCTGGTCACGACAGCCTTTTTGGGAGGTTGGGGCTGTGCCTCCATTTGATTCCTTCGAGATCGGGTTCATTCCAGATCACGTGGTGCTTAAACGTGAGACAAGACAATTTGCCCCCAACCGGGTGATCTGCCCCAAAATTTGCTGACATCATTTGACAAATATTCAGAAATTAAATTGAATTCACTATTTCTTTCGGTCTATTGGGCTAAATTGAACCGAGAATCAAATAAGGACGAGAAGAAAAAGACGGTTTGCAGAGATGCTTTATTGTGGAATCGTTTAACAAAAACTTAGCGACGAACGCGCTTGCGTTGAAGGACGGGCACCAAGACAAAATCTTTGAGAGGACAGGAATGAGGCAGATTCTAAAATGGGTTTTCTATGACTAAGCGTTTTGCACACACCTCGTACGTTTGTGATGATACGAAATTTATTTTTAAAAAAAAGCGGTATTGTTTCTCGCTGCATGATTCTGATTTACCTTGCGAACACGTGTCGTGTCTATTCCGCAATTGTCAGAAAAACGATGGCGAGCCTGCAAGAGTTTCGCAAATCGCAATCGATTTTTGCTCTTGCACGAAGAGCTTTAACAACTATTATTAAAGTAGGTCATCATTGCACGTTCTTTTTTAATATTGTTTAACACCTTCTTCGTCTTGATGTCGTGCAACTTTTTCTGTGGCCTATCGCTTTGCACGCATAATTTCCTACAATCGCGTTGCCATAGTTTGACAGATTATGCTTTTGCGATATCACTTGTGTTTCCGACGCACGATTATTATCAAAGGAATTTAAGCGAAATTTCTTCAAGACGATTGCGTCAACAATTTCGAAACTACGTATAAAGTTATGCATTTAGTCTGTTTCCATAAGTTTCCCTAATGGTCTTATTCATGAAACGTATTTTTTTACAAAAAAATGTAAAAAAAATTGCATTAAATTTGAATTTTTGCTTCTCAGGTTGCCCGTATTATTATACCTAATTGCCACTATTTAAATTGAAATATGAAATTCGGCCTCTAAAAATTCGCTTGTCCAATATTATTTAAATTACTCGTTTTTGTGAACCGTGCAGTGAGATATACAATATCGATTTTTTGGCTATAACTTTCCGAAAGGTTGATTAATCGATCAATGTTATTAAAGACAGACATCTGTTGCAGTTTCAAAGCCAAATACAGTTTTGTTTCTTAACGCGAAAATAGCATAAATATGTTCCCATTGGACTTTGTCTGTTTTTTCCATATATAATTTTTTATATCTATAAATAAGTTTTTTTTTTAATTCTCTTATTTCCTTAGTTCATTGTCTAAAAATTATTTTTTTTTTGATATATTCTTGAACTTGTATTAAATAACGAAATACGATATGCGTCTTCATGGAATACTGTAATTATTGATTTTTGTACTTAACATGTTTCTTCTCAACCACGTGTCACATTTTGAAATTTTATGAATGAGATTTGCGCGGCGCGGTAGAAACCGCGGGGTTTCTGCCGTACGGATATTTTGCAAATGCTTATTTTATTGATTTTTTGGATGTTTAGATTTAATATTTTTGAGTGGCCTACGACTTTGTTTACCATGGCATATATTAACCCGAATTTCACATTCATTTTTCTCCTTTTCCGATATTTTCTTCGTTTTAGGTACACCCGTTGGCTTACCCGAAACCTGAACCATGGATAATTTGGTAAAACAAATGGATAATCTTGGATTGACTCAGTTTGCTGAGAAGAGACCGGCTGGAACAACCGGGCTCCAAACCAATTGTGTCGCCAATCTTAAGAAAATAGGTAACATTGCAATGATTAAACATTTTTATGGTTATTTTTGCTTTTAGAACTTGTACCAAACGTTCCAATTTACAAATATGACGTAAATATCGTCATTTTTTATACGAAGGAGACCGGCGAAGTTGTATCGCATGAAATTACCAAGGAGTCGCGCAATAGGTAATAAAAAAATTAATTCCGCGCTACTTCATTTCTTCAGTGATCAAAATTTCCGATCGAAAGACCAATGCCGTGCTGCGTATTTGTATGTTCTCGAGCATCATAGAAACGTTTTCGGAAAAGAAAACACTTGTTTTTATGATCAACAAGCGTCGCTATACTCCACAAAAGACCTCGGAGAGAAGGTTGGTTGCCACAATCATCTTTGTTAAATCATTAATTCTTTTAGAATGTTTTCATTATTCCCACCACGGTTATTACTCCACAGGCTTCTGCTCACGAAGTCAAGATGAAAATTGAACGCGTGGATATCGAATTTCAAGCGAGTACAAACGATATTCAAGCAACGGTTCATGTTGTTCCCAGAAATGCGAACAAGACATTGCTGGAAGCTTTAAACACAATGCTCTCTGAAATTCCGAACAACAAAAGAAACGTTTTCACCGTAAATGGAAACAATCATTACTTATTCGACCCACGCGACGATGAGTTCGAAAGTTTTTTCATTTTTCGTTTGTCAATCTTCATATTGTAGGAGATTTTTCACAAAATGGGAAGGAACGGGATTATCGAAAGCTGTGAAAACATTGGAAGGAGATGGTCCCAAAGGAAAATCGCAATTATATATGGTTGCTGAAAGTCAGCTGCTCAAATTTATTAATTCTGATGATGATATTTGCGTTTTTCAGTGAAAAAGACGCTGTTTCATATTCCAGGAAAAAGTCTCGCGGATAAGTTGTATTATTTGGATAACAATGTGGAGCGATATCAGCCAAATAGCCCCCAAGCACAGAAGTTACTTAAATTGGTCAAGAATGTGGCTTGCTACTTGTGCTATTCGACAACCAGTGACCCAGACAGCAGCGCTCCAATCGTTACAGTTAAAGGGTTCGGGCCGCCTGCTAATTCGAAACAACATAAATTCGAATTTAATGGAAAAGAAGTTACTGTTGAAGAGTACTTTCGCACTAAGTACAATTTACAAATTGCTTACCCTTCAATGATTACGGTGAAAGGAGAATCTGGTAAACGAAAGGGATTTTTCCCAGCTGATCTTCTCTTCGTTTGTGAAAAACAAGTTGTGAGAAATGAACAAATGTTGCCCTTAGAACAACAGGCCGCCATTAAGGTAAGCATGAAATCGTCTGTTTATTCGTGTGCATATGGCGGGCCTAATTTCAGAGCTCGGCTATACTTCCATCAGTTCGCCGGGAACAAACGGAACGAATTATCCGCAACGTTGGATTGCAAACAGGCGAAAAAATTGGGGGAATTCTCACAATTGGGCGCGAGTTCATCACTGTTCCTGCCAGAGTTTTAGCACCTCCGAACATTAAAACGAAAGATTCAAGCGCGACTGTCCGAGAGGATGTAAATGAAAACAATCTTTATCGCTGATATTCGTTTTTAGAGTACATGGAACGTCAATAGATTCGTGCAGCCGGTTAAAATTGACAAGTGGAGTGTCGTTTTCATTGAGGTCAAAGCACCGTTAGTTAACACCACAATGAATAATATTAGAAGTTAAATTCAGAAAATTTGTCGATATTCTTGTTCGACAAATGAAGGAAACGGGAATTTCAGTTGCTGCTCCAGCGGTCTCGTCAATTGATCAATACAAAAATAATCTTGAAGTAAACGTTAAATTCGCTTAAAAATACCCAATGCGTTTTATTTCAGGATGTATTCGTTCAGGCGAAAAAAACTGGAACGACTTTCATTTTCTTTGTTACTCGTGATAGTTTGAATTTGCATTCACAAATCAAAAGCTTTGAAAGAAAATACGACATTTTGACTCAAGACAATCGGACGAAAACTGCAAACGCCCAAAGAAAGACGTTGGAAAATGTCATTAATAAGGTTGTAGTAGCTGATTAAAACGAAAAATTCAAATGTTTTATTTAGATCAACATGAAGAATGGCGGAATGAATTTTGTTCTTCCTTCTTGGTAACATTTGTAATATCGAAAAATAACAAGTTTATTTATTTCAAGGGAAAATGATCAATTCAGAAAGCGTTTGATCGTTGGATTCGAAACTTCGCAACGAAACACAAGCTCTGGGGTGACTTAATTTTAATTAAAAATTTTTTATTGGGTTTTTATAGGGTCCTGTGATTATCGGATATTCAGCGAACATCATGGACCATCCACAAAAATTTGCGGGCGGTTTTAAGTTTGTTAAAAAGGATTCTGACGTTAGTGACACGCTCATATTGAAAAAAAAAATATATGTAAATTTCATAGATTTTTGGTGCAGTTGTCAAGGAAACGATGAAAGAAGTCATTCAAAAAGTGAAAGACCGTCGAGGTGTTGCAAATGAAATTTTGGTTTATTTTAATGGTATCTCGGAGGGCCAATATACTTTGGTTAGATCTTGAATTTGGTCATTTTGTTCTCAACTGGATACATTTAGATTAACGAACGCTACGTGCAGTCGATCAAAGAAGCATGCACTGAACTTTCAGCTTCATATCGTCCACACATAACTGTTATTGCCGTTTCGAAGACACATAATGAACGATTTTACAAGCAGGTGTTTTTTTGTTTTTTTTTTCCAAAAATAATGTCTTGTTGGTAGAATATCACCGGCAAAAACGCGAGAGAACAGAATATTCAACCGGGAACCGTAATCGATAAAGTGATCGTAAGCCCTGTGGTAAACGAGTTTTATTTGACGCCACATGTTGCGCTTCAGGTAGTTTTAGACGAAGACTATTGAATCATTTTCGAGTATTCTTAGGGAACCGCAAAATCGCCAAAGTTTTCGGTTATTTTTGATACGATGAAAAGAACAATGGACGACATCGAAACGTTCACTTATCAATTGTGTTTTTTGCACGAAATTGTGTTCAGCCCCACTTCTCTTCCAGCACCGCTCGTGATTGCGGATAGGTTTTCGAAGCGTGGCACGATGATGTATAACGAATCCGGGTAAACTGAGCTTGTAAACTTAGCCAATTCATTTCCATTTTGTTGTCAGCTAATTTCCTTTCAAATTTATTGACTTTGAGAAACACTAAACACATGCGTGAAATGTCATGTTTTTTCAGCTTTGTCATGCCATCGATTGAAGAAGATATCGAGAAGTTTATTAAAAAATGCAACGAGCAACTTTCATACAATGGCAAGAAACTGGATGGAACCCGATTCAATGCCTAACAAATGAAGTTTCTGACGTAACAGTTCTCCCAAACTGCACTTGTTATTTGTTTCTGTCTTTTTTCTAATGGATTAATTATTAATATTTCACGGTCAGAAAATCACTTGGGAGTTACTTTTGTTGTTTTTAATTTAAACCGATCTTTTTTTCTGCAAAGCGGTCTAGATAAATCGTACCGAGCCGGAACGACACTCCATTATCGTAATAAATGTTTTTAATTGAAATTTGAATTACTGTATAGTGGTGATCTTTAATGAACCCGATCTCAAAAGAATCAAATGGAGGCACAGCCCCAACCTCCCACAAAGGCTGTCGTGAACAGAAGTTGTTCGGAGTCTGGTAATAAATGGCCGTCTTGGGCGATTGGTGCAAGCACCAGGTGATCTGGAATGAACCTGATCACGAAAGAATCAAATGGAGGCACAGCCCCAACCTCCCAAAAAGGCTGTCATGACCAGAAGGTGTTCGGAGTCTGGTAATGAATGGCCGTTTTGGGCGATTGGTGCAAGCACCAGGTGATCTGGAATGAACCTGATCACGAAAGAATCAAAATAGAGGCACAGCCCCAACCTCCCAAAAAGGCTGTCATGACCAGAAGGTGTTCGGAGTCTGGTAATGAATGGCCGTTTTGGGCGATTGGTGCAAGCACCAGGTGATCTGTAATGAACCTGATCACGAAAGAATCAAAATGGAGGCACAGCCCCAACCTCCCACAAAGGCTGTCGTGAACAGAAGTTGTTCGGAGTCTGGTAATAAATGGCCGTCTTGGGCGATTGGTGCAAGCACCAGGTGATCTGGAATGAACCCGATCTCAACGGAATCAAATGGAGGCACAGCCCCAATCTCCCAAAAAGGCTGTCATGACCAGAAGTTGTTCGGAGTCTGGTAATGAATGGCCGTCTTGGGCCATATGGCAAATATGGGCAAGGAGCGTTAATGTGAGGATGTAAGTAGGTTATAACATTACAAATAGATCTAGACCTAAAAGGCATAACTTCCCATATCCAGAAAAAAATCATAAAAAATGTACTTCCGGTTCCGTTCATCTCGAATACCACTACTCAATTAATCAAAACATCAGTTAGACAAGTTGCCTTGGATGTCACTGTAGTAGAACTTAAAGGTAAATCATTTAGGGACATCCTTGTCAAAAATCGTATTTTTGATGTTCGATGTGAGGGTAGAGGTTGCAGGGTTTGTCCGGAGCTGGGAGTTGGTACTTGTACCATTAAAGGAGTCATTTATGAAATCAAATGTGGTTGTGGAAAGAGTTACGTCGGTGAAACAGGAAGGCCTTTCGCCTCTCGTTTCAACGAACATGCTAGAGCTGCGTTGAAACCAAATCTAAAATCATACAAAAACACGGTTTGGTCTAAACACTCATTTGAAATTCATAACGGGGAGCCCTTACAACTTTCTATTAAAATACTAGATATTGAGAGGAACACAACTCGTCGAAGAATACTGGAGGAATTTATATCAAAACCAAGAATCCTGAACTTAATACTAAAGAAGAACTTATAGATTTGGTTTCGGATTTGGGAATTCGAGGGGATTTTTCTTAGTCATAGCTTAAAAAAACTTTTCGAAACCTATCCTCTAGTTCTCTAAAATTTTGATCTACTTACATCCTCACATTAACGCTCCTAACATATTTTTGTGTTACATATTGGACATTGTTTTGTTTCTTGATTTGTTCTTGTGGTTTTTTGTTTTTTGATTGATACTTACAACATAACTCTTTTATTCCTTTTTGACCAATCTATTACTTATTTTCTTGTAGGTAAATTGACCTTCCCTGATGATGATCTAAAGATCGAAACGTCGGATAAACATTTCAACACTGTGCAAGACATTTAAAATAAAGGGTCATATCAAGAAGATCTCTTCTACTTAACAATAATCAACACGATGCACTCAAAACAAGTCGCTCCACAACTCACAAAACATTTCTAGTCATTCACGTTTTCGAGTTATTCGACAAAATTGGGGTGGGTATATAGTTATGTGGAGCACTGTATTCATTTTTCCCTTTGCCATGGAGAATGAAAATATGAGAGAGTGCAGGTTGCGCGAATGTGAGAACAACGGACCACCAAGCGACCACACTCGACGAGGCAGGGGACAGCGAAGGAAGGATAAAAAGAAAAGGATTAAAAATGGAATCCTTCGAAAAAAAAATGGAAAAAGATTCATTAAAAAGTGAGCTAAAATGAACAAGTACGTGAACTGCACGTGTGTGATTTTCGAAAAAACCCAGAAAATACCAGCATCAGTTCTTTTTATACTTCGAAAAGAAGAAAGAAATCGCATTTTGTGAATTTGATAGCTGCCGACTGGCAAACCGAATATGGTCGTTTCAATTTCAACGACCGTGATATTTATCGCGTTTCTTGTTGGATCAGCAACAGCCGAAAACGGTAAACGAATTGGTTTTGTCATAGCTATAGATATCCTTGCAGTATGTGCTAACAAACAGCCGAATCTCAAAGAATGTCTAAATGAGGAATGTCCCGATGGCGAAATTTGTTATCGTGGGGCGGGGGGAAAAAAAAGTACTGCTGCGGTAAGAGCAATAAAACAGCTTGATTCACTTCAATTTCAATTCATTTTATTCTGTGAATTCAGGCAACTTAGAGACATACTGTAGCACCAAAATGTGGACGTTTCATTCAGTTAGTGGTTCCACTAATCGTTTTGATGGCAGTTATCTTTATGGAAAAATTGATGGAAAATGTCCAGATGGTTATACACCCGAAAATGATATTTGCTGTCGTATGTTTTGCATTCGTCGTTTTCAAATCAAACTCCGTTTTTAGGCAATTCCCCACTGCAACTGTGCTACAGACGAAAAATGGTGAAAAGGTGGATGAAAAATAGATTACTCGGAAAAGTAGATAAAAACTAGGAGAAAAATGGGCGAAAAATAGATTATCTCAAAAATTGGTGAAAAATATACGATAAATGGATGACAAATAGATGAAAAATTGGGAAAAAATAGATAGAAGATAATGATAAGAAATAGACACTGAAAGGGTGAAAAATAGATGGAATTGTGCAGTTGATCGTAATGTGAATGCAGATGGCGCCATGTTAATCACAATTTTTTTAAAAATCAATTTTGGAAATGCCTAAAACTCTTCGCCATCGATTACCCAAAGAAGGTCTCAAATTGAGGAAAGGTAGGTTTGTTTCGTATATTAATATTGCTGATTGTTTATTATTTTAAGATCAAATTGCTGGTTCGCGATGCATGCCGACCAAACGTGTGGTCTTTGCTCGAAAAAACGCCCGGCTTTCACTTCGAAACAAATCGTCGAACAACGAAAATAATGAAAATGATGCATCAACAACATCCTTTCTCATGAGAGAACGATCTGAAAGCGAAATTGAAGAATTCTCCGAAGTAGTCGGGCCGTCATGCGTACCGAATTACCCCGCACATGATCGTGTATCGGAATTGGCCGATGAACTATTATTGTGCATGTATAGTTCGGTACTCGGAAAAGATACAGAAAATGGTAAAACTAATACTTTTCCAAAGACAAAAAATGGCTGCAGGCTTTTTGAGACGACTGGCAACAATTAAAAACTTCATCCCGATTGAAAGAGCCCGCTCATTGTGGTATGATTTCAAGAAGAATATTATGAAGCGTTCAATATGCGAAAAGTGTGGATGTCGAAGAGAGAAAGAATGGTAAACACATATACCACATTTCAAACATTATTATGATCAATTTCAGTTGCGGCGATTTGGCGACTTTTCTTATGCTGCCTCTCACCGAACAAATTCGCGGGATTGTGGAGTCGTCCTTTGACGATATAATGGAAATTCGAAAGAAATTGAAGGAAAAAGCACCAAACTTCACACACAATCTTCAAGGAAGTTCTTTTTCCAGTTCATGGAAATACGAGGATGAAAATCATTGTGATCTGAGCATGGTGCTAAGTCTGGACGGCGTCAATCCCCGAGGACATTTCAGGTATTATTATTATTTGTTTATTAAAGATGTGCCATTTAGAGGAAGTTTGTGGCCAATTACTTTACAGTTAGTGGATTTGCCTACAATGAAGTCGCAACTTTCAATTAATCTTGTAGTCTGTGGAATGCTGCAATTAAAAGCTAATAATCCAACAACCCTTGTTTTGAATACCGTCACGGAAATTATAATGAATCGATTGGAAGGCGAAGGGTCAACATTTGTTGTAAACAATATTTTATTTTCTCCATACCTCGTGTCACTCGTTTCTGACCAACCAGTAAGGATTAAGTGATAAAAATTTCTATAGATTTCAGTTTAAGGCAAAAAGAAAAATTCTTGGAATGAGCGGTTTTTCAAGTCCACAAGCTTGTTTTTATTGCGACTCTCACGGAACTCTGCACAAACCACTACTTGGAAACGGTAATAATCAATAATAATTTTAAACCCTCTTATTCATCGCTTATATTGATATAAGATCGACGATTGGACAGATTTGGGGATAAGACTCTAGAAGATAGTATTCGCGGTGTTAATGGATTTGGTCCTGTTGCGGCGAAAATGGTGCAATATGTCAAGCCGTACAATACAATCTTGGATGTTCTTCACACTTGTTCAGATGGAATTGTAATGTTGATACTAAAAGGTATCAAAATTAAGTGTGACCAAAAAAACGGCAGAAATTCCAGAGCTCATGCCTAAAAAGTTTAGATGTTCAAAGAAAAAATCTGCAATGTTCGAATGCGATGAAACCATGCTCGAAAACTTCGACAAACATCTACAATTGCCAATTGAAGGAGCCGATTTGACTCGATTGCTCACTAACGGAAGGCAAAAACTAGATGTATGTTTCAGATATAATGTTTTAGATTTTTCTTATAGTTATTCAGACTTCAAATTTTCTTGTTTGCTATCTGCAATTCAAGTTTACCCTCAGATGGACGATGTGCAATTATTGCTTTAGGTATTATTTTCAATAATATGTGCACGAATGGAATGTTGAACCATAGGGATACTTT